CACTTGTATGGACATTCCATGATAGTAGAACATATTATAAAATAAACAAGATCCACGAACATGAACATATGCAAAGATAGTACCTCCAATTTTGATCAATTGTCAACTAAAAAAAATTGATGTTTATTCACCAGAGAAACTTACAGCTGCTCTTTATCGAGATATATATATAACCTGACTCAAGTGTTAATGGACGATGTTTTTGTTACTAGTAATCTAAAATGTGAATTTCAAACCAACAGCAACATTATTTTGCCCAGTGCAAGAACGACAACACATGACACAGAGACAATTAGATTTATTGGCAAAGAAATATAGCAAAAGCAACCTACCGAAATTCAGAGTGTAGCTGTAGATCGTGTAAAACATTTGTTGTACCTTTAGATTTTTTTATGCATGCTCGATGCTGCGTGGAAAGCGCTGCACATGGTTTGGTACTTATAATAGAAGTTATGAAGCAAAAATTTCTAAAGGGAAATCTAGATAGTTGCTTTTTATATTTATTGTATATTGTTGGCATAAATTAGCTTAATGCTAGATCTCTTTCCCAACTGTTAATACAAAAGTTTTTTAGTATCATTTCATTATTATTATTAAGTTCTCAAATATGCACCTGGGGGCTTATTTATAAAAAAATATTTCAGGTTGAGGCATTTGACTGCTGATTACGTGTGTGTAGCATACTGTACATGTTCAGTAAACTGCTAGGAAGATACAAAAGGTTGCTGATTGAGATCGCAGGGGGAGTTGCGAGGTGTAGAAGTCTAATTTTACGAAGCTGATAAATAATGAAAAGCTAAACTTCAAACGTGAATTTTTCAGTGGTAAACTTCTGATGTTATTCGAATAGCTCTATCACAGCTTACTCGAGGGGGGAGAGGCTTATTCGAGGTGGGGGCTTGTTAAGCAGCAGCCAAAATATTTCCAGGGTGAATTTTCTTCCACTATTTGAGGCTGCGCAGTATGCTTGGAAATGTTTTGGGATGAACCTGTTGCTGTAGAGGCAATACCTTAGCCCACGGGGGCTTATTTGAGGGTGGGGCCCATTTCACGAAGATTGCTTTAGGATGGGGGTATATTCGATGGGGGGGGGCTTATTTGAATGTGGGGACTTATTCAAGGACTTATGGTACTATATCTCTATGAGCATATGGTAGCATAACAATTTTGCACTTCTAAATCTTGTTTTAATAGCGCGACTGACTTGTTGACAAAATCTAATCTTGGTTTGTTAGCATGTGAGAAAATGATAGAAAACACATTTTTTTCTATCTTTTATCTGAGGCCTTACGCTATTCTTGTCTTTAGCAAATAGAAACTCGATGTTCTTGTTAAGAATGCCATTGTCAAAATAAGAGTACATGCAGGACCAATGTGGTGTTGACCATAAAGATTGGGTTAAAAGCAAAAGGTGGTCCGGGATGTCAGTGCCCCCAGAAACATAATTTCCTGCGTGAGTTGGTGCCCTCGGAGGGCCATGGCAATAGGTCCCGCGCTTATGATAGCCAAAAGGGGCCCCGCACCTAAGAAAAAAGATAGAAATTGTAAAGAACAAAGGCCCCGCAGATGTTTTTGGCCCCTGGCCCCGCAGTCCCTAAAACCGCCACTGCCACTTTCCAACCTGTGTCTGAGCCCATGATGCTACAATTACACATTAATACAATGTTTATCATATTGGCACATGAAATCGAGGATCTCACGCATGCGAGATGGTGTGGAACTAGAACGTACAATAGACAGGATAATAGAACTCGTGCATTTAGTAACATAAACTTGATATGCATGCAGTGGCGGCCCCAGGGGGGGAGGGTGATAGAGGATGTACGTTATCTAGATCGTCACAATTAAATGACATTTCTTGGGAGACGAGAGGTGTTTCCTCCGGAAGAAAATGCTTCACGAGGGAAAAGGGCGTGGCCCAAAAGGGCGTGGTCCCTGGCCTCTTTTGTCCCTCCCACTTATCCTGAGCTGGAGTCGCCACTGCCTGGGAATCAGGCTAGATGTCTGTACAGCAATATTGTTTATCCCGTTCCACATTTTACACCTATGACAAATACACTGTTAATCATTCTATTGAAATCCAAGAGTTGTTTTGATAAAAAAACCTAAGAGTTATGGAAGTACACCTAATCTTGTGTGTTTTTTGTTTTTGTCTCCAAGAATGTTAGGTCATCTATCATGCGTCTCCGCGTGATTAAGCGGGCAGGTCGCAGCGTTTACCATTGATTTTCACAAAGCCACTTTCATGTCAAAACATCCTGCGAAAAAACTTTACGTCATGAGTTGAATAGGATTATGAAGTGAATAAGACAAATTGCACCAAAGATGGTTCATTGGCACTTCTCCGATTCTTCGCTGAAAAACAACATGAGATTCCTAGCTTTTTGTTTAGCCGAAAGAATGGCAACACTCTTAACGGTGTCCAGAGCAGCGGAGTAATTCGTTCGTGGTTCTTTGAAAGAAGTCTGGATTTGATTTTCAATCGACATGTAAGAAATATAGGATGGAGAACTTTAAAGGAAATTAAGATTTGGCTTATAAACAAAGTATCGCATAACAATTTTATAAGAGCCTCAAAATTGGTCAAAAATTAAGAAAAAAATTAAGAACAAGCTGAGGCTGAGCTACTGTAAAATGCAATTTTGAACAACGTTTCATCTCAAAAACGAGGATTTTTTGCCATGTGTTGGTGCTTTTTCGGGGAATATTCAAACTTGTCAGCAAATGAATGTGTCTCGCTTACTTTGTTTGCAAATGAGGCCAGAACACCTCCCTAGAGCTAAAAAGCTAGCAATCACACTGCTTACAACCTTTTAATTTAAGAAAAAAATTAAGAACAATCCAGCCTCAGATTTTCAAAACAGTTTAAGAGCAGTCAGCCTAAATTTAAATTTACCGGCTCTTATAAAAAAGAGTGTATCTTTAATTTGATCTGTATGTTTATATTTCTCTATCTCTTATAATTTCTTATCTTCTCTTACAAGTTTGGATTTTTTTTGCAAAATCTTTTATTTTCAATAGCATCTTCTGAACAGGATACCGATCCCAAAATCCGTTCCCGTTTTCTAAGTTTCTCGAGTAGCATATATCTAATTTCTATAGATTTCGCTTTTGATTGGTTTCTGAATCAAATTTTTAAGTTGATGAAAATAAGTTACGTTGCTGAATAAACTGACTGAGAATTTGATCGTAATCATGATGATGATTATGGCTGTTCACATCCTTATTTAGTGAAAATCATCGCTGAAATCTCCACATACCATTTTAGATTTACTCGCGTAAAAAAATGTTACAAAAATGTGTAAAGTAGATTCAGATACTCGTTTAAAAAGGATAAGAACGCGATAAAGAATGTGTAGAATATTTCAACTTTCTGAGCGGTCTCCAACAATAAGCATGAGAATAAACTCAAATTAATTCAGAATATACATGCCTTAAAAACTCGATTATCCTCAGCTTATCCAAGGTTGGATGCAATGAGCAAAAAGATAATGGACTGTGAATGCCCTATATAGAAGCAAACTATATAGCATGCATACTGTGCTTGTGTAGAGAAACATTATCCGAAAGTGTCCCAACGTTTTGTGACCAATATATCCTAAATATTCTCTTGCAAAATATTGTGTTGAGAATACAGTATGCTAGCTCTTTCTATTACACCAATGTCATTTGTAAACAAATTGAAGCCTTTAAGTGCTTTGTGCATGGACTTTCATTCCATTTACATCTTGTTCTTGTTATTTTTTAGGGACGCCAGCCCCCCCCCCCCCCCTCAAGAATTACAGTAGCTACATCCCTATATAGTTCCTAATTTTTACTTGATTGGTAAGAGCCAAATTGTGAAAGTGAGAAGAAATTAAAGACCAAGTTTTGATACAAATTTTGTTCTACGTCAAAGATAGCAGTGTGGTTCTTACTATGGCATCGAACTTTCTTTGATATTCCACACTCAAACAACTAGATTTGAAACGTAAGGCTTCTTCTCTTTGCACAAACCCCGCTCTTTATTTGAAGTATTCAAATGCATAAATGTCTTGATCGACCGAATATCAAAGCAAACATAGGATCCAAAAGTATTTTAATTTTTAAATCTATTTTGTTCCTCCATAGTGTCTTCTTCTCGATAGGTTTTCCGCCAAAAGAGATTTTTTTTACTGTTAAATTCAAAACATAACACGTAATAGGCGCATTTGCTCCAAACTCCATTGAGAGTAAAACGTCAAACAGCGAACTGGTTGGGAATCGACAGCAATGTGGGTGAAAGCATAAGCATTTGACTGGCATCTTGAATCAAGGCCAGTCAAAGCCAGCCCCACCAGGGTTGTAGTGCTATGATAACGGCAAGGGAGCCCTACCAAAATATCGCTCCCCCCATTGAGAAATGATAAAGAAACCTTACAGATGACCAACGGGATCAATCTGCACTTTTGAGTATGACGAGATCTGAGTTCAGGTTCTTTAACCCTGAAACCCCAGACTATTTCAGTTCTCAAGCCAGTTTTCCGTTTTATCGAACCACTCATTAATCCCCAGTAAAATAAATGTGCCTGACCTAAGCCAGTCGCTACAAAGAAGCGAGGATACGTGGGTGTATTGTTTTTGTTTTCATTGACTGTACTTTACAACTGTAATTCCTGCTACTTTGATGCTTTTGTTAGCAAATTCTGGCCACTTTTGTTCGGCTTAAGAGCATTTCCTGTTTTTCATATCAATGAGTCAAAGCTTGGTTTAGTTTATTAATAGCGATATAAATGTTTAGCTGGATGACGCAATCAATCAAAAGTGCTTTGGCTCCGCAATGGCAGGCAATGATGTCATGTTTTTAATTCTGCCAAATGTCACAAGGCAACTAAACGTTTTATAATTGTTACTAGATTGTTACTTTGTCAATCTAATCTGGCTTCAGAGTGTCACTTGATTAACGGTGGATGGTCAAAGGTGGCTGAGAGTGCAGACCTGCTTTCTTTTCCAAGGATATAAACAATAAAAAAGTGGAAAGATAGAGCTATTTGTCAATATATTATCAGAAATAAACAAGAAATCCAGATAGTAAACAGTACTTTCTTAGGCATTTGGCTGTCTATTAAAGTGGACTTCATTAACCATGCAATTAAAAATGACATATTCAACATAGCTGTAATAAACCAACTATTATTTACAAGAAAATACATTAATTAACTAACTGCTTGTTGACGGTTTGTCCCTTGAGGGCATACTTTGTCCCATTTCCTTAGATGGAGGGGTCTTTTCTTTTGCAACCTCTTTCTTTAACACATGCAGCAGTGTTTGTGAACTTTCAAGGATCTACAAAAAGATTAAAGCAACATTGCAATTTCCACAAACATGTCTTTCAACTCTGCCTCAAAGAAAATTGCAAGAAAGGCTAAAACATAGGGAAGTTAACTCTTTAAAATCGTCTTTATGAAAAAAGTAATGAACAAAATATTAGAAACAGGATAAATTATGTTGCAACACTTGTGAAACATATATAAGGCAAAAAATACATCATAGAAATGGTTTTGAATAATCATTTCAGAGTCTACCTGCTTCTTTGTTCAATTTGAGACATTAGGCAGGATGGCTAAAAACCTAGAGCGGTAAGCAAAGCACGACAAAAAATTCCTTTATTCAGTTCTACCAAAGACGAACTTGACAGAAAATACAAAGTCAGTTACAATCCCCATATTATCATCATAACATTTAAAAAAAAATTTTCACACAAGAAAAGAATGCTACACTAACTGAATTATAGATATTCATTTTTCATTAAATTCAATTTATTTTAAAATTCTTTTTCAATACATTTGATTCTCATGGCCGTGTTGCTTTGTTCCTGAGTTTTTTTGCATTATTACTCATTGCAAGATTCACAGAATCTGGCGGACAGCATATCCTGCATCTCTTCCTTCTTACACATAAACTGAAGTAGCTACCTTGAAGCTAAAAATCAAATGATGAGGAAGAAACACAAAAAATATGTTCTTTTAGGTTAGTTATGCCTTTAAATATCAACTGATATTTGTTGGTTTGTTTAAGAGATTTTGTTGCTTGAATAATCAATAACAATGTCAATACCTTTTCAAAACATATATTTTCATAATCTTGATTAAAATCATCACAAATGCATCAAAATAGGATACATATAATAAGTGACACCTTTTAGATCAACTTAAACATGTAAAAATATCAAGCATACCCTCATATAAGCCGATTCAGTTTCAGCAATTGTTTTGTCATACTCATTACGTGAAGATATCTTTTTCGCCAAGCTTTCATTTACTTTAGCCAGTTTTTCTGTGAGTATTCGGATATCATTTTGTAGCTTTGCCTTCTCTTCCTCTTCTGCTAGAATTTGTCTCTGCACCTCATCTCTTTTAGTGCAAAGATCTTCAATACCTGGGGAAAATGAAAACCATAGTAAATCTTAAATTTTAAAAAAATTGAGTAAAATGTTTTGGGCGGAACAATCAGAGAATCTCAAATGAAACGATATATAATGAAAAACACAGAGGGCAAATTCATAGTACTACCAAGCTTTTTATGAAGCAGAAAGTTGCAATAAAAAAATGTGTTATGAAATTTATTTTTGGAAAGAGGCTATCGAAAATAAAAAGGGAAAGAAACACAGGCAGTGTAAATAATAATATTGAATAATATTAATAATCAGAAGGATATTTCATCAAAGTCAGAAATTGATATCAATGAAGTATTGTGCTTGTATTTTAAGTATTTGAAGTAAACAATTCTTTTAGAAGGTCAGTTAAATTTACCGTAAAACTTCTTCTTTGCTTCAATTCAGTTGAAAATTGGTTGACATCCATGGAAAATATCATTATTATAATATTTTATTTGTATAGTACTTTACTTGCAGGATATGAAAAAATATGTTTTCATTTATTTGTGCTCAAATAAGGCCCTGTTTCATTAATTCTTTTTCCTTGCCTTTTCATTATTTTCCTACACTAAAAGTAAATGCCTTTACTCTGACCTAGTGATAAGTTCTTGAGGCTCTTTAGGGTATTTTATTGTTTATATAATATAGTTATATAATATAATATTGTCTTAAACTGTTACTTAAACTTAAACTAATATAGCCACTTGCTCTCATAAGGTTAACAACCAATAAAATTTTTTTTGTTCTTGTGGAATTTTTCTTACAAACAGGACAGTTAGATGAAAAACGGATGAAAAATGCAAAAGAATAACTTATAGAGGACATGCCATGCCTTATCCTGATAATGGTTTTAATACAAACACAGTAAGTGGTAAGTACTTAATAAAACATAGGTTGTATCTGATAGGTTCTCTCATCTTCTTCTCTCCCCCTCTGCTTCTTATACACTCTGACTCTCTCTCTTCCTTCAATTTTTCACAACTTTGATGAATCATCTTCTAATACACATCAGTTCTCTACCTCTAACTTCCATTGATCAAGTGCATCACCCAATTCCAGAGCACCTTTACACATGTCTTCATATCCATGTTTTGGATGATCAAAAGCACACGTTCCCACAGATTATTCACCATAAAATAATAATTTCACTGGACAGTGATTTTCCAATCTGGACACATGGCATAGCCAGTGCAGTCCATTTCTTGTTAATAGCATTTTATATCCTCAATACATGCTCTTGCAAGAACTTCTTTCTTGCTTGTATAATGGTTTCTTCTTATTTTTACTATGCTCCTTAAAGGATGATGTTGAACTGTATACAGAGTTACTGAACTGTGTTTGACATGGATCATGTCAGGACTAGTCTGTACAGTAGATCCACTGGTTCCAACCGCTTTTAAATTAGAATTGAAATTTTATTTTAGGTCTAACAAGCTTTCCTAGCCTGGTTGAGTTAACCATCTAGCCCTGCTTCCAAACAAATAAAAATAAAGAATCAAACTAGGACTGGGGCACAGGCTAAGATTCTAACGACCGTTATTACAAGACCAAAGTCACCCAGGGCAACAAAAAGGTTTTGGATGCTCTGAGGTAAAACCGCAAGACGAAGCCCCTTGTGAGTGGAGCCAGCAGACATTTATTGCAGTCAGAATCCTGCAATCGTTTAAAATGTTTTACTATTTTTAGACATACATCTGCAACGCCCGATTAATGAATTCTCAAAATGAAATTCATTAAATTATGAGGCCCCCTAGACCTCGAAGCCCTGAGGCAATTTGCCCCCATGCGTTCCTCTCGGCGGCCCTGAAGCCAGAAGGTAAACGGTACGCGTGATCTTTTAATCATATATGGCGCGAAACAAGATTATTCTTGGTTAAACGCTTCATTTGATATCAATTCATTCTTTGACGGACAGTCAAGGTATACTTACACTTAACAAGTTCGTTGTTGTATGACTGCAGAACTGCTCCCTGCTGGGACATTATTTCGCGTGTAAATTAATCCTTATTTTACCAGTTCAAACACTGATTTGTGCATGGGTTATAAAATTGTTTATTGAGAAGACTTTGCTGTTGTGTTGTTGTTAGGGTACATGGAGCTGAGGCTTCTTCGAAAGCGAGGCCCCCACGATGAAACAGAAATGGCAGCAACTTGTAGGAAATTTTCAAAAATTAGATTTGCATGGGTTTTGCGAAATTCCATTATAAAACAAAATTTTCATCAGGTATGGTATTTTTATTCATTACTGTTTTCATTATATTTCTTATTTTGTACAATAGACGTCGAAATGCGCACAAAACGTAGGGTTGTACACACATTTTTCTGGATACTGGAAAGAATTTTAAGGGCCACCCTTATGAAACTTTTCTTTCCTATCTTGGTCGAAACAACATGTTCTTCGAAATTTTGAAATGCTATTGAATTGGAATTTTAGCGTTTATAAAACATCTTTAACTTGAATTGGTCAGCATCTGAACCATCTGATTGTCGTAAGCTGAAAAAGTTGCTGTCTTCGTAAGAACAATGGAAAAGGAATATCCAAATTAAAAAACATGTGAATGCATTGAATGAAAATAGCATATAAGGCGAAGATTTACAGGGGTGGCTCAAAGAAATCATAAAGCTCTATGGTTAAAAGAAGGGAATCTGTGGGGGGGGGGGGTATCACTCCTGCAGGAAAATTTTGAAGGGCATGAAAATTTCCTGGAATCATCTTATATCTCAGTATTTTGATTTGATATTTTGAAACAACCTATGCTTGTCCTAAAGCCATTGAAGCCCAGAGTAGAAAATCTACAGACTAGCACATTCCTATTCTCTGGGAAACAGAAGTCTAAGTTGATTCTCAATGTCCTTAGCGAGGGCTGGTTAAAAGTGGCCTTGCCCATTGCTAACAAGAGACATAGAAAAGTCTGAATCAAAGAAAATAAGATTTTTTTGGAAAATAAATAGTATCTGACTTATGCTCAAGCCTCAGCAAAAAAGTATGGATCTGCTTCTAATATTTTGGTTTGTGAAAAGCTAGAGTTGCATGAGAGGCCAACAAAGGGATTTGATACTGCCTACTTTAGTATTTAAACATGCTTGTAACTGCCCAAACCTTAAATTTTGGGTACAATAAATTCCTTGTGTGAGCCTGCTTTTACAAAATGCTTTGCAGTTGGCATGAATCCATGATTATAGGTTAAAGAATTTAATCTGTAGAGCTCATTCTGTGGACTGACTTGTATTAAAATCAGTGGACTGAGTGAAGTTTGTTTGAAACAAGATCTTGCACACACAATATCTTGTCAAGAACTGCCATGGCTTGCCAGCAGATGGCACAAAGGTAGTACTAGTATTTTCCATCCACAGGAATAATTTTATGTCGCTGTTGCTTGCCCAGGATCCAATCATGTTGAAAATATAGATGAAATGATTCAGACTGTATAGAAAATAACAGATATTCCCTCTTTAAAATGCGTGGACTGAATTTGAGGAACAAATTGGTGTTCTATAACTTTTTGACAAAATATTTCATTGACTTTTAGGAGAAGAGAAACCTTTATACAGTGTCAGTATGTCTCCAAAGGCAAGAAGAAAGTTCTTCCTCAGATGACCATCCAAATACAACCGAAGATCGTAATCATGGCAAATTTAAAGATTCATTTGGCTATGTTGATGGGAAAAGAGACAAAAGCATGAAGGGGTCACTTTATTTGAATATGATTCAACTGCCACCAGACTTGAAAGATTCATACCAAATATTTTGCAAAAGTAAGTCCAGAATATATTTTTCTTTTAAATGGCTTTGAAAAAAGCAAAAGTTTTGGCTAAAGCTTTTTTGTCTGACAATATGTTATAAATTGTTTGCTTTTTTCAAAGCCATTTTAAAGTTCTGTACTGTCCAAAGGGAGTAAGACAGGGGTGCATTCTCTCCCCTCACCTTTTCAACTTATATGGTGAACACATCATGAGGAAGGCGTTATCGAACATGGAAATGGGTGTATCTATTGGTGGGCGGTTGATAAACGAGCTTAGATACGCTGACGACACGTCCCTCATCGCCCAAACCATCCAAGATATGAACACATTGCTTCAAAAGCTCAAAGTAGAAAGTGAGAAATGCGGTTTATATCTCAATGTCGACAAAATTAAAATCATAAAAACCACCGCAGACGACAACCATATATTTGTCGACGGCAAAGAAGTGGAGGAAGTGAACAACTTTAACTTTCACGGTTCGATGATTAGACCTAATGGAGACTGTGACAAGGAGATTGATCGACGGTTAGCCATGGGCAGGTCTGCTGTTGGAAAGCTACAGAAGATATGGAAGAACCATGACATCCGGTTAGACACAAAAACCCGACTGATGCGGTCTTTGGTATTTTCCATCGTCCTCTATGGTGCGGAGGCATGGACTTTAAAGACACGCTCCCGAAAAAGAATTGACGCGTTTGAAATGTGGTCGTGGCGTCGTATGCTGAGCATCCACTGGTCCGAAAGGCAAACCAATGCAAGCGTGCTTGACAGAGTATACCGTCCAAACAGTCTACTCAATCTCATTCATAGAGCACAACTCACATACTTCGGACACGCCGCACGAAAACCAGATGACAGCATAGAAAAGATTGCTATATTGGGTGTGGTTGAGGGCAGTAGAGGGAGGGGCAGACCCCCGACGCGGTGGACTGATAACATCAAATCGCTCACTGGCATGCAACTCTACGAAGCGCTAACCATGGCCCAGAACAGAGTGGATTGGAGAGAAATGGTCATGGCAGTCACAAGCAACCGCAATGGCTGAATAAACGACGACGACTGCCCAAAAACTGTTCATCTTGTCTTTTCTTGTTACTTTCCTACTATCCGCAGTCTGCAATCTGCAATCTGCAATTATAGAGTAGCTCTAGCTATTAAGTGAGCATTGAAAGCCAGAGAATTGGGAATCGGGGGAAAGTTAGTTCAAATAGCAAGTAACCCAGGGGATGTGTAACCCATGTAGATTATAATTATGAAATGAATTAAGAAATTTGCAGTTTCAAGTTGATACCTAATTTCATTTTTGGCCTTCTTGTCTTGAACAGACCCGACCCACCAAGGTATGAAATGCCAATCTCAACTCAAACAGGAAGGGAAATTCAAATTAAGCCTTGCTATCCATCAAGTATTAAAACTTTTTCAGGAAAACAAAAATACCAAATAGCAAGAACCTTTTTCTACCAAAATCCTTTACATACTTTATTCTTTGAACATGTCAAATGAGCGGGAATTGGTAATTTTAATTTTGAGAAGAAATACATCGTAAATAAATGTGGAGGATGTGTTGATATAGCTATGGCCTAGAAATAGGAGGGAACTTGAGACTTTCAAGCATAACTCCACAAGCTTCTTCTTGGAAACCATATTGATTTCAAAATACTTCTAGAGATGTAATAAAAAATACGAAGAAACCGTAGACCTTATCAAATCAGACAACGGTTTTCTCGCAACAAAAGGCTGATGCATTTCCTGGTTACTTGCAGAAGCATATTTGTAGCAACTGTATTCATTTGCATGCCTATAAAATCGATTTTGCTTTGATGTTTCTATTTCATGCTACTGTAAACGAAAGAAATTAACAAGCAAAATGGCATAAGACATTGAAGAAAGTTTAAAAGGTCATCCTTGTATTCCGAAGTTTAAAATAGATATTATCAATAATTTCCATCTGTATGGTCAATTATCTTTGAAACAAACAAATTTGTTGAAAAGAATGGAAATCACAGTGTAATGCTTTATTCTCTAAACACCACAACAACAACTTGAACATGTACTTGTTTTTTGTATCAATTTTTTTTGCTTGCTTTATCTTCACAATTCATGTTTTATTTTGATACATTGTTCGACCAATTGAATTTACTTGAATACATTCTGTGCTGTCCACAATCAGAATTTTTCGAAAAAATTCAAAAGCATTTTGAATGAAAATGTTTTAATAACATCAAAAGAAAGTAAAGAAAAAAACACCATTATGAAAATTTTTTCCCTTTGATGTGAAATAAGATTTTAAAGATTTTATCCATATTTTCATGTAACTGTTTCATGATTATATTTCAACAATTTTTGGCAACATGCGGTGCTGATTGAGTACTTTTATCATTCATATGCTTGTGTTTCTATGATTGGCCTATTTCAATTCATGACTTGTTTTCTTTCTTGATTTTTTTGCCCATGTCCTCACGTTTTATTCTCTGAAGAGGGTCAGACAAAAGCTTAAGTCGTTTTGTAAAATGTTTGCTTTTTCAAATTATATTTTATTTTAATTTTATTCTGGTCTAGGACACAAGACACACCTTCAAAGCAGCAATGTCGTAATTGTTGGAGTATTTGTTCTGTTAAGAAATTCGTTTTATCATTATCTTCGTTATTGTTTTCATTATTTCTTGAGTAGACAATATTTTTCTGTGTTTTAGGATACCCAAAGAAAACAATTACTGAAGATGGCCAGAAGCTTGCGAGACATCTTCGAAATCGAGGCAGGCCTACTGAGAGGTCTTGGCAGAAGTTCAAAGAGTCGAATGCTAAGATTAAATCAGAGGGTAAGGATATGTAATGTGTAAGGACCGAATTCAAGCAGCTGCCATGTATTTTCTACTGTACTGCAGAGCAGTGTTTCATGTTATGTAGATTAGACAGTAATTCAAATACCGAGGAGCAGGGAAGCTGGGGTTGGTGTTATAGATCCCCACTTTTTGCCAAAAGTGTAAAGAATTAAGAAATGGACCTCCAGCCCCTACTTATCCTCGTTTTTCCAGACACTTCGCGGTGCCAGTAATAGTGATAGTTACGTTACGTAACAGCGTTGAAAAACAGAATCTTTTTATAATTACGTGTTTGCAATATTTCTGCTTTTAATGTAGTTTTGGAAAGATTCATGTCCTTTATTAGGGGATGTCTGTTAAATTTCGTTGTAAAGAGAAGGCGGTGTTCGAAAGTTCAATTGCTGGGATTTTCTTAAATAGAATCGTGAAATAAAGGCAAAGATTTTAACACTATTCTTTCTGATATTCAACCTCCACAAAATAACCCTGACTGTCCTCATCGCCCTTTAATGTTTTCACTTTGGTTGTGAGCGCCTACATCAATGAAGACGTATACTGCCTTGGAAAATTATGTCTCATTAAGTGCTAAAGCAAGGTTCATCAGACTCGTTAATTAACTTTTATTTTCATTTCCATCTTCAATTTTATATACGAATTTTAGAGTTTGTTCAAGCTCTTTATTTGAAATCGGAGATGGTAGGTGCTGTTAACAATTAACCCTAGTCTTCACTAGCCTATCATGGTCTATCATGTGACACCCCCACACCCCCCGGTCGCGACGCCCCTGTCAAGCAGTGTCCTGGTCCTTCTTCTCGATGTGACCACACCTCGTGATTCCTACGCCTGGGCATGATTGCACGCCAGACAATATCTCACGGCGGCAAAGTGGTTGAACAGCACTGCTTTAGTATAAATTAATTTAAATTGACATACAACAATCTCATCTAATTCTAATCCATCGATCAGTTTTTTGCGATTTTGAGAATCTTTCTGTTGTTGCTTGCAACGATAATGGAACTTACCAAGAATTACACATTGTTAATAACATATTCACTCTTGCAAACATGGGTTTTCACTTTCGCAAAGTAATAGTTGCCCTGTACCGCATTGGGAAACGAAACATTGTAAAATTTATCTCCTTGTGTATTCTTTCAATAAATAGATAAATATTTCAATGAATATACTTTTGCAGTGAAGCGTTTTTCTGTTGGCGATGAAGCAGAAGACACCTCTGTTCATCAACAAGGCCTAGTTGGTAATGAAGATCTAACGGAAGAAGATCGTCTTGATCCTGAGGATGAAGGCGATGATCTCAACATGAAGAATGGCGGGAATGAAGGAATACCGTTAAAGAGAGAACGGAGAAAGAAGACAGAAATTCCGAAGAAAGCATCGTACACAGTTGTAAGGTCTGTGTTTCTCAGGTCCACTTGTAAAAAACTTAATATGGCGCTGTTTTTCCTGAGCAAGTTGGCCTCAATTCTTCCTTGCTACACTGAATCTTTCAAGAAGCCTACCAAATAAGGGAAATTGTAGAAAGTGTTCTGAAATATCACTCGATTTGCAATTTCATTACTTTTTACATTGATCAAGAATTTTGTGATTCAATCGGTACTTTTTTATAATAATCCGCATTCCCAAACGCTGTTCAATATGGTCTTGCGAGGTATATTCCCCCCCCCCCCCTTACCATGGTACAAAGATTTAAAGCTGACATTCCATTTTTGTGTTCTTTAGGTATGGCAAACGTGAAATCGCCGCATTTGCAGCAAGTCGAATACCTGCTTGTTTTGGAACCACTAAAAGAGCATTAGGCGAGGTGAAGCATTTTGTGATGTTTGTCAACTTTTTTTAGGCGTATTTTCCTTTTTTTCTTTTTTATAGGGGCTACTTTTTCAATTGATATTTCAGTCTTTTTGGCACGCTTCGTAATTAAGTTCTCTAATTGTCTGTCCCCAAAACCTAAGCAACTAGTGAAATCTTCACACGATGTTTTATAGTTTTTCTTGGTTGTGGAGAGCTCAATTAAAAACATGTTGTACTGCAATAAAGAAACTTGGGACAACATTATTTGTCTGTTTTGAGAAATTTGTTGTTGCCAGAGTACTTTTGAAAGAGATTTCACATTTTTGTCACGAAAGCAATGTAAAAAAACTTGTTAGTACGAGTTGCTTGAGCATTTCCTTGATGGCTGTGAGAAAAGGGGCTCACTGGGGGGATCACCCACTCAGCCCTCAAGAGAAAAGCCATTGTCTTTCTGTTTTACTGTTTTATGTGGTGCTGAAAACAATGCTGCATTTTCCCCAATATAAACCAAACATGCTTTTTTGATGCGATATTTAGACAATATTTCATATTCGTTATCTTTTTTAGTCTTTCATATCTTTTTGATTAAATTTGTAGATAAAAAGACGAGATCCGGATTTCAATCCGAAAACACTCCTCGACTTTGGTTCTGGAACTGGAACCGCTGTTTGGTAAAGTCAATATTGCCTTTTTACTGGGCTCCTATTGCCAAAAACAATCTAACAAATTTTGTAGGCACGTTTTAATTTCATATGAGGAACAATTTCTCTCTGAAGCAAGCTCTGTGTTGTTCTTTCAACTAAATCTCTGACAGTTATGGACTCAAAAAGCCGAGGAATGTGTTTGCTGAATGCCATTAGGCCAAAACTCATCCGCAAAGAGCACTGATGTCTTTGCTTGAAAGCCAACCATGTGTTGGAAATCGGCAAAATACCTTTGGGTGACTGACTTTCCTTAAAGTGACATTAGCAATTCACGTTACTTTGCTTCTCGATAGAGTCAGATGGGTTCTTGAAGGCTCAAAAGCTCCTTGAGATTCTACACCAACCCCTGGAATCTTCGCTACATTATACGTGTTAGATTGCATTTTGTGCTGCTATGCCTCTTTTAATTGTCTGTCTTGATTCACAAGTTCTATCTAGCCTGTGAGATATAAGAACTATGACCATTTTCCCTGTCTACTTTACTACCTGTTTCCTGTAATCTCAGCCCAGATACGGTACTGAACAGGTTTTTTTGTCTTTTTTCGAAACAATGACAGTGTTTTTCCCTTAGGGCTGCCCATGATCTCTGGGGAGATTCCTTACGGGAATACCAGTGCATCGATGTTTCGGAAGACTCAAATAACGCATGCGAATTTCTACTAAGAGGTTTGATATTGGGATTCGTTTTGGATTAAGCACTGAAGACACAGATCGCAGTATTATACCGTTTAGATTAGAATAGTGGTCCAGGTTCACTCCTCAATTTGAGCTTTCTCTCGCTTCTCGTGGACCCAGGAAATATCATTGCCTGCACTTCAATAGGGCTAACAATTCTTATACCGAGTTGACATTTTTTTGATAGATGGTGATTGGCAGGATGGGGGTGTTCCTGCCCAAAGAGGAATGTCCCTAGTAGAATTTTCAGGTTGTCTCAATCGCCAAAATAAAGTTTTAGCTATCCCTTTTAAATAATCCACTGTGTTTCATGATATGAACCTTTTTCGCATAATTTGCTCTAGTATGTGTATATTAGTGTATTTAATATTAGCTGTATGAGATTTTTGTCATTCTTTGTTTTATATCGTAGAGCGACGGGGGAGTAGGGGTAAAGTAGGTTGATAGTGGACATACTGTATTGTTGTTATCTTGGTCATACCAAGGAACGACCGTATAGTGGACACTTTTGTATAAGGGCTGAGTTCCGTCTGTTCTAGGGAAATTATCTATGTCTGGAAGCAAAGTACACATGAAGGGACAGAACGTATTTGTCATTCTTTGAAAGTGCCCATTTTCAGGAGCAGTCTATTAATAGAGATTTGCTTTTGACAGTTGTTATGAACGAAGCTTGTGAAACTGAAAATGCCTTATGAAACTTTCAACAGTGGTAGGTTTTGTACAATTAAATGGGCTTTATCAATTTTCAGGCAGCAAAGATCCTTCGCAGCCAATGAAAGTACCAGGAGTGTACTTTCGAAGATTCCTACCTTTGTCAAACAAGGTAAGTTTATATTTGATAATCGCTCATTAATTAATTAATTCATTCACACATTCATCATACGCTCAATCTTTCATTAATTCATTCATTTATTAATTAATTAATTAATTCATTCATTCATTCATTCATTCATTCATTAATTCATTCATTCATTCATTCATTCATTCATTCGTTCATTTATTCATTCGTTCATTCAAACACTCATTCATTCGCTCACTCTTTCAGTCATCCATTCTTTCATTCATCCATGATGAAATTCATACAAATTTGCTGTGACAACCATTCGATCGTCATTTTCAGGTAACTTATGACGTGGTGATATCAGCCTATACACTTAGTGAGCTGCCTTTCATAAAACAAAGGCAATTCGCCCTGTCAAATCTCTGGAGCAAAGCGAATAAATACCTGGTAAGTATGCCGTTGCCACAAATATGTCCGTATTTGGTAGCAATATTTTAATATAACTTTATTCGACTTAAATCAAAGATGCCAGGATTTCATTAAAATTGTTGATATTTTTGTGTTGCATTTTCAGGTAATAGTTGAGCACGGTAATAACGAAGGCTTTGAAATAGCATTGCAAGCAAGAAACTACGTCACCAAGGTAAACAAATTGGCATATTTTAGTTTTCCAGGTTTGTTTTCAAGCATAACCTTCAGATTCGAGGCCAGAGGCAAGCCACTCCTTTTACTCTTACTCAATGGCGAATAGACGTGTGATAATCAAGTATATCATGCTTAATTGTAGTTTTATTCACCTCTATGAATTAATTGCCTTTGCTTCTTCTAACACCCAAATTATTCCCAATCATAATAAAATCCACAAGATCACTTAGAGCCAGATTGCGATAGGAGCTGTATTTTAGAGTTCGCAATAATCGGAATCGCCTGACAACTTTATGTAAAATATCTGGAAAGAGAGTAGATGAAATCAAAATGATACTAGAATTTTAGAAGTTCAGAAAAGAGGCTTTGTACTAGCCTACACTTGGGTCACTTTTCAACGGGGCTTGTTGTGCTGGATATTTTCAAGAATGGGGTGTAAAATATTCTTTTGAAGGCGATACATTTCCTTGTTGCCTTTATTGAAAACAACATTTCTTTCCAGGGGAGCACTGATGTGCAAGATGTCTTCACTGGCTATATAGAGACAGACCAGGGCTTGACAGACGGTAGAAATTGTTCTTTCCATGTCAAATACTCTTTTGAACTCTGCTTTCATGTGAATCAGTCCTTTCTGAAAGATTATGTTTGACTCTTAACTTTTGGAGCAGACGTCTCCTTTAAGTTTTATTTTTTAAAATTAAAATTATATTTATTTATTCTGTTTTGACACCATTGACTTGATTGATAACATCACTTTGCTTATGTTTTCATATGATAGTCAGAAATTGAGCATTGTTCGATTAATTTCATCTAGGTTTGTGCAAATTTCGAAATTTATCGCGAATACTTGATTGAAATATTTTGAGGCAGAATGCGAAGTACTCAAAATCAAGATTATATGCGAACATATGCGATAATTTGCGAACATATGCGATAATATGCGAAAATATGCGATAATATGCGAAGTATGTGAAGTATACCCATGCATTGGAGTTTTAAGATGGAACGGTACATCGGGAACATTCTGCTTGTATAACTAAATGTCACTTTCGAAAAAGACACTATGCGAAAAGCAATCAGAAGCAATAGGAAACAATCGTAAACCATTGAAAACAACAGAAAACGATCGGAAACAATGGAAGACAATCGTTAACAATTGGAAACAAAAGTAAACCATTGGAAAGAGTAGAAAACGCTCTTAAACCATTGGAAGCAAGAGGAATAAACAAGAAACACTGGGAAACATTAAGAAACAATCAGAAACAATAGGGAACAATATGGAACAATAGGGAACAATATGGAACAATAGGGAACAATAGGGAACAATAGGGAACAATCGGAAGTAGAGGAAACAGAGCCTCAGACATGATCATTAAATCATCCTGAAATATATTACCTTTGCCTATTGCACTCTTTCTGCTTGAAGTTTCTGTATCGATATATAAGCGAGTGACTCTGAGTTTTTCTTGCAGAATTTTTGCTCTGTTTCGTTAATTAAACGTAACAGAGTATATTCATTTTCAGATGATCTTAATTTTCTGTTGTGAAACGACAATTTTTCTGAGACAATTAATGCAAGGATTTTCATTTCAGATGAATACGACTTCGTGGTGAGCCAGCCCGTCGATGCAGGATATGTTTTTGCTCCGGTATTTATAATTCTAATTTGTTTCATTTCTCGAGCATTCTCTTTGTCTTCTTAAACACAATTAAAATGACAAATTCAACAACAATAGCTTCGATTTCGGACTTCTTACATCATTTTCTTTATCCAAATTTTGATACATTTTCACTCTGTGTTTTCAAGTTTTTAGTTAGTTATATGTTTAATAGGGTAATATTTTTGCAGAAAAATCGCCTAATCATTTATGCTTACATATTAAGTTGATTCTTTAAAAGAAAAGGTGAATTTTTACCGGTAACTAAAAATAGCCAATATCGACCAGCAAACTGCAAGATAGCAGCAATGGCAGGATGGCATTTGAGCACTCTTTCAGCGTGTAGAACCCAGTTTCAGTTATTTTCCTAGATCGCAAGGAACTCGTCCATTTTGTCAGAACCATTTTCGCAAAACTTGGACCCTTAGGCATATCAAATAAGACTGACAGAAGAATAGATTCTAATCATATTAAAGGCAATCTGTCTCGTTGTGGATTGGTTAACGAGAACAATAGCTGGAACAATAGCCTAAACATGATTCCAGCGCTCTGCCATATTTTTTACAATGCGATAAATTAAAGGGGGACTGGAAACAATGAAAAATCCCTTTGTCCTTATAATCAATCAACGTCGTGACAGATTGCCTTTAGAAACTGTACAAGGGAATATTCAAGAGGGAGCTACCCTTTTTTGTCTGTTTCCTATCCTTTCTGTTTCTTGTCTGCATTTGTCGTTTGAATTTATTGGTGACGTTGTGCTAAATATTTAAAATGGCATCAATGCTGTCTTGCGATTTAATTTCTTGGCGTTAACAGTGCTCAATATATAGTCATGACATTAAGATATTTTTAGTTGTATCTATATTCTGATGCGTTTTTTATCACTTTGAAAATACATAATGGTATTATCAAAAGATGCTGCTAATATTTTTGCAATTTTTCTCATGATATTTTTAATGTTATCGCTACTATTCCGTAATATTTGTGTCTGCCAATAGCTTATGTGTTTAAATTACCTTTTGAAATTATCAGCTATATTTCGCTTACTTTATTTACTTTCTTGTTATTTTTAAGTGCCCCCATGACACAGCTTGTCCAAGGTCTGAAGTTGATGTTCGTGATCATCCATGCAATTTTGAACAAAAAGTTGAATTGGCATTCAGTCAGGTATGACGTCATCGCCGAATCATTGATATCTTTGGATACGTTCGAATGGAACAACCACACATGACTGCTTAAATGTTGACAAATATAATTTTCTTTCAAATTTTCTTGCTAATGCTTGTTGATCATCAAATTTTGCTGAGCTGAAACACTCCTTATCTAACTTAAACACTCGTTCAATTCATTTCTAACTGTAAATTTTTCTTGCAAAATTGTTGAATATATTGAATTAAGTTTTTGAATTTTTTCTATGAAAAAAATGCCTTGTACGTAGGATGTGTTGGAATACTGAAGAAGTCTGCTCTCTTTTCGTTTTGATGCTTCTTTCTCTTTCTTTCCAATGCTTTGTGTTGAAGTCTTCTGTGACCAAGCGTGATCAAGCAGAGGCTGTTCCGTTTCACATTCATATTTTTTCCTTATTTTAACTGATTAACCTTTAGCATCAAATTTATCGTTATTTCACCTATGTGGCTTTTCTCTCAGATGCATAAAGTGGTATTTTTTTCTTTTAGAGAAATACAACATTGAAAAGGTGGGGTTATGCTACAGAGAGGTTTTCATTTCTAATCTTGAAAAAAGGAGAACGCAATTGTGAAGGTAATTGATTTTATGCCTACATTCAGAAAGCCATTCCTAGAATCACACCAAACTGTCAAAATATCATGGCTACAGTTAAGCTGCGGTTAATCTGCATTTCATACGCGGTAAGCTTCTGTGTGGTCATTGTTCACAACTTAAAACAATTTCTCGTTGAAGTCGATATCAGCGTATCAATAAGGAGAAAATGAATTTTAATTTAGTAGGATAAAAACAAGTCTTAATTCAAAGGGATGAATGAAAAAGAATATTGGTATTCATCGATGAACCCCTTTGCATTTAGAGCTTTTCCTCTCTTCATTCTTTCCATGCTTGATTCTCGAACATTGTTTTTTAGAGTCTTCATTACCAAGAGTATTACATCCACCGAAACGCAGGAAAAATCACGTGATATGTGACATTTGTAGTTCAAATGGTAAGCATGATCACGTACCCCCTGGTTTTTGTTTTTGTTTATTCGAGATATTTTACATTAAAATATTTTCCTTTGCTGCGACCGTAAGATGCTTTCTGTTTTAGAAAACATTGCAGAAAATCCAAAACCTTTCTACTTCAGGTATTGGAGGTGCCAATACATTCGTGTTAATAGGCCCAGATGTGCTAGATGCTTAGTTTTCAAGAATTTTGCTTTGTAATTGTGTTCAAAATTTTGGTCTTTCTTGGAAACCTTTCCGGGTGAAAAAAATAGAATAATCTGATAAAAGAGCCCTCAAACAGAATTTTACCTCGCTTAGCTTAAGAGTTAATTTCAACACTTTATCTGGGAAACGTAGAAGGCTACGAAAATTTTATATTTACTTCTTAGCTGTTTTGCTTTAATATTACTTATGTTTTTGAAGTGAACTTAATGCATATATTGTGTCAACTTTTTTTCGGAGAATGTTTTATACTTTGAAGTTGTGAAGGCAATCTTACATTTAATTGGAAAACGTAGCTCATTTTAAATGAATACCCCATGAGAAGTCTTTCTCTAGAACATATTTTAATATATTAATTATAAATCGCTAACAGAGAGATTCAACTTTATCCGACTTATATATAAGTTAAATAGGAGCCCTTTTTTAATTTTCCTTTTCGCAATTCGTGTGGCCTACTAATGAACCATTTCCTTTCCCCCAGTGATATATTATAAGTTATGAAAATAATTATTCCATAAAGCAATTAAATGATAATATCTTTATCCGTGAATGAATCAGTTTTTAAAACCACAAATTTATGATTTTCGGTCCAGATTGATGAATTTTTTGACAGCGAGATTATTTGCCCCGGTGCTCAATGATATTTAGGTTTCATCATTTAGAAAATCCATTTCTCAATTTCCTGCGATGGTTTTAATTCCATTTTGGAGAAATTTAGTGGATATTTAAAACCATTGAGTGAAGGTCTTTTCATCTGCGCACTTTATGATCGTTTAAAAATATTGATCCTTTTTCTAGGTAACATAGAACAGTATATATTTACAAAAAGAAAAGATCCGTGAGTTATTCTTCAAAATTTTAATTGTATGTAAGGATTGATAGACAAGATTTATTTAAGATTAGCATCCAGATTAGCAAATCCGTTTTGTGATGACTTATGTGCCTAAAGCTCATTTAAAAATGGAAATCGTTATCCTTAATTGTCGAAATATTTGAATTGAAAATTGGCCCTTTAAAGTTTGGGCTTTATTCTAGGATTGCAATCCGCTGTTTCATGATATACACTCTTTTTTATAAGAGCAATTTTATAAGAACACGAGCCTCAAAATTGGTCAAAAGTTGAGAACAAATTAAGAACAATCTGAGGCTGAGCTTCTGCAAAATGCAATTTTAAACAACGTTGTTTCTCAAAATCGAGAATTTTTAGCGATATGTGAATGCTTTTTCGGTCAATATTCAAATTTGTCAGCAAATTAAAGCTGTTTCACTCACTTTGTTGGCAAATGAGGCCTGTACACCACACTAGAGCGAAAAAGCTAGCACTCGCATCCAGCCTCAGATTTTCGAAAAAATTAAGAACAGGCAGCCTGAACTTAGATTTACTGGTTCTTATAAAAAAGAGTGTAAGTCATCGATCGGATATCTTTTGAAATTTAAGTTTTTCACAAATTTGATATTTTGTTCTTAAAACGCTAGAAAGATAGTTACAATCCAAAAATATTCATTTGAAAGCACGCGTTATTAGGAGAACAAAACTCAGCTTTGTACAGCAATTTTGTAGGTGTCATACCTCTGTTCAATATTAACACAATCAGAACAATGCAAAGGTGTATTGGTTGTAATACCATGGTAAACTAGCGATTCTGTCCGGGAATGTCTAAAAAATTTTATGAATTTGTACATGGTGTTGGAATCCTTCGCATAAATAAGAGAAATTCTCTCTTCAGAAGCTTATATAAATATCGAAATAATTTTTGTATTTTTTCTTGAAAACACTCTAACAGTCGTTTCTTGATATGAATATAACACGCGTTTTTGCTTATCCTTTTTAAGTTGCTTGATTTTAAACTTAATTTCAATGCAACTTATCTATAGAACACATTAGCATTTTGATGCATTCTAGCCCAGCGCTTCCTGATTATAAGCCTCTAACATATGCCTGCATTTTCTCATAAGCTGTTTTATTCTGGAGAAACAACTCCAATCCGTGTTACCAAACATTTGTCTTCACAACGCTTGACTGCTTTGAATGACACAGAACCCATTTTTCTTTTCTTAATCGAATTCATTTAACCCAAGGAGTCAACTAACATTCCCTGTTAAGCTTTTTGTTCATTTACTATTGCAGTTGTTGCAATCCTTCTCTGAGAGCAAATTGAGAGATTTTCATCGCGATTAGCTGTTTGTTCCACGTAACTCTTTGTCCATCATAAATAACTTTATCATAAATATATCATCCTTCAATAAAATTTTCATTCTTATATAAACTTGTAATATTTATTTCTTTTCTTTAGTGACCTGTACAAAGGCATCAGACACTGCCTGAAGTGGGGAGACTTGATGCCAGATGTCGATAGCAAAAAACCAAAGAAAATAATAACTTTCGATAATGAAGTAATTAGACCAAGCGACGAGGAATGAATTTCTATGAATCAGATTCTGTTTTTTTGTTTGTCCCTTTTCTTGTGCCCATATCTAGAGTGGTGTAGACGATATGATTAAACTATATCCTCACCGATCCCTGATCTAGGCAAACAGGCATAAGTACATCCTTGTCGAGCAAGTATACTCATTTTTTTAAGAAATCCTGCTTTATAATTAGCTATAGAACTTTTTTATTCGGACTCAATTTGTGTAGCAGGATGTCTTTTTATTTTCTAATCTTGCTAAAATGTGAATCCACATTATTACTGACACTCGTCAAGAGCTGGAATATTTTCTATCATAATGAATTGCGAGAAAGAAAAAAATTTCTGAACTAATGCAATGTTTTTTTAATAAAAAAGAAAATTTTTAAATTACAAAGCTGAGACCATTTTTGAAGTGACCTTGTTGGAGTGATTTTTTCTTCATTTTTAAAATAAAGTTTTTAGAAGAGTTTTAAGTATGGCTCTCCTCGTTAAATTAGTGGAAGCATTAGCTCGAAATGTTCTTGACTCTTCATTTTAAGGGATCGAGTTATACAAATTCTCGTTTAACTGTTGTTTGTAAATTCCAACTTGCTTTTTGTTGTGGTCGATTCTCTTCAGGCTAACAAAAAAGTTGTTTTTACTTTCATCCGGTATTTTCTAATCCCTTCACACTCATTTGAAAGCTAAACTGCACTCTCGCCCCACTAGTAGACTCAAAATTCTCAAAAGTTTCCCGTTGACAGACAATACCGCGAAAATAACACTTCCTCTTTTTTGTGTTTTTGAGTTATTTTGGCCGTGGACTTTTTTATTAAATCTACCTTTAATTCTAGAAATATACATTAAGCAAGGGCAAGCAAGATGCAAAGATATCTATAAGACAATTTTTTCTTGTTTTTTTTTTATTTTATTGCTTGGATTTCTTAAAATTTAAGGACTTTGAAAGTATAAATTAGTATAGTTTATATTGATAGGACGTAGGTAGTTACGATCAATAATGAATTCATAGACTGAGACATCTATGTAACAAGAGGGAAATAATGATAAGAAGATCATAGTCTCAAACTAAAGACTGCTTGAAATACCTTTAGTCTAACATAACGAAACTATTATAGGCCTTGAAAACCTAACTAGCCTCAAGGATATGACATGCTCCCAGGCACTATAGGTTGCATAAATTATTTAATGTTGGTTTTTACAATAGTGAACGTAAAGGTACATTAATTCAGATTAACATAAAGCAATTACAAGGATTGCATAAGACAGATTAATTGCTCCAGAAAGAACATTCTTACTTGTTTTAATCAGGTTTCAATCAAATTCTCGAATTGTTTAGTATTTTGGGCAGTCTTTCATTTCTAGGAGTGAATTCCAGATTTTAGACCGTTCCATACGCAGTAACAAGAAAACTTGCAAAGTAAATTGACAAGGGAACGTTTATCTTCACGCAGAAAGATTAAACTGGTGCTTCAATTGAATTAAAATTACTCTCCGGGGGTTTTTGAGCATACTGTTGCCATGGCGACACCTGCGTTATCATTAATAAGTAACTTGTTGAAACAGACGAGAAAAATGGCGAACCTTGAGGTATGTTGTTACTCTGAAATAGCCCATCTTTATTTGATCAGCTGGTTTAATCGAAGCATTGTATTTCTAGTATAATGATTCTGAAGTTAGATGCAATATCGAATGGAGTAGGGGCTACAAACAAAATAGGGTAGATTTAATAGTTATTAAGTTGATTTGGAGCGCATCTGGGGGATTCAATTTGCTGAAATGACCAAATATTCAAGAAGCTGAAATAAAAGAGACCAGAGAAATCACTCGCTTTTGAGGATCATGAAGATGCAATCTGCAAGATTTGGCAAAAAGCAATGCAGTGTTAAAAAAAGGCCACCAGAGAAGTGAATCATTCTTGTCGAAGAATTGTTTGTTTTTTTAATTCTTTTTTAAATTTGAAAAAGCAGATCCTTCAAGTCATAAGGCCCTTTTAGCAAAATTCCAAGTAAACTCTTCCTTCTTTGACATTATATTTCTTGATGTGGTATCATATGTTCATAGAAAGCTTATTCTCCATTAACAGTTTTGACATTAAAATTTCAGGTCATGAGGTATTTAAGTTTTTCCTTTTCAAATCAATGAATTTTCTTATATAAAACACTTCCGGATTTATTGAGCAAAATCTTCTCATACATAGGCAGTCTTAATTGGTGACGTCGTGAGATATGGTCAGAATTTCCATATGGACCATATAACCTAAAATTGCCCCGTGAAATACCTCAAAATACGAGAAAACCATTTTAATTTGATTCAGACTAGCTAAGACATGGTCACACATGCTCTTACCCATAAAAATCAATGTTAATTCAGGAATGGGTAACGTCAAATATAGGCCCGTCAGAAAGTTTTTAGTGACCCTTAGACTTTCAGCATTTGAACCTCAAAGAATTAAGAAGCAGACGAGCTCCGAAGTTTTTTGAATAGCTTTTTTTCAAGATTGTGTTGCTTAGAAATAGTGAACAATACTTCCAGCCTAGTAAATTGTAGAGGGAGGTTCTCTTGTTTATGTATAGTGGTGGTCGTGCATCAGGGGTCTTCGTGGCCGGGGGGCAGAGGGAGACGTGGCGTGGCCCCCTCTGGTTTCAAAATTGGACGGATTTTCGGAAAAAAATCACTGTTATATCGGAAATTTCTCAAAGGAGAGTTGAAATGATCCTTTTAGCAACATAAATTACTTGGACGAAAGTTCTTTCCGTAAAGAAAATACAAGATTTCCACAAAAACAAAACAATATCTCGGAATTTATCGATCTCTACCATAGAGTGATTTGCTGCCCAGATTTTATCAGTTAAAATCCGAATCTTTAAGTGCCAAGTTTGGTTATGAAACTGCCCAATATTGGTCATAAATTGTGTTCTTATTTGATATTGAAGACCGGGACAGTGCTAATTTTGTGCCCATCGCCAGATTGAAAATTTGTCCCAGATTTGAAAAGCTATGCAGTTATGTTGCATGAAGAGAAACATTTGAAAATGAGAACAAGGAACCGCTTCGATCAATACCATCGCTTTCCGCCAATGGATATTAATTTTAAGATTTAGATTTTACTATCAAAACTTCCTCCAAAGAATGCAATTTCCGGCGAACTTGAAGCATAAGATTATAAAAAATCTACCCCTTTGGCGGCAGCCATGGTACCGCCTCGAGTAATGACTTTTTATACCCTTCTCTTAATCTCTCAATGTAAAGGGTTGTGAGGTGTCATGAACGTTCACAGTAGGTATGAAGAAACAGGGACAAGATAAAAAGTGCATTTTAAATATTTTTCCACCTAAGGCAAAAGTTTAGTATTCTGCCCCCCCCCCCCTTACACTTGCATTTGATTAAAATATTTCAAAGAAATTTTGTTGGAAAATTTTTCTTTCTGGCCCTTTCTGGAATTCATTTGCCACGACGCCCCTGCCATGCATCTTTCCTTGCATTTGTCTTGGAAACATTGTAACAACAGCCTTTCCATGCTTTCGTTTTATTAGGAATTAAACAATTATCAAAATATAATTTTATGACGTCATCCAATGTCGAAATTCGGAACAAGAAATCCTGAAAAATCAGCTTTTCAAATCAAATATTTTAATCTTGAATTAACCAATTGGATTCCGCGATGACATCAGAATCAGCCAATCAGAGAGACGGATTTTAGGCTCGACAGCTGTGGAAGTGAAACAGCGGAACCAAACTGCGGTGTAGAACCATGTTCAGAGATCATACACAAGCTTTTTAATATTTGTCTGATAAAATGCATACACTTTTAAAAAGATCCGCAAATGAAGTAGAAATGAACTCCTCGACACAAGATGTGAGTATGATGGAAATTATAAACTATCGAAAAAGTTGCGTTATTTAGGCCTAAATCGGTTACCAAGGATAATCACTTAGCACACAAGAATTATATAGGATAGGCCCTAAAAGGTGACTTACACAGAAGTCCTCATATATGAATTTACTATTGTTTTCATTAATACATTATTAGATATCTATAAAACTTCTGTTCCATGCTTACCTACGAATCTGCCTTCGTCATCTGCTCAATCAAAGGACATTATTTGACATTTCCAGTCCCCTGCTTGGTGACCTGCTCATATGCCTTGCATGTAAACCTTGCTGCACTGTTGTCAAAAGATTCGCTTGTGAGATTTCCAGATAATTTTGAACTTGCTCTGATTAGGTTTAGAAAATATTAAGCCAAAATTTTTTTTTGGGTGAAAATAAACCAAAAATTGTACTTTTTATTACTTTTAATTTTTTCTCTACTCCTAAGTTCCTTTTTGATATTCTTTAGAGTTTGAAACCACAAAAATACTACATAAAATTTAATTTACACAAAGCAGTAATTGAAAAAAGTGGCTTGACCAAAAACAGTTTTTGCCCAAATTCTAAGCCCAGAAGTGGGTTGAGCAGTGCTGCCTAGATGGGGGACAGCAGAGCAAATTTCTCTAGAGCCTCAAGGCTTGAAGTGAATTCCCTTTTGAAAATAAAATGATGAAAGAAACTAAGCCTAAAGATATTAACGTTTTAAAATGATTACAACACAACAATGTTCAAAGCTGATCTAAAGGGCACTGTCCAAAGAATTGTTTACCTCACTTTGCTTGCAGAGGACCTCCTTTCTTTGCTACTTCCTAAGGCCCTCCAAACCTCTCAGTACTACAGCAGACCCTGGGAATATTTATGGCCCACAATGAAATCAGACTTTTTTCTCTGCTTGAGGCTTCCCCGAAGTTAAGAGATTCTATGCACAAATTTTTAATGTTGCCTGAAATAAATAAGGCCTTTGTCAAAAAAGGAGCTTAGACTCATGCCATTATGCTGGCCTATAAAGCACCATAACACGGAAGATCACTAGTGTAGCAAACAGGAATTACACTTTGGCCTATTTCAATTGTTCCAGAGTAACATGGCAAATTCCTTTTTATCATGACTTCAACAGATTTTTTCTTGTCAATTGATTTAGGTTGGTAGGGTTTCCGGTTGAATTTCTAGTTTTTAACATGAAAATACCATTCTATTTTTAGGTGTCACATGGAGAAATCACTCCAAAGAAATTCAAGACCCCCATGAGTTTTTCCCCAAGAGTGGTTCCATCACCCTCAAGGAAAGAGTTGTGGAAGCAAGAGCTAGGCTTTGATGGTATGTGCTTTTATTAATTCTTGTCATAGATGAAATGGGAAGTAGTTGCCCTCACAAATGCCCAAGGTAGGAGGAGGGTAAAGGTTTCACTGCTTGTGCCAATGCTACATGTTGGTAATACCAATTTTTCTCAGCAGACACCTCTTCTCTCAAAGCTCTGATATCCTCTAAATCTAGTCTTCATTTCATAGTTAGCCTAAGATTTATTTAATTTTACACATTATACAAATTTCTGCTAGCACAGTCTCTTGCATGCACAGTCAACAATGTTTGCTTGAAACACACCTTGCTTCATTCGCTACTAGAAACAATGTTAAAGAGTCTGACTTGCAAATGTATTTTGTCATCCAAGCAGTGCTAGATAATCAGCTGTAGGATACAACATGTTTGCCATCATTGTCACAGAAAGCTCCTATACTGCAATTTCCCCTGTCTGGGACAGTAAAAAAAGCTATATGGCAAACACAGCTGGTCTGTTTTTTTATTTAGCTTACCTGATACTAAAGCTGGGTTTACATGATACCTGATTGCTTTTTAAAACGGATTGGTCTCTGCTACAATTCAGACTGCACTTGCATGAAACTAGATTGACACTCCTACTGTTTTCATTATGTTCAACTATGCTCAATTATTCACTGTGCAGCATGCTCTGTTTGTTTCAACCCCTTGGCATAGTCACAAATTTTGGAAATCAAAATTGCAAGCATGCTTTGGAGAAAAAGCTTTTGGGAAATAATTGTTCACCTACGAATTGTCAAAACCACCCAGATACAACATCTATGGCCCTTTTTTCATAATATAGAGTTATCATCTAATCTTATTTTCCTTACCAATCAAATTCACCTTATGTGATGCACATTTATCATTTACCAAGCTGCTTGTGTAATTTTTGATAAAATCTTCTTCTTATTGCCAATTTGATACAATTTTACCAATTTAGTCCTTAGGATTTCCGGTCCCTTGGCCCATGATCTTTTGTCACCCCAACAGTACATTTTTTACCAAAATTGCTTTAAATGGACTATTATCCAGCCATTTGTAAACAGATTCAAGGTACCTATTAGCAAAACAGTAACCTTTTATGGATTCTTAAAGAAATCAAATTTAAATTTTTGGAAGCGGTTATATAGTCTGCATTAAAGAATGATCCAGATTAGCCTACTAGCAGTAAATTTTCCCTTCCATACTTCTTAGAAATAATTCTAGTTTAACTTCCTTACCAAAAATAATTTACTTTCAGATGCTGAGATCATGTCTGATGATACCTTGTCATCTGAAGAGGATGAGCCAGAAGCTGATCAGAATGGAAACAAGAGAGGTTAATGCACTTTCACTAATTTCAAATCTTTGTAATGGTTTCTCTGATGAAATAACCAGAACATAAACATTGCTATGCTTTGCAAATCCATTAAAAAGCATAGCATCTAAGGAGCAGTGGAGGCAAATACCCCCTTGCAGAGCTTTTTGTAAGATTTTCCATGCCCCTGCAATGTTAAGAATTTGCAATTGGGGGACTTATTTAATCAATCTCCAATAAAGGGATGTGACTCTGGCTACAGTTTTTTGCATGGCAGAAACAGAAAATGTTACCTGTTGGGAAAAAATATTTATTGTTGATTACTAGGTATGATTTTTCCATGGATCTCATGTATCTAATGTGGTCAATGAATCCATTTGATCTAAAAACTGAATCATAGAAAGTTTAAAAATCGCTAAATTCAGCCCTCCCTGTTTGCTGACATCTGCTGACTTAGTACAACACATCTTTGTTTTACTGTTCCCTAGATTTTTTAAAACTGCCTTTTATTTATTTTGCATCTTTTTTATAAGCCTTCTTTCTTTCCCAAGGCGGCCACTCAAAAGTTGAAATAGAAGCTTTGGAACTTGAACTTGAAAGGAAAGAAAAACAAAAGGAGGAGATATTATCAAAACTCAAGGTTTGAAAAGACGTTTTTCTAGTCTACGTAAATGATTATGTTTCACACCTTATGATGCTGTGTTTTCCTGCTAATGTATCATGTATTTTTTTAGGACTGAATGAAATATATCTGAATTTGAAATGATTTTGGGGCGGAAATGATTTTCTGGTGCCTCTGACCATATAAATTTTTGACAAAATGTCTCTGCTTTTTGCAGACTTTTTGAAATATTATGTCAACAATCCAATTCAGAATATTAGCAACTATGCAAAAACATGGCTTATATTGCATAAGAAGTTAAAAGATATATAAAACAAGTTAATTCTAAAGTGCTCAAATATATAAAAACATCCTCAACCTATTCTTCAGACGGTGACCAAAGCATATGCTATATTTCTTTGTATGCTATTTTTTTTTCTTGTCCACGCTTATTGTGTTCAACTTTAAAATCAAAACTAATAAAATACCGAGTAAGGTGGTCTGTGTACCAGAAATTTAGACTGTTGTCAGTCTTGGAGGTGAAAGCAATAAATCATCCTTGACTTTTGAGTGACACTGTGGCCAAAAATGCTGATCAAGTCACCTTTTTGTCCATAAATGGCAGTTTTCCTACTTTTTAGAAACCCCATCCACACCTTTAGATGCAGAATAATGTTTTGTATTTTGAGATTTTCCAACAAAATGGCACAAATCATCTTTCTATGATTCATTTTTCCAGTACAAGCCTTTTGTTTCTGTGACAAGAGATTTGCTATGTGAAAGTCTATTTAGTGCAGTTTCCATTGATCTCCTATTGAATATTGATTTTCTTATAAGGAAACTTGCCATTATTCAACAATCGACTCAGCGGACATTGTTAACTGCTGCAACATTTTTATCAACGTTTACAAATTTTACATTAGTGACCAATTCTCTAGTGAAACTGCAGACTTCGTTTTTTTCATCAAGAATCAACATAAATTTCTGCAAAAAATTAATTTCATATTATTGCAAGAAATGCCTTCGACCGTTGGTTGGCTGGTCGCACGCTTCTTCCAGCCCTGTCCTACAATCTCTAAAAATTGTCTTGATCCATAGAAATTGTGTTTGCAAAATCTGTTCCTTCCTCTGTTTTATGATGCAAAGGCTTCTGTTTATTTTTGTTACCTTTGTAAATTTTTTGACAGGATTCTCTGGACAAAGTGAAATCATACAAGCATGAAATGGAAAGAGCGCAACAATCGAAAAGAAATCAACTTAAAATTATGAAAAAGACTTACGAAACACATTTAAACGAAAAAGAAGAAACTATTCAATCACTCCATGGAATTATTGAAGAGCAAGACAACAAAATTATCGAATTGCATTCAAAAATGGTGGGAGAATCATCAACAGAAGACGACCTAAGCATTTATCATTCTGTAAAGAAATTGGTTGATAAACTAAGTCATCTACAGCAGGAGAAAGCCCATCTGACGTCATCGCTGATGAAGATGCAAGGACGCATGTCAAAATTGGAGGAGGAACAGGAAGCTAAATTGAATAGTGTTGATGAAGAAAAGAGAACGATAGAAAGAGCAAATAGGAAACTAGAGAAAGAAATTAGAGACTTGAAGGTTTGATATGCTTCCCTCTTAGGGACATCTTCAAACTATGTAGGCCAAAAGATCATGTTTTTCTTGCCCCCTCCTTGCTCTTTTCATCTGACGTAGGCTGTACAAATGTAGGTTCTTAATGTCTCTCGCATAAGTGAGAATTCGAAGATGTAGCTTTAAAACTACTTCTTAACGCTTTCATGATATAGAGATGAAATTTTTTCTTTTGTTTGTTCGCTTTACGTGAGCTTGCCATCAAAACAAAATATATGTGGACTTTGTTAACCCCCCTCCTTTCGTGAAACATAATTCTCTCCTTTAGAGTGAAAGTATGGTACAGATGGCCCTTTTTATGTTTGTTATTTTAAACTCAAGTAAAACACTTTTTTCAGTTTTATATTTCCTTCTCCTTTATATTCCTTGTTTTCTTAATCAAGATTTCTGCTGGCAATGGTGGACCTTCGTTCCAAGATAACGCAACCATTGAACAGCTGGAGAAAGAAAAGAGGGTTTTAATGAGCAATTTAAGTGACATGGAAAATGAGCTTAACGATCATAAGAAGAGAAATCTTGAATGGGAACATCGATTTGAAAGCGAAGTCTCTGTTCTGAGAAGCAATATTCGCCAAACTGAGGCCAAGTTTCAGGAAGTTGCTGCGACTCCGCCGAAGGTGAGCGATCTGACCAAATTTTATTTCTCGAAGGGAATGTTAGGGAAAGATGCTTTTGTTGCTTAACAAGTGCAATTGGTATAGCGTTAATGTGATCATTTTTGTGGAATTTTCAATTCTGACTTGTACTCTAGTGTCTCTGATAGAAGGGGGGGGGGGTAATAGAAGGGGGATGCTCATTCCGACTAATTTTCAATAGAAGGGGGGGTGCTAATAGAAGGGGGTGCTCATGTCGGCAATCCTTTTTTGAAATCGAAGCACGTTTTAGAATATACTGTCAAATTTTGGTTTTATCTTTTGCATAGTTTTAGAGAAAATTGCAATCATACAAAGATAAATCAAATTTACAGCTTCTAACTTCCAAGTCAAAAATCATCGGTTTCCTTTGTACGGTTAAGATTTTACAAAAAACTATGAAAATCAACGAATAATGAGAATCAAATGACTTGATTTGTAAAATTTAATAGAAGGGGGGTGCTAATAAGCGACAGGGGGAGGACAAATTCTGAAAGTAATACACGGGGGGCCGTCTATTAGAGACTCTAGAGTGCCTTGCCTTGTGATTTGCTTTCAGTTGTGTCGAGGATATGGGATAGGATTTGTTATTACTTAAAAATGTTAGGAAGTTAAAGAATATTGAGTTGATTTAGAGATGCCTCTTGCTTATAACAGCGATATATTCTAGTTTGCAAGGAACATGACACATAAGTATGAACCTTGATTCGTAGTTCATATTTTTTGATATTCTTGATTGGAACATATTGCAATGAATAGTACGTAAAAAACTACTCGAAACTTCCTTTTTTCCTTAATCTATATAGGCTTGATGCATCTATTTCACTTATCTTATGCAGAGTGATCGTTTTAATCTATGAATTAATGGGAAATAATCTATTTAAGGTTATTTACAAAACGGTTATACCAGAAGAGAACATTCAAAAGATAGAAGATCTGGAAACAAAGAACAGATGGCTTGAAAAGCAGCTTGCCTCCTCGAGGGAACAAAATGAATCAGAGGTAGTCCTGATATAGATGATTCTCATTTTTAAAAGTTTTTGATAAAATATTTTCATTTGGCAGTAGCTTTGCAACTGATAAAAGCACATGTGCTTTGCAATCCCCAAAACTATTCGGGCCAAAAATTCTTCACCGAAAGTAACATAATCAATTCAAAATTGAATGGAATAGCAACATCCGTCTAGACAGAGTAGTTTGTTTGTTAAAATCTTTTCAATTATCAACCAATTCAATACGAAATTGATGTGAATCGAAAGAGGCATCAAGAAAAGCACCATGCGTAAAGCACTTCCACATTCAAGATATTAGACTTCAGAACATGACGATATTACATCCAAATGCGAATCAAGAACCAGCATGTTTTGAAGAAAAATTCTGTTGATTCCTTGTTTTTATCATAATTTAGCATGCTCTGATCTAGCATACTTCTAAATCGCTAACTGTTTCATTCTTTAAGGTCTCGTCTCTTAAAGAGAAAATTGAAAGAGTGAAGAAAGATAATGACTGCTTCTCGGGTGAATCTGCGAAGTATAAAACACAGACAGTAAAATTGGAAAAAGAGCTGAACGAGATGAAAAATGTAACCAAATTGTATGAGGATGAAAAAAATAAATGTGAGAGGCTATCAGACGAGGTTTGTTAAGTTTTTCTTGTTTATTTTTTAGATTTTTGTGTATATAATTTAGGCATAGAGTTGATAGGAGGCATATCAATCAGTGACTGGGCTATCAAGCTCTCCACAGAATGATAATTGGCAGAATATGAGTTCAAAGGCAATCGACATATGCAAAAATGGCTTGAGTCATCTGTCAATCAACCATTGGCCAATCAATAAACGTGTGAGTAGTCTTACGCTTATTGATTGGTCAATTCTTATTGACAGATGATTGACAGCATCAGGCTTTCGTTGTTGTTCAGCAAATTGTTTTAAAGTCAGTTATGTATCAAGATGATTGACTTTTGTTTATTCTTAGCTGGCTGTTCAGATTAGAGATTCTCAAATGTATTGGTGCTTATAGTTTTTTTAATAACGAAATTGTTTGATTGAAGCTGTCATTATCTTTTGGTCTCCTGCACATGACCAAGATGGGCCTAAGTTCCTAGCCATTTTTTACCTAAACCTTTGTCGTATTATGTTTTTTACAGCTTCAGAAGTCATCCCAGAGTTTTATAGAACTCGAAGAAACATCAAAAAGAAAACTTGACTTGCTGTCTGTGGAGATGGAAACACGAGTTAGCGAAACTGAAAGAAGAACTGTGGCAAAGTTCTCGAATATGATAAAAAGTTTTGAGGAGATGAAGGAGGGGCTGAAGGAAATGCAAGTTGTCGCAAGAACTTTGAAGAAAGAAGAGTCGAGGGCGAGAAAGGATATTCAGGCGTTTGCTGGTATTATAAAGCCAACTGTTCAAGAGACAAAAAAAATGGTAAGATAATTTTTTGCACCCTGTTAAACCTTGCAATGCATTATTTTATTGAAATTTAGAATCGCTGTTGCGATTTTTCGTGCTTAATATAAAGTCGATCTTTCTTTAACACAAGTGTCTATCTGTAAATACAACCAAATATTTTATTGAAATATTCTTGCAAATCTGAATGGCTGCTCGCTGTACTTGGAACACGAAAAGTACCTATATGACAAATCAAGTTGTTGTATTTTGCTTCTATTCATTTTTCTCATTTTTTCATTTTTTTCAGATTACGCAAGCAATAGCAGATGTCGACGAAAGAAGTAAATCGTTGGTGGATCGTTATAGAAGAGAAATGAAACTTCGCAAAAAATACTTTAACCAGCTCGTTGAGCTAAAAGGAAATATCAGGGTGTTTTGTCGTGTCCGGCCGTCCATCAAGGAGGATGGTTCCGGACAGGCTGCAGAGAATGTTATGAGCTATGACTTTGAAGATGATGCTTTGATATATGTGGAGCATCGTGGTAACAACAAGGAGTTCGAAGTGGATAGAGTGTTTAGGCCAGAGTCGACTCAAGAGGAGGTACTTTTTCCTAATTTGTTTCGAAGAAACATAGGGGCTCAGTAGACCTTAAGCAGGTTGAATCTTCCAATATTCATATGTATTTCACTGACAGAACAAACTGCCTTTTTATCAGCCCTTTTATCAAGTTTTATATTCTTATTTAAACCTTTCTCATATTCACCTATTACTATGTTTCTATCTTTAAGTCCCTCGGTTTAATAAAAGCCTAGATAAAGAGGCAACATCTGACGCACTCATGAGAATAACGACTATGAAACCTTTAAGTTACTTGTACTTTGAATAAGATAGACTGCATCAAGTTTGCATTCTTTGAAACATTGTGGAGAATCTAAGAATATGTATATTTATATCCTCTTGTGCATAGAATAGGACGATTCTACATTGCTGTTCGAGAAGCAAAACTAGAATCTCCCTGTTCGAAGCACCAAGGCTTGTACAACTCTGTTTATGGCTTTCAACACTTCTTGCTCTATACTCTGCAGTGTTAAATCTATATCACGCTTTGCAGAAGTATCCAGTTGTCAACTTTGATTGACAGCCATTTAAAAAGATAGCGCTTATATTTATATATCATTCTTTTGCTGCATAATGATGCCAATTTTATTTAATGTTGTTATCCATCAGGTTTTCAATGAAGTTAAACCTTTGGTAACATCTTGCATCGATGGTTATAATGTATGCATCTTTGCTTATGGCCAAACAGGAAGTGGAAAAACATTTACCATGGAAGTATGTACCAACTTGCTGCTGAAAATTTAATCTTAATGGCATAGCCTCTCTACCAACATTTTCTTTATGGTATTCACAAGGAAAAGCAGCTCGGCTGTTTAATATTTTTTGTCATTCTGTAAAGTAAATGGATTTAAGTAGTTAAATATCATCAATAAATAAGCAATCATCTTGTCTAACGTTTTTTATCAATACCAAAAGAAATCCTCGAGACTGCAGACTAACTCATTTTCCTTCTTATTTGTGACGTCATAAGAATCCTGAGATTTTCAAGTTCTCCAGCAGTTCTGTATAGCCAACGTGATATAAAAACTTCCCTACATACCTTTCTATATTTCCTTCTTCACTTCCCCGTTTCAGTTTTCTCTAATTTCTTTTTTCCCTTCTTTAAAGCTTCCGGTTTTCTTTAACCCATTCATTACCCAAGCATATCAGCGTAGCACTTTTGACAATATTGATCGAATTTGTTTCTCTCTTAGGGTAGCCACGAAAATCCTGGTATAAATCCTCGTGCACTCCAGTTGCTATTTGATGAAGTTCAGGATAAACTTGACTGGGATTATTCTTTAACCGTCAGTTTGATGGAAATATACAATGAATCGCTAAAGGATCTGTTAACGCTTCAACCCTTGGAAATCAAACAAAGCAAGGAAGGGGTTTTTGTCCCTTGTTTAGAAGAGGTTGAAGTGAAAAATGCTGATGATGTCCGAAGGGTAAATGTCATTTATATATACTTTATTTGCTTTAAAAAGCTGTTTTTATTGTTCTTATCATGATATTTCCACTGTAAGTTATACATAAGTGTGCTCCAAACACCTAATTTGAGCCAATAGTATTTGAATGCTTGCCTGTTGAGATGGACTTTACTTTCGCAGAGGAACAAGGATAGGAGGTGAACCATTTATCACATTAACATTTGGTTTTGTGTTGTTTTTCAGAGTCAAGTCATTCTTGCATAGTTGATTCTCAAAGATCTTAGAAATAGTTGTTGCAATGCAAGATTTTCACTTGACATCCGGTTTCTATGATTTGTTATCCCCTATATTGAGGGGTATTCGAGCAAATCAGGGGGGGGGGGTGGAGTTAAGTTTATGGAGGGGAAAATTCGCAAACCTTGAAATCTGGCGTACAATTATATTTTATAGGAAACATGGGTAGACATTGAGTACTCCATTTTCTTAATGCTGTCGTAAACCCCAGTACAAGGGTTTTTTATTCAGGGTCATCGCATGAAACATTAAAGATACAATATGCAATTTTTCATGCTTCAAAAGTTACTATTTCAAATTCTAGTATTCAATTTCACCAATAAAGATAAGATACTTTTGACGTTGATTTTGGAGAGATTTTCGTTGAATTTTGATTTTTTGCATCAAACAGCCAATTTCGTATCTTCTTTGTGAATGTCTAGTAATCGTGCCAGCTTCTTTTATTGAAAATTTGATTATTAGGGATGACCCTATGAAATAAAGATCTTGTCAAAAGAAGATTTCACATTACGCATTTGCCTTAGCATTGTAACAGTCCTCTCCAAACTGATGTGAACAATAACTATTTCTTCATCAATGGAAGGAAAATTCTCACTGTCGGTTTTTCTGAACTCATTTTTGAAATTCGAGAAATAATAAGATATGCTAAAGAAATTTCATAAAAAAGAAATAAGAAATGGCTTGACAGTGTTGCAGATAAAGCAAATTTTTCTTACATGGTACCATACCGGACTTTGTTGCCCTGTTCCTGCTTAATTTACCAACTTCATTAAATTGTAGGTATTCGATCTGGGACATAAGAACCGGTTCACTGCTTCGACGAATATGAATGAGTATTCCAGCCGGTCACACGCTGTTCTGGTAATAAATGTGATCGGTAAAAATAAAAATACTGGAGCCAAGACCGTCGGTGGGTATCACTAATGCTTTTGTTTTATCGACATATTTTTATTGTAGTATTTCCATTTAGTTTAATTTATTCTGTATCATTTGTTTCTGCCGCAAAGGCAAAGCTGTGTACCTTTCGGTGTATAGACACTTCCCTGCTGATCGCATTAAGTCTGAAGTTTTGAGCTGCTCCTTAAAACATGTGTATATGGCTTTTTTGGTGCTGCAATAGCTTTTAGAGAAACCATAAGAAATAACAGATGACAATGAATTTCATAATTTTATCTAAGGGTTGCTTTTACTCTGTAGGTTTGCGCATTTCAAACGCTTTTTTTGTCAGCTGCTGTAATTTCAAAGTCATATTTATGGAAGGCGTCTTCGATTTGAGTGTTTTAGATATCTGTCCCCTTTGATGGTTTTTCTTAAAATCGAACCGTTTTTGTTGCAATCGGCTGTGTTTTATTGACTGGAATCCATTCTTTTGCAGGGAAACTGAACCTGGTTGACCTGGCTGGCTCGGAAAGGGTGTCGAAATCAGGAGCAGAGGGGGCAAGAATGAAAGAGGCACAGAGCATAAACAAATCCCTGTCGGCGTTGGGTGATGTTATCCAAGCGTTGAAAGGAAAAAGCAGCCATATTCCTTACCGAAATTCAAAGCTGACTTATCTGTTGCAAAATTCATTAGGTATGTGAAGGATTCAATTATCACCAAAGGAGAAACAACCACAGAGGAATAGTCTTAAGAATGAATCATCTTGTTTTCATGTCGTTGAACCCCTCCCCCCTATTGCTCTCTTTTGTATGACCTTTGTATTGCGATCCATTAAGGCTCTGAGTGCTGTTACTCTTTCATCATCCGATGGTTACTCATGGACACACCCTAATAATTACCCTCATCGGACATGCTTGTGTTAACCTCCTCAGAAAATCAAATGCTCAAACCTTGTTGTCATATTTTTGCAGGTGGCGACTCAAAGACGCTGATGGTCGTGCAAGTTGCTCCGGTTCGTAAAAATGCAGGCGAAACTTTCTGCAGTCTCGATTTCGCATCCAGGGTTCGCAATGTGGAGCTTGGGCAAGCCACGAAAAAGGTTGAAAGTGTTGACAGCCCATACAAAAGCGATGTGAGTGAAGAATTTTTTAATAAGCAATGTTTTTTACAGTTGTCAGTTACAAATTGAGTTCCACTCTGGTTGTTTTATATCTTTTATGAAGTTTGTAATCACTGGCTCCTATAATAATTTTCGTCAGCATTTATGTAAATTTATATATATATATTCTAATTTCTATCTCATAATCAGATTTTTATCACATCAACTAAGAATCATCCTGCTTTCATTCATTCGTTCATTTATTCGTTGACTAATTTTTCGTTCATTTATTCGTAAATTAATTCATTCCCCCATTCATTCATTCATTCATTCGTTCATTAATTCATCTTATGCTAGTGTTATGTGCCCCATCATACTTCTGTTTAACATTCGTTGCTTGAATAATCTAATCGAATGTCTCTGCTTCTTAGACACCAACAAAGAGCAAAACGCCGAAAAAGAGGACGTGAAGACACACCCGTTGTTTGGTTTTGCTGTTTCGAGACGAGACAGAACTGCAATGTCGATCTGCATTCTTTCCGCTAAACCGTGTTCTTTTAGGCCAAAAAATGCTCATTTTTCACTTATTTACACATTGCTTTCAGTGGCTTCTAATCATAACTGATTTGCTTGTCTTTGTGATTTGAGGGCCTTTGGAGATGTTTTATTTCTAAAACCAGCCAATTTCTAAACAAATGTGATTTTGTTAAAATTGGAATTCTGTTTTTGTTCAGAGCTCCTTCGTGACAAGACCAAACACAACCTTCACCGCATCTCCAAAAGCTCTTAGAATTAGCCTTAGTAGAATTCGGTCTTTGAATTACTTTATCGTAATTTTTTTGTTCCTTAGTGGAATGTTTTACTCATTTGATATCACTTGAGTTGTGGTTTTGATACTTGTCTGATATTTAGAATGAAATTTTGTAAATTTTAAATATTTAATGATTTGGAATAGAGTTATTTCGCAATTCAAATAAATTGATGTGTCTTTATGTTCTTCCTAATCTCCACATACTTCTTTCTGCAAGGAATTCCCGAAAGTCAATTTAAGGTTAAACAAAATTTTAAATGGGATAGTCATAGAAAATGGTACTGCTTCAAAATTCTACTTTCCTTACAAAACTTGAGCCTGGAACTTCATTCATTCAATCCAATAAAAATGGGTGAAGCAAAAACATTTTTGTGTCTTACTTTTGAGATAACTGTCTCAATTAAAAAAGTTCCATGATTAGCAAGGATAATGACTGTATTGTTGAAGAGCAATAACCACAGCTAAATAGTCTTTTTACACTATAATAGGGATATTTTATATTGAAAATTCTCTCTCATCTGTATTCCCTATTAGTTTTCAGTCTTCATAAAGCCAGGTAACCTTGTTAAAAAATTGTGACTGCATTGCAAATCGAGGCACTTCCATGCGAGCTTCCATCTTGAATGGTTTTAGGCCACAGTAGGCGAATAAAGAATACGAAGGCAGGCTCTAAGGATTGTAAGATCCATTTAAAAATCGTCCCAACAGACTTTTCTTTGGAAATTCTCTTACTCATGGGATTGAAATGATAGTTACAGAATGGTCCACAAAACAAAACAAATGTAAACTACTGGCCCAAGAAGGAAATAGACACATGATAAGTGTAAGTAAGGTCCCAACGGCCTTCGCTTCGACACCTCTGACAATACTATATTACTCGATTTAGCTATCCCATGAGGAAATAGAACAATCTTTCTTTCTATTCAACAAAAATGAAGGCTGGAAATTAAACTTTGAAAGCTGTCTGAATTTATCCTGTATCCAGAAGGCACTTGCCACAAAATTTTGCAATATGCGCTCGATAATTGCCTTCAAAAATTGCCGACATTGTAAACGACCAAAGACAATGCATTTTTGATGGGAAAGCCAAACGACATGCGGTATTTGGTAAGTCAATTAAACTACATTGATTTATTCGCAGTATATTTGGATGACAGTAAATGCTTTCAATTTTACAGAATCACATCTTCGAACTTTCGGTATTTACAATAACAATATCTAAAACAATATGAATTATTCAATACAGTATTAATTTTCTACTTAAAAGCTTTAATAAGAAGCTTGATTAATTATTATTACGAATAAAACGTATCGATATTTATTAATTCCAACATGAAATGTTAATCCCTAAACTATAGAATATTTCTCTTACTACATGCTCAAATAATGCATTATATTGAACGCTCCATTTGATGCAGTCACCAGGTTTAGAAATATCCCATCTCCCAAGTTCATCTTTCAGCGATTTTGCTTGAATGCATTAGCCTGAGAGTGTAAATCTAATACAGTGCATTGAAATGCAATTTAACTTTGAAAACCAATAACTAGATTAAAATATAAGTCGGGACCAAATAAAGAAGTAAACATTCCCGGCGTTCTGCTACTAACTAGATGAAATTCTAAACCATTGCGAAATCCTCTCTAGCATAACCCTAAGCCATCCACGAGAGCGTCTCGAATCTTTTTCGAATTTCCTGGAACTCGCTTTTGAGTTGCAACACAGATACTTTGTCCAGCGGCTTTCTGATGGTCGCATGAACGACTTCGGTGTATAATGAATTGAATTGACGTCTTCATCTATTGCAGATGAGTCAAATGCAACGTTTCCAATTGCTTGCATTTGACTGAGACTCTCATTGGATAGAATTCCCGCACTGGAAAGAGGCTCCTGATCTGATTCTGTGGTTTTGTTCCCATCCACTTCATCAACTTCCTGTTCCATTATCGTGTCTTCTCCGTTCACCCCGATCGAGCTTTTTACACGCTCCCCTTCGCATAAATCAGACATTGCTATGTCCCCTGTGATCTCCAACGGGACTAATGATTGTGTCTCTAATGTCTTCTCCTCTGTATTTTCTGGTTCTACAATGGTTTCTTTGTGTTTTGGAAAGAGCTTTTCTGCAACTGCTCTTACCGTGACTTCCCGTAAACCCTCCATATTTTCAACATGGCACTTAGGACCATCTAAAACTTCGTGATCTAACGCAAGCGACTTTTTCAGTTGTACCATGGTTCTCAGGTACGGATCATCATCGTTGCAATGCTCTTCGAAATACCTTTTAGAAGCAGGAGAATCCTGAGGTGTCGAGAGTGTTTCTGAGCCTCCTCTCAGGAACGAGGCGATGCTCTTTGCACTTCGAACGTCGCCCACTTTGTCGATTTCAGCCAAATCTGCTCCATGGTAGCTTAGCAACCTGAAAGAGAAGTAACCAATGATCAGGGTGGTCCGTTATGAGGATAGCTAACAAATCCTTAACAGTATTATCTTCTTTTTCAAATAAAAGCCTTAAAGCATGAATCGTATAACTTTAATAGAAGCCGCACCCTCTATTATTTCTAAATGATATTTTTATATGTGGGCGGCCTCTATTTCTTTTAAAGCTACACATATCCAACTTTTAAATTCATCGCAATTTATCGCTGTGTTCAAGTTGGAATAGAGGAAAATCGAGTCAGAGATCATCAAGCAATATAATGTCGTATGATAAGACCCACAACCCACATAAGTCTTATCTCACAAAGCTTTCAAGGAAATATGTTCTCTTTTTATGGTGAGAGAGATAAAACAGTTAACTTCAGCCCTGTTTTGTGAAACGCGTTTTATATAACCCAAAATAGGTTAACTGAAAACTGAAAATTTTAACTTTGGTCTTGTGCGGTGTTTTTTTGCAAAATGTTCAGAATTTTTGTAGAAACTCGTCATTTGGCCCAAACAGCTTGCGTAATAAAATTATCTAGATCCGATTTTCATAAGTTAGTTCATGACCTCTGGATCCAGGTAAATTTCTAGATTATAATCATATTTTAATATCCTGCACATTTACAAATGATGTTTTTACCTGATAGTCTCCGATCTGCCAAATATAGCGGCAAATTGAATAGGGGTCTGTCCAGCAGCCGACTTTAATGTCACATCGGCGCCATAGTCAATCAAAAGTTTCGTGAAGAGGTACCCGGCCGGATTGGCCAACCCGGCTGCAAAATGAATGGCTGCGGATCCATCGACCAGGTTATTGGGGTTGGCTCCTTTCTTGAGAACGCTGACAATGCGTCTATGATAAAGCAATAGAGAATCCAATTACATATGTGGAAATCTGATCGTAAATGTCTATGTGAAAGTTTCGTAGGTTTGGTGCAAAGTTGAATCATAATGAGTCGGGACTTGATGCAAACAATATGCGATTGTTCAAAGATTCATTGTCTATAAAGGTCCTAGGGCTCTCTGATAAGTGGAAGTGGATTTTTTGTGGAGTAAACTATTTTCAATTCCCAATAACAGACACTTCCCGGTAACAGACAATCATTTTGTCCCAAAAATTGCTGTCTGCCGTCAAAACGATACAATACGCACAACAACTTGCAACGGAAATTTTCTTTCTACAGACAGTAACCTATTAACCAAATGGGTTCGTTGTACTGAAATTTCACTATTGTCTTCTTGTCATATCTATTGGAAAAATATCATCTAGCGATACAGAAGTATTGTCAATGAAGGTAGCCGAAATAAGCTCGAAGATAGAAGGAAGAAGACTGAATTGGTATGGTCATGTGATGAGAAGAGAGGAGGACTCATGTGATGAGAAGAGATGTTGAAAGAAGATTGATGGCAGTGGAAATTCCAGGACACAGAAGAAGAGGGCGACCTAAATGTAGATGGAAAGACAGACTAAAAGAAGATATGCGGGAAAAGAACCTTAATGAACACCAAGTAGAAGATAGAGAAAAATGTAAGAGACTCTCGAGGAACATTGACCCCATATAAAGATGGGAAAAGCTGCAGAAGAAAAAGAAAAAGTAGAAGAAGAAGAAGAAGAAAAAGAAGAAGAAGAGGAAGAAGAAGAAGAAGAAGAAGAAGAAGAAGAAGAAGAAGAAGAAGAAGAAGAAGAAAAGAAGAAGAAGAAGAATTAAAATAAAGAAGGAGAGGAAGAAGGAGAAGAAGAGGAAATGAAAGGAGAAGAAGAAGAAGACAGAAGTATTTCTTGAATGTAAAATCCATGATGGCAAAGAGTGTTACAATGTTTTTACCTTAAGTCCTGTTTGAACAAGGCTCTTTGGAGCTGAACTGTCAAGCTTGGTACAGGTGAAGGATTCCTGTCACGAAGTAAAATGGAATGATAAATATAATAACGTTTTGTCAATCAAGCAAGTTTTTTCTTGGATCGATGTTAAGATATTAAGAATATCTGTTTCACGATCTGGCAAGAATGGCAAGATCTAACTGTCCAACAATTTATTATCATTCAAGTCTCAAAGCCTTAACGTTCCGAAACAATTTTGGGGTCTTTCTGCTTCGCTGGCTACACTGATCATTAGTGTAATCAAAGGTGTTAAGCACATTTTTTGCACTTCAGTATTTCTGGGCTACTAAGGCTTGTCTAGTCATAACTAAACTTGTGCTGAAAATATCGTGGAGTTCAATAATTCAAAGTACCTATGGCACATAACTTCTTTCTGATGGAGAAATAGCAGCATCATACGTATCCTACAATTCCTATTTGTGCTACACACATCCTATATTTCATTTTGTACGCAGATCAACGTTTTTACTTTTGCTTAAGATCTGATAAATGTCTTCATCCATAAAATTGCAAATGCAATATACAAGTTACTGATTTTCTATCCTTGCACTTGATTTGTTGATTGATTCCGGCAAACCTTTTTGAGTATAATCTTTCTTGAAGGCAAAATATTTTTTGGAAATAACGATTACGTAGTATGACTCCACCCCCTGATGGGTAAGATCTTTGGCTAGAAAAATGAAGTGTTCCCTAGGGTGGGTGAGGATGGCTCGACAAAAAAATACACAGGCTTTCTTCTCAACCTTGTAGTTCTTTTTTTACTATTTCAAGGGACTCAAGTGCAGTAGTGAAAGATAAAACGGCCCCGATCGTCTTGATGCAGCATTATCAAAAGAAAAATTCGAAGTTCTTGCTGAAAATAGATTTCAAAGATGTATCAACATGTTAGCAATAGGGAGCTCTACCCAGCCAAAATTTCACTCACTCTTTTGGCACGTGTGTTTCTTCTTCCTTCTTTAGCTTATCAAATCCAGTAAATGAGTTTCTCCGAATCTAGAAAGAATAATAGAATTTTTTGGACACCTGCTATGCCATTGCCGTTCAAGGGACTGCAAACATTGAAGAAACATATATTTTGAACAAAATTGTATGCAGATAATTTTTATTTATGTCTTTGCAGTCTTGAAGTCATGTTAGCATTAAAGTCATACATTTCTGTGCGCTCGTTGTTTTTTGCTGCTAAAATCGTTTAGGTGGAAAATTTCATATAACAAAATGAAACATGGTGCAGATAATAAACTGCGCTTACTTTGCGCTTAATTTTTCTTACAACAGTCGAGAAAGATTTTGCCGGTTAACCGCCGCATACAGGAACATTTTTGCTTATCAAACCTAGGGCGTGTGCTTCCTGGAACCCACAAGTAATTAAAATGGCTTGTTCAAGAAGATGTTTGTCCACACAAACAATTGTTAAAATCAAGCAAAAAATGCCCGTCATTCCTGTGTTTTTCTCCTAAGTTTTCACCAACACAAGCCTCACAATTCCTCGTCACGGCCTATGGTAATCAATATTGGCTTGGCATGAATGAAAATTTAAATACCTGTTCTGAGCACTGCTGCCAACAGTGGCATTGCGAGCAGTTGCATGCTGAAACGGTCTCATCATCTTTTTCCTTGTCTTTATTGCAATCATCTGCAAAAATCCAAGATTCCCGCCTTTGGTCAGTTTTCAAATATAAGAAGGATATCAGAAATTCTAAACGAAGTGCTAATCGCTGCTAATTTCACGTGCAAAATATGAACTGTTTTATAAAGCATGTTGCTTTTGAAGCAAACTGCCTATTGGTGAAAACCAATAACATAGAAGCGCTTCTGTATCATTGGTGAAAACAGCAAATGTTCTCAACTCTATCTTCCTATAATGCAGTTGGGGCTGTCATAAGAAACACCATTAGCTTCACAAGCGATATTGCTGATACTACCTGCTTGAAATAAAATTATGAAAACTTTGTTTTTTGAGAAAAACTAACAACATATTTATTCACTTTTTCTTGGATTCGTAGAATTTTGCTTAATCTTTGTTTAATTTGTACAGTTGGTAAAACACTATTTTCTGCTCTATTGTTCATGACTTGTCTGCAAAAGATTGGGATGCGAAAAAACTGGAACTAGCTATCTAAGAGAAAAAAATATTAATTGGTAAAAGCATGAGAATTACCGTCTTCCTCAGAGTTCTCCAAAGAATTCTCTTTCATTTTTGGATAGACCTGAAGGCAAATGGGATAACTAATAAAAAACCTGATCACCAATTTTATCTAAAGTATTTACCTTAGGAAGGAACAATTTTCCAATTTGCAAAACTCTGCATTTCTTAAAGAGAGCACTTTATCCAGGGCCATCGCTACGAAGGGAGAGGGCTGTGAAGGGCGTGACATCTCCCTTGGTCACAGATTTGGCAAATAAAGGATGATTCACCAACTTTGTCGGCAAATGGGATTGGAAATCATTCTCCAAAGAGCAAGGCAAAACCTATCGAATTAGCCTCGACTGAAACTTTTAACTGAACTTGGCAAAGAAAATGTTACTCCGCTCCGACACTAGGTCAAATTCAGCGCAAAATTTCTCGGGGCTTTATTGTGTATTCAGATGAAATAATCGTTCTTTGGTTATAATTCTTTCTTTCAACATATAACGTAAAAATGACCCTTTCAGTCCGAAATCCCAGCTTTGTACGTTGGTTTTCCGCTTCTGTTTCCTAACATTGAAGATTTAAAGTGCAAAGTGTCTTTTCGAAGTGGACTTTGCATATATTAATGAGCATCAACTTTGAATCTTGAAGAATTTCTGAAGTAACAGACGCAAAATTATTTTTAGTCTGTTTTGAATTCACCTTTTTGGCTCTGTAAAACTTTCATCTAAGGCCTTAATCACAAAACTGTTGCCACATTTTGAACATTACCCTGAATATTGCTATCGAAAACCCGTCTTTTTAATCCTAAGATGAGTTAACAAATACCATGGTCTCGGGGCTCTTTACTGCAGCATTCGGTCATTTTAGGACGTGTTTTCTGCTCTAAGTAAACAATAAGGCGGCGTTGTTGGTCCGAAGGTCCTATTTTCTACATTTAGCTGCAAAATTACCTTTTAAACAACGCTTGCAATCTTTAAGCCAAAGCTGCAATTTATCAACTCTTTATAGTCCATACGCTGGGGTCGATCCCGTAGAAATTTTTTTGCCCGAATTCACTGTTCATAATCGTTAACTACATCATTATGCAAGTCAGAAAAGCGAGGGTGAACATCTGTGTGCGTGGTAGGTCTTCTGGTAATCACTTCGAAAGATAGACCCCTCTTGGTCGCTTTTTCGCTAACGAAACCCATCATAACAGGCTTTGTTTGAGGTTTTCTTACCCTTTTCTTTTTTCTTACTCTTTCAATATCATGTTTCTTGATCATGGGCTCCGATATAGGTTGGAAAGTTAAGATCCACAACAAAAGATTTAAAAAGGCTCTATTGTTTTGTAAAAAGGGGCACCTTTCATCGGAGGCCCTCTTGATAGGACATTGGTATTACTTGAAATGAAAAATTATGCGGCATATCCCCATAAAACAAGATAGACGAATGCACCACTCGTGTGTTGCACTATAATAATGCAGATATGCATCATCTTGTCAGCCAGACTCACCTCATCAACTCTGCCATTATTCATTGGTTGCATCACTTTCCTTTTCTTAGTCATAGTAGTAACTGCTTTCTTTATCTTCTTTCTCTCTATTAAAATGAAGATAATAAATTCATCAATTATCTCCTCGCACTCAAAGTTATTAAATGATCCTTATTGATTACTAAGAGCTGTTAAATCAATAAAATCAAACATGTTTGAAAAATCAAGCCTTACCGTCATATTGGTTGTTAACATAAATCAGAATTTCTATCCTTTGCTTGGTTTTGTTCTTTTCTTGTGCCTTCAGAAAAAGCCAAAATATATTCATACATTTCATGAATTCTACATGACTGCTTTAAAATGAAGGAAATATAAAGCTAAAATTTAATACAATACTACTCAAACGAGGGTTTCATCTATTCATATCATTTAAATATTTTCATGGAATGGCCAATTTTCTAAATAAGGATTGATGCCCCTCTAGAAAAAAGCTTTGACGAGGAAATTTCAAGTTGTAATTTAGTGACTGCAATTCTTTTTTCCATGCATTAAACTAAAATAATAAAATACTGATAATCACAATTAAAAATATTACGTTCATAAAAGCAGATAATTTGTATTACGTGTTTTGCAGTAGTATGGTAAATGACATCTTTTTTGTTATTGGATCCTGCAAAAATAATGGTGGCTTTAAGAAATAATTTTTCAAATTAACTCATAATTCTTGTTGCTAATTGTTAAAAGTTTGAAATAATTGATTTTGATTTAATAGCCTCACGTTTTATTAGCGTTTTGAAAATATTCCATAAAAACTTCCATAAGATACAAGTGAAAGGTCAGCTTTAATATAAATTGCCTATTTCAAAATGCTGTTATGTTATAAAACAAACATGATCATCAAGGAATCTGGAATAAACAATTAAATATAAGCCTGCTTACCTTCAGTAGAGGTTATCAACCCAGAAAGATCGTACCATTTTCTGTGTTTATTTGATTTGGTGAGGGCAGGCGAGAAATCCATGTTTGGAATCACAAGTTCTTTATTTGCACTAGCATTGCTGAAATGGGGACATTTGCTTCTTAAAATGATTCATTTGCATACACATTATTGCAGCAGTAAGAAAAAGAGCGAAGAAGATTGTAACAGCAAGTTTTGAAATAATCTCTAAAAAACAACTTTGCTTCTAATATCAATCTATTTAACGTATTTTGCTTAACGTATTTTAGCCATCTAATTCATATTGCGTAACTTAGGGTAGATCTACAATTTATTATTAATCAACAGATTATGAAGCAAATGATGCACAGGTACAACCTACCTATCATTAGTTAGAACCAGGAAATCAGGATACGAGATAACAGTTTTTGTGCTGTCCATGCTCCTTTCAATACTACAACGGTTACAAGTGATTGTGTTTTCCCTACAAGATATAGATAGACGTATGTAAATATCTCGTTTTTAAATTCTTGAGGCAGTTAACCCTCTTATGAAGTAAAGTATAAATACTAAATTCACGAAACCTTCTTGTCTCTTTTTGAACACACTTTAGAGATCTGTCTTTAAGATGTTTTTGGACAAGATCTATCCGTTTTTGCCAAATATGTGCTCATTATGAGCAAAAAATGCATCAAAATGAGATTTTTCAGCAAAACCGAGAAAAAGCCATGTCCTACAGTTTAAATTTTTTGTGAATGTATAATTGTGTGTGCCAGCAGCTACTTTATCAATTATAAAAAATGTATTTGAAATTGGTAAATGGAATTGGAAGTTGAAATTTCTTCAAAATTGAAAAGGTTTGGCTCTAAATACAGCTCCAGGTGGTCCCTTTAAATGTTCATATACATGATTTAGAATGCAAAATCTGCAAAGCAGTGCTTCTTTTCCAAGGTAGTCATATCAAAGTGGCGACATACCCATTACGGAAAGCAGCAACCCCTTCAGCTATTGTGTAGACGTTCGAAGGAATCCCTTTGGCAAAACTGTCGTGTTCACGTGACTCCGGTTTCTGCAAAAAGAGATTAATGCAGCTCTGACATAAGACCAAGGTTAAAAATCGATCACTTGACACCGTTGTACAGTGTAAAATTATTGGCTCTGGGAGCTACACACTGCTCTAACTAATTATGTGTCTAACAGTACAGAGTTTTGTACAACTGTATGACCACGTCCTAATTTATCCGGGAAATATCCTTAGGTTGCATGAACTGTTATCATTGCTTAACTGATTAATCTTGTATCGATTGCCGGATCACTTTTCTCTAAAAATACTTCTGGTATCGGTTTAAGCTGAGATTTTTCATCCTGCCATCCACAATAAAGTCTGCTAATAATGTATGAGTAAATGAATAAGCATTGTGATGCATGAAAACATTGTCGATACTTTATCCTTTTTCCTTTTCACGGTGGTTATCCGGTAAAGTTACATAATTAAGTGCTAAAATCTTGAAGTAATGATGATACTCTACTTTGCTATGGGTTTTAAGCAACCATATCTTACAGCCAGTGTTTGGCAAGCACGGATCAAGAAAAAATTCTGACAGGAGCAAAGAATGGGCATCCCGGGGAAAATTTGTTTGGCCATGCTCTTGAGACTGGCAGAGATGGCACCTTTTGAAGATGGTAACGCTCTGTACTTATCTTTTTCATTTAATCAACAATTTTCTAAAAATCATTTCGTTTTTTAACATTTTTAAACGTGCGTGCACCATCGGTTGATTTCTGCCATCGTTATATAAAATTCCTGTTACAGAGTGGCTTGCCTTGGCGAAGATTTGGGAAAAATCTGTTTTTGTTAAAGTCCTGGCCCATCTAAAAGCGGAATATAAAAGTCGTTGGGTATATTATTTTTTGAAAAATCAGTTGATAGTCCATTGTGTTTATACTCTCTTCTTGTAAGAAACTCTCGAAGCGAATCTCGGTACTTTCATTGTTGCGTAGTTTAGTAACTTCATTAATGGCGGTGGTTTTTAAGAAACATTAACTTTACAATCAGTAGTAAACCTTCTTTCGAGAAGAAATCAAAAATTTTATTCTGACCTCTCGGTATGTTAACGTACTTTGACGGATGCTATTTTATTTTATAGAAGCACAATAAATTGCAGCAAAGTTAATTTCCTGTTCTTATACTTTCCTGCGATCACAATGAATTAGGAAACTTTGTGATACCTTATTCCATACTCTGGGTGCTTGAGTTCAGAGTGTCAAAACTCTTTTTCTTAGCAAACTGTCATCTTCCTCAGAAATGTGAGTGACTTTGAAGAACCTTTTTATTACTATATTGTATGCAAAATTACTGAGAACTTAGTAACAGTAATATAAAATGATACCTGTAGCTTCATAACAGGTGGTATGAAGACGACAATCTTGCAGGATTGATCCAATGAAATTGCTCTGTTTGGTGTCACATGACAACCTGAGCAGTTTTGGTCATTGCAAACAACACACGTGTTGTCCTAAAGTTAAAAGATTGATATTTCAAAAGTATTCTCCATTTGCCAAAAGTGTTCATTCCTTTCACGCAAAACCCTTTTAAAACCTACACCATCGTTATATTCAGTTGTTACAAAACTAAACATGACTTCTTGTCAGCTATCTGCTCTTAATAACGGAAGATGGACATCTTAGCTACCCAGCTACTCTTGCCTAATAATAAAGTGGTCAAGGCACCCTAGACTTTATCCTGCCTACTGTTAGAATGCAGCTAACGTCACAGATTGCAACGAATACACAGAGCGTCGTGGCACTATCTTCATTCATTAATTTGCTAGAACGCTCTTAACTAAACATATGAAACCTAAGAAGTTTCATTCAAAATCGTTAAAGTAGTTTGGTTTTTTTGAGAGAGATCCTTCATTGCGTAAATCCTATCAAATTTGCTTGTATAGTCAAGTACTTTAATACGAACCTTTATTTTAAGAACAGTGACGAACATTTTTTTGCATTCTGTATCGGTTGCTCCCAGAACAAACTTGAGAATTTTTGCAGCACAGTTTCCTTGCATTGTTTTTCGAATTTGGACAAACACAGGTGGAACTTGATTTTTGTCACAACGCTCCTGGAGTTGAAAAATAAAAAAAAATTTAGCAAAAAATCACTCTCAATTTTGATGAAATTTCAAAATGGCTCCGATTGAAAACCTACTGCAGATTAAAAAACCTAATTCATAAATTGGAATTTGAAAAGTGCATTTATGTCAAAGTAATGTTTTCAATGTTTGAGTAGATTTATTCCTGCAAAGTGGGGTACATGAATTTCTTGTCTAGATTGAAATACGAGCATTGCAATCCACATATTTGATGCACAGTTTGCTTGATAGAGAGGTTTCTCGATAGCTATTTTGAATATTTCCTATTGAAAAATGATGACCCGAAAACTTTCCAAAAAATGCCTCCTTTTTAAAACCTGAGAGAACAAGCAATGTTTTTTATGCTTCTGCTCCCTTTTTGCCGTTCAGTGCTAACTCTGGACATGTGTGTACACCGTACAAGTACGCAAATCTTCTCTGTATTCAAAACACATAATCAAATTTTTTCACTCACAAAGCTATCATCTTTAAAAACAACAGGGATGGTGACAATTTCACTTTTCTTTGCATTCACGTTCTCCTTTGTGGGACCCCTTTCTTCCTCCTCCGCATCAACACAATCTGTCGGTGCAGGCGTGCTTGTGAATGGATACGAATCGACTTCCTCCTTGCCATTGTGTCTTGTTTGTTTGGGTGGGCCGCGGCAGATGACAAATGCTTGTAGTTCCCCAGCTTCACACATTGCATCAAAAACAGTTGAAGTTGGACTCTAAAAATGAAATAAAGCATTTAAGAATTTGTATGTTTTATCTAGTGTTACTTAAGTGTCACCGGTACCTTTTTCGTCGATTTCATAACGTGTGGCTCAGTTGTAATATCTGGCGTAATATTTTCATAGAACATTGAAATTAAATTAAATGCCGACGAATTAGCCATTCCAATACCCAATAGTAGATTTTATGGCACCGAGAATCTATGAAACATCAGCGTAGCAATTCATCTAGATTTGATGGTCTTCTTCATGAAATGGTATTTGTTTTGATAGAACAGAGCTCTTAGCCAAAGGCTTGGATTCTAAAGATTCCAGTTCAAAAAACTCCATACTTTCACAATGTGAGAAGCTAGAAATATCTGGCTTGCTAGAGCTTAAGAATAGTGTGAATAGAACATAGGCCCACAAGATCTATGAAAACGAACTCACATGAATCATTCTGACGTCATTGTTCTTTACTGAAGCGATAACGAGGTCAGACTGGTTATATTTGTCAATATGGGACAGTTTGCCTTTAATGTCATCGGTTCGTGTGTGTTGGTTCAGGCGAATTAAGTACCTAAATGAACGAAACCAAAAGAGGTAAAAATATTCCTTTTTGAATAGCAAGAAAACGTCCATAAAAAGAAATTTTTTCGACACTAATCATATAAGAAAGTCGAATAATGACCAAAAATTGATATCTGGATGTTGACAGACAGTAACGTGAGATGAAGAATGCTGTGTTTGATTGGTTTCAGAAGTCTAGTTTTTATCCAGCGATTGTTTCTTCTTTCCCTCTGTTAACTTCAAATCTTTTATTGTCAAAGGCTTATCTATCACATATGACTAGCTTTTTTGTCTTTTCTATATGAATAATACTTCGTGCCTTTTAATCATAAAAAGAAATTGTTAATAAACTAGCAATAAATCTGATCCTTGCCTGACAGTTGTTAGCCTTTTGTCTTTAGCTCTTAAGTTGACTGGAATCACTAGAAAAATAAACACAAAATAATGCAATAAAGGCATTGGAGAAAAGCCTAAGCGTGTGATGATTATTATTATTATCATCCCAGATTCCAGAAAGATCGTTGTCATTTTTCCAGCCAATGTAGAAAGTTTGGAACTCGTTTTGAAAAATGAGACATGGTTTTGGTGTTGTTACATAAATCTTTTTTCGATGCCCTACTTCACAATTGCTGGACTTTCCTTTGACAATTTTTATGGATGTTTCCAATTGAAAGCAATAACCACAAAAACGTGGATTCTGTATTTAATTATTTGTTTTATTACGAGATAAAAACCTTGAGTAAGTCTTCATGCATGTAGCAGCATTCGTAGTTGCATTGATTTTTTTCGCTTTAAAGATTAGAATTCGCTACGGATAAAATGTGCTGGCCATACAGAAATGCAATGAGTAGGCAAACACTGCTTGGCAGGTAACAGATATGACGTAATTCAGTGCAATCTCACCTAGAGTTTTCTCATCCAATGCCGATGAAAAGAGTGGTATTGATGTAAAAGGATCATGGGAAATATTCTGATATCCACAGGGGCACAGGTCCTGCAAATATATCATTTCAATTATTGTAGATAACTTATACCATGGCTTGACTATCAAATGTGGAGGGTTTCAACAGGCAAAGAAAAAACTCTAAAAGCAAGAGTATTGTCGAAGAATAGAACTTTTCTATTCTGTGGTACTGTTTATTTAGTGAATGAGGATCAAACCCAAGAGTCATTTTTATCTGACTTCTTTCTGAATCTAATTCAACAAGTTACCGGCAAATTCTGTTTTAGCGTGAGCAAGCAGTATTTTGCTGCAAAGAAATAGATAAAGAGATTCCTTTGATTACATAGATATCAAAAAAGTAAAATATTTTGTTTTTTTCTTTAGGCACGAGGCACTGATTGGTCAACTATACCGGTCTTGCGCTTGCGTTTTTCTGATTGGCCTATTTCGATCCACAACTGGGTATATATTTTTCATCGTGTTCTTTCGGACCATTATTCTGACGTTTTATCCTCTGAGGAGTGTCAGACGAAAAAGCTTTTAGCCAATATGCTGTAAAATGTTTGCTTTTTTAAAAGCCATTCTCAAGTTCTCTACCGCCAATAAACTGTTAAAATATTTGCAACAAACAAAGCTCACCTTTCTCTTAAGATGTCCTCGAAACAAGTGACTGATAATTGAGTGGTTGCTTCGATTTGATTGTCTAAGATCAGAATATTAAAATTGTAAGGCAAAGAAAAATCACTTCATATTACTTTCTCAAGATGAATAAATAACAGGGTGTTTTGCATGAAAATTCTTCGTACCTGCATTTTCTGAGACAAGTTCGCTTCAGGTTGCCAAGATTTTTGGCAAGAATGATTTCCTCGTGGAGCTTGCCAAGCATTCCTTTCAAAGTCTCAAAGCAGGTCTGAAATTAGCAAAGATGTCAAAAGTTTGCATACGTTAAATATCTATATTAAGGTATTATCCTTGCATCATCTTGAACTTTCGAAAACAATTAATGGTAAAATAATTCTCACTCAACTTGCTTTACCATCCAATACTACAAAATCTTAAAACAAGCGTTTCAATTGTTCAAGGTACATTTCTACAAGATGCCAGTTTAATTCTCTTGAGGAATAGCATAACCTCCATAATCTGACTGGCCTAAATGCATAAAATCGACTTCGTTACCATAACAAATGCATAAAAGCAGTTACCATAACAACTTCACATCGTTTTTAAGAAGATAATATATTGATCAAAATACAAAAAGTTGTCTAGGTACTAAGACTAGAATTGATATTACCTCTGCAATTTGCAATTCAAGTGAGAATTCAGCAGCCAATCTCAAGATTTCTTCTAACAACTCATTCTCTTGCAACCTTCGCGTCTTTCTGAAAACCTTTATGACATATTCTAGAGTCGTGTTGCTTTGCTAACAAATAGAAGATGGCAATTGTTTTTGACAATAATCAAGAATTGAAAAAATTACTCAACTGAACAGAACTGCAAAATTTGTCTAGCGTGTTTGAAAATTTTAACCTTTTTTGAGCACCTTAACTGCCTTTGAAACAGCAAAGCATAGTTGATTCCTTTTTCATTCTAAAACGTATTGATCAATGTCTCTATGCATGATATCATATTGTATTTAGAAACTAACGGTAATGGCGGACTCTTTTTTCATTATTCTTATAAGAAGGGAAAGGTAACTGTTTAATTCAGCAAAATGTTAAGCTTATAAACACAAATTGGCATCGAAACAAACCTGGTAGTCTACATTTTCTCCATTTGCTTCATGGTAGATAATACCTAAAATGCAGCAGGATACGTTTGCTGAAATTATATTGATGAGGGAATTTATGCTTAATGCTCTATCTTCTACCAAGACATGCAGCAGGCACGCACAATAATGCAGATAAAGTAACGTTGAATTCTCCAAATTCCATTTCCTACTGTGATGGACTCTCATTTGGTAAAATGTAGTCTCATTTGGTTGTTTAAGAAATAAACCAAATTCATCGCTCCTATCACTCTGCCCGTACCCTTTTCTAGGGGTAATTAGGTCATCCCAACAAGACTGTATCTAATGTATTTTTAATTGAGTGAGAATTCATCAGAGCTGACAATATACGACAAACGTCGATTCAGTGAACGTGGAAGTATAAGGCTAACAGGGCTTCCAACCCAAAAATCTTCCATCAAAGGTCTTAAACTATACACTCATTCATCTTCCCTTGTGATTATACTTCTGGAGACACTTTTGCCCATCCCCCTATTCCGCCATACATTCTGCCCCCTAATTCACTTTTTTGACCCGGCTGCAAATGAGAGAGGAAAGTGTCCAACTCACTCTATCCTTCCAATGGTTTTTTGCATTGTTCTAGAAGCTTATCGTGGACTAGTTTTGACCGAATATAACGTAGATTGCCTGTCGATAAGCGTACCTCTGAAATATTTTTGAAATGGCTCGATGGCAAGAAGGCAGCAAACAGCAGCAGTCCACGTTGAATTCATTTCATCAGAACCAAAGCCCTGCGTTTGAAATTCTGAAAAAAATTAAAAAAATGTCAGTAAAACGTGCGAACAAATGGACACATACATGCTAACCCGTTTGCAGTATCGAACCCATGTTTCATGCTTATAGAACGAAGGATAAGAGGTAGAGCAAAAAATTTTAGGTCAAAAAATTCACATGAAAAACAAAACATAGGCTTCAAATTTTGATTGGCTAAGGACATCGCATATGCCATGTCACGTGATCAATGTCCCACCTGATATCTAGCAGACTGCATTAAATTTTTTTAATAAAAGTTAAAGTGTCCCTTTACATTCATTAAGTATGCATTGCTAATGATTATTCTAGGCGTGTTATTCAAGAGATAAAAATTCTAGGCGTGTCATTCAAATTTTAAACGTCTTCGGTATCCTTGTTGCCTGCTTAAAAAGGCCTGTGGGTTTGTTGCCAAGTTGGCTAGTACAACGTAACTGATGAAACCATTTGGCTTACGTCACGTAGGAACCGATAACTGCACACGTACCATTGCTGGCTGGGGTAGTTCCATCTTGCTCATTTTTCAGAATTTTATTTGACTCGCCTTCCTTTTCAGGTCTAAATGAGAGGCAATAATGAATATTGTATGCTAGATACTTTTAGCAATGTAATTTTTACACTTTGTTAAACAAATGGCAAACAACATTATATGTTAATATAACTTAACCTTTTTTCTGTTTGCTCTAACAAGCAGAGATATAATGATCATGTTTCTAAGAATGCATCTTGGAGATTTTTGCACATGAATGTAAATTCTTTATGCACGAGAAAAAAAATGCAAAATGATAAAAATTATAAATGGCTTTGAAAAAAGCAAACATTTTACAGCATATTACTTAAAGCTTTTTCGTCTGACACTCCTCAGAGCATAAAACGTCAGAATAGGTTCCGAAAAAACACGATGGAAAAATATATACCCAGTTGTGGATCGAAATAGGCCAATCAGGGAAACGCAAGCACAAGACCGGTATTCTGACGTTTTATGCTCTGAGGAGTGTCAGACGAAAAAGCTTTAAGTATGTCGTAAAATGTTTGCTTTTTTCAAAGCCATTTTCAAATTCTGTACCGCAAAAAAATTGATAAAAATTATCGAAAAAAATGAAATGAAAGCAGGCTATATCTTTTGGAAATCAAATAGTTTGTTAGTAGAATATTATAAAATGTGATTAATGAAGCAACAGAAGATGAATTGAGGATATTTATCTGAAAGAAAAAAGGAACGAAATTTTACATTTCTTCAGCAAATTTATTTCGCTGCCCAAACCAGTGACGCATCAACGAAGTCTGTCAAGAAAGAAGATTATTTTTGCTTGAGGAAATAACTTTTTAAAGAGATTTAAGGCAGCCTGTACTCTTTTTAAAGCTACAAAATGCTGCTGCCGATACCTCACTGTAGCTGTAAGTCACTTAACTTGATAAATACTGTGCTGCTTCAAAAGAATAAGCTAACTTTTTCTGTTTGGCTACTTCGACATCTTATTTTTGATAGCTTTTTCCAAATATTCATCAACAATTAATTCCCAAACACGTTTAGCCATAGAAAGAATTTCGGAAAATCTTGTAATAAGCATATTTTGCTGATGGAAAGTTTAAAGCCTGTTAATATGAACATTTTGGCTAATACATTAAAACTTCTAATTGTAAACTTATAAAAAAATTCTGAAACGTCTTCCTTGTTCCTAAAAATATGTAACAACAAACGAGAATTCTGGTTACCTCTCTATGATAATCAATGCCATTGACTTGAAATTCCTCTTCCTCCCCTTGTACTTCTTCCTCTTCCTCTTGCCGAATAACGGGAAGAGAAGATCTTGCTGTATCCAAACACGATTCTGTCAATCAAAGAGCAAGAAATAGTAGTAAATGAGAGCGTAATAAAAATGTGTGCATTTTTGTGGAGGTGGATATTTTGGAGTGGAGCTGCGTCTCTTTGGTACTTAAGGCTTATAGGCCAATGTTAGATTCTTGTTGGTAACACTAATCTGAGAAAATCTTTGGCTATTGCGACTACAAAACAAATTAGATATTCCAAAGGAAAATTTGCTCTAATTAGCAAACAAAAACGACAAACTAGCTCTAAATTATATAATTAGCTGTATTTCAACCATGCGGACATTTCCCCAGGACAGTGGATATATTATGTTATTGCTTAAGCTCAAAATTGTCTGTTGTTTCGTAGAATCTTTGAATTTTTTTACAACTTCTAAACCTGTAAACTTCTTATTGTTGTCTTTTTTCAAGAATGTTTGTATGAGTCCTATAGACCAAGTGTATGTACTCAGGGAACTGCCAGCGCCGGTCCTAGGCCAACAGCTTGACGAGTTAAGGGGACAGTTCTTGGCATGCTGTTTCTTACCTGCCCCTTGTTGTCATTGGGGAACTATCTGCCCCTAGGTAGACTAGCGGTAAGAGTCCAGGTCATAGCCCGAGCCTGGTATTGAACTCACAAACGTCAACATTAAGGTCTTTAAAAGCATTATCTTATATCTTATGTTGGTTGATGAATCTGAATTGTTGTTAACAGCTGCTCTTTCAGTCGAAAAGTCAACTGCTTTCCCATAAAACCCAAAACATGTATTCGACAGTTACAACAGAGTAATCAACAATGGTACAATTTCCTGCGCTGCAGTATTTAATTTTTTGCTCTCTTCAGTGCAAAATGATATAAAGATACTATTAAATACGATATTTATATCATGCACTGTTTTATACGAGACAATTCCTAGCTTCTTTTAAATTTCAACAAATCTTCTTTTTTCTGTTTTTATCAGGTTTCAAAGCAATAGAATCATATTACGTTATCAATGCTATTTCGCAGTAAAGAAAAGTATAAGAAATGACTTTTATTGTGTATTCTTTTGTTATCTGCTGATAATGGCTTACCATTCTACAAGATAAAGCGAATTGATGGTCTTTCTGAGGAAAATGCCGAAATGATAAGGAAGAAAATTCATTGCTACATTTCCACTCATAATCCTGTATAAGTTGCACTTTCTACCAGCTTATCAGTTCCTTGCGGCTCGTTTTTTCACCAGTAGGAAGATGATGATTAGAAGCTAATCAGAAGATCGAGAGAACAGATAAACATTTGATGTAGAAAGATTACTGACTGCATCTTCCTAACTTTCTTTTCTTAACGAATCAACTTAGAGCAATGAACTTTCAAAAGCAGTGAAAACTTCACTAATCCCTCTATAACCTACCGTATTTTGATACTGATTCGTCGTCACACAAGGTTAAATGATGACAAGCTGTATGTCCACATGATATCATAGAATCGCTGCAATTATTAAGAACAGCACACTGTTAAAAAGTGTTAATTTCATTATAAAATTAATGAAGGAGAGCAACGACAGAATTTGAAAAAAACGCATGTAGACAGAATTTGTGAAGAAGAGCACATAATATTATGAAGACCACAATAAAAGAATTCATAAAGAAGGGTAGCCCCCAGGGGGGTCTACAGCCTAGGCTGAAGGAAGAGTAAAAAAACAGAATTTGAAAAGAAGAACATTAAGACATAATTCATGAAGATGAGCAAAAAAACAGAGTTCACGAAGAAGAGCACAACGACAGAATTCACGAAGAAGGGCACAAAGGCAGAATTCATGAAGAGGGGCAATTCATGAAGATGAGCACAAAGGCAGAATTCATAAAGAAGAGCACAAAGGCAGAGTTCACGAAGAGGGGCACAAAGGCAGAATTCATGAAGATGTGCAAAAAATAGAATTCATGAAGAAGAGCACAACGACAAAATTCACGAAGAAGGGCACAAAGGCAGAATTAATGAAGAGGGGCAGTTCATGAAGATGGGCACAACGACAGAATTCGTGAAGAAGAGCACAAGCATATAATTTGTGAAGAAGAGCACGAAGATAGCATTAAGTAATGGCGAGAGGGTTAAATTTTCACTATTGACTATGTAAATTTCATCTCGTGAAAAGTAAAGCAAACCAAGTCTATATTTGGGAGGAGATATATGTATAGCGACATGACTAAATATTATTAGTCACAGAATACCTTAACATCAAAAGAACTTCCATCAAATGAACTTGTTGACAGGGCTACTTGCTACATCAAGATAGAGAACAAGGAAAAATTTCTCTTTAAACTGCTATGTAAAAACACAAAGGATTCAGTTTACTACGTTCCTAGTGAGTAGGCCATAATCAGCACCTCCGCGACAGACTTAAGATAAGAAAACTCCATTCGCTAAGTCGAGCTGACATTGCATTCCCCTTGCCCAATACATCCATAAAAATGCCTCGATCAATCGAGCATTCGCTATCTCGAACCATTTCATTGGTCCCTTGGAGGTTCGAGTAACCAACAATTTACTGTAATTTCATAAACACGATTCTCTGTTTAAGGAATTATGTGTGAGCTCAGGTAGCAAACTAATCTGATACTTTTTGATAAGAAATTAAGAACAGAGAAAGTCTAAATTCACTAGTTTTGATGTAGCAAAAAATCTCACCTATCATGCAAGTCATATGAGGTCATGCCATGAGCTTCTTCGTCGTCCGCTTTAGTGTGAGGCATGACATACTGTTCCTGGAATTCCTAGAAAAGGATAGTACATAAGATATCTATGAAACATTCACTGTATTAAGGAGATCAAGCCCCAGGTATTTCGCGGTGCAACACACAGGATCCTAAAATTATATTATTGATCCAATCTCGCCAAATGCTTTCCTTTAACAGGTACAAACTTACATCATTTTATTCTTGAATCACAAAAATTATCCATGTCTAATTTCCAAACGCAAGCAGACAGAATTGTGATCTTAGGGCCGAAATTTTTATTTGTTTTTTCGTTCTATGATTCTACAATTTATGCGAATTAAGGGTTGATCTAGTGTCTGCATATATCTAGCTAATTATAGCAAGCAAATATTCGCATAGGCGCTGATTGCACGGTCAGGTTTCAGGCAACTATGCTTTCAAGTTCAATCAAAACATGCTTTCAACAAAGCATGTCAAATTGTTGAATCTTTAATGCGTTATTCTACACTAGAACAGCTGATGACATGATTTTCACTCATACTTTGCAGTTGATTCTTGATTAGCTTGACGTCAGTCAGAATGTTTTCACTTTTCTCCATGCTGAGAAGGCAATTTTCTTCCCTTCCGGCAAATTTCTGACATAAACCAACAGAGTGAACTTAAGTGTAGATAGTGAATGATAAAACTAGTGAATGATTTGTGGGCGGATGATAAACGCATTATCTTTGATTGCTAAAAGCTTGTCTCTGCGAAATCAGCAACTTTTTTGCTTTTTTAAAAATAATCAAAACAGACCTTTTGACAGCTGTCTGCTCAACGCAGATGAAAAAAAACCTCTGTGGTGAACTATTGATTCCAAGTCATGCATCGATTAAAGATAAGATATTTGCTAAATTTCGTAGAATATGAATCCAAAAAATGATATGTTAGTATCAATATACCTTTAAGTTATCTCTTTCTTTCTTCCAAGACTCAAATATTCTCCAATTATCTCCACTTAATCGTCTTGCAGGGCTCATAACCTAAAATGAAACCCCACAATTTGTTGATATTGAACGACTTACAATTTTCCAGAATCTCATCCCTTGATCTTTATGATAGGTTTATCTGGTTGTTGAACCAAGAAGGTTAGGATTGTCTAATTTTTATAGCTAATTTTATATCCTTGGCTTTCGAATAACGGGAATCTTTTGAGAAGTCCTCTATGTACAAATCTGTGTAACGTTTACTGTGTAGCTTATAATCATGTTCACATTTTCTTATCTTGTATTAACTGCTTGAGATCTATAATGTAATTTGAGATTTATTTTTAATTTGTTATAAAGGTAGTTATGTTAACTTGTAATTGTGTCGACGATGGGCCATTTAGGCCTGCAAGCCTTATAAAAGAAACAAATAATTCGTTTCTTCCTCTTAAGTGAAGAGGTTGACTGACTTGATTAACGTCTCTTGGGCTTCCTTATAATGCAAATGCAGCAATGGTTGGAATTAACGAGGAAGTACAAAGCTTGCATCAATTTCTGAGAAATAGCCAAACACATGCATTGATTTACCCATTCATAGAGTGTTACTTGTTCTCGGTTGCAAAATAGCAGAACAAACAAAAGGGACATCACTGGCAACTTACAAACTAAAGATGGCAAAAAATGTGAAAATTCATAAAAAATATTTTCTGGGTTACAATGAATTGCAACAAATACACCATATCCCATGTCCTCCTAATTATCTTTGGACTTTTACAGACGATTTTTATTCTAATTTTCACGAATTTTTTTCAAACTTCCTTCAAAATTTATTGGAATCATCTCTCTCATCACCCCTTTTGGTCTGATTGCCTTTATTTCCAAAATTTATATTTTTCAGGACAATTCTTGCCAATTGTATAATGTATTCTTCAATGATAACTAGTTGTTGAGACGTTGAAGGATTCTACTGTAAGGTGCACCGATGTTCCAGCTTCCCAAATGACTTCATACGCTATTGGGGTAGTGGGCCCTGTCATTATCGCAAGCTATTTGTCCAAGCCTCGTTTGCACATCAATATCGTTTTCAGGTAGCAAAAACAGTTAGTGCTTACCTCATCCATATTCTTCGGTCTTATCTCGCGATCTCGCAATGTTATCAGAAGGCTCTAGATAATCTAGAAAGAAAAGTGTTCGAGATCCTTTACTGCAAAAATCGTTAAAGAGCAGCTGCTACAACTTACTTTGACAACAAACACAATAAAAGAACTGATTCATCCTCCCTTCTTCTTCCAATTTTGCAGCTGGGAGTGGACATAAATCGAAATCTACCTAAAATTTTAACGGTTATGTTCAGCAGTAGCTGTACAATATGATACCATTATTCAAGAAAGATCATTGGAAACGTTGCTGGCGCTGGGACGCATAGCCTATTAACTTAGATAGGGTTCCCCAGAAAACAAAGAGCGTATCAACTCTTTTCTGTTTATCCTACCTGATGGCGAAAAACCGATCAGGATTGCAATATCGTCTGATAATTTAGATATTACCAGAGATTACCAGAGCAAATAAAAATTAAAATTTTGAAAAACTTTAATTGAACAACTTTGCATAGATGTCCAAAGCAATAGCTTCGAACATTTACTTTAAATCAACAAATATTTGTTTTTGAAACTTACCGTTAGATTTGATCTTCAGAGACAAAGTTTTCATAAGATCTTATTTTGATAAGATATAATTCTCATATGATCAATTGAAGATCGAATAACTTTCTAAGATCTAAGAATTGTTTTTAGAAAAATCGAAAATGTCAACATTCTTTAATTCGAAATTAGAACGAAATTCGTTTGCTCCAATGAATAGAAGGCCTCGTTTTGATTATTTCCGCAACAATGCCGAGATTCAAAGTGAAAATTCAGCACGCCAGTTCTTAAGATAAAAACAAACATTTTCTCATCATAGATTTACCACATTCTGTCTTATTTAACAATAAAACTATTCACTGGGTAAGCCTCACAATAATCTGATAAGTGATCACCGGCTAATCTTGCACAGCGGATATGACATCGGTACTAAAGCAAGCCTTAAAATCATTTAGCAGGGGTACCTAAAATATGAACAAGATTGAAATGAGAGAAGTCTGACACGTAACATAATAATTTGGCAGAAAATTTAACAAGATGATCGAGTTTTCATTTCTACGATTTTTTAACGGCGCAATCATGGTGGTTTCTTGCATAACCGAGATCGTTGAGCATGCAATTTACATATTATCTGCACAGTCTAGCCTACCAAATGTACCAAAGCAAAGGCAGTTGATGAAAGGACTCTCAAACCTGGTGTCAGAATATTGTGGAAAAATGTGCATATTGAGAAACTGTGCATATTGAGAAGTTTACTGGTCCTTCCTCCCGTTGTGACTACACCCCGTGATTCCCAAGCTTGAAATAACAGAAAACTGCCCCACCCCCACTGTAAGTTAGATTTTTTCATGTCAAAGACTCGAACCACAAGCCCTTGTATCTGTTTTCAGGACCCTAACTACTGAACCCCTTCTCACTAGTTGCTCTATTGTCAATGTCTTTTCTCTATTATAGCATAATTATGACGTCACATTACAGCCATGCCCAAATCCAAAACCAACGTATGCATCTTGACTTGACACCACAGAAAATGTGCTAAAGCAAGAATTTTAGTCCACTTGGAAGTTTTCATTATGTTATTGCTCCCGAAATTGATTTTATGATAACGTAAAGATAGAAATTTTATAGGAATTCGATCGTGATTGGCGACCAAAGTTACACCTGGAATAATTTTTGCGTTCAAATCCCTTCAAGTTTTCAAGCTACATTTCACCGTAAAATCTAAAAAAGCATAAATAATATGAAAAATTGTATCTGGCCGAGAAGAATGGCGATAAAACTGAATCTGAGCTAAAAAATATCGTACAATGAAGATAAAGTCGTATTCTATTTATATGCCTATTTTTCTAAACGATAGTATTAATTCTTAATTTTGCATCTGAATTTTGGGGATTCGATAAGATTATGTGGACGTCTGCACTTATCTGTCAGCAGGGCCATAGCGAGAATAGTATCATTGGGAGCGAAAAATTGGATCTAAGGGCAAATTCACAAGAAATTATTAGCAGGCAACGCTCTCCAGATGCTCTTAGGCCCTCTTAGGATGCTATATTTCACAGATATCCCAGTGTTATCTAATAGTCACAAAAACCACATGATGATTTGAAAATGTACTGACTACACTATTAAGATCATTTTGGGCCACGGCTCTGCAGATAGGCTGCAATGATACTGAATTAAGTGAGATTCAGTTTCAGTTTCATATTTTTAAATTCTCAACATACAATTTATATATCATTAATACAAAGAAATTATTAAACTGAACTACATAATAGTAAGAATACAAATACAGGACAAAATAAATTGTATGAAGGGAATTCTTAAAGGAGGAGATCTCTCAATAGGTAAACTAATCGAAGAGAGACCACCCCCCTACTATTCTAGGACAATAACTGAGCAGTTTTTGATGAGTTTCAATAAAAAGTAATTGGCTAAAATGCACATACTCTTTAAACATAAAAATGGGGACTTTCCAACTAATTAAAATCAGCTGGAAAAACTTAGAACGGGAATTTAGTTGTTATACTAGCTTACTGGTTGATCTTGTTCAACAAGTGAATTTTAAGTTTCGATTTGAAAGATTTTTTTGATGGAGAATTTCGCATTTCAGAAGGTAACAGTCTAGTAGAGATCGGTAACAGGAGAATTTTGGGGACAAGGTAAGAGGAGAATTTCGCAGTTCATAAGTAGAGATCAGTTGGGTTGCTAAGGAACAGTCCATCTATAGTGGCTGTAAGATTAACCTCGAAGTAAAAGATTACTCTAATGATGAACAATTAGCTTACCTAAGCAAACACGAGCTCTTCTCGTGATCAAGATATCTTGATTTGAAAGAAAATTGGTGAGGCATTTTAATAAATTGTTATAAAAGGCTTATGTTATTGCCAGAAAAGGCCATTTAAGCCTTATCACTTTTTGGTCTTTACTATTTTAATTTTTCCTTACTTTTCCTCTTACCCATTCATAATTGACTATTTGACATTGTATGTCATTTTAATATTTTAGATATATTCATTTCTGTTTCATTTCACAATAAATATATTTATAGTTTAGTTAGCATTATCAAAATTAATTTCGATCAGCACCTATTTTTTAGAATAAACATCATGATGGGCTTGGCTCATGGTAAAAAGAATAAGAAATTCTCATCCTGTGATCTTTTTGTAACAATTGTAACGTATTAAAACTTCTATAGTAGTTGGATTTTTGAAGTATGGATGGCACTAAAGTATGAATTTTAAAATAGTAACCAAAAAAGCAGCATATGAAATTGTTTATCTTATGACCATACCCTTAAAGAATCGGACATGTTTTTTTTGTCGGTAAAATCATTGCTGTATACCCCTCAGAAATTTTTTTTTGGCTTCGCCCCTGTAAACATGGAATGACATGAAAACACACTACTGCCATATTTGTTGCGTGAGCAAGGCACGTGACCAATCCTTCTAAGAACGTAATGCGCATGATCGAGTATCTCTCACCGATGTGCGGTTGCGTTAAGTATCATCCTTCAGAAGGGATGTTTGTCATTCAATATTGATTAGGTCGTTTTGGCCTATGTGCTTTAGCAGTGATAATTAGAGCAATCCAGTAGAGTGCAAAGAAGGTGTAATGTAACTGTTGTATGTTTGGAAACATACGTTTTAACTATAATTCAGTCACTTGGAATTGAATTTTGATACTGAGATAGGATTTTCAACATGATACAGACGAACTGAAGCGTCGAAAGTTTTAATTTTCTGCCTGCGTCAAGTTGAACATGGTTTGCAAAGAAGGAGTTGTTATATGGTTTAGGGGCCTGCAGGGAGGCGAGCGAATTGACCTAATGTGTAGTTTGTTAGACTGTTGTGTACCGCTGGAGCTTCGATTCCTTGGTACATATATCGAGTTTGCGGCTAGTAAACATTATTCGAATCTGCAGAAATATGAGAAAACGGTGAACGAAAGTTCTTTTGGTGAGCTTAGGGACCTTTACGATGAAAAGATTAGGCGAAAGTTTCTTATCTACCTCGCACTTTTGTATTCTTATAATAAAAAAGCTGCTACTGATATGTTCAAATTTTTAGAAGATTTTGAATTACCTAGTGAAAAACCAAACTCAAAAGACGATAATTTATCATTGAATGGAGTATCTTGTACTGACGAGGAGACTAGCTTGGACGAAATCAAGTTGCTGTTGTCGATGGCCTCCTACCACCCAGCGTTTACGTTTCACCAAAAACAGACCCTCCGGAATAAACTAGTGAGTATAGTAAATGAAATTTTAGATTTTTATAGATATGTCTATTTGATACTTTTATTCGCTTCTTTATTTATTTTTTATGATAAAATGACTTCCAATAATTTTGTTGGCTTCCATGAAACTCGATACACGTTGCAGAGCTTATCAGTTATTCAATTTACGTGATGTGGAATGACGAAGCATTACATTCTAAAATCTTCTAGGCCAGGTTATGTATCAAGAAATGACTTTACGTAGTTGTCATGCTTCAGTTGTTTTTGTAATTGGATTGTTAGGGCTGCTCAACAAGAATATGTAATAACCCCGAGGAAGCTTCTCTTGACTTCTTATTCAATATATCATCCAAGGTTCTAATTTATTAGTTAATCTCTTGAATCGTTAAATTATCCATAGTCTTATATTCTTACCAAACAAAAGTGTGTAATTGTGAATTCAAACACAATTTATCATTAAATAATTTCCCATTGGCTTGCAAAAGGGAAAAAAGTTTCTTTCTGGTCCTACAAAATTGCCCCTTAATTAAAGCATTAGAGACTATAATAAGCCTGCTTTCTTTTATTATATACTATTCTTGTTGTTTTTAACCAATTCTCTTACTGTAATCCAGTTGTTGTCAACATTTATAACTAGTAGGAACCTTTAGTTGGATTTCATTCATTTTTCTTGCTTTATTTTTCTTTTACAAGTTTCATGTTAGCAATTTTGGTAATAAGTTTCATGGAACTCAATTTTTGATGAAATCTGTCTACATCAATCAAGACCTTGCCTTGTACCAAATGTTCATATACATTGCAAAGTAGAAACATGTATAGACAAGAGAGCCAAACTTTTGTGAAATTTTCCTTGTTTCTTATTTTGCAATGGGTAGGCTTTTTGTCTTTTTCTTTTTACCAAGAAATAGATAAATATTTTTCAGTTTGTATCATTATTTTTTCAAATCAGTATATGGGAATTGAATCCAGGGCAAAGGGATATATTTAGAATGCTCCTCCAGTAGTTTGATTATAATGAACAATCTCCATTTGATTACAATTTAGTAAATGCCAAAGTGTTATTTCTTTTAATAAGTTCAGTTATATACAATAAATTTCTTTTTTCACTGGCAATGTTTTCACTGGCAATCACATGGAAAGTGTTTTTTCTCCCACCAAATGCTTTCTTCATGTTTGTTCAACTGCTCATTCATTTATTGATTCATTCATTTGTTTATTGCAATTTGATTGCTTGACCTTAACTGTTCCTTTAATATACTAAAGTGTTTAATCTTATATATAAGTTTTTCACAAGTTATATACGCTGCAACTTTTTTCATTTTGAAAGTTGTTGCAACACAATTTGTTTGAAGGAAACTTTGAGAAAGACAATCGTTTAGGTCTGAAGCACACAATACTGATCATGTCAATATGATTCTTAAAACAAATACTAGCAGGTTTTTGCAAATATCTTTTTTCTTTTTGTTAACATAAGATAATACCAATTTCCTTGGCAATAGCAGGTATCAGTTGATACAAAGGTTTATTAACTTGTTTTAGTTTAAAAAAATATTCAATATGCTAAATTCTTTAAATGCAGTAAATCTTTTCTTGCCAGATTGATATACCAGTTTTTGTTTTATGTTTTCAATCATGATTTTCTTAGTTTTTCTACTGATAATTCATATCTTATATTTTAAGTGAACCATAATGTCTAGAATTAGTCTTAAAGATACATTTAATGTTTAAAGCAGTGTTTTCAATCAATTTTCTTAGTTTTTCTACTGATATTTCATATCTTATATTTAAAGTGAACCATAATGTCTTAAATTAGTCTTAAAGGTACATTTAATGTTTAAAGCAGTGTCTGCACAGTGTTCTAAGCAGTACAGTATCTGCAAAGTTGAAAAACCACGATAGAACTTTCCAAAAGACAAATGAATTATTCAACCACAGTGTCTGTTAACTAAGTTTTTGATTTGTCGGATGAATTAATGCTGTGTTGTGTAGGTAAAATAATTAAATTTTAATCAATGAAAATATACATTTATGGTTTTTACTTTTGATTGCATTACTTAGACTTTGCTAGCTGTTGGTATACATCAAGAATATAAATTAAGAACAGATAATAAAATTTCATTTATTTTATAAAACAAGCAAGTACTAAAGTGCCATTTTAGTAGAAAGCAAATCTGGCTTTTATTATATGAAATTTGATGTCAGCTTTCTAATAATAACATTGTCCAAAAAATGGGATAAGCAATTTCTGGAGATGAAGTTACAGGCCTTGCTCTAAGTAAAATGAAGGTGCTCCATAAAAAGAGCCCCTTAGAAACTCTAGGCGCTCTATTTCGCACCTCTAAGTAAATTTCCTTGAGAGCATCCTTCGAGAGCTTTAGGAGATCGAGAGCTTCATATCAAAAGCTTCGGAAGAATGTTAAATATGAAATTCAACGGTGATACCAGAAAGCACCATAATATGAAATAATAAAACATGCAACAAACACTATGTTAATATAAATATAGAAATATAATAGAACAAAGTCGCAAAGTTGTTCAGATTTTTCTAGATATGTAAGTTGCTATCATTCGATGAGCTTTTATTAGTGTCAGTATCACTACTGTTATGTTCAGCTTCACATATTGCTTCATCAAAACGCATGGCTTTAAATCGAACATTTAACTTTGTTTCCTTTTTTCATGTTATCTATTCTATAAGAAACGCTAGAACATCTACTACTCGCAAAAGCAAATGAAAAGCAATGCGATAATTTGGACGGAAATGTGATCGCTGATTTGCACAGGCGATTTTAAGTTATTAAGAAAAACAGAAAATAATATATACTTCAATAGAAGATTAACGCTTGCTCGAAAGTCAAATAAATCTGCCGGAGAATACGCTTGATGGCCTGTGTCCTTGATGGTTATTAGAGGGTTATTAGATTGAAAATGATATCGAAAACCCAACGTTGAATTTGCTGAATTTTTTCTCAAGAGGTAATCTTACGCAAATCATAATTTTGCGGTTTGTTGGGAAGATTGTTTATGCTTGATCAAGTTGATTCAACAAATTCCAAAAATTTATTTTGCTCCGTGTTAATATTGTTTTTACGTTTTGAGGGGCTCTATAAATCGCTCTCCAAGGCTTTTTTTGGGTGCGCTCTAGGCGCGCGCGCTCGATCGAGCGCCTTTCCGGGCAAGGCCTGAAGTTAATATCTCATACTAATCAATGAGTTCTTGTTTTTAGGATTTTCCACAAAAGCCAACTGTGCCGGCAAGCACAGTCCAGCAAAAAGAGACACCTTCTGAATCAATAAAGAAAAGTCCACAGATATGTTCTAATCTTAGCGAACTTGTTTATGTCAGAAATGACATTTCAAACCTTTCATTGTCAAGTGGTGAGTTTTACTTCAACTCTTTTCTTCAATGATAGAAGAATAAAGAAAAGAATTTTTTTGCGTTTTTGTAATATGTTGCAACAGTAATGTAAAGCAATGTTTGATACAAAGGAAAATGGTTTACAGACCAAAAATATATAATTAAATTTCCAAATATGTTACCTTGGCAAACAGGTTCTCAATAAATTGAATGTAAAAAATATTAGTTTTTTAAGTATTTGATGGTAGTCCTTTATTGTCGGATGACAACTCACACTGACTGTAAGCACACAATAACTAAAGAATATATTTTATTTTGTAATTTGAAAGCATTTTTTCACTGTCAAAAATGGAGTTTCCAGGGACCTAAGGGCCATGTTACACTGTAGGTTTTCAACAGATATTAATATTGTTTTATATATTCTATTATGAACATTCCTAAATTTTTGCACAGCTGAAGCATAAGTTGCAATAATTATGCAGTAAAACTCTTCCAAGTTTTGTCATTATTAATATCTGATGAATATCGGATGTTATCAGCTAACTGGGTAACTGATAAAGACAAGTTTAATTGGGAATAGATTCAAGCTTGTAGTATCAAAAAGCTTGAAAGAAGAATTACTCAGAGGGTAGGAAAGTTTTTGTCTTCCTGTGGGTGCCATAATGCCATAATAAAATTTCCTCTGCATATTTTTTGTTAGTTTGTGAAATTCTTTTAAGCTGGTGTGACTGAATTGGGGATAAGGGGAAGAAATTATGGATTTTGAAGATGCATTTATGATTTGTGGATTAGGCTAAAATTTATATGATGTAATGACCAACTTATTGATCATTCAGCTCTTTAATTTAGTCAATTCAACATTCTTCATAAAGTAACTTTACAACAAAGGGTGGTGTGGAGTGCCTTGTAAGGACTCATTCTACCATCTTGCTCTGTTAGAATAAGGATTTTTCATAAAACTTTCATATGATCACTGCTGGTGCACTCAGTTTTCTCATTCACTCATGAATATGTTTATAATCTGTATGATAAAAATTGAAACCAGATAAAAAGAAAATTAACTGTGATAACAGGGATAGCATTAAAGAGGCCAAGAAATAACTTGTTTCCATAATGATATTTTAGAGTGGGAAATGAGTAGAACAATTTGAGGATTATGTTTGCCCCTTTGATTTTGGCTTCATTCATCTGTTTTAGATACAACCATCAATGTTCTGAACTCTTGTTGTAAAACCAGAAATCATCATATTTGTCAGTGCACTTTCGAAATGCTATTTTAAGAATGCAATCTGCTTAAAGGTATTGTGTCATGGTAGATAGACATCCTTTGCAAAGGGGTCATTTGCTTTTGCTGTGTTTAGTGTAAGTTTGTGTGATTTAGGTAGCCATTTTGTACAAGTGACTGTTGACAAAAACCTGTTTTCCAAATTAATGCCAGGCAACTTCATGTGATCAACGCCAATAGTAATGCATATTTAGGTATACCCAAATTCATGTTTTTGATGATGGGTATATTCTTAAATCATCACTCAACACCTTTAAAATTATTATCATCAACATCATAATCATTGATCTAAAGTTTGTTATTTTTCTGTCCAGCTTTGGGTTAGACTGCAATGATTCAGAGTACATTCTCACATAATTAAGTTTTTGTCATTCTTTGTTCTATGAAATCAAAATAATACAATTTTCTTAATTGTAATTTATCTCTTTTGGGTAAATTATTGAATTAAGATTATAAATTTGTTTTTACATATAAATAAATTTATGCTTTTGCACTTCAAGTTTAAATATGAAAATGCTTTCCTCCTTTTTGTCTTTGTCCGTCCACCTTAAAATTGAATTTTAACCAGTTCAATTGTTTTTTACTTTTGTTTATTGGTATTCTGCTAAGGTTGTTTCCTGATATAACAAGAAAATATCAGCAATTTGATTTAACAACTGAGAATGTTAGGTATAGATGTTTAGCTCTGGTGTATAGAACAGGATGGTTCTATACTGCAACTGTCAGATTGCAACTATATGCCACCACCAGGTACATTTATGAGGGGCAGGTCAACTGTCAGTTTCATTAGTTAATATGTCATTCATTCAGCCAGCCATGCAGCGACTTTGATCTTGAGGCTAGCCATCCCTTCACTCTAGAAAACTTTGATTACAACTGCACTCTTCTACTTGCCCATGGCAAAGGTGCCATTTGCATAGCTGCATCAATACTGGTTCCCAGTCAGACGATCATCAGACAGAGTGCAATTGTTTTCTTATGATTGCCTTGATGAAGGCTAACCACAATGGCTAAAGTAAGACCCCAGTAATAAAGCATTGCAATTAGCAAAGTCAATCGTTTTAAAGCATTGAAAATATCATTTATCATTTGTCACTTTATGTCACTTTAAAGACATTACAACAATCAGTATGTCACTTTAAAGATAGGCAGTGTTCTCTCTATTTAAAACAAATATCAGCCTCTGATTCCTTCAAATTATATACAAATTTTTAAAGGAGTCAAAAGATCTGACTTTAGTCTCTTCCATTTCATATTTTTCTGGGTTAAGAATATTCGGCTACAATGAATAGTTAAGTTAATGAAAAGGAAGCAACATGTTTTCGAGATAGAGAGAGTGGGGAGGGGGAGGGGGGGGGAGCGTGGTATTTGCAAACCTTAAAAAAAACTGAAAAAATTAGCAAGAAATCTTGCGCAAGCAACTGATTGCCAAAAAGAGGAGTTCCAACACATGGAAATTGCTGTAGAGGAATTTAAATGCAAAACAAATGTTTACTTTCACTGAATTAATTAAGCGTAATCATCATGTTGGTCTCAGCTTGGAGAGGGGGTGGCTGATTTTGCCTTCGAAAACTGACCTTGTTGTTCACAAAGACTTCTGGTGGGGATGGTAAGTCACAGAGTCAAGATTACATTCAATTTCTATTCTGTGTGGTAGCTAGCAAGCTGGGTTTTCATAACATATAAAGAGAGCTTCTTTGAATTTTTCAACAAGATTTATAATCCAATATGGGTGTAAGAGAAGGAAGCAACCAACCCACGTGTAATGAGTCAACATTCATTACTTGCCTTGACGACTTCGATGGACAACACCCATAGTTTGGCTTTTGATGTCTAAAGGAAGCGGAGGATTTCATAAATTAACTGTCATAAATTAACCACAAAGTTTTTTATGTGGACATTGATCCTTGATCTAAAGAGGCAGATTTGTTTACGTGAACTCGACATTTTTTCTTGAATATTTATAAAATATAAAACATACAGTGACTGAAAAGAAACAAAGAGAGGTTATTTGCAAGAACTGTATCTTGCTGTAATTGCTCTCTTTTTTTGCCATTTGTAAGGAATGTCTTACACCAAGAAGGACTGGGGGGCTGCCTTTGCCTTGTATTTTTTGAAAGAAGCTTAAGTCCAGGGCTGGTAGGCAGTTGTTAAATTTTCGGGCCATTTTGCTACCAAAATTTCTAACGTGTTTCTTAAATATTTAGAGTCAATATCCAGCACTCCCTTGAAAAGTTGTGATCGATATAAATTTTTAAAATGAACATTTATGGTTTCCTGAGAATGAATATAATCTGCATGTCAAGTGTAGTGTGTGCAGTATACAGTGGTATTCAATGCCCAATCTGTTCGACACCAACCCCCCTAAATTTTCGCGATCTTCGGTAAATTTTGCTCCGATTTGGTAAAAAGCGATTTTTGGCAGTCGTTTGTAACAAAATGATGCAGAAAAGTTGCTTTATTTATCTTCTTATCTTCTTTATCTTAGAGTTTAAAACTGAATTTTAAAAATCGGCTTTTCCATTTTTTTCAGTCAGGGGAAGGGTATGACACAAAATCCAGTCATTACCTAACAACACCCTTCCCCCCAATCCTTGCCCCTAAATTTCGTCCCTGGTTACTGGGAAAACTGCAATTTATAAAAGTTTTTTAACGTTTTGATTTCAGGTAGGGTTGTTTCTTAACTTTCGAAAAATTGAGCCTACCGTCTTTAACAAGCTGTTTCTTATAAAAAATGAGTGCAGCCCAACTAAAAGCAATGTCATTGAAACATTATTTCATGTTCTTTAGTATTTTCAGTGCCGTCGGAACGAAATTCACATTGGGAGTGAGGCCCATTGTATTCCTTCTCATTCAGTACACTATTATAAGGGAAATATGATACAGTTTGACAAAAATTGTGGGGCTACGGTCCTTGTATTTTTATGTACGCGAAGAATTCTGTGAATGTCTTTATGCCGTGAACCAAGATGTTGTATCAACGTTAAAATCTTGATGATATGGTGTGTGTATGAACGAGACTTCATTTCCCAATATTTGCTATCAGTAAACGCTGAAACACCCAGACTTCGCGTATATCGTTTTGTCTCACTGAAAATATTTACTTCTTTCCTGGAAATAAATTGCATGTGGCTAGACAATGTCTTCAAAATTGGCTTTTTTAACAACATTCTTACAATAAACGCGTTTACGGGAGACTAAGCTTGTTTCTTGGGTCAGAGCCCATCTGATTGGACATTTTAAGACATGTGACGCTCCCCCGCACTTTCCTTTATATTTTTCACAATAGTATGGTCATGACCTGTAAAGTTTTTGCGAAGGCTTGTAGCCCGGCGGTTGTTGGAAAGCCACTTGAGCGAAAACACTAAAATATTATATTGTATAACAACAACACTTGGGTGTATTCAATAAAATCAGATGCTGTTGGTTAGGATATTTCCTTTTCGTTAAAGTTTTCTTTGTATAGCTGGTATAATACAGTGTCAATATTTGTAGGAGGAGTGTTTTGTGTAAGTTGACACAGTTGTGCCTTGGCCCACGCTGTTTTACAAATAATTGTAGTTAGGATAAGAGCAAAGGATTACTAATAATTTTGAGGCAAATAGTAATGAAAACAGGTTGTAAGCTGTTTGATTCAGTTGTGTTCAATAAATGTTTTGTTATTTTATGTTTGTTTTCAATAGTTGTATATTTTATGTTCATTTGACAACACAGCATTTCAGTACGCCATAGCTAGCAAGTTAAATTTTGTTTTGAGTAATATTTATCTGGACGCATTTATAAATCAGTTTTCAAATTCATCAGCTGAGGCGTGTTGCTTCGTTTTGAATGGAGATGCCCAAACGAACTAGCTTTTTTCTGAAAACCAGCTCCGCAAGGTTTAAACAACCCTGGGAACCTCATTTTTCTTGCAAAAGACAACTAAAGAAATTATAAAATTGATTTTATAATTCTTGACATCTATGGAAATTTCAAGTGAAAATTAAAGGTTGATGTGGAGTACTCCAGTTTCTTAATGTTCTAGAAATTTCAATACTCGTTGTTTCTTAAGAGTTTCTTACTTATGATGTCATGAATTTTATATTTGGCGTTTCTTTTCTTTATTTTTTCATGCTAAGAAGAAATTTTAGTTAATGTTAGAAACTATTACAGAAGATGTTTCTACTGTTATGAAATTATGCTATCTTATGAAATGTTCGTGACCTTTTTTATCACGTCAAGAGATTCGCTTCGGTCTGCATTTAGATGTGGGAAGTATATTTTTACCCCAGGTGTCTTAAGTTCTAGGCGAACAGAGCAATCATGTTCTTGTATTTTTCAAAATTTCGTTGTTCTAAATTTTATCACGATTTAATAGTTTCTTAATTTTTTTGCTTCGAGTACTGAAGTTTCTTAATTTTTTCTGACTTTCCAATACTCGTTTCTTATAGCCAGTTTCTCATAAAAAAATGAGTATATGCGCAGTCAAGAGACATTAAAAGAATTGATCGGATTGCTTCTTTTTACACCCTAGGGGGTTATTTGTGGGTTGGGATTATTCACTTGGCAAACCTTGCATCGGGATGCCCCCATGAAACATTTCTAGCTCCCCAGCCCAAAACTATTTGACTGACCCATGGCTTATGCCAGTTAAAGATCTGTCAATTCAAAACCTTGCTAACTTCAAATTTGCGTCATAACAACCATTTCTTTCATGAAAGACGCCTGCTTTGTATTGTCAATCGCTTTTCCTTTATAAACCTATATATACAACGAAGCAAAAACTTAACGTAAAGAGCTATATTGAATAGACCTAAGAATCTACTCTGAACATAAATAGATTCAAAATAACAAATTTATTTCAAATAATTAATATGTTCGAAATAAAAAGGTTTTTCCAAACTAGCAAATGTCTAATAGCTAATATATTCAATGTAGCTAATGTATTCTGAATAACTTATGAAATCTTAATAACTTATGAATTCCAAACAGCTAATATATTTCACATAATTAACGTATTCAAAAAAATGTATTGAGCATATTTCGTGTTGTAGATAATTGCACAATACATTTAGCATGTCAAAGAAATATTCTTCTAGGGTTACTCATCATTTTTTTTGCGAGTTTTTTATTTGAGCCCAGTATCATGTACGAAGTGTTGTTTTCTATTTTGATGAACAGATATCACACGGTCTCAGTTCAGGGTTACTATGCATGCCGGGTAGCTCCCAAAAGGGACTGTCGAGTATTTCTTGGAGACAAAAATTGCCTTTATTTTCCATGTGGTGGATTTTTTAATATTGGTGAATTTCACAATTCTTTCAACTTTTTCAGGTAGCCAATCTGCAACAAGACTGGCATCACCACTGGATAATCGATTGCCAAACCGGTATCAAGCCGTTCCCTTTGCTCCTTTATTCTCGCAAGCACCAGCAATGCATAGCACTCCATTTCAAAGCATTCCAGTATGTAATATTGGCAGCATGCACGCAATACCTGGATCGATCACTGTTTACCCGACGAACCCCCATACTCAAGTAACACCAACTTTACAACCAATGTTAGTTAAGCCAACATCAGTTGGTAAAACTGGGGGGTTGGCTCAAGGTCCTAATGGAGTCATTCATACAATTTACCCAGCACCAGTTTTCGGTGAGTATACTTCAACCTTTTGCATTTTCATCGTCGATTTTCACACTGACACATTTGGCTCCGTTACTTGGCTATCTCAGTTCTATATCCGAGACACTTGTCTTAAACCAGACCCATTGGTCATCATCTTCGAGCGAACACAGAAAAGCTTTTAATCATGAAAGTGAATCTACATGTTATGTCTTCATGTCTTGGTGCAGCTTCCAAACTGTAAAGGCTTGGTTGTACTTATTTCAACCGCATCACTGCCCTTCTGGTCTCCTTCCTTTCCTGAATTTAACTCTCATCTTTGGAAACCTAATTCTGTAACCAACAGAAGCCTAATGTGGATAATCATATTCGTGTTTGACTTTTGGTTAATATAAATCACTCTTAAGTGATACCATCTTGATCGGATTCATTTTAGGCGGCTCCATTTGAGCTAACTTCTGTGGCCTAATACCTTGAACCAGGAATACCGAATAAAGTATGAAATCTTGCTTCTGTTGTCTAAAATGCTGAACCAAGTACACAGAATCGAGTGTTAAGTCTTACTTCCATGGTTAAATACTTTGATCATAAGCCAAAGATAGAGTATTCAGTGGTGTAATATCTTGAACCAGGAACACGGAATAGGGTCTTCTGTCAGACTTTACATCAACCACAAAGTCATATAACAGTGAATATGATCTGTCGACGCTGTTTTTGTAAAATGTCGTGTAGATAGGATTGATTTGTTTCGATTACCTTAAGGCTATTATAGCGAAGGACTTACGACAAGTCGATCTTATAGCTCACTTTATCACAAACGTTATTGTATTCGTTACAAATATCCTTTTGTTTTTTATCACAAATATAGGCAAGCGACTCGTTCGAATACAACTGTTTCTGTAAAATCAATTTCACGCTATCATTTCATTTTTGTGGTTCCATTTTGACAAAGATAGACATCTCGATTTCTTTCCATGTTTCCAGATAATTTTGTAATGCTAAACTAATTTACATGCTGATTTCTAGGGAGATGCTTCTTTCCTCCATAAAACTATTTCTTGAAATTTTTTTGTTAAATTTGGCTTTATTATTCAAATCATTTTTCAACTGAACATTGTGAACGACCAACATGAAATTTTGATTATATCTGACGTTTGATTTTCATTTTATTCTTTTTTTAAATTCGTTTAATACTTTAATCTATATAAATTTGATACCAAAGGTTTTCATTACATGGTGTATGAATTTAGCATTGCCTAACGTCACTGATCGAACTACTTTCATGCAGTTTTGTAAGAAAACCAATGATAGGAAACTAGCCGGCATAACACGAAATAACAAAGAAAGTTGTTTTTATTACAAAATTGTCTTCCTTTTGTTGAAATGTTTTACCATTGTGCCTGAAAATATTCTTAAAAATCCGTAGAGGTCTACCACTCTAAATGTTTTGAAGAGTTGATTAGGTTTTTGAGGTTTTGCAATCTCAGATATGGGCGATTAAATGAGATATCCAATTGAACCCAAAAAGGTATCTAGATATTTGTGGGCAGTCTTGTCCACTTTTCACTGGCATGGCCGTAACGGCTGTGGGGCCAGCGGGCCGCGGGCCCCCAATAATATATAGAGCAGTGTATATTTTTAAATGTGCTGTGAATTTTGTGAGATTATATTAGATAACACTGCGATATCAATGTGTAATAAAATATTCTAAGAGCATCTGGATAGGGCAGTCCCAATCCGTGAAAATCTCTTGAGAATTTGCCTCTAGAGAAACATTTTGCCCCAACCGCCCCTCCCTCAATAAATTTCCACTTGCTTCTACCCTGCAATGACAGATATGTAAGCAATTAGAGACAATTTTGTGACAAATTTTCACAACCGACAAGGTGGAAGACAATAGATAGATCCGAGGTGAGGAACCCCCTGTCAGCGTTTGTGTCGAATGGCTCTTGCGCAACCGACATGCTTTGCGACTGCGGGCCTAATATCGTACTGTAGGTTGCACAAAAGCCTTTTAGAGGTTAATAGTAGATTGGATGAAAATCTACTCTTAGCAACCATTTATCGTCGGAATCGCGTTGTCCCGTTGGCCCCTAAGTATGCTAATAGTGGCATCGGTTCTGATTACTGGCATAAATTTTTATGACGTGGGTGACAGACAGGCTCATTACAGCTATAAAATCTAGTAGTCAAGTTGCTAGGAAAGGTTTCATAGCTAATTGGTTCCGCTCCCTTCTATTAACAGTAATATTGACGCGTAGGCTTGACCCCAACAGAGCCATACCTGTGTGACCTAGAGCCACACGACTCACACTTTTCTTCGTTATTTTCCACTTTTATTTTCTATTGAACTCCCTTTTAGACAAAATTTGATTTACTGGTGTGGGGAGGGGGGAGGTGGCTAGCAATCCATTATAGCCAGCATTTTATGCTACGAGACATTAATTTTTCAGAAATCCTTTACAATTGTCAAATGGTGCATCAGTTTATTCCAGAACCCATCTTTACATTAAAAATGGCTTTGCAAAAAGCAAACATTTAGTAAACTAAAGCTTTTCGTCTGACACTCTTCAGAGTTTAAAACGTTAGAACAAAGATCGAAAACTCTACGCTAAGAAATATATATACCCAGTTGTGGATCGAAATAGGCCAATCAGAAACACGAGCACATAACTTTTGAGGTTGACCAATCAGTGCCGCTTGCCTATTGAGAATAATGCCAATGGAATCCTAAGGTGAAAACGAACTCCTTTTGTCTACACAGTAGCGGTTTTTTCATGTTTATGTAGATAGATCCCCAAAACTGCTAGATGGAACGACGATCGGGCTTTACCAATAATCCGAACATGTCGCCATTATAGTTTTTTGACCTCGGTCTTGCAAATCTAAAATTACAACTAAAATCTGCTTTCTGGCAACATTTACTGGAAAACCCAGATTGTGCAAAAAACTGCTCATCGCGATCATTTCACATTTCTTTTGTTTTTGCAGCGAATCCTATCCCGACGTCGTCTTCTGTGGTCACGTGTACACCAAGTGAATACCGGTTTGCTAGCGCACCGATCCCGGTTCGCCCAACCAGAATGTACGGACCTGTCAATCAACCGACCTTCAATCCAATCCAACAGCAGCATCAACAACAGATGTCTTTTAGCTTTGGCATGTCACCGTACCAATCCCCTATGGACTCCCCGCTGACCTCCCCATTCACGTCACCCTCGCCATCTCCAAAGTCATCCCCTTTGCCATCTCCTAGATTATCACCTTTTCCGTCTCCTGTTGAAAGTCCGATGTTTCGAAAAAAGTTCGGCGGCGATCGACTGTCAGGAAGACGGAGCTCAGATCAATATGCGTCGGTATATGATTGGTTAAGGAGCCTTCGTTTACACAAATATTCAGAAACGTTTAAAGATTATACATTTGACCAAGTAAGTGTCTTCCACCTTTTTGTTAAAGTTTGTATTTCACGTATTTTTCGGATAGGTCTACCTATTTCATCACTGCGAGTTATATCATTCGTTTAGGGAATGGCAATCATTATGATCACAAATCATCATCGCCATCGATCACTTTCAAACATCATTTATATCAATCTTGGTCAGTCATCTTCAGACACCATTCATGATCAATCACCGATCACCTTCTTTAATCATCTTTATTTATCATCGTCTCACCTTCAGACATCATTCATGATCAATCACCGATCAGCGCCATCATTCATGATCAATCACCGATCACCATCTTTAATGATCAATCACCGATCACCATCAATCACCGATCAGCGTCATCATTCATGATCAATCACCGATCAGCGTCATCATTCATGATCAATCACCGATCAGCGTCATCATTCATGATCAATCACCGATCAGCGCCATCCTTCATGATCAATCACCGATCACCATCTTTAATGATCAATCACCGATCACCATCAATCACCGATCACCGCCATCATTCATGACCAATCAGCGATCACCATCTTTATTCATCTTTATTTATCATCGTCTCACCTTCAGTCACCATTCATGATCAATCACCGATCACCATCTTTAATCATCTTTATTTATCATCGTCTCACCTTCAGACATCATTCATGATCAATCACCGATCAGCGCCATCATTCATGATCAATCACTGATCACCATCTTTAATGATCAATCACCGATCACCATCAATCACCGATCAGCGTCATCATTCATGATCAATCACCGATCAGCGTCATCATTCATGATCAATCACCGATCAGCGCCATCCTTCATGATCAATCACCGATCACCATCTTTAATGATCAATCACCGATCACCATCAATCACCGATCAGCGTCATCATTCATGATCAATCACCGATCAGCGTCATCATTCATGATCAATCACCGATCAGCGTCATCATTCATGATCAATCACCGATCAGCGCCATCCTTCATGATCAATCACCGATCACCATCTTTAATGATCAATCACCGATCACCATCAATGACCGATCAGCGCCATCCTTCATGATCAATCACCGATCACCATCTTTAATGATCAATCACCGATCACCATCAATGACCGATCACCGCCATCATTCATGACCAATCACCGATCACCATCTTTATTCATCTTTATTTATCATCGTCTCACCTTCAGTCACCATTCATGATCAATCACCGATCACCATCTTTAATCATCTTTATTTATCATCGTCTCACCTTCAGTCACCATTCATGACCAATCACCGATCACCATCTTTATTCATCTTTATTTATCATCGTCTCACCTTCAGTCACCATTCATGATCAATCACCGATCACCATCTTTAATCATCTTTATTTATCATCGTCTCACCTTCAGACATCATTCATGATCAATCACCGATCACCATTTCCAATCATCAAGGTCAATTGTCATCGTCGTCTTCGTCATTGCCATGATTTCTTGCTTCTTTATGGTGCAAAAATTAAGCTCCTAGTAACTTAACCTTTCCAGAAGAATGTCATTATTGTAACACGGTTTCGTTAAAGATAGTTTCTTTTATTTACTCTGGTCTTTGTTTGTTTTACTATAGATGAAAGATCTGAAGGATGATGACCTTGCCAGACTTGGCCTAACTCAAGGTGCAAGGAAGAAGTTCAGATTAAACATCAACGCCCTCATGTGAGTTATTGTTAGCCTAATTTTGTCCAAACTTGTATATGGGTCATTCCATGTCAATTCAGCACCATACCTCTTAGATTTGGCTCAAAATCCAAGAAAACATTAATAATGGCAAGGTTAAGGCAGCCTCCAAAATTCATGCTTATATTTTACACAGTTTATAAGTTATCGCTGTTGAATTTTCATGTTAAGTTCCATGGACATATTGCTAGTTAAAAGGGCAAATGTTTACGCTGCAGCCATTAAATGAAGGTTAAAACATACGACATATGATTGCTAATGAAAACAAACATATGATAAAAAATAATTACTAAGAGGAGACGTGGAGGTTGAATGGTTTTTAATTGAATGAGAAATTTTTTAATCAAGTCGACCAGTTATTTAGATGAAACATAAGTTAAACGAATCTTTATCAAGTTCTTTCAAAAGGTTTTCATCGCCATACAAGTGTGAAAGGAACTTTTTTTGGTACCTGTAAGAAAGGACAAAGCAAAAAAAAAAGTTTACTGCATAATTCTTTGCAACTTGTCTTCATCAGCTCCGTCTGCCCTCTCTTTGTCGTATGCTTCACTTTCAGAGCGTCAGTTTTGACTTAATCTTGATTCATTTGGCATTTTGCTGTTTACGAATAAAAGACTTTGCTGTATTTAGCTTATTTGTCTACTTTATCTTCTTCATCAGCTGTAACTCATCGCTTTGATCTGAATTTTCTGGACTTATTCCACTCTATTCCGCAGTTTTCGTTCCACTCTTAATTCAGTTCTCTATATGATATGTATTTTTATAGATTTATTTTGTCATCTTTGCTCGGAACTTGTCATTGACTGTCATGTAGGTATTACCTTCTCATCATTCGGATTTCACCCTGTGGCAACTTTGCATCGTATTTTTGCCCAATCTTCTTGAAATGATGCATCTGTTTAGCGGAATCTTGAATTTCTGCTTGGTAATGGTGTCCTTTTTTAGTGATAAGGGCTTCAAAGGCTTCGGTATTCACACAAACAGCCTTTCGGATTCGACAAAACCAGGGCAGACAAGTAACCAATTGGATACAGCCCCTCGAAGAAAAACATCCAGCACCTCAGATTCAAAGCCTGCTTCAGATAGTACATCAAGTGATGCGAGAAGGCCAAGCTCAACCAGTACAGGCACGACCCCGAAAGACGCTAGCTACAAATCAAATTATGCCCAAGAAATGTCAGCATTAAAAACTACGAGTCTGGATAAAGACAGTTCTGGAAAGTATGCCATGGCGGGAGAAAGTGATGATGGAAGTCAAGGCACATCGGAAAGTTTGGAAGACTTTCTTTCGGATGACGAGGTATTATGGCATTTTGACATTTCATTTGATTAAATATATTTCATAATTTTAGTTGGAGGAAAATATAGCTGCTTTCTTCTCGGCATCCTTGCTAATTCATGTATCTACTAAAATACTATTTTTACTATAATACGATGTAGTCAATAATATATGTTACTCGATTTCCTCAGAATGATTCTGAGTAATGCATACAATATCAAAAAATGAATTTCTTTCGCGTGTGCCCATAAAAGACTCTTAGTTTTTCCGTCCAATCTTTCGTGGTGTTACATCCATCTGGTAATACTCAACCACGTTGCAAACGTAGGGGAACGATGGCCGTTGACAGCACCTTGCTATAGTCAAGGGACTGAGCTGAGTAATTTTTACATCGAAATTTTCGGGCTAAGGGACAATGGTAATGAGAGCTTTTGACACGAGAATATACTGTATGTGCCATTTCACTGGCTTGAGAAAAAAATCAAAGAAATATTTTATCTGGTAATATTCAACCACGTTGCAAACGTAGGGGAACGATGGCCATTGACAGCACCTTGCTATAGTCAAGGGACTGAGCTGAGTAATTTTTAAATCGAAATTTTCGGGCTAAGGGACAATGGTAATGAGAGCTTTTGACACGAGAATATACGGTATGTGCCATTTTACTGGCTTGAGAAAAAAATCAAAGAAATATTTTACTGCTCTAAGGAAAACGTTGTGAAAACTTTGACCCAGTGCTTCAGAGATATTCTGAAAAAAGGAAATCAAAAGATTCAGAAAATGTTGTATTAAAACTGGATGCAATTGTGCGGATAAAGGGGGCTTATCTAAACACGTGCATATTTGCTCAATTGTGCCTGAGAAAATCCTTTCAGGTATGATATGAAGCCGTAGATTATCAAAAGTGATCCCAGTTGAAAAAAAGCAACTACTGAGTCTTTCAGTATGCGGCCATTTTGGCCTACTGTTCTGATACTTTTGCAGCCTATGTGTATAAGGACTTTTGCTTCTGTTACAGGTTTTTATGACCCGGCGGCCGACTGTTATAGAAAATAAAGACTGCCAATTTCCCGTTGTTTCATGTTACAATTGTGGTTCAAAGGACCATTTCGGAGAACAGTGCACGAAACAGACAATGGAAGGCGAGACATATCAAAGATACGGTAAGTCAAATTTCACTCGGTATCATCTGAACTTTGCACTCGTTAGAGTCCGCGTCCTTATAAATTTTCCATATTTCGTTTCCAGCCAACCTCCTAAGAATTGTAAACTTTCACGTATCAGAATCCACAGTAACTTTTTTGAGATTTTTTACGAAGCTAGAAGAATTTCAGAATTTAAATCCTTACGGATAAAAATTATCAGAATAGGCCAAATTTAAAAACCTTCATCCAGTTGGTTACTTTTTCCATCCGTTCAGTGTCAAACTTTTTCTGATTTGTTTGTTACACAACAACGAAACATAGATCTTGTTTCTCTCGCGTTGTGTTCGAATTTTGTCTTTGCTTTATTGGCACGTGATCTGGTTCTGTAAAATCATACATCAACTGCTTGCCAGTCGACTGTCTATCATTATTTGGTCCAATGATAAAAGACAAGCCTCATTTCGCAATGGCGCTTTACACAAATCACAGTGTGGAGCTTAAATTAATCACGTCAGTTTTATTCATCCACTCCGTCCATTTAAATGGTAAATTGGCAAAAGGAATATTATGGACTTTTTGCTCCAGAATTATATACAAACTGCCAATACAGTATCGTGTACACATCTTTCAGTTTTCTTGCGAATACCTGCGCCAATGTTGCCTTCATTTTGTCAACTTTAAAGCAGTTTATGCTCGTTAGGATTCAAGGGACAATGGCACGAAAGATAAGGGTGTTTCCTGTATTTTTTGTTCATTTTGTTATATAAAGAACACGCCGTGCATAATTGAAATTTTGCAACACTATAGCCTTTGCTGTTATGAAACAGAAATGGACATATCAAGCATGACAAAATCAGATATCTATGCGACTAGATTTTCTGTTATTGATGACAAACGCAGGGTACTTTCTAGACTAAAGCCAAAAGTTTCCGCAGCCTTCTTTGCATAATAACTAAAGCTAATGCTGGAAAACGGCATTTTGACGAATCTAACAGCGAATCATGTAAGATGGACCAATCAGATTTTGCTCGTAAGATGCCTTAAAAATGATTTGTGGGTGCTTTTAATGCTCCTCCCCCTCTCCAAAAAGCTTGTAAGGATGCCGTTTGTTAGTGTTATAGACTTTTATGAATCAAGAACAGGTTTTCAGAATTGGAAAACTTATTTGCTTTAAAGAGGACACTTGTGTTATGTCGGCTTCAAAATAGTTGTATTTTAAATTTATGTTTAAATTCGTAGAATTCAAACAAGTAATTTCGTTCCAACGTTGAAACCATACGCGCAAATCCATAGTTTAAATGAATAAAATATGCAGCTCAATTATCATTATAATAGTTTTGGAAAATAAGTGAAAACAAATGATATCGATACAAAGTCGGTATTCAATCTCTTTATATCTGCTTCAGTGAAAGTTTAAAAACCAGAGTTTATTAAAACCAGTTTGAAGAACGTTTTAGAAATCCCCGAAATCTAGTTTGGTAAAAGAATGAAGGAATTAATTGGTAAAGATATAGTGCGTCATTTTGTGCTATTGGACCAGAGAATATGTTTTGGCGTGGGATTTTAGCGTCTGTACAAATCACGCGAACCCTTGTCTTCAACTCTCAGCGTAGCATACACTCATGTTGCTCGAACGACCGCAGAACTAAAAATTGCTTGATTTTATTAGCTTTCCAGCAGAATTCGCAAATTATTGTCAAACAGCATTGCTAATTTTTTTATTTCTCGAGTTTCAAGGCTGACCTCGAGTGTCTTTTGCCTCTTTGAAGTCATGCTGCAAAGAGAAACTTTATGGTTGACAATTTCTATTTTAAGTAAACCAAGGAGTAAAGCCGCGAACGAAAGTAATTTATTCCTACCACTGTTTCCAACGTTTTTATATGCTCGAAACGCAATCTGCTTCGACAGAAAGGACGTTTCGTTGTTCCATAGATTTGAGTCTTTTTTAGTGCATATTATATACAAAATCGTGCGAAATATCTATTCGTTCATTTAAAATATTTCGAGGATAGTACTTTATTTTTGTGAAAAAAAGTGAAAATTTAGTGAAAATTCAGTGAAATGCTCAAGGAGTTTGCCGTATAATTTTCTTTGACCGCACTGTTCCACATCCAAGGCCACACTGGGTTTCAACAACCACAGTCTAGCCAAAACCGTACCAAATAATCATTTCAATAGTTTGGAAATTTTTGAAGATCGTAGAAACACAAAACTAGCCAAAGTTCAGAAAGATTGTCTAGTTTTCTTACAGGTTCTTTGACCTTCTAAAATGTTACCAAAACCGCAACGTGAAGTACAATATTTATCTGTTGTTTGGAGACTTTTCTCCCCTGTCCGGGACTTTTCTATAGTTAATTGTTTCATATATAAGAAAAAGGATCATGTGAAAATGTAAATCCAGCGCAAAGCCTAATTGGTTGATATTCAATGGACCGCTATAATTAGGGTGATTGTATTTTGAAAACCACCAGCTAAAAATCTACATTAAAGGCTCTTGTGCAACCGGCATGCTTTGCGATTGTAATTCAAAAACCGGCCTAATATCGTACTACATGAAAATGAAAATATCGTACAAGCAGCATGCAAAACACAGTCAATTTCTCAAGACAGCTGCCGCTAAGCATGCCGGTTGGGCAATCGTCTTTAAATTGGATATACATGGAATCAAATTCCCTTACCTTACAACTTTTTATCGGCATCGTAGTTTTTTAAGTTTAATATCCTAGTTTAGCATCGTAGTTTGCATCCTTATTTAAAATAAACAAAACCCCATTTTCTTGCTAGCTATCAATGCAGAGTAAATATATGAAAAAAGAGTTGACTGCGAAATTTATCTTTCTTTCAGGTTATCGCCTGAAATATGATGACGAGAGACTTAAAGACGAGAGATGACACCGCAGTGCTCTAAATATAATATATATAAAGAGAACTATTGTTGTTTTTATAGGTTTGAAATTTTTTAGGATATTATCAATGATGAGTTTACTGTAGAAAGTGCAGCAATTCCAAGAATAGTGAATAGTATTTCAAAGTATATGAAATATGTGAAAATCTCGTGAATTTTAGATAATGATAAAATCTATAAGCTTTGAAGGCCGGTGAGGAAGAGACTCTGCCTTCTCTGTACTTTCCCATTTTTCTATTTAGCTTTCAATTTTGCAGATAGAGTTTGACAAGGGAGGCTTCACACATATTAGTCGATTGATAAATTTTTGTTTTGTTACGGTATGCTGGCCTTCAAATTCCTTGCATAAAACTAGCATTCTGAATTCAGTTAAAGGGTTTTGAACTAAGATCTTTTGCTGTCGCACCTTTCCAAATGGTACCCTAAAATGTCATGGATAGGAATTCCCCAATCGATGTCACACATGCAAAAAACAAGCTTTTAGAGTTTTGAATATAGTTGAAATTCTTTCCATAGTGTTTGTTAAATTCCTGGAACACTACCAAGAACAAACACGACAAATAAACGGATTGAAAGAATCTGTACGTAGAAAGATCTAAGTTTCTAGGGACAACACTCTGTCCCTGGGAAAGTTTTAGGATAAAAAGGCGACTTTTCAAGACCCATTTTTCGCAAAGATTGGATGAGCTGGTATAGTTCTTAAAATTTTTAGAATTGAGCATGGATTAATGGTCGCCTTTTAGCAGTGCACTGAAAAACGAAATTTCCCTGACTGTACTGTTAGAAAAATTTATTTATTGTCAAATTGTCGTAACCCCCTTTATTTTTAAGCCCCTTTTGTCAAACCTACAATGCCTGCCAAAAATACTTGAACACCCAGCAATTTACGCTGCATTTGATATCTTTCATTCCTTTCATGAAAAAAATTGCTACTTCCACCCCCTTCCCCCTAAAACAATGTCGATAATTTTGAGAAATATCATGAAAGAAGCGCAAAAGAAAGTGCTTCCTAAAATCCTAACCCGTTTGATAGTAAACCAACATTGTTCTGTAGGGGAGAGGGGGATGGTTGATTTTGACCTTGGAAATTGACGTCAGTGTTCCAAGACTTTTGGCAGGCATTGTAGCTCTATTCTACAGATCACTGAATCCCTGTTTTGAAGCATACTCTGCCCCCCCCCCCCCTTAAACAAATTCTTATGTCCCAGTTTTGTTCTTCTATGTTCCGTGTCACCGTTTTTGTTCCACCCATAGGCTCCCAAGGACATTGATCTCAATCGTTTAGAACGGTGACTAGATTTATAGTAAGGTGATAGCTCTTGCTCGTAACATTGCTGCTCTTGTAAGTGTTTTACAGTTTTAGATGGAGCTTTTCATGGACGATGTAGATCGTTTTGATAGGAAGAAATACGGTTTTATAAACATGGTGGTTAAAGTAATGTGTTTATTTGTTGGTCTAAAGCTTTAGGGGTGAATTAGTATTGGATATTTTGCAATTACCTGCAGTCTTGGTCGTCAGTTCTTTTGCTGGAAAAACTGCATCCGTTATGTTCGTAACCTTAGAGAACGTCTTTGAAAAATAAAATCTATTCGAAGCACACTCGTACAAATGTTTCCAAGTTGTTCTGGTATTTAGGATGGTCTCTCTTATTCTTCAAAACCACAGCTTGCCCTTTTATGGGTTTCTTTGCATTCCCAATTGAATATCCAGTTCCCTCTGTTTTAGGATACTTATTACAAGCAAATATGAGGACACTTATTCGTTCTATAGTTAAAGCTTGCAAAAGTAGGGGACATCGCAGTCCTGCTGCTACTATGCTATGTATCCCCCCTTTCTAGTTAAGAGGATTCCGGAAATTTGTGTCAGTTTCACGTATTACCCCGTACTTGATATGTTAAAATGCAGAAAATCCCTACAGGACTCATGACTGTCTTGCAGGATAGCTTCTCTCCGGCTCGTGTGGCCAATTAGAAACTTTTTAATTATATTGTACCATATGTTCAATTTAGAATTGGTGTTTAAAATTTATAGATGTATTGATGTATGATGTCTTCGTTCTCTCTGGCTGTTTCACGATTTTTTCGCAACGCAATGGTGGGTACCGGTTTACTCAGGGACTTATATAAAGATATTATACTCAGGGCAGAAATTATATAAAGAGAGTCGGACACTTAACTGTAAATAGATACAGGGCCGCCGTTAGGGGGGGGGGGGATTGCTCCAGGGTCCCGCGGTTTAGAGGGCCGCTTAAAATGGTTTTAGTCAAAAGTAACAGAATAATGCCTAAAGTAGTAAAACGTTTTAAACCATTGCAAGAAAATTAACGAAGTTAAGCTAATCTAAAGGGCATGGTTGCAAAAAGTTTCTGCTCACTTCGCCCGCAGGAGGGCCCGTCTTTCGTCTTTGCCCTTTGGTCTCCGAAAGACTCTCGGCGACCCTGAATAGGCAGCTTGAAGATATTTTGGGTAGCAGTCACACTACGACGCTTCGCCTGCCCATACTGCTTCATGCCCTGAATAAGCACAGGTTTCAGAGCATCGTTTTAAAACGTTTACTAAATAAGACTTAGTTTACTAATACGAAAAAAATTTGTAATTAAGGTAAGGAAAAAAGATTCTTGTCATCAGAAGGGTTTCCATATCAAATGAATTTCAAGCGAACTGTCCCTCAAGGTTCTTTTCTGAGCCAGTTCTTTTTAGTCCACCACAATAACAACTGTTATTCTTTAAAAAATTCATTTTGATGATCATAATTATTGCTACACTCTTTCAACAATCAAACCATGACACCAAAAATGAAAGAGACAAGCGCTTTCTGTCAAAACCTGGATGGATAGTAATAGCCTATTACTGACTTCTTCTCGTCACCATGCAAAACCCGAGAATATGACCCTTAGAAAAGGAAGATAGCCTGAAGTTATTCAGTGTTATTCCATGGTGATATTTTTGGTAGCAGTTGCACTACGACGCTTCGTCTGCTCTTAAGCCCTGGCAAAACAAACTACTAAACATTCCACTCAATTAGAATTGGATGAAGCGACGGGGAAAGAAAAGACTTTTTAGCGCATTGACAACAAAGTTGACTGTTGAAGAAGACACAATGGCGTACAACGAGATATGCAGATGTCGCATAAAGGCTTTTTTGATCACGTAGAGACAGGAAAACCAATGATAACAGACGAAAACCTTTGCATTTCCACAGCTAGAGCGCCTGCGCGATCACAATCAATTTTTAATTGGTGGCAAAACGACTAAACATTTGCTAAACAACACTAAACAAAACAATGCTAGACATTTTTGACAAAGATCAAACTTTGCTCAACAACACTCAACACAACTAAACAACACTAAACAAGGTGGCAAAACGACTTAACTTTTAACTTTTGGCTAAACAAAAGTTGAGTGAAATGTTTAGTGAAATGTTAAGTCGTTTTGCCAAAGCTTTACTGCCTCGTGCTTACTGTCTGTCTGTTTTTCGTTTTGTTTTATGCCGGAAAGGCTGCTTTAGTCATTTAATAAAAATCAGAATTCTTTGCATCAATATTGCCCAATTTCTGTTGTTAGCATGTTATGTGCCACATTTTGTTCCAGACAAAGCACTACTAAAATGTGGCAGAACACGGTAAGTACCAGGCGTGATTACCAAAAAAAGATGAAGAAGGACACCAAGCCACAAACAAGCCCTGTGATATCGACCAATTGTAACAATTGTGCGGAAAATTGTACTGATTCCAATGATTTCGTTTCAGTAATTAATTTAAAAGGGTGCGATAAAGTTGCTTTTAGACCCTGTTTACACTGTGCCGGATAAAATTTATCCGCATAAAACTTGTTCGGATTGATTTGCGTTTACACTGTGCCGCACAAATTTTGTCCACTTTGCCCTCTCGTTTACACTGTGCCGGATAAATGCAGTCACATGACCTAAATCATGCACAGAACGCCCAAAATGAAGTCTTCTCTGGGCAACAAAATAATGACAAAATTCCCGCCAACTTAAAAAGACTTCATTCTCTCTTCAGAATCATCAATACAAATTAGGCCTAGTTTGTTTTAATAGTTTGTTTTTGAAACAAAATGACACTGAACTAGCAACGAAAGTAGGGAAAGCTGACAAGGATACCAATTTTACATGGACTGGCAAGATACTGCACTTTTAACACGAGTATTTATCGACAACAAGGCAGCCAAGATGGCGAATGGTCTTGATTGGGAGACAGTGAAAACTAAATTGGATGTAATAGCCAATTGCTTTTGAGCAAGATACGATGTGAATAAAATTTATCCGGATAAAAGCGTTTACACTGTACCACATAGCTATCCGAACTAATTTAATCCACTTTCCTAGGTGAACTAATTTTGTGCGGATAGCCGCTCTCAAATTCGTGCAGATAGCGTGGGTCTAGTGTAAACGCGACGCCCATCTGAACTAATTTTGATGCGGATTTGAATGATAAAATTTATCCGGCACAGTGCTCTTCGATTAATTAGCGATCAGCCAGTGGATTCAAAAAACAAATAAGACCAATCCCCTAGAACTTCCTCAATTAAGGAGATGCAATTAACTGCAATCATGCTGCAATTAACCTATTAACCAGTTCATACTATGGTTAAACAAAGAAGTCAGATTTCATAGCAGGAGACAAAGACCATATTCTGACATATTTTCTAACAAGACTGTGTCAGATCAAAGGGACAATATAATCGACACCTTGAAGAAAATGGAAAATTTTTTGGCATTATATTCATCCGGCTTATCAACTTGCAAAAGTTGGCCTTGTGTTTTTTATCTCACGGGTGAAATCAAGTTTAGTCGGAAGAGTCGGGAGATTGATCTGTTTATGATGATGCTGGTGCGCCAAAACATGGTCAAAGGATAGCTTTCATTCATGTATTGAAAAGATGACACACCTGTAGAACTGATCTATCACAGCATTTTCACAGACTACATATTCTACCCGACTCCCAACGGATCCCTTTAAGATAAAAATTCTTGTTAGTATGTCTACTTTCCCAGGCTGCCCCTTTGGTGTCATAAACTCAGTTAACAATAAAAAACAAAGGTCAAAGTTGACCTTTAGCAAAGCTCAGTACTCGTTGTTTCTTAAAAGTCTCTTAATTTTTTATGCCAGGGTGCCGGCTTATTGTAATTTGCGAAATTTCGCCGAAATTTCGCCGAAATTTCGTACGAAATTTCGTTACATGAAATCCACCTTTTATACCTGAAATCGAACCACAAACCAATTGAAAGTGATATATAAACCTTACATTCCTTGTCTACCATCATAAGAACGCATATTTATTGCATTAAAGCGACATGTTTCTTCTCGGTCTCCAGCGGTAGAAGCCATGCTTTCCGAGCCCGTCCCAAAGAAGACGGGGGTTTAGTACATAGTATCTGGCTAGCGAGACAACGTCAATGCCGCTATGACTGCAACAGAGGAGACAAAGTGTAATGAACAATTAGGCTGTCATTTGCAAATACAACCTTTCAATCGTTCCAAAATTATCAACAAAGTATTTACGAGAGGTCTGTCCAAAATAAATTTTTGCAGTGGAAAACAGCTTAAGTCATATTGTATGCTTATTTTAGTTAGAATTAGGATCCAAAAGATTACCATGATCCACGGGAGAATCAAATATAGCAAAATCCTCGCTTTAAACTGCGTTTTAAAAAATTAGTATTTTGCAAAATTTCGCAAAATACAGTTTTTTTACCATTGCTCAAATGGGGCCGTATCAATATAAATCACGTCAGTAGGGTATGATGTGTCTACAAAATGAAGGAACAAGTCGCCATTGCCATTAACAATGTATGCCCTGTTGCTGTTTAGTCCTGCTTTAGAGATTTTAGGTTTGACTCTCGGCCCTTAGGAAATCAACCAAATTTTCATATGATAAAGATCATATCATTTTGGAAAAGAATAGAAAACGACTTTACGATCAAAAGGGAACACAATTACAGCAAAATCCTCGCTTTAAACTACGTTTTAAAAAATTAGTTATTTACGAAATTTCGTAAAATACAGTTTTTTACAACTACTCAAATGTGGCCCTATCCTATAAACGACTTTTACACTCATTTTGTTGACACATCATACCCTACCGACGTGATTTATGTTGATACGGCCCCATTTGAGTAGTTGTAAAAAAACTGTATTTTGCGAAATTTCGCAAATTACTAATTTTTTAAAACGCAGTTTAAAGCGAGGATTTTGCTGTAATTGTATTCCCTTTTGATCGTAAAGTCGTTTTCTATTCTTTTCCAAAATGATATGATCTTTATCATATGAAAATTTGGTCGATTTCCTAAGGGCCGAGAGTCAAACCTAAAATCTCTAAAGCAGGACTAAACAGCAACAGGGCATACATTGTTAATGGCAATGGCGACTTGTTCCTTCATTTTGTAGACACATCATACCCTACTGACGTGATTTTATTGATACGGCCCCATTGGAGCAATTGTAAAAAAACTGTATTTTGCGAAATTTCGCAAAATACTAATTTTTTAAAACGCAGTTTAAAGCGAGGATTTTGCTATATTTGATTCTCCCGTGGATCATGGTAATCTTTTGGATCCTAATTCTAACTAAAATAAGCATACAATATGACTTAAGCTGTTTTCCACTGCAAAAATTTATTTTGGACAGACCTCTCGTAAATACTTTGTTGATAATTTTGGAACGATTGAAAGGTTGTATTTGCAAATGACAGCCTAATTGTTCATTACACTTTGTCTCCTCTGTTGCAGTCACAGCGGCATTGACGTTGTGTCTCGCTAGCCAGATACTATGTACTAAACCCCCGTCTTCTTTGGGACGGGCTCGGAAAGCATGGCTTCTACCGCTGGAGACCGAGAAGAAACATGTCGCTTTAATGCAATAAATATGCGTTCTTATGATGGTAGACAAGGAATGTAAGGTTTATATATCACTTTCAATTGGTTTGTGGTTCGATTTCAGGTATAAAAGGTGGATTTCATGTAACGAAATTTCGTACGAAATTTCGGCGAAATTTCGCAAATTACAATAAGCCCAGGGTGCCAGGGTGCCAGGGTGCCAGGGTGCCAGGGTGCCAGGGTGCCAGGGTGCCAGGGTGCCAGGGTGCCAGGGTGGAATCCATGTAAAGCTGACAGTTTTCTTTAATCTTTTATGCCAACCCGCCGATGGATTTTCACGAAATTTTAGAGTTCTGTGTATTTTTTCATAAATTTATGTGTTTCTTTATTCTTTTGGTTTGTGTACTAAAAGTTTCTTAAGTTTTTCCGGGCTTCTAATTCTAAAACGAGTTGATCTTCCTTAAATTATGGCTGAATATCCAAATATTCACAAACGATTATTGTCCTCCATTTGTAATTCAGCTTCAGAATTATTGTTTCTGTCCACTTTAGAGAAGCTCACATTATCAGTTCAAGAGAATACCAATTTTGAGAGAATACCAATTTTCTGCATTGAATGTACCCAGATATATTGTCAATTTTTTAGATTTAAGCTAAATTGCTGTATTCTATAATTGTTTGCGTCTAGTTATATTTGTAGAAAAAGATAATTTTGAAACTGGATCAAAATCAGAGGCTTTAGGAATTAGAATCGATTAGGGATTTGTCAGGTGTCTGTGTGTGAGAACAATGGCATTCAATGAATGCTGATTGATCCGTATTTGGCGCGTCTCCGGAACGAAATATCACGTGTGTCCTCGAAGTTGCCATTTTGAGAAGTGGCGACATAGACGACTTCTCAGAAGTGAACTTGGCGTAGCTAAGATGGCGGACGAAAAGTTCAGAAAGGCCACCGAAGGCCTTCTTAACTCGGTGTTAATAAGCAGTAAAGGTGGTGTCCCCTTGTATAAACTTGCAGGAGAATTTCGAGAGGTTTGTATTCTTATAATGCTGGAGAAATTTGCATGATTTGCACTTTCTTCGTAGGCCACACCGAGGGCCACTCAATTCGCACGCACGCGGGCAGTCTATGTAGGGGGCTTACAATTCACAGTTTCAAATTCAGAATTTCCAAAAAAAGATCTTTAAGGTAATTTGGGGTAAGATTTTAAGGAATTGATATGGAATCAGTTTTGGTTCATTACCAATCAGTTCCCGCCCCTTATGGGGAGTTTGTTCCGTTTTGCCTAGATCTCGGGCGTGCAAACAACTTCTGACACTGTTTTAAGACTTCATTTATCGTTGTCCTTACAATCTCGGAACTCCAAGTCCCATTGTCTTTATACGGAGCTCTCAGGACAGTTAAAAATGAAAATATGGGCCAAGGCAAGAACTCTGCTTTAATTTTCATGATTTTAGTTTATAGTATTGGTATTTTTTAATTCTGCATTTTTATATAATATTCAAAGTGCTAGGATTGATGATAAACAGCCATTTTGGAAAAAAATTTCCTAGAGGCTTTCTGTGTAACTTTCAGTCTGGGAAACTTTCAAGCATTAACAAATTTGCCAATAATGCTTTGATGGGGCATCAAACTTGCAACTAGGTTTCTCAGTACTCTTGAAGCTATCAAAAGTACATAATTTTATTGGCATTTAAATCCATAAATCTAGCAAGGCCGGCCCCTTTTTTTAAGAAAAGGTCTATAAGAAACTGTCCATCAAATCTGAGAACATCGAAGAGCGACCTACTAAACAGAAATTGGAAATAATCTAAACAGAAGTTGGAAATAATCTAAATCCATTGGTGGAAATGAAAATATACATTGATTGTACATTGAAGCTGGCAAAAGAATTAATTTTTAGTGATGCTGTACCAATGCACATTTTTACATCTTGTCCCTTGTTTGATTAAGTTTTAAACCTCTTTAAGGCAATATTTCAGCAAAGCAAAATAAAAGTTCCTTAAAGGAGAAAAGAAGATGTGCAAAAAGCTAGCCAGCAATGCTGCTTACTGATCACAAGTTGGTTGTTGAAGAACCCCTAAGAAACCAATTTACTGAACAACCTCAACCTTAAGAAACTTTTCATCAAAAATAATGCTTTTCATGGATCAGATCCCAGTTTCTGGTTTAATTTTATAATAGAATGAAAAATCTCCTTGGATAAAATGTTCTGCTTCATGTTTTTTGTTCTTGTCATACAAATAGACAAAACAAATAAAAGCAGATTTCTTTGGACTTAAGAACCTTGCAAGGGCTTTTGCTGCTCTGTGTAGTGTATTTTTTATCTAAAAATAGCTCATAAGCATTTTGGTAATTCAAAAAACTTTGAAAAACTTTAAGCACTAAAACCAACAAAGCATTGAAAACTGAATACTAATCATGAATTGTAATTTCTTTAAAAATGTTGTAGGTAGCTGCTCATTCCATAAAGGGGGATGTGCTGTTTAGTTCCAAGTTTTTCCTCAAGATTTCATGCAAGAATGAGAGCACTTTCTTGTTGGAAATTTGATTTGATTTTCTAATAAAGTATATGTATAGTCATTTTTATAATCAGGGAGATATAATGAACTGTTTGCTTGCTGGGCTGGCAACTTCTTTTCAAGGATAATGAGCAGGCAAAGTTTTGAACAACCAACTTCAGAAGATAGAATTATGATATATGCACTGAAAATTTACATTTGTAAGTAGATGCAACGCTAGAGTGTAACATTTCATGTAAAATGAACCTCAGGGTTCTTATTTGAGGGATGGGGTGCTCATTCAAATTGCTACCTTGTCCAATTTTGTCTGCTTTAGAAGGCGCTCATGAGAAGGGGGACACCATTTTGAGAATTTGTATACAATGAATCTATAAAAATAATGACTTTTTAGCTCTAAATAGTCAGTTTTCATTTATATTTTCTTTTTGATAGGTCACAATGTCAGATATTCCTCTGGAAAAACTTGGATTTCAATCTATTGAGTCATATATTCGATCAATACCCCATTGCGCCTTTTTGCAAACAAATGATAGTGGAGTATTAATGGTGAAAGGTGTTGCCAATGAGAGCACCAAGCACATTGCAAAATTAGTATCAGGTCAGAAAAAAGGAAAAAAGAGGTCTTCTACTTTGATCAAAAGTGTAGCAAGAGGAAGAGGTGGATCTGCAAGAGGGAATTCCTACAGAATAACACGAAACCCCAGAGGTGGTGCTAGGGGTGCCTTTATTTCTGCTAATCCATTCAATCCAATGTCATTTAACAGGAGTACTTCTGGAACTACTCATGTAAATAAATCATCAAGTGCCCCAAATTTTGCTAATTTTCCCCATGTTCAGACGAGAGCCATACAGGAAGCAAACAGATTTCTTTCAAATGGAAATTCAAATTTTTCAGCAGTAGAAACAAAGCAAAAAGGTAACATTTTTTCACAGCCAGTAAACTTTAATTTGCCACCAAGAATGAAAAGGCTGCAAGAGTCAAAAGGGATTTTTGATACCAATAAAGTACCTGGTGAAGATCTGAGAAATATGATTGGAAGAAGAAACAATGAAACACAAAGCAGAAACACTTCTTTTGGAAAAGACACAAAAATAACTGTGAAAAATGAAAACTACAATGGAAAACAGGTTGAAGGTAATATTCTATGTCTTTGTCATAGCTAAATGACTCCTCAGGATAAATTTAAAGACTGTTGGTCCCCTTAATGATCAGCTAAGAACAATGTGTTTTCTGACCTATGTGTGTTATGCTGCTTGCTTTGGCTGGCCCAGCTGTGGTAGTGAACCATTTTTGAAACTGCAAAGAAAAAGCTATCAGAAATGGCAAGAAGATTTAAATACTGGAGTTGAATGATAATAATGGAAAAAATATTCTTTTTCTGTTGACATATCTGTTGCACAACCCAAACAGGGAACAAAATTTATTTTAACCATAGCTTTGCTTCAACAAATTACTGAAATCAAAGTTTTCTCTGATTGGTTTATATTGTATAATTATCTATCAAGCTCAATAGCTTGTAATATCACTCCAGTGAAGTTTAGCACAATAGGGTCAGACTGCCTATTGTCTAATTATCTATCAAGCTCAATAGCTTGTAATATCACTCCAGTGAAGTTTAGCACAATAGGGACAGACTGCCTATTGTCTAATTATCTATCAAGCTCAATAGCTTGTAATATCACTCCAGTGAAGTTTAGCACAATAGGGACAGACTGTCTATTGTCTAATTATCTATCAAGCTCAATAGCTTGTAATATCACTCCAGTGAAGTTTAGCACAATAGGGGGCAGACTGGCTATTGTCTAATTATCTGTCAAGCTTAATAGCTTGTAATATCACTCCAGTGACGTTTAGCACAATAGGGACAGACTGCCTCTAAATATCTGATGTAATGGGAAAGGAAAGTTATTATTTAAAGTATGTCTCTTAAGCTATTGACATATTAAGCAAACATTCTTTGCTATATGTTAGCTTTTTTTTGAAATTTGGCTAGGAAGCAAGTTACACTAAGCAAGGCTTTTCTACTTACTGTTTTTGTAGTTTTTATCACATGTTACGGTTTTCTTATGTGTGTTAGCTCAAGTCATAGGATTTTTAAGACATTTCAAACATACATAAAGTTGCATTTAATCAACAGGGTTGAAAATATTGATGGTGTATGTATTGAAATATGTTAGTAAATGGCAGCTATTTGATTTGTCTTGGTTTTCTTCTAGCTGTGAAAGAAAATGTTATCAAGGTTAGTGTTCAGTCATTCTTTGAAATGTGTTATCCATTGCTATCATTCCTGTTTTATTACCATGTCTTTCATATACTAGTCATTTTTACCTGCAGTTGTGATTGCTGTTTCTGAAGATACCCTGATTTCAACTAGCATTTAATAAAATGTCAGCATTTAAAAAGATGCATCTTTTTCTTGTTTCCTGTGTCCTACCTCGATTTATTAAAACTTTGAACAAATGATGGTTATCTTTTCAATCATTCTTCTCTGAATCTATTTATCTAGCTTAAAATGATGTCTATCCAAATGCTATCCTTTTGAGCAGAAAAAGAAATTATATGTTGGAGGAATCCTAAATTTCATATGACTTAGAAGGTTCACTAAGAATGTCAGATATTTGGCACAGGAAATATAAGAGTAAACTAAGGCTTCTCTAAAAAGGTGATTATCAAATGAATATTTCGAAATGAAATAGTTTTATGAGGGATAGTATTTAAAAGCACCTCAGAGATTGCCTCTTCAAATGTTGTCCTGACAAAGTCCTCTTTTTTCATGCCTGTGGTATAGTGGATAACACTGTTGTCTCTCGTCACAGTAGGCAGACAGAATAGAAATAAATGGGAATCAGGTTCTGTGGTAGAAATAAGGTTCAAAGGAAAAATATGGGAGTGATTTCAGATTGATTTCAGAAAATATACTGAAAGAGTGACAACCATGGCAGGTCTCAAACTGTAAATTGTTGCTTTATCTCTGAGCCCAGACTTTCTTTCTCTCAGTTTGTTATATGTATGCATCTTAATTTCCAAACACTCCTTGTTCATAGTTCATTGCTTTTTTCTAAAGCATGCAAATATTTAAAATTGCTAAATTTTTTTTTAGGTTCTTTCGCTGTACCCGAAAGGTCTTTGGGCTAATGTGCTCTGTCACATGTACAAATTGAAAATTGGAGAAGTACCTCCAAATTTATTGAGTATTGTGAAAAAGGAAATGAATGAACAAGTAGAAGTGCGCAGGTAATTTTGGATACTACCATTTTATAATATGCCAAAGTTTAAAATTGTTTTTTTTGTAATTGCTTCCTAGGATCCTGAGGAAGTGTTGAGAAGCTGTACTTATCAAGCAGTGTCCTGGCCCTTCCTGTTGATTTGATCACACCTCATGTTTTCTAGGCTTAGAATAACAGAGAGCTTGGGACACTCCTCACACCAAGTGAAAGTATGGTCATATCAGGGGCTCAAAACACACATCCTTAATCTGTTGTTATTCAGCCCCTCTAGCAGCTGAGCCATGAGCTTAGAATTACTAGAAAGCATTAAAGCTCTATTTTATTGACCAGAGTATCCAAAACATCAAACTTGTTCCTATGTGATAGGTTGTAAAACTTCCAAGCAAGGCCTTGGTCCAACAGGAATGCATTGTTTTGCATATTTCCCGACTGAGAAATATCATTTTTTGTTGAGATTTGCTACTGAGGGCCAAATAACATTGTTGTATAAACAGAATCTTATAATTGAGTTTTTAGACGCAGCATTATTGATGTTCATTGATGAAAAAAAAGTATCATCAAAGGCTAGATAGCTCCTAAAAAGTGGGGTTTGGGGAATTTTTAGCCTGCGTGCAGACTCTGTTGACAAAAATGAAATAGGAGAAAAAGTAGAGTATGCGAAGCCGGGCGAATTTTCTTGTTCAAGGGTTCCTCAAAATCAAGGAACCGAATTTGATTGGTTGGGGGAATTTAAATTGCTTTTTTCAGTTTTCAAAGTGGCGCCTTCGAGCAGAAGTATAAATGAGTGGTATCAGGATAATAGAATAGGTCTGTTTGTTCTTTTGAACAACTAAAATTACAGAAAAACATTGTACGCTAATGGAGTTGTTGTTCTAGTGCTTAGAATAAAATGTTGATGTCAGCAAACATTAAAGGGCCCCGTTGCACAGACTCTACTTTCTCTCCTCTTTTAAATTTCAGAGTCTGCACACAGTTTGTATGGGTTTTCATATTGTGTAGAAATCTGAACTTTTCTAAGATTTTTAGAACGCCTATACAAGAATTCTTCTCCCTTCATTACACTGGTGCTATATTTCATTTTCTATAGATATCGGTGAGGATCTGTCTTTCAATGGTCATAAAGGCCTGTCATATTATTTGAGACAAATAATTTTGCAAATATACTTTTCAAATTAGCCACAAAGATATGTTATATCTAATGTGTCTAGCAGTTTGGTATTTAATGTTCTCATTTTGCACTATATTGTTAATGCATATGGCAGACATATTTGATTATGATTTAGTTTTATTTCTAATATGCGCAATCTCCCTTTGCCCCTGTGATGGCAACTTGGTTGCAGTTTTTGTGTAATGCCTGATTTCTTTTTAACTATATATTTAGGGCTACCAACATCATTTCCCAATTGATATGAACAGAGCTTTTTCTTCCAGTCATAGTCGACACAAAGCTGCAAACTGCACTCCAATCTTCTTATTTCATCTGAAGAATTAAGGAGATTTTTGTTTCATCTTTCACCAGACAGCCTTTTCCTTAGATGATTTAAGACAGAATATTTGTACTACTTGACAAGCCAATATTGAGTTTTTTCTTGGCAAAGCTATCCCGGTGGCTGTATTAACTTGACTAGGATCGACTCCATATTTCAAATTCACAAAATTTTTGCAGTAGTCTTATTACTTATTACAAAAAACTTTCATCACTTCCCTAATTAGTTCACATAAATTTATTTGGATATCAATTTGATAAAATGTTCCTTTTTTACATTTAGCATGCACGGTGACAATGAAATAATTTACTTGCGAAAGGTAAAGTGATTATGTAAAACCTTGATTGATTTACTTTCTTGTGTATATATTTTCTTTCTTCTTGCTTCTTCCATTTTGTACTAGGAACTTCCCCTCTTTTATCAAGATTGGTTCTTTATCTTTGGTTTATCTTAGAAAGGGCCTTTAAATTCGATTTCCTTACATCTGACAAGTCACTAAGGAAACCAAATTTTAAAATTCGAGCAATCTTATTAATTGGTCATGAAAGTAATTGTTTATAAGACCAATATCCTAAGCTATGATTATTCTGTCTCAACCCTAATGAAGTCACCGGGCAACTGCAGTGTTATTGTTATGTATATCTGTATCTTACAGCCAAAAGAACAAGAAGAAAAACCCAAAAAGAGTGAAGAAATTTCAACTCAAAGTGTTCCTGGTGATACACGAAGTATGTTGTCTGTGAGCAATGAACTTCATTATGAAGTTTTAATCTACCAGGATGTTCCTTAGTTTATAAACCGCAGTTTATTTGCATTTGGTACTTTATCAATATTGCTGTTTACCTGTGTATTATGTTCAAAGCCTTTCAGGCAGAGCTGTACATGCATCCACCCCTCCCATGCATGAAAACATTGTACAGCTCTGTTTATATGTCTTTCAGCACACAGCATAGGGCTGTTTGGCAATTATCTGCATTAGATGTAATGTTATGATAATTAATGTTTACTTGCCTGCAAAGACCGTGGATCATATTACAGATGGAGTGGCCTAGACTGTTTTTTCCTTGGGGGGGGGGGGGCTAAGCATGCTAAAAACCAAGAGCAGGGGGATTTTTGTATGGTTTTATATAAATTTTGGAAATTATTGAGGGGGCCTAAGCCCCCGTAGCACCCGTAGCACCCCCGCTTCCGCAGTCCCTGCTGGCCTATTCCATAGTGCTCATTGCCTGCTCATACTTTCGTGTGTAGAACAGGCTAGTCCTATGTCCGAACTTGAAGCTTCACTCTTCATGCCATCAGGAACTTTTGTGATTGTGTAAGGGTAACCATATCTTGCTTATAGGTTAATTAAGAACATCAGTTTTGTTTCAGCATTATTGTTGTTTTTGCTTATTAAAGTCCAAGCTAATTGAAGAATCTACCTGATTGCAAACCTGGTCAGCCAATTAAATGTGTTACTACCATTTTGGCTTTTGACTGATGCATGCATTAATATTCTAATTCGGTTTTGAGTAGTCTGATAGAAAACTGGTAGTCGATTTTGATTTAAAATCTGAATTGAATTTTTTTAAACATTTCTTTATTTAATTACCATTGTTCTTATGTACCAGAAAGAACTTAATGTCAGGTAACACATTTTAAGACATTCCAATAATCACTTCCAGTTGTTGTTGCAAAGGAGGTTCAAGAAGATCAGGCTAAGGAGGTTGAATCACAGGAAGAGGAAAGTTTCATTCCTGACCAAGAAGTTCCAAAAATTGGGTCGGTATTTTATTTTCATTTATGTAATTAAAATTATAGATGGAAGCATAATCACCAGCCTCACCCCAAAAAAGACTGCCTGGGCCATCAGGATGCCAAATGTGGTACTTTCTAAGATTGCTAGCCCTGCCACTCGGTGACCAAGCAACCCAGTTGCTGGCGATCCGGGCAATTTTCTCGAAGGAAACTGTCACCATGCAGAACCTTGCTTCGAAAACACAGAGAATTTTTAGTACCTTAGAATAAACTTTAATTTTCAATCATGGTTTTAGAGTATTTCTGTGTGAAGTCTGAGGTGTGTATTTCAACTCATATGCACTTTCAAGATCCGCTTCAATTGCCCTGCTACCTTATGAAAAGCTCACAATAATTGTTAATATGGAGTTTGTTCTTCAGGAGCGATTCTTCACTGACTATTTTCCAGGGCAAAACGGTAATGATTATCACACATTGTGTCCTGGCAAGTTTAAGGGGGTTTTCTTGTTAGAGATTTATACTATGATAAAGCTTTTTTTATCATCATTCAATTCCAGCTCTGTTATAAACTTTAATTAGGTTACTTTTTAAACACGGGTATTTATGTAGAAGTAAGGAAAGCAGAAACATCACATAGGATGCTATATACAGTTGCTTGTTGTCAAGAACAGTTGCTTGGTCGCATTAAGCGTGATATTCGTAGTAGCAACTTAGAACCATCCTGTGATATACACCAGATACCGTAGAATGCTATATATGCATCCTTTTCTTTGTGCAATTGCGAAATTTTTTGCTTTACAAAATTTTCGTGGTTGATTTTATCACTGCACAACCAGGTTATATTACTGCCAAAATTGTTAACGGTATCCATGATGCATTCAGCCAAGTTCTCAACAGCGGACATCTCTTTCGCTTTTTCAGGGAGACCTTTTCTGTCTATGTTTGCCATGTGGATACGATCGACCGATTCTTTGTTCAAAGGACTGAATCTGAAGTAATTGATCTCTCTTCGAAAATCCAAGCATATTATCAGGTACAATCTGTTTTGCTTTCTTTACTAATTGATGCTTTTGTTTACAGTTTAAGAAACAAACCAAGCTTTTTCTTCCATTACTTAAACATTTTAGCATAATTTTTCTATGCTAACTTCACGGTCGATCTAAAGACCACTAAAATAGCTTTAATGCTACTCGTTACATCCAAAGATACATTTGGTTCTTCTTATCAACAGCGGCGGTTTTAGGGACTGTGGGGCCGGGGGCCATAAGCATCTGCTGGGTTCTTGTCCTTTACATTTTTATTTTTTCCCTAGGTTCGGGGCCCCTTCTGGCTACCATAAGTGTGGGACCTGGGTCGTGGCCCCCTGGACCCCCTTAAAACCGTAACTAGCCTACTATTGCTCTCCTTGGGTTTGATATTTTGTGTTGCACTTCTAGTCAAAAGCCAAAAAGACACATTGGAAGCCAAAGATTGGTGGCGTGTGCTGCGCTTGTTACGAGGGACAATGGTATAGAGCCAGGGTGATATTCGGCAAAATAGTTGATAACACGTGCGTTCAATGTCTTTGTATTTCTCCTCGAGACGTTTGCAATTACTGCTAAAAGTCTTGGTACACTAACATAAGTTTTAACGGACGAATTGTTCATTTGATCAATCATTTCCCATCCAACTTGGAACAATGTTAGTTAACTATAGAACCTCGGTTTCAACATTTACTGAACATGAACGTTGTTCCGTGGAATGTTGAGAGCGTTTGGCCGGGGCATAAAATTTTGGACAATAGGGAATGTATTTTTTTCTGTGACTTTTATGATATTAGTCTAGTCTATCAAAATTGCCCTGGGAAGCTTAGGAACGGAATTAACAATTTTCTGGAAAGGAAATGAAAATTTAACACTTTAGAATCAAACTGTTTGGTGTTCCATGTAATTTTAGCAGGTATTTTTTGTTTGAGATTATGGTATCGTTCTTACCAGTTTATTATCTCTTTCGTGTTTGTATCTTTATGAGATACCTAACTCTTGTCAGTACGTTGCTGTCCTGCATGAATCTATTGTACGGATTCTATTAGCTCAACGAACAAAGGCATAACCCTTTGAAAGAACAACATCCTAACTCACTCTTACGTTCTCTGTTACGTTAGGCAATTATTCACAAAGCAAAATTTTTTGGTATAACAACCCTCTATTTGTAAGCTGTTTTTTTCTTCTGTGAGCAAGCAAATCACTGTGGCGTTAAGAGTTTTTTATGGTGCTTGTCAACTCTTAGAAATTGTTAAATAAATTTTAGGAACTTCTTTTACAGTACATAAATACTAAAAAAGGGAATTTGCAAATGTAAGAGCAGTTGCTGGCCTAACCGACGTTCTGTCTGAAGGTAAAAGAACGTAACATTCAAGACAACCTAAGATGGATAGAGCTTTTAGTTGTTTTCTAGGTGATGAGAAAGTTGATGATATTGAATTTTTACTTTCAGAATATCTACGACCACTAGAAGGCCCTCTAAAGATCAGGTAATGAAATTAATATGTTTTATTTCTCTTTCTGTGTTTATTTGTGAGTAGATTCAGGACTTGGGAAATTTGAATTTACTGCAAATATGAAAATATGTTTGAATAAACTCAAAGAAGACGTCCAAACACGATTATTGAAAACGAAGGCATTCGTTGGTAAAGATTCTATTAGACTTAAAACTTTAGAAGATAGTTTACCCTTGGTAGGATAGTAAACCATTTTTTTTTTAAAAGATTCTTTGAATAGCTCTTCCATTCCAGAATGCTGCAACAAATTTTGTGTACAAAGTTTTGTATATAGACTATGGAAACATGGAAACAGTTGGAGACGAAGAAATACGAAAATTGGAGGCGGAATTTTGTACGTTGCCAGCCCAAGCTATACAGTGTCGCTTACGTGGTGTTATGTGGACAGGGGTAAGTGGCATTCCTCTGCAACTTTGATCAATCATTCACTACGCTTTCATTAGCCTTTCTCTTGTTTTCAATGCATTCTTTGAATTAACTAAGCCAATTGCTAGTCTTTGCATGCAAAAAATAGCACGCCTTTTTTTGTACATTCAAGAAGTTTCAAATTTGGTAAACAATGAAAAATTCTTATGTTATCATAGCGAGGTTCTGTGAATAGTAACATTTTAGTTTTTCGATTTTTAATTTCGGTCTTCTTTAGGCCATGCAAGAATGGAGCTCCGAAGCAGTTGATTTTTTCAAAGAATCGACTGAAGATGTACAGCTCAAAGCCAAAGTTTCAAATATGAGGGGTTAGTTTCAGTGATTACAAGATGGTTTCGATTCCTTAAAATGCCATGCCCTGATGTCATTAGCAATGATTTCAACTCTGGAGAGGGGAGCAAGAAATTTTTTGTAACTTTTCAACTAAATTTAAACACAATCATTCTTTTCTGCCCCTTCGTGTCATTTTAAAAGTTATGCATTCAGAATGACCGATTTACAAGATCTGCCTACGATGTCCTCAAAAGTCGGAATCATTTTAAAATTTTATGTTATTTGCTATCCGGGTATAGAGTTCTGCTACTTTTTAACGCTCAGGTAAATGCTGTTTTCGTACAGAGTTGCTATAATTTGAAATTATAAATCCTTTTTTCAAATGTTTGTTTATATAGATAGCGGCAATCTTTAAGTATGTTGCTGCTGTGGGTAGGTGCTTGTGACGTAAGTAGGAAAAATCCCTTGCTCTCTTGTCATTGAGCCGGCCTAAATAGAAAGGCTGATAAGTGTCAATTAATTTGTGATGAATACAGCAAATGGGTGAAATATGGACTCAGTCTTAAAATTTATTTAAATTAAAAATGATAAAATCCTTGTTTTTTCTTCACATTACCCGAGGTTGTTTCTTCTTCCAGACAGCATTATAGACGTGGACTTACGAACTGCCGATGGCAAAAGCATCGCAGAGGCATTGGTGGACAAAGGCCTTGCGATATCGGAAAATAGGCGCCGCACGGCCTCACTGCCTCAATTGCCGAAGATATCCCCCGAAAAAGAAGAGACACAGGAAGATGAAATCTTGAGGTGACATTCTTCTTCCTTTTTGCTTGTATCACTAGTAGAGTGGCAAAAGCTCTCAAACGAAAGATTTGAGAAAAATGATAAAGAGAACTTTAAGAACTTGTTTGTCCATTCTATGATTTCAACTTTCATCACAAGCTCTTATTCTCTATTATGTACTTTTGTTCTCTTTATATTCTCTATTCGATATTGTCCCTTTTTTCTGTGTATTCTATTCGATATTGTCCCCTTTTTTCTGTGTATTCTATTCGATATTGTCCCCTTTTTTTGTGTATTCTATTCGATATTGTCCCTTTTTTTCTGTGTATTCTATTCGATATTGTCCCCTTTTTTCTGTGTATTCTATTCGATATTGTCCCCTTTTTTCTGTGTATTCTATTCGATATTGTCCCTTTTTTCTGTGTATTCTATTCGATATTGTCTCCTTTTTTCTGTGTATTCTATTCGATATTGTCTATCATTCTATTCAAGTTTGTATACATTTCTCTGTTACATCTTTGTTCTACTTTGTATTTTTCAAGGGTTTCTTTTCCTTTCAATTTTACTCCAGTTCGCAATTTATTTTGCATGCAAATATATTATTAGCCAGTTGCCAGATAACAATCTACTTTTCTTAATTGCTTGAAAATAATAATGTTAATTTGTCTTTTTGAAAAGGCCAAGTTTTTCATTATCATAATTCTCAATTTCAGCCCGAAGCCCTCACTCTTATACCGACTGAACAGCCTCACTTTGGATTCATCGGATGATGCAGAAAGTATGTGCACCTTAAAATATTCTATTAGTCCAAGTTCCTTTTCAAACTACCCTCGGTTCCAGGCATTGAAGTTCTCTGTCTGTGGCTGCTTAAACCCGCTTGTAAAAGGAATCAGAGTTTGTTTTAAGGTACATCGATAACCAACTTGTGCGATGATAATATTGACTACACTCTATCAAATCTCTTTAAAAAAATTTCAGTATCTAGAAGCTATCTAGTTTGTTTCACCCTTCATCTTCTTCTGTAAGTTCTTTTTTCTCAAAACCTTGTTCAAATCTAGACCACCTTTTCCAATCTTTTTTTAAAGTTTGGGTGAGTTTTGGTTTAATTCGACAATTTCACATAGGAAGACATCGTACGCTACAGTTACTTAGTTTGATGGTCGTAGTAAAAAAGCCACGCCAACATTTCTTAACAAAATTATGCGCAGTGATAAATATTCCTTTAGAATAAACCCCAGATTCCAGTACCATTAATATCTTTGTAAACCACACTTGTTTTTGTTGTAGTCAAGCAAGTGGAACTACCCAAGGACGACATTTTTGATATCCTTGTAACTGCAGTAAACTGTCTCAATGAAATTTCGGCTGTTCTGGATGATGACCACAATCAGGTCAGTTATTGAATACATTTAGCTGCCAACCTCCAAGTCTCGTTTTTAAATTTAATCAGTTGATTCCTCTTTTATTTATTTAAAATTACTAGCAATCAACCCATTTTACTATGCAACAATTTGACGCTTTGCAAAAGGTGCAAAATAGCTAAAGTTCGTGATTGTTTCGCCAGAAAACTGAGCTATTTAAGAAAATGGAGAGTAAGATCTGGTTCCTGTTTAATAAATGAGCCTCAGCTCTTCAAACACAAATCTTCATTCATAGTCGTTATGTTAACCAGCTGAAGTTTTTGCTATGTTTTCTTGAACAAAGGCAGAGCAAGATTACGTACAAATATACAAGAACTGACTTTAATTGTCTGCTAACAAAGAGGTTAACATAAATACACTTGTTTGTCGCAGAAAAGTTGCTTATGGAGAAAATTTTCAAACATACTGCTAAATTAGCTTTTCTGCAATACAGTCTCTTTTTAAATATCACATGACAATGTTATCTAGTTAAGCATGGCCTTTATTGTTGGTAGTCTCAAACAATGAGATGTGTGACAGAATATTTCGAAGGGTTTATTCTATTTGAAGCAGAAACGTGATTTCACCACCTCATTAGATTTCACCAATTGACTTGGTGCCTCTTTTGTTACAGGGGCGCTTAAAAGTCTTAGAAGCTGGCATGCAGATCTATTTTGATTCAGACCAATCAGGTTAGTTTCTATTTATCATTCAAAACAATATTATTGAGAACGATGTGATAAAATTAAAAATGACTCAAGACAAGATAACGTAACATTAAAGAGCGTCACATGCAATGACCCAACGTAACAAAAAATAAAATAAAATGACATAACATAACATAACATAACATAACATAACATAACATAACATAACATAACATAACATAACATAACATAACATAACATAACATAACATAACATAACATAACAAACATAACATAACATAACATAACATAACATAACATAACATAACATAACATAACATAACATAACATAACATAACATAACATAACATAACATAACATAACATAACATAACTTATAATGTCAATCATACCATATTTCATTTCATTTCATTGATATAAACTTCAATGCTGCCGGTTGTCAGTTTTATTCTAATTGAACTTACAATCCAGATGAAAAGTTTCAAATTGAAGTTGGATGTGTTTATGCCGCATTTTTCGAAGAGGCCTGGTATCGAGTGAAGGTTACAGAGGTCTGGGAAGACTCGGCCGAGATTTATTTTGTCGACCGCGGCGACAGCGGCAAAGTGCAGACTTCATTTATCAAGAAATTACCGCCACAGTTTAAGATTCTGCCATTACAGGTATGAGTTATTTCCACGATGAATGATGAAATCTGCATGAGCTTGAGCTTGTTTTTGTTATGATAACCTTTTCATTTTCAAATAAAAGGAGTGGATATATGATGATTGAGCAGGTTGGTGCCATAATTTAGAGAGTAAGTGTACAAAATGTGATTTGCAGAAGTGTTTCGTATTAAAATTTTAAGGTAGAGTGCAAATTAACTGTATTTTTATGTAATATGTAACATGATATTTTATTTAATATTTTTCAGCGACAGTATTCTATATGTCATTTACAATTGTAGATGTTATATGATTATATTTTATTTTTTTATATTTTATTCTATTATATTATATTATATTATATTATATTTTATCGTTTTATGCTCTTTGTATTGTATATGTATATTATATTATGATCTATTTTATCATAACATATCATAATATACCATATTATATTTTCTCATAGAAAATTTTTTGATGTAAAATTTTATTGCATAAATATCATTTTCTTTTCTTTTATAATATATTTTATTATATTGCATCATATTGCAGCAAATATTCTTTTCACTAGGCAATCGAGTTGACTCTAGTAAATCTCCCAGAAAGTGACAACCCAAAGCACATCCAAGCTCTTTGCGATGCCATCTTGGGAAAAGAATGTGTTGCCGTTGTAATTGATAGGTTGGAAATTTAAACTCTTAGTTTTATTCTGGCGTTTAAGGGTTGTTCTATCTTTGAAATGTTGATTTAGATTTCATCTTAAAACTTAAATGCATATGTAAGGAGAACTGTAATTCCTCAACAACATCTTGACGAACCTTTTGGAATGATCTTTTGTGTGATGTAATAGAACTTAGAAATAATCCTTAGGCTTCTTAACGGTGTTGCTAAATTGCTGAAATTCGACGTAGCTGACTTTGCCGGATTCATTTATTACGCAGAGATCAAGATGTCGCACTAGTGGAATTGTTTGACACAAGCTCGGGCAGTGAGGTCAGCATCAATGACAAAATTGCCACTGACTTAAACTTCAAAGACGAGGAAGTTTTCCAACAATTTCTTCCTGATGTAAGTTTATAGCGCAAAATTAGTTATCTTATTTTCTCTATAGAATGCTGCTGTGTTTATTACAAAATCCAAGTTTTGGATGCGGCGTTTGATAGCGGGTGGCGTTTATCAGAGGGCGGCGTTTATCAGAGGGCGGCGTATAATAAAAAATGAAAATGTGTCAGTTGAAAAGTGATAAGACAAAGTGCGATAAAACAGACTTTAAACAATGCTTTATTTCCTCAAAGACATGTAATAAAGATTTTGTGAAAAATGTTTTAAAGCTCACAAAAAATGTGTTCACGTTATGTAAATGTCAAGGAATGTCACTGTCTCCGTCAAAGTCCTCGTCTCTATGACATAAAAAAGTTCATAGCTTTCAAATAATAAGCGCGTTTATTAGAGGAAATACGGTAGTCACGATATTTTTATCATGAAGCATGTGCAAATTCCATTGATAATGGCAATCAGAGAATCTGTATATATGTAAAAAAAGGTTCCATAATTTCTAGAAAAACTCAACAGATCTTGCTTCCATCTTTTTATATTGTTTTCTTAGACTTCAATGCTTCCGCTTCTTTTTCTCATCAGATCTTGATAGTATAGGTAATATCATGCAAGCAACTCTAAGAGCTTGCTACTTTGATTGTATCATTTATCATAAATCATGTTTGGTTTGCCAAGCATTCTTTTTGTCACATTTTTAAGTATAGCATTTTGATTGTCTGTGAGGATCTTTCGATTCCAGACAGATTTTTCAGTTTTTTTTTAGATTTGTCGGCTTGTTTTGTTATGATTTTATCCGTTTGTTATCTGAGTTTTTTTTCAGATTTGTTAATGTGTTTGATTTTGTTAACTTGCTTCTTTCCCCTCGCCTTCCCTTCGTCGTTGTCTGATTGTTCGCTCTCCATGGCGTAATTCCCATAGCTCAGTGCAAATTACCACGTTAAATTATTATCAGATTATTAAGAGATCAAACTTGGTCCCTTCTCGTGAAACCCGAATGTTGATATAGTGATTTTGTAACTTTGTGTTCTGGGTGTCGGAAAAAATCTTTACACCTCCAAGCTGTGGTAAAAAGAGAATTGTGTGACCGCAAAGGATGCCAGTCAGGAAAGGGTTTCTCGATGTCTTGAGCACAAGATATGCTTTGTATTTATAGTAGGGCTGGCAAATACCCCGAAGAGAATTGATGACGTCACCGGCAAAAAATTGACAGCAGCGAAGAGTGCGTTTGGTTTAATGGTTTTTAAAACACAAAAAGGTTTAATACCAGTTTGGCGACAATATTTTTTCTGTTTGTAATTTTCTAGTTTGTTTGACGAGACCACAAAATACATTTAAAGCTGGGCTAAATTTCTCCGATCGTCAGAAACTATTTCATAAGTTTTTTTTATATATCTGTGATTTTTGTTTTAGGCTGGTGAAATCGCTGATGGTTTTGTTTCAAACGTTTCTGAATCTGGTCTTTTCAATGTTTGTCTGGTGGGACCAGGTGTCCAGCAGTTAGACGCATTAAATGAAGAATTGCAAGACTACTTCTCGAAGGTGATTTAACCATGTGATTTACCACGTGATTTTTCCACGTGATTTTGCCACGTGATTTTCCATATGGTTTCGGCATGCTTGCTTTGATTCGCAGCATTTTATGTTGGATAAAGTAATTACAGTAAAGTTATCAGAAAGTGTCAAAATGTACAAACTGAACTTTAAAATCTATGGAAATAAAACTCAAAATGTCCCTAAGTAGAGGAACATCGTGGAATGAGCTAAAAAATAAAACCAAAGCTGTTAGATTCCCTATAAAGTTTCGAGATTCCTTAGATTTTAATTTCGGCTTCAATGTGCTCAATTTCGTTTTATTGAAGTTTCTAATCTAATTTGTCCACGTTTCTAATCTAATTTCTTTTAGGAGCTGAGCATGTTAAATGGTTTCATATTTATTTACTAAGTTGGGTGAATATTATATGCAATAAAAATATAGTAAGGTTTTTTCTTTTTCTCGTCATTATCCAGGGATCAAAAGCGGCTGATTTTGTAAAGAGTCCCGAAACAGAGAAGATTGTTTGCACCAAGCTCAAAGAAGATAGTACTTGGTGTAGAGCTATCATAAAATGTGTAATGGCCGCAGAAAAGAAGGTATTCGCTTTGTCTCGTTGGCCTCCTTACTTACGTTTAGTCGTGCAAAACTTATGAGGGGGAGGGGGGGGGGCTCATTTCACTGCGTGTATATAGATCCTACAGTTGACTTGACAAAGCTACACTTTACTGTCGTGAACAAGGCTCTTTTCGTCAACTTCCGATCACAAGAAAGAAAAGATTATTTAATTCACTAACAGCCAACAAAGGATGAGCAAGAACCACTGCAAAGAAGAATCTAATTTTGGTAGATCTATAAATCATTCGAGGCTGGATTTTTCAGGTGGGGGCAGATACAACGAAGAGTAAGGGGGGAGGGTCGTTAATAGCCTGGGACTTGATTTGCAATACAATAAGCATGCTTATTTATGTGAAAATGGCGACAGGGCCTAAGTTTTTACAAAGGTAGCAAGATGTATTTGAACAAAAATGGCATGGTAGCTAACGACTCTTGTAAAGAAGTAATATTGTGGGAACGCTACTTAACATCTTTAACGGCAGATTTAAAAGCAGGAACGCCTGGCCTAAAACAACATTGCAATATTTGGGGAGTGACGGGAAAAATTTCTTAAATCATAAGAAATATTTTGTTATTTTTTCCTGTAGAATGATGAAAACGTACTTTTGCCTGAAAGTGATCTTCGTAGAGGAAGTTACAATTTAGGGGGGGGGGGGGATAGGGGCTTTGTTAGAAGCAGGATTTTGGTATTTTTCAAAGGGAAATTAATTGCCACGGAGATTGATTTGTGTACAAACCATCGATAGCAACGCTTTAAAAAGGATATGTCTTGTTCATTCCAGGCAGAGATCGAGTTTATCGATTACGGCACCAGAGATGTTGTCAGTGTCATGGCCTTACGGGAGATACCAGAAAAGCTTAACGAGATGAGAACGCACCCTGCACAGGTAAACGTGTCAACGCAACTTAAAACGTATGCGTCTCGTGATTCTCGAGATTCTGGTTGTTAGAAACACCTTATTTTTGTGCGACACCTTATGTTTATGCGACACCTTATGTTTATGCGACACCTTTATGTTTATGCGACACCTTATGTTTATGTGACACCTTATAGTTATGCGACACCTTATGTTTATGTGACACCTTATGTTGCACTTTTTGCTGGTATAAGATAGATTTTGGTACCTCAAACGAATAACACACTGCTACTGTGAGCACAAATCCCTCGATCATGGAATCTGTGCCAAAAAAACAAAAGCCCAAGGAACACCAAAAACGGACGTACCCTGTCACATATTAAACGTGATTATATATTGTTTAATTAGGCTAATTATACTCAACTCAACATGTAATTTTTCAAAATACTAGCAATAAAAAGGAGATTTGAGAATTGAAATATTAATAAGGGAATTTGAACGTTAATATTGACTGATTGTGATTCGTTTCACCCTAAACAATTTTCGTTTTCAAATCTCTTATAATTTAAACTTTAGATTGTCACAATATCTGCAACACAAGCACAAAAATATGAAACATTGTTTGTGGATTAAAAGTATTTTGGTTAATCACTATATGAACTAAGAAGGAGGCAGCGAAGTTGATTGTTATATTCAAAGCGAAACCTTTAATTTGATGGATGTACTAGTTTTGCCATTTAACTTAAGCAAAGGTATCCAATTTCATTTCGCCAGGTTATTGGAATGAACGAGGCTAGCATTAAGGGCGGGTGCACAACTTGTTTTGTTTTTGTTCTTAGTTTTTATTTACTTTTGTTGACAAATATGTTTTTTACGTTGAAAGATGAGAACTCAACATTTAACACCCTGCTAGAGTTATTTCTTTAAGTATTTATGCCAAAGATTGTTCGCTATGAAAATTTTCCTGCTCTTGGTATCTCAGTGAGCAATGTGAGACAATCCTCCAAGATTCTTCGCAGTAGTCTTGTTTGTATCCTAACAAATGTATTTGCACTGTAATATATTTTTGTTAATCTATTCACTTTTTTGTGATTTTAGACGATCAAGTGTAAGCTTGCGGATTGTCCAGACGAAGCTCAGGTGAGTCGTGCTGTTTGCTTCTAAGATAAAAAAGCTCTTTCAAGCATCCGATTTAGTGAAAGTCCACGGTTTCCAAGGTACGACTTAAGGGGTTAATAACCTCTGTATTTTCAATCATCACTGAAATTAACTTGAATTTACAAAGAAAGTGGCTTTTATTGTTATTATATTATAGGCATTTTTCATTATCGATATTATAATTCAAGCCGTTTATTAATTCTTTGATATTTCCGTGATCTAAATGTGTTTGCATTGTTAAAATCATTTCATCAACTGGGGATGGCTGTTAATTTGTGTTCGATTGTTCATTCTTTTTGCCAATCATTTAGCATACATCAACCAATATATAAACTTGTATTTATGCTCCAGCTCTTAGGTCTACCTCCTTCAAATATTATAAGTTGATTTGTTCTTTAATTTTGATGTTGTTCTGGCTAGGATCTGTGGAAGAATGGATTGGCCTCGCGGCTGCTGGCATCTTTGAAAACGAGAACTGTCGTTATCAAGGTGAATATTCTTATGTTATTTTTGTTGTTGTTATTGTTGTGTAGATGTGTGTGATTTGCATTCGTTTTCTTTCGTTTTTTTTTCGCAAAATCATGTTAGCCTTTTTCAGTGCATATTACCGTAAATCCTGAAATTTCCCCCTTCTCAAAAAATCCCCCTCTTCGAGTAAGCCCCCACCCTAGAACTACAAATTGTCAATAAGCCTCCCCCTCGAATGAGCCCCCCTCGAATAAGCCCCCACTGCTACCATAAATCCTCGAATCGACCCCCTCTCGATCTGCTGATTTTTGGCATCTGATAATAATTGGTAATAATTGATTAAAGGTTTATAAAGAAATTCCTGCTAAAATATAGAAGGGCTTTTAATAATGTCTTCTTAATTTATATCAAAAGTAAATAAACCCCAGGGGGCTAATTCGAGGATTTGCAGGAGATAAACTCCTAATTGAAGGAGTTTATAAATGTATTCATCCAACTACAAAATTTGTTATCACCAGACTTGCTAAATTCTTACAATGAATTTATTATTAATGCTATATATGTACAGAACAAGTTACCTACCCCCTAAAGTTTCAGTTGCCTGGCCCCTTCTCCCCCTAACAAATTACCTACCCCTAAAAGTTTCAGTTGCCTGACCCCTTCTCCCCCTAACAAATTACCTACCTCCAAAAGTTTCGGTTGCCTGACCCCTTCTCCCCTTAACAAATTACCTACCCCCAAAAGTTTCAGTTGCCTGACCCCTTCTCCCCTTATACAGACTCGCGCATTTTTTGACAGATCCCCCCTCCCCCGGCACAGGCTTATTCCCTGAATGTTGACTACCCTTCTGTTTGAGCGCTTTCAATGTTTTTTGCATACAAGAAGAAAAATAACATGCGAATTCTCAGCTGAAGGATAGAAGATATGATTGAGTTGTTCATGATTCAGGATTAAGCGTTTGTTTTTTTAATTTACTGATCTTGACGTTCAAATTTCATGAAATTCCCCAGAAACGTCACCTCTAAAACCTTTGCACAATCGTTTACTTTCTATGAACCTGATCCCTTGGATCTACACTTTCGGGTGCCCCCCCCCCCGCGTACCATAGTTGCATAATTTTCAAATTTCCTTCTTTTATAGTCGGTGAAGGAAGCTGACGACAGTACTGCTCCTTTGATTCAAATTTTGCAAGCGGACCCGATTGATACCTCAAAATTTACATCGATTGCTGACGACATCACTGAGATCTGTGCATCTTTAAGGTTAGCCTAATCCTACAGTCAAGTCTCTACCCCCAAAAAACAGGCCTAGAATTTCTTATCCGCAGTTAAACGTCCGGACAGCAGACACCTTCTTTCAATGTACAGTTTTTCTGGTTCCACAGATAATGGAGATTTCACCTAACCTATTTCATAAAGCCTGTATTTTTTTCTCTCTTACTTCATGCCATCTTTTGATATATCGTTGAAAAGTTTTCTAGATTTTTAGTCTTGCCCTTAAAAAACTAAAGAAACAACCGTGAAACTTGCTCACCACTGATTTACCGCTAAAAAAACCTTCAAGTTGTATTTGTATCACTTACTCGTTTTTCAATCCTTTTTTCCAGCTAACTGTCGAAAGGCTGTTAAAAATGACACGACTTTCTCATGGCTTCTGTTCGCCTCTATCATATTCATGGTCTGCAATTTTCGACAGCGATTTGAGAAAAAAATTGTAGCTTTTTTCGCCCTACTTGCAAACGCTTATCCCTTGATCTCAATTCTATTATCCCATCGTGCAACAATAAATGTTATATATCAATTATTTCAGCATTTTTCTAATATTTGAAATTGAATCTTTTCGTAGGGACATAAATCTTTGTGACCACGTAATCTCATCTAAAGCCGTTGCTGTAGAAAAATCTTGTAGAAGAAGTTTAAGCATAATTTTTTGTTCCAAACAGAAATGCCCATTTACCGGCAGCTGTTACAGATAAAAAAGGGCAGGTAGAACCCCACAAAGAAATCAAGGCTCCTTCTGTTGTGGAAGGTTCGACTGACCACCCATCCGACTTGAATCTGGACAGGGCGTCTGGTGTTCAAAAAAGGTCCATCTCAAGTCAGATATCCCATTCGAGTGCCTCATCTGAATCTACCAAAGATAAATTGGTGCTTTCAGTTCGAAACGCGACCGTTCCACCTTTGGAAATCAAAGAACATTGGATTGTTATTTATGTTACCAATGTCCAAAGCCCGTCAAAGTTTCATGTGAGTATTTTTCGCTTGGCTCTACCATTGACTTTGACCCAAATGCGGTCACTGGTGTGTATTTTGAAGAAAAAGCCATTATGCTTTCATCTCCAGAAAGTCACAATCTTCTCACACAGTATACCCCCACTGTAGCCACACCAAATGTTGCCTTAACTGTTATTGAAGTATGACTGTAAACGGGTCTTTATTGAGAAGTTTGAATTAATTGCAGTTTGACGTCATCCGGGCTGACTATAAGTGGAGTTATTTCTATGCTTAAGAGCACATTTTTATTCGGTACCTTTATGGTTTGGGAGTTTTTAAAAGGCCATGCTTGTACTGCATGCTTGATTTAGGACCTTTGCATTCTCGAACCTTGCTTGACTTCACAAACTCTGGCGTATTTTATAAATTTGCTTTTGTATTTTAGTTTGTGCTCCATGACAATTTATCACTTCTTACTAACACGATGGAAAGATTGCTTGAACACTACAAGGTACGATTTTTCTTTCGCAACAATTTCCGGCACCATCTCAATCTGCTTTGGGCAGAGTGACGAAATTCCCATTTTGTGTGTTTGTAATTTCTGTTTGCTTTAAGAGTAAAGTTTAATTCTGCGTGCACTTAGAAAGTATTTCCCCCGAGGCATTTAGAAGACATTTCCATCTAGAATTCTTAATCAGGAAAAAAAGATTTTATTGTTGAAATTGCCCAAAGGGGACATGCTGTTACACCTGGGAACTGATTTCGTTTATCAAGATAATCTTCTATTTTTTTTTAAAATTTATGCTTGGCAGAATAATTACAAAAGCATTTTGATTGTAAGTAAGTTTTATCGAAAGCCAAAAATTTTTCAGCCATCTTGATACGAAATAATTCGTTACGGTTCCTGTTCTACTTTTTACGCGTAAAAGGAATGAGTCCAGCAGGACTTGAAACTATCTTCGTTTCATCGCCACAATTTTGCAGTTTACCTTAAGTCTGCACTGCAATTGAGAGCTTCTATTTCGCCGTAGGACTCAGACAACTCTTTTGATGACTGCTGCGAAGGAGATGTGTGTGCGGTTTTGGTGCAAGCAGAGGAAACTTGGTACAGAGGAATCATTCGCACGATTGATGAAGTGGAGGTTCGTGTTGACAGAAATTGTAATGAGAAATTTATATATGATGTTTAGAACCCTGTTTTAAACAGTGAATCACCCCTTTGATGCTATCATTTAACCTCGCTTTCACTTTCTGTCACGTGCAGGCTATCCTAGGACATCCGGGACACTTGTAGGTTTATAAGGGATGCACGAGTGCTACGCCCCCTCTGCAAGTTCTATGCATGCTGCAAACGGTTGTTTGACGCTGCAGCAATGTTCAAAGACCTTTTCGTCTTATGGGCAGGTGCGTCAGTCGGGAAAATGTTCCCAGTAGTGACACCGACCTTAAAAATCGGTATTCTCCAGGCAGTACAAGGGCTGGTGCACCTAGCAAGCACACTTCTTGGAATAAGGTTTTTTCTACATAGTTAGCCACTATCAGGCACTAAGTAATATTTCATTTCTTGGCAACCGTTTTTGGGGCAAATTGTTAATAATTTGAGATTGTGATTTAACTACAATTACTATTCAAGATTAATCCCTTTTAAACATTTTAACACAAAGTCATTACGTTGAAAAAGCTAAAATTGTTTGTGAGCTCCTCCTCAGAGGCTTGCAACGACGAATGAACTGCAGAACGCAGATCAAAAGAAAATGCAGAATTTTTTAAAAGAAAACAAAGAAAATTAAAATAAAATTTTGTCTCATCTTCCTGTCAGGCGTACCAATCTTCGTTGTTGTTTTTCTTCATTTCTTCTGACGCCGTTACAATTTCTTTTTTTCTGATAGGATCTAGTTGGTGTTTTGTTACCGGATGTGGGAAAGATGACACTTGTCCCGATTACTGACATCAGACCTCTGCATGATTCGTTCCTCTCCTTGCCTTTTCAGGCCATCAGAGGGTCCTTAGCAGGTTTGTTTTTAATAATTTTCATTTTCGAGTAAAGTCTTGACATTTCGATTATTTCCAGTTATTTCCAAAGATAAATTATCTAGAATGTGCTGTACTATTTTAATTTGATATTTTCTTGGACTGTTAAAAATTTTTGTGAAAATAATATGTTCTAGGTCAAAATTTTTTTTAACGTTTCGTCTTGAAACTGAAACTGTTTCTTATGAGAAAAATATAAATACAATATCGGTTTTTTTGTCTGGAGTTCTGTTACCTTTAAGTCTGATTTTTACACTTGCTTTTGTCTTAGATCTTCCTCGCCCACCAGCCGATAAATGGCCGAAGACAGCATGTAAAAGATTTGGTGATTTGGTATTTAATCAAAGTTTCTATGCTAAAATCAAAAGCTCTGAACTGACTTACCCAGCCTCGTACTCGTTTGTTGATAATAAAAGCCTCGAATTGACTCTGTTTGACCCAGCAGAAGAAGCTGATGACATGACAATTAATGAGCTTGTCAAAGGTCTTCTAATGTAAAGTATTCCAGTAATTGAATATTCAATCTTTGTAATGTTCTGACACATGCAATTATGCTACATTAGTTGCACTTATATGATCCTGTTTTTTAGTAATACCCAGCGAAAGTTTTATGCTGAATAGCATGGTACATTAAGCCAAAAAATGAATTTTGTTTAGTATGATCTTTAAGCTCTTAAATAAATAATAAGATGAGCTAGGTCCATAACAAGAAACGGTTCGTTATCCCTTTTTTCTTGTCATAGATTTGCAAAATTAAGGAATAAACTTTTACTGCAATGTTAGAGAAAAAGAGGCTATCCCAATATATGTAAACTTCTAATAAATTATGATTTGCCTTCCAAAAGTACCTTATTCTTTTATTTCTGATTCAGTTTGTCTAAGAAATTTCATTTCAAATTTGATAATGGTAATGAAAAAATATTTTTAATTTACCAATCTTCACCTATTCAGCGATTTTTTTTAGAGTTTTGCGTAAATTTATCTGCTAGGAGCAATATTGCTTGTCAGCCATAAATCATTATCACGATGAAGAAAGATATTTTAGAAAATGACGCTATTATATTGATGTAGGCTTAGTATGTATATAAATAAGTTTAGCTAGTGTTGTGTTCTGTTAGTAGTGATTTTTTGTTTTGTAGAACAGATGTTTTCAACAAACCATTCTTTTAATAATTCCAAATTTCACATCACAATTTTTTTGACTACCCGTTTTCTTTGTTATTTTAAAGAAATGTTCGAATTAAGAAGAGCTGGTTTGCTGGGAGAGGAATCTGGAGTTTATGATTATGATAAATATGATAAATATTGGCATTTTGAAATTCCCAATGAATCAAGACCATATTCTTACAATATTGAGAATTTGCTAATTGCTTTAAATTAAAACATTTGTCAAGACTATATAGACTTGCGATTTTTAGAAAATGCTATGTTTTTGAACTATAGACTTTTTGACTGTACGGGCTAACATTTTCTATAAACTACTATGAATTAACACTAACAAATTTCTGAAAGCTTTGTGCTTTTGATCTTTAGAAATTACTCTACGCATTGAATTTCCACTTTTTTCCAGGCTATTAGGCTTAACATTTTTAGAAACAACTGATAAGCTGAAATACTTCTTTTTCTCAAGGCTATAGGCTTGCAAATTCGAAACAAGTTAGTTCCCAGACTTGTGGAAATGAGCAAGGCTACCGTAATATTCAAAGAAGGAGATAAAGCAGGCAAATCAATCTCACTTGCCTGTTCTTTGAAAAACTTCAAGTCGGTCAGTGGTGCCAGAAAATGACTTATTCTCATGCGATCGATCTGGCCTCCATTATGCCTACTCGAAATACCGATAAGTGGTACAAGGTGCAGGGTCTAAGAAAACTAATAGGACTAGTTTTTCTTGACTTTAAAAAGGCATGGATAATGTTAAACATGTCATTCTCTGTCATAAAAATAATTTTGCTAAGGTATTCGGCAGTGGTAACTCTAATAGCTTCTTTCTCGAAATACCTTCTTGTTTAAACGTAAAAAACGATGCAGGATTAAATGCATAGCTTTTGAAATTTAAAGAATAATTGCTGATGCAACACAAGGATCATATCTTGGTCCCCTTTTATTTTTAATTCAAATCATAATTTCCCACACTGGCAGTACATAACATATCTGTTTCATGTTTACTGAATGATGCTAAAAATCTAATTAACATAGATCTGAAAACTCCAGAGAAGTGGCTAGAGAGCAACGTACCTTCTCGTTGTTTAAAAAAAGCACGGAGATGCAGAAATACAATACACTGTTGGTATTTTAATGTTAGGAAGAATCTGCTCTATATATTTGGAAAACACTTATTACCCCAGCTGGAACATAAAGCTTTGGGAGATTGAGAAGAAGAACTTTCAGTTAAAACTATGGATCACCAACTTGGAAGTTGTCCAAAAAATCAAACGCTTTATCCAGCAAATCGACAATTCTGTTTATCAAAATGTATTTCGAGAGTGTAAACAGCCAAGATGCCAACGGTCATGCGACGTACTAAACAAGACTACAAAATTTTCAAGCCACGGCTTATGTCACCTCAATAACCGTCGTATCTTTAAAGTTTCAAAAATTTTCGATTCGTAAAATCATTTAATGCGTCGTTTAAGAACATTTTTGCTTAGAAACAGATATCTAATAACGGAAGTTTCCATTAACTAGATGCTAAAAATTGTCTCATAAACTTAAATTGATCTATGCAATATTTAGAAGCTGTGCCTTTAATGCTTGACAATTCAAGCTTGCTTTCTACTAAAATTTCCTTAAGCTTTAACTTGCATTTAATTGCCCATTTCCATCTTCACGATGTTGCACTTGATATACAGGTTTTCAAAGACAAAAATTTAAAAAAACATAAACATCTCCAAAACATGGATAGAAACTAGAATATATTACCAGCTAATATCAGCTAAATTACCAAATATTATTTACATTTTAAAAACAATACCGAAATTTATTATTTTAACCCCAATTCTTAGCTTTCTACGTACTGCAAAGTTTATTTACAGATTATGTACATTAAAATCAAAATTCGTTTTAAAATAATAAATCTTAATTATTTAAGGATTTTTTAAGCTCTTTGTTTTCCTCTGTTATCGACTTCCACAATTCGTCAATTTCGTTTTCAAATTCGCTGCAAGAAATGGAATGTTTTTTCAGAGTGGCGAAGATAGTTGTAAATAAATAAACATATTCTGGTTCCTATCATTTAGGAAACAATTACCAATTCATGCTCTCAATTATAACCAGGCATATTATAACCATGTAATAAAATCCCTTTCGCGCATATTCAGTTTTGATGCGTGGGAAAGTTGCTAAGCATTTGTTGCAAAGTGGCAAAAGTAGTGGCTAAGCAGGGTGCAAAAGTGGCAAAGTGGCAAAAGTGGCAAAGTGGCAAAAGTGGCTCAGTTTTGATGCGTGGGAAAGTGGCTAAGCATAAGCAGTTCGTAACAATATATGATTCAGGTAAAAATGTCTAAAAGGTAAAAATATTATGGTTTATCAGCTAAAAACAGGTTCTTAAACAAGAGAAGCAATTAATCATAGAAAAACAGCCTGTTGATGTCCAAATCCCAAAGTTTTTCGTTGTAGAGACGTACTTCTGGGTGCTCTTTAACGAATAAATAGTTCTTCCATAAAATATTTCATCAACTTGAAATCTCAAGAAACATACCTTTTGTTTGTTTGTACATAATCCAGAATATTTTGCCTGCTAGCAATAATTTGTCTCAGATTATGTATTTCTTGATCATAATTATTCTTTAAATTCAAAATCTCTTCGTCCTTTTCCTTCACTCTAAAACAATTTAGAAAGAAAAAAGATATTAAGAAAAACTTGGCGGTTAATATAAAAATCTCACACAAAAGTGACGATAGGATTGGTGAAAGAGGGTGAATATTCAACCTTTTTTCCGAAATATGGTCAAGGTAATCTTCTAAGAATGAGTCAACATTAATTAGGTGGGGGAAGAGTAACTTTTTTCAAAATCCGTTGAAAAAGAACATCTTTGGAAAGCTGTTGCACAGAATTGTTGCAAAAATATTTTTAATAATAAACTGCACAATTAACAATTTACAATACCTTTCCAAAACTTCGGCTGACTTCCTCTTAACTAATTCTTTGTACTTCTAAAAGATAAAGGTAACAGGTATTAGACTGATGTAATCTTGTTTATTTCATGATTTATAACACACTGGCGCAATTTAGAAACATTTAACATTTTCAATCGATTTTAAAATTAGAGGTTCGGTTAGTGAAATCGAGCTTTTGGGCGATTCCAGTGCTTCTATTTGGAAAATATTATGTAAAACAAAGGATAATTCCCAATTGCATGCAATGATACATATTAAGGGATTTTAAGATCTGGGTTTTCGATCTAACTTCGATTTGAATCGACTTGATTTAGATAAGCTACGCTAATTGGAGTGTGTAAATGTTTTCACTTGAATGCTGACTTTTTTTCATCCTAACCTGAAATAAGTGGAAACGTAGAACCATCCTGTTCTATACACCAAACAGCGTGTACAAATCTGCCTATATGGTATCAAGCACTTAATGACAGACTGCTAAACATAAACTTTCATTAAAAGTTGTTTTAAGTGCAACTAACGCTTAAATGATCCTCGAAATCACGAACTTAAAATACAAAGAACACAGGAAAATCACATCAAAGTATTTTTCTTAAATTGTTAATTCTTAAAACACATCAAAGAATGCTCTGAATTGGGCGTTTGACTGTTATTTTTGTGCTTTGCTATAAATATCGAAGCAAAAACATTCCTAGATCTTTTCGTGCACTATTCTCTAGATAAATATGTTGTAGTGTCATATTTTCATAGGTAATTTTCCATAAAACTACCTCCAATTCTTTTCTCTGGTGTTCCAGTCTTTTCTCATTCTCGATCTTTTGTTTATAGCTGATTATAGTTTCGTTATTTTGTGATTTAATCTAAAAACAAAAGACAGTTTGGTTAAGATTAACCTATCGCATAAAATCTAAAGATTTAGTAGAAGAACGTAAAATTATAATTTGCCAGAGCAAGGAGGCACCGTGTCTAACAGCCAGTCAACATTTTAGGATATGCAGTTTCATTTATTTCTAGCGTCAAAATTCTGCTTCGTTTCACTTATATTACAAAATCAGTCTGTCTATATTAAGTCTCGTTGCAAGAGACTTTGTGACATGTTTACTTTCCGTTTAAAAACAAGTTTGAATCTAGGCCAAAAACTATCACACTTAATTGCAATACAGTCACGTGATGATCACATTAGGAGTTGCAACTTAGAACAGTATGTTCTAGAAACAAAAAAGTAATTCTCAATACAAGAATTTCTAAATTAGTTAGAGGAAGTTCCTGTTGAATCTAGTGTTCAGCATTGGTTATGGTCTTGCTAAGACGGTTGCTTTTCCTTTTTAGCTTCATAGGCAGATTTAACCAAAAGAAAACTTAGTCAATCTATTGGAATTAGAGAGGCCTACCAGTTTAGCAAAAACGTCTCTTTCTTTGGAGCTTTCCTCGGCCTAAAAATTGGAAAAATTTCAAGCAAAAAGTTATGGGGCGATTCAAGAAAACATTTTTTAAACTGATTCAAGACCGATTAAAATTTAGGGCAAAATAAGTAACCAGAATAAAAGCTAAATTTTTCAACACATAGACGCTTAAACCTTGATAAAAAAATGAGCTTCAGAAACAACCATTACATATTTCATGACACATGTTTACCTAAATAACATCTAAATAGTTATCACCAACACATTAAAAAAAGGGCTACCTAATATTCCATCAATAAATAGACAGTTCCTAAATGATCAAATGAAAGCTCTTTACTCACCACTGACAGAACCTGCCTCAGGGTTTCGGTCGCTATCATTTCTTTTTCTTTCACTGTTCCCATTTTTCTGTCCATGACAACTAGCTTCTTTTCGGCTTTTCTGAAAAACACAGGCTCGTCTTGCACATAGATGTACACAGCATTTATTATAAAGAAGAGATAAATTAACACGGATCAGGAAGAAGACATTAGATTTCAAAGGGTCACTTACTAAAGTTGTTATATATTCGTCATAGGAAAGGAAATTAATAAAAATACAAAAAATACCAATTTGCAATATGTTATTTTATAAAATGATCTTACCTCAGTGATTTCGAGAGCAAATCCATTTCCATCTGTTGTCGAGAAACCGTTGCACTGGCATCTAAAAGCAGTCATTGAAAAGTAATGCATTGCAAAGCTATTGCAGATTGTGGGGCAAAAAAATAGGGCAAACCTTTTGGCGATGGAAGTGCTTAAAAAATTTATGAATAAAGCATTATATTCATACCTAGAAAGGTTTAAGTCGTGTTTTAATACAATCTAAAACAACACTAAAGCCTATTCATACAAGTAAAATATAGCTGAATCTATCCTGAATTTGCTGAGAAATGGCAACACTAGTACATGCATTTCCCATATCAATGATTTTGTTTTGGTTCTAATATTTATGAAGCAAGCCGAAACAACATTGATACGTTCGCGAAATTCAGGTTTTCACTGGCCAAGATTACATACTCCAAACTCAAATATTCTACACATAGATTTATGTAAGGATATCATTTTCTGGCTTGGTGGCTTTATCAAACAACAACTTTGAATGGGTATGATATTTGCAGTGAAGAAAGAAAAACAAAAAAACTATCAACAATTTAACAATTTATAGTTACAATCTAAAACAAAAGCATATACATCATACCTGTGAGTTTGATAGCTAATTCTTGCTTCTCTTTCATTAATGCCTATAATTGTTATGAAAAGAAAAGAAAATGAATTAAAAACAGTTGTTGCAAAACATTCCGTATTTGCGTATCAGTTCGGCGGAAATATAAACAAATAGCAGTTGAAATAGCTTGGTAGCAAGCATACACTGGCTGTTTTTAATTTAGTCAGAAAACTCATCAATGGAGATAGGGCAAGCAAAATTGTCTATCACTGGCTTCAGATTTTCAGCTGAATCGGATGCAAAACGACTGGCTACCACGAGTACTTCACAGCACCCGCTTTTGGCATAACACAGCACGAGAAAAATTAGTAAAATAAAACTCAACAAAATATTCTAATTAGTAAAATAAAACTCAACAGAAGCACGGGAAAGAAGAGGAAAAAGCAAGAGAGAGAGAGTAGAATTTCACCTGAAATCTGAATGAGGAATCATCTTTGCTTCTTTCCATGTATTCCATTTTTTGTTCCAGAGGTCTGACAAAGACAGGAAAGCGATTCTGAACTCCAGAATAGCAAAGATCAAGCTAATTAGCACAATGGCAATGCTTTGTGAGCCATGAAGACCAGGGACGGATAAAAGCAGCAAGGATTGGGGGGGTGTAAAATAACTATCGGGTGTTGTGCCTGACTCTTTAAGTAACTGGCAACTGATAGGAACTCCCGTTTTAAAGTTCAGTTTTTAGCTTCAAGATAAAGACGATAAGAAGATAAATAAAGCATTTTTTCTGCATCACTTTGTTACTACTGACTACCAAAATTTTATTTTACCGAATTGAAGCAAAATTTACAGAAAACACAAAAATATTGGGAGGGGGCGCACCCACATTCCCCCAGTACATCCGTCCCTGATAGAGAAATTTGCGCTATTGAAAAAAAGATGAAAAGTGGAGATGGTGGAAGAAAAGCGACCAAACAGTTCATCTAAATAGACGACTGAAATTTCTTGATACTGTCTGTAAGCAATATAAATCTGAAAAGGGGACATGTTTCATTGCAAATCAGGCAAGGAACTCCCTTTGTCAAGGTGGCAAATGGAGAACAAAGATATTGTGACAAAATAATATTTTGACATGGCAATGATAATACTTTCAAGAAAATGCAAATCTCGTCTATAAACTTTCTGATTCTCAAGACCACAACAATCCATTAAATAACAGAGTAGATTCTTCAAACATCTACCTCTGGACTTGTTCAATTCTTCTTTTCGCCTCTTCCTCAGTAATTTTCTTTTCTGATTCAGAGACAGCCTCGTCATGTCTTTTCTTCCATGCCTCGTTATCAATTTGCAAGGCTGTGATTTTCATTTGCAGGTTTCGTTTCTCATTTTCCAAAATACGCACTCGTTTCGTAAAACGTGAAGCTAAAAAAAGCAGAGAATAAGAAATAAATGATAAATTCTGACATATTCAGGGCTATGATAAAACGCCACACATGCAGCTCCATTTTCACGCGTGTCAGTTCGTCAGTCAAACCAAACATATGAATGCATCCAACAATTAAAACGCAAAAATGACAATCAGATGTTATTACACGGTCGTAACAAACATGAATAACAGTTTTGCTTCGCTGCAACTCGCTCAAGGCCGGATCTAATATCTAATTACAGCAATGAATGGCTCCACATACTTATAAAATTCAAACAGACTGTAATATTTTAAATTATAATTAACAATATATTTAACTAACAATACCTCTCTGCTGCAACTGTTTCAAACCATTTAGTTTTATTAATATATATTGCGTTGCTTCCCTTTTTAAAAACTACCGTTAACTATTCCCTTTTGTAGTTAACTTCGTATAACTAATTACCTCTATTGTTATCTATTGTATTCCCTTTCGTGGTCAACTCTCTATAACTATTTCTTTTGATCTTTAAGCATTTGAAACTATTTTCTTTTTTTCTAACTCCATGCAAGACCATGCAAAATTTCCAAATATAAAGCACTAGAAATCATCACAAATAAAACCAAAAAACCATTGGACTCACTTTCTAGCTGATGATCATCTAGAATTTCGGAAATTCTTCTGTCCTTTAAATCGATTTCTTGCATTAGGATGGCGTTCTCGTCCACGACCAACTTCGCTTGCTCTTGCAAAACATTCCTGCAACAGCGGCAACATAAAGTCTATTTAACTATAAAAAGTGGGGTAAAAACGCAACATTGCATCTAGCTGAAGCTTCTCATTAATAAATGCGCTGGAAAAGTTGAAAGAATGGAATATGATTTCCGCAAAAGCAGCCAGGGGTGCAGCCAATGAACAGGGGCGTAGCTAGCGGGGGTATTAGAGGTGTGGCTCCCCCAATTCTTCATGAATCTATCGGTAAATAAATATTCAGCTGATTCAAAAAATCTTTAATTGATCAGTAAATCTCCTATCGGTAGATGAGCACCTGCAGTTTTCTTTATGTAAATCTGCGTCGGTAAATTTCACTCTTGATGACACTCGGTCCCCTGTTCTGAAAGGCCAAGCTACGCCACTGATAACGTGAAATATTTTAGAATCTCTTACAAGCTTTGATTATTTAAAGTTAAAACCCAAAGCCTGAAATGCTTATTTCAATTCAATATGAGCAAACACAAACCATTCATCAACCGCCACGGCATCACTCTGGTCTGACTTTTCGCTAGCCATCTAGAAAAAAGTATCCCTCCATAAATGAAATGAAAAAGTATCGGTTGGTATACGGATTATCAACTGACGGAAAATGACAAAAATAGTGGGCTATTATGCTTACAGCGAAAAACTGGTCAGAAAAATATGCAGGATTCAAGGAATCAGTTTACAAATCACATTGGCAAATCCTTTGATTGTTGATGCAGAAAATAAGTCTAACAAAGAAAAAACCTCAATGTTTAGATCATAAATGTATCATATAAACAGCATTATCAGTATCATTAAAACGAATGATATTCCCAAATTTAAAAAAACTCGCGCAGTTCTGTCATATTGAATAAAAATGGAACTAACACTATCCTTAAGTTTCTCTGTATCTGTGAAATGTATAAAAGCTAATCCAGTTTCTCAATACAATGATGTCACCTTGTTTGAGTATTCATTGAATTTCTCGATTATGGGCAATTATTAAAACCTTTTAGCCTAAGGATGGGCGCTAATTCGGACTGGCAGTCACCGCGGAGCAGGGGGATCTAGGGGGCTTCAGCCCCCCCACTTTTTGCAAAAAATGCCAAATATTAAGTATCAAACTACCAGAAAAGCCTCTTTTTATACGGTTTTAACCCCCACTCCCCAATTTTTTAGACCCCCCACTTTTCTCAACGCCCCGCGGTGCCTGACTGGGCGTTGAATTTGTCACTTACGGTATAACAAAAACAAATAGAAGAAAAAGAAAATGTCAATCAAAAACGAAACAATTAACAATAAAATAAAAAACAACAAATATTTACCATGTGAAGTGTTTGATTTTCTTTAACAATTTCTTGCATCCTGGTTTTAAAAGAGCCCAAATGATCCTAATAAAAAGACAAGATTTTATTAGAAATTGGAATCTGCTACAAAAATTGACTCGAACATTGAACAATTTCTTCTTCAGAATAACATCGATTAAGGAAATCAAAATGTTAATTGAAAATTGCATGTTAATAAAAGATATCTAGTCTCTATGTAGAAGGAAAAACAAACAGTTAAGACAACAAACCTCGTACGCACAAATGACCTCGTTTTTATCCTTTATTCTGTCATCATAAGCCATGATCAAGGGTGACAAGTATTTGATATTCACCTAGAATAAAAATCGATAATAATCAAATCAAGTAGTCCATATTGGTCTCCAGTACTCAGAGCAGGCACCATTGAGCTTATAAGCTCAAATGTCCTATCATAGTCCCAACAGGTAGATTATGTAACTAACAGACTCCAGAAAAGTTTTTAACCTTCCTCCAGACAAAACACCTTAAAGGGAAACCTTCCTCACAAACAATATAAAGTGGGCGTGGCTTGGGTGTATCATAGGAGCTTCTATTGTTTTTCGTGGACCTTCCTCCTGTCAGTGGCAGTGCGACCGTTTTTGCTTAGTATTTCTAGGATAATAAGTTTATATAGGAAAACAGTCTGACCTTACTACCTCTAGAAGGGTATTGATAAACAGGTAGAAGATTAGAAGAAATATTGAGTATCTTACCAGCCATTCTGGAATGGGACCTTCTTGCGGAAGGGAGAGTCCTTCAATTTCCTACAAGGAGAAAAACATTTTCAAAATCGAGATTCCAGCAAAAAAACAGCACATAAAGGGTGACAACGGCCTTGAAAATATGTAAGACGGCAAAGAAAAAGAAATAATGAAGAATTGGCCGAACTTCAAAATGCTACATGTCAGACTGTTCTGGGGTGGCTAATCAATCGACTCTGATATTGATAAAAATAAAGGGGGGAGGGGGAGACGTGGCTAATTGGCTATGTTTTGTCCTACGTATGAGAGTTTTCAAACTATGATGTAGCTGATGAGTCCTTTAAGGTTCGTTGAGCTATGTGTAAATAGTCATCCACAGCAGCTTTTAATGTGAACACTTCTTCGTCATGTGACCACAGCGACAACTGCTTACAACTGGTCGTTGATGGTTTAAATCAATGCAACGTAACTTCCAGTGATCAGTCTCTGGTCTTCCAATAGAATTGCAGCACGAAAAACACGACCCGGTGTATTTGGGCACGCCATCTTTTTTGGAGTATGAAGAGAAGCTTAACGACAGCGTGTCTGTACAAGTAGTATGTTTTGAGTGATTCGTTGATCAGTCTTAACCAATTAATATACAAGAAGCTTGATCTACAATGCCTGCCAAAAGTCTTGGAACACTGACATCAATTTCCAAGGTCAAAACCAATCATCCCCCTCTCCCCCACGGAACAATGTTGGTTTACTATCAAACGGGTTAGGATTTTCGGAAGCACTTTCTTTTGCGCTTCTTTTATGATATTTCTCTAAATCATCAACATTGTTTGAGGGGGAAGGGGGCGGAAGTAGCAATTTTTTTTCATGAAAGGAATGAAAGATATCAAATGCAGCGTAAATTGGTGGGTGTTCCAAGTACTTTTGGCAGGCATTGTAAATCAGTCAAATTAATAAACCACTAAGTCCATGCCATCGTCACGTCATCAACAATTTAAACAACCGTGCATGCAATCGCATAAGGATCATATATGAAACATTAGAACTGGTTGCTGTAAACATTGAGGTAGATTCCAGTTTCTATTTGTTCAGTCACATGGTTTTTAACGAGTTAGTACAAGCACAACAACATAAAGAAGGAATTACACCTCAAACAAGTGAGAGATGTAGGAGAATCTTGAAAAACCATTTTGTCATTTCACCAAAACAGACTAAACAATTTGTATAAAATTGTCTTACGTCACTTCGCGGCGGTCTGTATTTGGCTTGGTAGCGACTTAATTCGATGTTTAGCCGATGAACTAACAAGAAATCAGAAAATGAACATCAGATTCTTTTGACATAATACTTGATCAAATATTTTGAAAAAACCACTTCATTTTTAATTGTATGAATGCTAAGTAGAACAATCGTCCCTAAACTTAACTGGAAAACAAGAACAACATTTAAGGCAACGATCACAGAATAACAATTCTAACAGTCCACAAAGACTCTAACTTTGTAGCCAAAACCTAAACTTAATAATAATTATCCCACGAACTTACATGGCAACAGATAAGATATAGCATATATTTCTTATTCGTCACCCAATTTATCAACCCCAGCAATTGACTGTTTCCCTTCTTTAGCAATTAATTTGTTAGGTGTATTTAATCGAGCCTTCTACCCTTATCTCTACTAGCTTTAAAGAAGAAGAAGAAATGAAAGCCTAGCAATGATCGAGGCAACCCCCCCCCCTCCTCCATTTTTGCGGTAAACGATCAGGCGCATTGGACTTAATCATTATTAAAATTGTTCTTTGAATAAAAGAAGCAAGGGGGGTTGCCATTATTTTAAGAATTTATCTTCTCAAATAAACAATGAAAGATATGATTAAAGTAGAATGCATTGACAGCTAACTTTGTGATAGTATATCTTTAGACTGCTCAAAACTATAACACTAAATTTGAATACTAATAAAGCCTGTAATTAATGCTTACTTAAAGATTTCAAATTTTTATTGCTTTCTGAAAGTTCTGCATTTTGTTTCTTGAAAATTGCTCCAGATGTATCTGTGAACAACAGAGAAATGAATTATAAACGAAGACTGCAATAACATCGGAAGTGAAACCAATCAGAAGTAACAACCAATCGGAAGTGAAACCAATCGGAAGTAACAACCAATCGGAAGTGAAACCAATCGGAAGTAACAACCAATCGGAAGTGAAACCTATTGCAAATGAAACCACTCCAAAGTGCAACCAATCAAAAGTGAAACCTATTGGAAGTGAAACCAATCTGAAGAGAAGCCACTTTGAAGGGAAAACTAATCGGAATTGAAACTTACCAGGAAAACAAAGTCGAAGTGCAAACAATCCGGAAAAACCAATCCGGAGAGAAGCCAATCCGAAGTGAAACAAACCCGAAGGAAAACTTTTTGAGAGACCTTTCTATATTCGCAACAGGCACTGTTTACTAATGGCATGTAATGCTAAAATTTTTGTCGTCATTAAACCTATTTTTAATAAATTGTAGAAGAAAATAATATCCTATTGCATTTGCAACTGATGACAAACAAATGGACCATGAATTCTGAGCAAATAAATATCTTGAAAAGAGTACAATTAGACAAGAAAACAGATCTAGATATAAAAAAAGATTGATGATACGACCAAAAAACACATATAGTACGATTGGAAATCTGAAAAATCTGTGGTTGGAAATCAATAATTAGTTGCACGACGTAAGCATATGAAATACATTCAAATCCATTGAGACTTACCAGCATTGTTCTGACTGAAGGCTAATCTCTTGAGAGTATCGTTTTCATCGTGTAGTGATGAATTCAGCTCCAGAAGCGCAGATCTTTCAGCCTCAACTGATTTTAATCGATCCTCCAGCATTTTAAACTGAACCGGTTGTTGGTGGAAATCTCGTTTTAAATGAGCCTCGTCATGATATTTGCGAGGGGATACAGGGGAGCTAGAAAAGCGGGAAGAAGGGCGTGTTGCTCGCTTTTCTGAGGCCATTTGTTGTGTAGCAAGAATTTTTCGCTCATGTTCGTTAAGTATCTGCATGGAAGGAAAGGCAAGAATATAATGTCATTGTACCACATTTAGATTAAAGCAAATATAAACAGTAACAAAATTAAGCTTTATAACAAAAACAGTTCAAGGAGCGGAAGTCTGGTCAAACGATAAGGCAATGAATGAGTACATTATTAAATGATCTAATCCTTGTTATGAATTGAATCTCTGAAACTCTGCAATACGACAACCAAATAGTACATGGGGAACGGGACTTTTAATTGATATGCTTTCAATCACAGGAAAATTAATTTCAAATCCAACATAAAATCATTTCAAGATTGCGTAAATCGACAACATCATGATTTGCCAACCAGATAGAAGCAGAGGAAGCTTGACAATGAGAAAAGTTTTCCAAGAAATTGTTAATAAAAATTGATCATAAAAATTTTGATTGCAGCAAAAAGTATTTCTCAAAGTCAATGAAGTCATTTCTTTGCAAATTCTTAATGTGAATAACCATAAAATACCTTTTGTTGTTCGGTGTACTTATTCTGCTCGTCTGTTATCAAAGTGCGCAACAACATCAGCTTTTCGTCCTGAATCTCTTTGTCCTTTTTGTCCGTTGCAATGGCCGTAGTTACATTCTCAAATTGTTTTTCTATAAAAAGATGCTTGCAGAGTTAAGTGTTGTCATATCCTATTCAAAATCGTACAATAATGCACCAGGATGGCATACTCAAGTACGTTTCATCCGATGCCTAACACAAAAGTGCTTTAGTATGCCATGTTGCCGCTTTTTGTGCAATTTCGAAGTTTTGAAATACATGAGGCTATTTTTGAAACACTGATCATAATTTAGTTTCATACAATCATACTATTAAATCGGTGGTCTAAAAAAGAATGAAACCTTCTTGGTTCCAGACACTCATTTTGTGTTAAGTTTTTTTCCATATAGTTTTCTGTAATGGTTGGTTTCCTTCAAAGAAAGTATAGTATGAGCAAAAACACAAACTTCGAATTGTACCTGTTTCTCTTTAAGTGTGCATTTACAAATCAGATGAAGTAAGCATTGGTGAAGCAAAATTTGGAAGAGCACAAAAAGGCAGGAACATATCATACAATCGTTTGAATTAAACCAACGCAATAATCAATTTTTAATCCCTGAAAAACTGTTTTTTGAATCAAAGAACATATCGTTTGGTCTTTATGCTGCGTGGTATTCTAAACCGTCGTTTTGAAAAATGATCCTGACAAAAATTATCGTTAAGTAATATAGGATGTAGTTTGTCATTTTCAACATTTTGTAAGATTCCACGATACAAAAGGGGTGCATTGAATCTGCCTCAAGAAAAACTTAATTTTAAAAGGTTTTTAAATTATGTAACCCTCTTGGAAGAATCTTTTAAAAGAGAGCTAAAAAGATTAGCCTGTTGTACAAAGTGTACAATTCCCTGGTAAACCTCGTACCGATCAAGCAACCGTTCTCAAAAAGAAGCAGAAGAAAATTTGAGGAGACTTTTGAAAATTCAAAAGGGATTTTCATGTCATTTTTCTTACCTAAAGCTGCAATGGTCGCGAGGATCTTGTCTTGATTCTCTCTGATTACATCTTGCATTTGTTTCTGTGCACTAAGCGTCACATCAGTTTTGTCAGGCACTGCATCCGTTTGTTGTGGATTAGACGAAACTTGAATCCCAGTACTGATTTGCCGGTCGTTCCGACTTGTGTCCAGGGATAAACCTCCTTGTGGACTTTGCCTCGTTCCAGGCTGTAGGTACATATCGTCAACCTTTTTCTTAAGGGTTTCTTGGTTTTTAAGAACAGACCGTAAGAGATCGTTCTGTCTTTGAAGCTCCAGATCATTACTCGTTTGTTCCTTTGCCGGGACAACCTTCACATCAGATATTCCGCGGCTCTCCTGATTTACCGACCGCTGTGTGACCTCATCGCTATTAGGTGACCTCGCAATCAGGCTTGATCCACAGGATATAGAAGCCTCCTTGCGTTGGTCACTCAGATCTGATGCAACTTGCTCATCTCGTAAATGACTCTCATCTACCAGTTCTTCCAGCATCATTTCATGACTCGACTCATCTTGCACAACACTTGAGAATCCGATTTGCGGCTCCTCCACTATATGCCTCGCGGTTCCCTCAATCCGCTGATTTGACTCAAACATTTTCGACATTGCAGCAACACTTACCTTTCCTTCTGGAATTTGATTAACGTTGGAACCAGCACGCATTGGAGACGCTTGCTCGAGTTCTTCCTGCAGAGCACTGGGCGACGTTTCCACGACGTTAACAGACAACGGATCTTCAACGTTCTCATAGTTAACCCCACTATTGTAGCTCGAGTTAAGAGACATGCCAAATTCTTTGCTGATTGCATCAAAGCCTAGTTCTTCCAGCCTACGTAGTGCAGCCTCTCTTCCCATCTCACGCGGTGATTGCGGTCGAGACTGTCTTTGCTCTTGCTCGCTGTTCACATTTTGTAATGACGTGACTCTTTGTAACTGCGGGAAACCAGTGGAACCATGGGAAGAGGCTAGGAGAGTTGAGACAGAATAACTGAAACATGTGATTATTGGCATAAAAGACTGGAAAATCAGATAGAAAATTTCCGGCAACGTGTATTCTAAATGATGTTCCAGAATGAAGACAGGGGAAAGAAAAAGTGGCACTTTGGGCAAAATGAATTGAAGAATTGAGCAACTGCAAAAACAAACTTTATGTTAGTTTGAGCTAGCTTGATAAATGTTAATAAATCTTTTCTTGAAAATTTTTTTACTTTACCTTTGCTTCGCACACTAGCAGGGGAAACAACGCCATCAGTAGATCGTGATTTGGTGAAATTTTCATTTTCAAGTTCCTCGATTGTCTGGAACTGCACACCAGAGTAGGCTTCATTGTTAATGGCATCAAAAGGAATGCGGTATATTTCACCATCGCTTGGGCCACTGCTGGAATCTTCGTTTTGAGAATCTGGGTGTTGCTTCACTTTGGCTCTCTTGACAAACGATTTTGAGGGTGTGTCCTCATCCATCTCACTGACAAATGTCAATTCATCACTGTCGTCTTGGAGGTCTCTCATTTTCTGTAGCTTAAAGAGAATGCAGAATGTTGGTAAATATCTGCACAATCAAAGCATATCAAAGGGCAGGGCTTGATAAACTTCAATTTTGTGCAGTGATAAAACCAAAAAAAGAGATTTGGTAGTGAAAAAGTACAATTACCAGTAGACACATAGAGCTTAACAAAGAGCATAACAATAATAAACGGAGAACATAACAGTAACAATTATCATGCATAATCTATGAAATCTAAACTTTTATCGAATTCAGTATCTAGAAGCTATCGAGTTTGTTTTGTTCTTCATCTTCTCCTTTAAGATCTTTGTTCTCGAAGACTTGTTCAAACCTAGACCACTTTTCCTGATTGAAATCTCTCATAAAGCTCGAACGAGAGCTGGTGTAGTTCCATAATTTCTTATACAGTTAGTTCGACAGGTGTAGTCACAAAAATTTTCAAAATGCAACACCCAAAATTTCAAAACTTTTGAAAATATGCAGCGATAAAAATTCCTGAAAATAATCCCTACCAAAGGGGATACACACCACTTTATGGCAATATTGTTTCCGCATACTTACTCCTAGATTTTTGAATGAATTTTTCTTACAAAAAACAGCGCATAACTGATTTCTGTAAATCCAATATCAATCCAGAATCTAACCAAGAAAAAGAGTGAGCCTTGTTTCCATTAACCTTGTTTAGTTTTTATATTTTAATTGAATTGTCAATCATATGTCAATTATAATCTGTCAATATAACTTGTTAATAACATATGATTGCCAGAATTGTATTTGGTCACTGAGTCATGGAGTAGCAAGTCTTGAAATGTTTAAAATTCAAAACTACAAAATAAATAGAATCTTTTCAAGTTCCTGCCTCCTGCCAGGCAAACTAAAGCCCATTACAATAACAGTAGCTTGCAACAGCTCTATTGACAAGAAACACAGATTCACCACAAGTAAGCTTGACAGACAGTTATCGTTAGCAAAAATTGCTCTTTGAAAACACTCAAATAACGATTAACATTATCATTTTTGGATCTATTTTAGGCAAGATAACCATAAGAGGGATTCACAAATGCCCTCTATGGTTTATCACACCTATTTTCTGTGGCAATAATTTTTAATCAAATTTCATCATAATGGCATATTGACACTAATTAAATCTTTCATTCCACTAACAACTCATATTTTATCAATGTAGTTCCTTGTTGATATTGTAATGAAACAAAAACATCTAAAATTTGTCACATAAGAACCAACCTTTTCTACTTTGGTTCCCTGTTTGGCAACTTTAGAATAGAGACCATCTGGTACATGTGTATTTTCTTCAAAATCCCCTTCATCTGGGATTGGCATGGGTGGTCTCCCAGCAACTGGACTCCTAACAATATCTTTTATGTGTGTTTTGGACTTGAATTCTCTGACCGATTCATAATGGGCACCATCAGCAAAATCAACTTCCTCATCTCGAAAACTAGATGGTCCTGGATGAGACTTAGAGAGATTCTTTGACTCTGCAAGCCCTGCTGAAGTTGACTGAGTGTGCAGCTCCTGGACAGAGAGAGACCTGTCCAATTTGGGTCCTGCTGCAATAGCATGGCCAATTTTACTAGCAAAGAATACAGCTCTTGCTAATGGAGATGGTGATCTGTTCTTCCCAACATACTTCAAAACATTAGGACTTGCAGAGGCAATAGCAGCAGATGGGAGGATCCCAGAAGCAATATGGGACTAAAAGCAAATTAAACATATATCAATAACCTACAAAAATGTTCATTTAAATTACATGACTTGTTGTGAGCAAAGTGGGTTGAAAGTGAATCGTCTCTTATTTTAGCATCTGCCTTTTACCTCAGGCCATTCACCTTAAGGACCAAGCAAACAGCCTCACAAAGTTTCTTCAGCCTCTATCCTATTTGTGCCGGACGCTGATAAGACTACTTTTTATAAGCCATTGCTCTCTCTAGAGATCACAGATATCATACATTTTTTCCAATGCTCGAAAACTCTTCCTTCCTCCCTAGATCATATTAACTTTGGAATGCTCTACCATTTTCTGCTTCCCAGATACTTACAGCCTGTTTTTATTCAAAACAAAAATAAGCATCATCTTTTTCTCTTTTCTTAATCCCTCCTCCCTTTCCCTTGTTAGGGCTTCGCTATAGGCTCTTGAGCCTTGCCTAGCATTACAAACTAAAAAATATTGAAGATTATTTTGCAGGTAAACAATAAAAAATAAACAAAAATATAAGCACTAATGTACCTTAAACGGAAATAATGATAGATGAATGTGGAATAATCATGTCTCTTGCGTCTCTTTCAAGAAATGTTGAATTGAAAGAAATTTTCATCAATATAATAACTGGAAATAGAAATAAATGTACAACTTCCATAAAGTCCATGCACGTGAAGACAAATAATACTGTGATAAATACTGTATATATGATCACCTCAATTTGTTTAATTCACGTATGACCAAAGAACCTGACGTATGTCGAGAATGTTTTGGACTAGAACTAGTAGGCCTAAAAAGTCTTCAGTGAAATACTTACAAATGGCTGTCGTTTCTTCTGAGGTTTGCCTTTTTTCGATGTCACCCGTTTCTTGGACCTTCCACGGGCAGCTTTTTTATCTTTGTCTGGATTTTCTTTGCCTGCAGCAAGGTTGCTTTCGGGTTCCATGATGGTTTATTTTGCCACAAAACTGTCTTCTGATCTTTCGTCCAACCGCTGTTTGATTTTGGAATGAATCAGCAACAGCAACAACTTGATTACAGCAGCAACTAATGACGGAGCTTTGTCATGGCAACAAACAGGTAGAAGATTACGGTGAATCATTCGTTACTTTGCGATCATAGCCTTTGACAAATGGATACCTTGAACGTTCATCTTTCCACAAATATACCAAAATTTCATAAAAAGATGAATCGTTCATGAAAAATTCTTGTGAGCATAACCCCTAAGATCTAGGTTTGTCTAGCTGTAAAAATTGAAATTTGCACCTTAGAGTCCATAACAACCCTCAAAAAATCTTGAAGCGATAGCGAGACAGAGTATCTTTGTGCGCTACTTATTCGGGGCTTAGGCCCATTGGCCTAGCCCATCGCTCTGCGATCAACGATCTGCTTATCCCACAGTCATAGAACCCATATCGTTACACATAAATGAGGGGCTTTTGAAACAAAACACCGGTCATTCCTTGTCGCACTTCTTTAAAGTAAACGATGGAGGATGAGGATTTAAGGAGAGAAAAAACCGATAGATGAAGCAAAAAGTCGAGAAAGAAACAACAAAAAGTGTTGCATTTTTGTCTCTATTTAGAATGTTTTTTTCAGAAAACATAAGCAAATTTTGAATCATCGTTTATTCTCACTTAGAAATTCATGTGAAAATGTCATTTTTTAAGGCCATTTGGGTATATGTACTTTTTACCCTGCACCATTTTTGGGCTAACGTCCTAATAGACTTTTTTCAAATAAAGAAATTACCAAATTTGGAATCAGCTGATTATGACAGAAGATAGGAATCCTCTGTTGCTTTCAATTACATATCAGTTGCACCGTCAAAAATTTTCTTGTGGTAACTCAAAGCATTCGGACTAGTACCTAAGGGAGATAGATGGAACAAATTTTAGAACAAAACAACTTTTGTTCATCGATTTTTCTCACATAGGTATTCATGTAGGAAAATATCATTTTTTTTCCAAGGCTTTGGTAGATCCATATTTTACCCTTGTAAATTTTCGTCCTATGCTTTTTTTAATAAAGCATAATACACTTACGTTCAAAAAGTATTGGGACATCCTTCGAAACTTCGAAGACATTTTATGCAACAAATTCGGAAAGACTTTTTTAAAATCTTTCTTATTAAAAAAGTACGGCAGTCATTTCCCTGAAATTTTCACAAGACATTGTTGATATTTTGAAGCCTTTTATGTACGCCAAAAAATTAACAATACATCTACCATAAATTTTCTATAGGTCTCGAGACGAAAACATGGAAGCTCTGAAAACTCAAGAACTGAGTTAAGAGAAGCGCTTACAAAGTGCTTTCTACTATAATGAAGTAAATGGATTTTGCGATATTGCATCAATTCTCGGCTGCTCAATGAGTGCAGCTTTTCTGGTGTGTAAAAAGTTTTCCCGTACAAGAACAGTAAAAAATTTACCAAGGGTTTGCAGACCAAAGAAGTTTACGACGCCGAGGGACGACAGGTCTCTACTGAAGGAACTGCGAAGTAATAGGTTTGAATCCTTACTAGATATTATGTTGTCATGTAAAAGAAGCTAAATAATGGAACATAAGCAAAAACATGGCTATAGAAGTCATGAAAAATACAAATTTTCCAGCGTTATAAGAAGAAAATGCTCTCTCAAAGCAAAAATTACTCATTGACGATGAGTACAATGGCTTCTCCTTTAATGTTACGCAATTTTAAAAGTAGCTTGAATAAATGCAATAATTTAATAAATTTGTAGCATTTTCGTCGATGAAGTAAACTTTTTTTGAAGCTTAAAAGTTTGATTTTATAATTTCTTTTGTTATGCAAACGTGAAATTAAAAAGTTGTATTTGTTTGGACAGCTCTAAAATTTTTGGAAGGTCATGTGACTTTGCCATTGTTAGGCCATTCAGCCCTTCTGCATATTTTGCTGTTATAATCAGGAAAATCGAAAGAATCCTGTGTTTTCTTGGTTATTCTTCATAAGTTGAAGCATTTTGTTAACTTTTTATTCCATTTTGGGGAAACTTGGGCCTAGATTATTTGTAGAAAGACTGCCTAAATCTGAAAAAGTTTCCGTTGCAAAACCGAATCCAACGAAACGCCATAATTCGTTTATCGAATTCGTCCTAATACTTTTTGAACGTAAGTGTAATTTGATCAAAGCATGGTAGGGTCATAAAGGAGAGGCTTCACAAAGAAATCAATAATATTCTTTGGATAAGAATGTTTTCTTTTTCTAAATTTTTCTCGTGTTTCCAAAGATTCATAACTACATTTGCATTTTAAAATATATTCATACAAAATCAATGAAGCTTAAACTGCAAAACATTTGGGTTCAAATGGCTGACAAGGAATCCTTTTATTCTATACTGCTCTTCCCGTATAATCTCCGTAGAACAAAAACCGAAATCAATTCTATTGCCACGCCATGCTTTATCTCCTTTGTCTGTTAAGTGAACTTTAAGAACTTGGTTTGATGGTGAAAGGGGGTGAACTTTCTGAACTTCAGCAGCGAACGAAGTCCCCGTTTTGGACATCACCTTCAGCTGCCGTGATTTCTTAGAGTGACGCTGATATATTTTTTGTCAAGGTAACTCGCACAGCACCGAAACGCGATTTTTCAAATCATTGCTGATCCCATCCAGCCAATGAAAATACTTTTCTTCCATATAATGGTGACTTCTAAATGGAAAAATTAAAATCAGGTTTTTTAATAAAAAATATATTTATGAGGCAGAGATTTTTATGTTAAACACGAGATTTCAAAGTTCATGCTTAAATCTGGTTTCTTAATGATTAAAAATATTTTTCATCATGCCTTTGTCATTATTTCAACATATCTAGCCAGAACGATAAAACTATATTAAACATGTAATTGCAACTAGGTACTGAAAAAGTTTCAAGAATTTTTGCTAAGATTGTTGAATTTTTTATTTTACACCATCATGTGAAAGGTCCTTTATTACAGAAAGAAAGCTCCTTCCATGATTCTTGGTCTGGTTTGCAATCTAGATGTGACGGTTATAGCAAAATTGTCTCAGATTGCTGCGCAAGATGACGAGAATATTTGGAAATTCGTTGCCTTCATAATATTCTTGTAGCCTACTTTAATGAATATTTGTCTTCTTGAGCTTGTCCTACACAGCGTTGATTTTATGCCACGCAACTTTATTAAGAAATAACAGGAAATAAATACTTTCTTACTTTGAAGCCTGAATAATCTCTTCTAAAGTGCTAGCAAGCAATTTCGCCTAATAACAAAAAAATATTTCACCTGTTAATGATAAGGAAATGCATACTGCGAAAGATAATCCTGCATAATAGCAATTTACACAACATGTTGAAATATTATGCTAAGTATAAGGTGCTTCTGAAGATACATCGTAGATACTGACACAAGAATGTTAGGTTTTAGAACAATTTTAAACACATTTCAACACTCTTAACTTTCGTATACAATTTCAACACACAAAATGGTTGTCTGTCTTGAAGGCTGTAATATTTGTGGATGATAAGTAATTAAAATATTTGATTGAAATTTCAATTCGTCTGCTCGAAAACTAGAAGATAAGCAATGACATGAGTCCTGTAAACAAAACCAAAAATATTTTTGCAACATCCCATCGTGGAATCTTGTCATTACATCTGTGAATCAAACAGTTGGAAAGGAAAGTAAAATTAACACTACACACGTTTGTTAAGACATTGGTATGGTCAACTGGTGGGTATAACGATAGAACAAGATCATCCACACTGAAAGATAAAACAATATGAAAGATAAAAAAGTGATGTTAAGGTTTCATGGAATCTGAACTGAGAATATCTTGATATTATTCAAAGGCCACTTATGCTCATCGAGTTTGTCAAGACAGCTAATGCAATAGGAAGTGACTGAAGTGATGAAAAATGAAAGCTTGCTTTTGGTATTAATTTCTCTGGGTTTACCTTCGTGCACATTCTACAACGATACAACAACAATTGGACTGGTGGATTCAATACATTTAATGGGTTTCTCTGCATTTGTATTTGTATTTGTAATTGTTTCTACCTAGCATCCGAAGGTAGTTTTTATGGCAGTCAGCGCCTCTAACAACTGAGCCATCCTCGCAAAATCTGCTACGTTTCAGAAAACATTTCATAAAGTCATTAAATCCAAAACAGAGTTACCACTTTCATCAGCAGCTTTTTTAGCTAGCTTGCACTTTCTAAACTTTGGTTGGAACCGTCACTCCTTTTGTGTGTCAAATTCATGTCACCGAGTTATTACAACCTAATAATTGGATTCTTCTAAGATAGACTTTTAATCAGGATTTGTGCCTTATGTCTTCCCTTTCTTATACATAAAAAGAACTGGGTGATAAAAAATTTAAAAAACTTGGCGATAAAAGACTCAAGAGGAACTTACCTAGGACTAATTTTGTCAGCCATTTCAACAATAAAATCAAATTGTTCGATGCTTTTCTGGTCTTTCACGTCTCCTTTGACCTTAATACAACTTTCAATCATTTTCAATGTTTTCTTCGCTGACTAAAAAAAGATTTAACATCAGAACATCAAGTTTTAACAAGGTTCTAACATCATTTAAAAAAGGTTTAAAAAAGCAACTCATATACATTGTTTATTCTCAACACTAATGAAAATTACTGTTTACCTGTCTGCCATAAAGTTCTCGATGGCAGAGCTGTAAACGGTAAACTGACCTGTTTTATACACAAAATATCGTATTTTCAACACTAGATACATGGGCAATAATTGAATACACTAATATCTGGAGAATCAGTATGCGCAAAGTAGACTAGATGCGCACAAACTCTTATCTAAAAGGTTGTGGTGTCGACAAATCATTGAAGAATTCTAACCAAAAATCAGATATGACATTAAAAAGAACTTTCTTTTGCTGCTCAAAAATCTTCCTTTCATATTAGTCTAAGATACAGGATCAAGAATTGACCCTGGTAAACTTTTAGAATCCTCACTCTTCTGTACCTTTCAACCTATCTTATTATGTGGCAACCATCATTTTGAAATATACCACCGAACTGAGCTAACGGACTTGAATATTCATATACATTGCATTTTCAGTCTCATAAAGACACTTTATTTAAACATATAATGAAAAAATGAAGATTAAAACAGCAAAGAACCTCAATTAGGCCAAGACATGGTTCAAACAAAGGCTTGTCCTGATCTGTCCAGCTTTCGTTTTCCGGATCATTGTCGTCAATACTGAGTTCCTTTGTAAAACAATAAAGTTTTCATATCTAGCCCAAACCAATAATCAAAAACCAATAAACAAAGGAAAGGATAAAAGTGTTAAGTGTTTATAGAGTTTTGTCATCAATAGATTTAGTGTGCATTTAGGATGGGACAAAAACGAGCAGTGGATCCAACAAGCCGGGAGAAAAAGGCATTTATAAATGAAAAATGACAAAAATTTTGCAATTGACAAAAAATTTCTACTGATTTGAGAATTATTGTATTACCGAAAATGTCAGTTATCAATCATTATTAAGTCAAAAGTTAATCATTTTCATCAATCATGTCAACTTAATTTCGGCTCAAAGGCAAAAATGTTGACGGACTCAATTTTACTCATTTTGCTTTATCGACATTTTTACTCAAAATATGTTCAAAATTTCCTGTTCCTGAATAGAGTGATAAGAAAAATTTCACTGCTTTTGAAACAGTTAAAAAACAGCAGAAAAATTTCATGAAAATACCTCTTTGAGTTCAGTAAATGCATCGTCTGCAAGTTGATAGGCCTGCAACAGTCTTAATCCAGCAGCTGATTTATTGTCTAAAAACGTAGCAAATTATTATGAATATGGTTATAATACTTTCAAAATGAAAAATACTTATATTAGATATTTGAAAATCTGATACAACAAAGTATCAAGCAGATGCACATACCTTTCGATACTTTTTCAAACAATTCGCAATATTCCCAGACTTTTCCTGTTTTCTGCAACCGGTCATGCGATCTATTGGGAGACAGAATTGCAATCATAATCAAACAAAACATGCAATTTTGAATAAAAATATAAATCATTTTTTACAAAGTATTGGTGATGGCGTATCAGATGCTTAAGGGGGGTGGTTTCAAAGTCCCATTTTCCAACAACATGGGTGAGTCACCCTTTATTTGCCGACGTGTTTGGAACTTGCTAAGTAAGCACACAAAACTCCTCTAATATCTAATTAAGGAATATGCGAAAGAACTTCTTTTGGATTGGAATCTGTCGGATATCAGAATGCTATAAGAAAAAATACTTCTTGTAAACTTACTCTGATGGACCATTAACCTTTATCGACAGTATAAATGCTTGAATGGCCTCGAGAAGTGAATGGACTAGCTTCGCCAATTCCAGGTGTAATGCTTTTCCTTCAAAAAAGATAAATGACATAATTAAACCAGCATGAAAATTTTATTCTTATGTCCTATTACTATTCACAATAACCTGTACATAACAGGACTTTCCAATTTGAATTTTTTCCGAGATATGTTAAGCATTGGTAAGGGATGGGTGGAACATTTTGCAGTTACTTAGAAATCCCTGCAGATAGACTCTGGGACCGTGTCAGGTGTACTTTCATAAAGCATTAAAAAATCTACAGGGAACCTATAGGGAGAGTACGCCATTTGAATTCAACATCTACGTGATGCAGACATCACATCAAGAACCCTTCTGCCACACAGCTTACCGTGATTTAGGTTAGAGGCATCAATTTCTTATGGTACCAGTAAAAAATATTGTTATGGGCGAGAGAAATGCTAGATATTCGACTGATACGACAATATTTTGCTTAAAAAACTTAGCCTATGACCCAGAATTAGACATAAAAGCTTCACCAGTCGAGTAGCGATAGTAATGAAATATATAGGACGAAAATGGGACCTAAAGTCTTATTCTATACAAGCGATTGACGATATAAGTGACTTTGACTTGACCAAGTTTAGCTGTAAATACCTTCAGATAATGGAAACGCGTCAAACCATGCCCATAAGACATTGATAGCCTCTTTCAATGAATCTATCAACAATTGGCATTCCTGGAAGTTAAAAAAGAGTGCTGCACTGCAAAGACACGGTCAAGATTCTGAAATACATACAATTTGAGAGCACTCATTACGACCTTCTCAATGTTCAGCCCAAAGTTTACAGGGCTGCACGATCGATTCCCTTAACAAAGTTAACATAGACAATTTGAACACTAGTCTGCAAATTTGCCTTAAAAAGTTTAAAAAGTAAAAATATCGTTGCCTGTATTTCTAATAAAATTCAAACTATAAGGAAAAGAAAAATGAAATAATCGACATACTCTAATCAATTGATTTAAAAAGTAAAGAAGAGAGGAACAAACTTTGAGATCTGGTGCAGGAGGCTTCGAATATCCAACAGCAAGTTTGGTGCATTCTTTTGAGATTGACTGGAAGCAAAGGCCTAAAAAAAATCAAACAACTTGAAATAAAGAGCAATTACTTTAGAAATCATCTAAAAGCGAAATTTGCTTAGAGATTACGTTTTGGCAGGGGCAGGGTAATGAAACGCATGCTCAACAGCCAAATTGTCGCTAAAATATTCCGTACTATTTCCGTACTCCCTATCAAAAGAAGATCCATTCATAGAATGTATGTTATCTAACAATTGAATTTACGAATTACGTTAACTTAGGGTCACATTTGGCTGATTATCGAGCGTGAAACACGGAGTAGCAGCTCTGTTCAGTACACTGTGTATAGTTCTGCCTATACGGCATCAAGCACTTCATGACAGACCAGAAAACAGTAATTTTCATCGCAATTCAAGGTATATTAGATCTTACAGCTCATTTGATCAATTCAGTGTCTCACTTGGTATATAATATCTCTTTTCAGTGAAAATTATCACGTTTTTCATAATAACAAGCGCTATTTTGCAGATTTGTGTGAAATAACAGTAAATTTTCATCCCTTTTTTAATATAAGGTATATCCAGATATTATGCAAAATTGGGAAATTAGTCAGTTCAATCTTTTGAATTTTTATACAGAGTAAATTTCTAACTTACTATGAAAAGCTGTATCAATTTATTAAAGGAAAAACAAATAAAAATAAGAATTAGCAAACAAATTACCTAATTTGTGCCAGTGAAGACTCCTATCAAAGTTTTCAACCAGGCTTTCTAAAAAATCAAATAAGATCAACATAATGAACAATACACGGCCATATGATGACATCAGATAATAAAAATATTTCTCTGAAATCCACGAATTTACATATCACAATTCTTGATGAGCCTCAATACATGAGCAAACAAAGAATGATGGGAAAAGCTTGCATTACACAGTGTGGAGCACAAGTGATTCGAGAAAAAAGTGATTCAATGCAAAATAAATGGTCTTTGATAACCAGTTTAAAGTGGTATAAATTGCAGAGTAGATATTGTCTCGGATCGCATGGAGCTCCTTGAAACGAGAGGCTGACCCAATACTGTAAATGGGGTCTACATCTGGACACTAAAGACACTAGAGATATGACATTCATAATTTTTCATAGTGTTGTTGTCAATTTGCGATTAAGATGTATTCTTTTGATTTAGATGCTAATGCTGTATGCAGATCAAAAGTAATTTCGGTCATCATTATAATCAAATTGTTGATGTCCCTGTGCTCACATATTTACAAGAGGACAAATAGTTCTTGCTTGACTGGCTTTGGTCAAAATTTTGGTTGCTAACTCAAGTTGACAGTCGATTTTATTGTTGAGTGGCACTCCAGCCTAGACGCCATAATTAACATGGTTGTGGGGTAGGGGGGTTGGGGGTGGGGGATGTTGGATACTTGGAATATTGAGCGAGGTTGTATACTTCACTGGCAGCAAACGACACTACAGTCGTGTGCAAAAATTTAGGACCACGTGCTACGATTTTTCGTTTTTCTAGGTTAACATTAAAATAACATATCTTGTTTAAAAAACCGTTCTAATACGCTTCACTGGAATTTTAAAGTAAAGTGTGTATCAAAGATATCTTTAAAGTATATACATATAATGATAATATTTAATGCAGTATCAATATATCAATATATATGGTCTTCTTTGGAAGTAATTTCGTTTCTTCTTAATTTTTTTCCCCGGTCTCAAACTTTTGCACATGATTGAACTATCCAGGCACGATTCGGCTCTTAACTATTTGATACAGAAATGACAGTGGGGTAAAATCGCTTTTCACCTTCCTGTTACCTTTAAAATTCATATTACCTTTGAAAACAAGCCATAACTTCAAATTCACTTTCAATGATTTTTCTCAGATTTAGAAAATTCACCTTTTAACATCCACCGAAGTTATGCATCTATCTGTCATGTTCACAGAAACGCCCTAACAATGATTAAAATATAGTTATGTAAGTGGCTATTGCAGCTGAGTTATGCAAAGCAAGGCACAAAAGACTTACTCTCTAGGAAGCTGGTGGACGCATTCTCTTGAAAATGACGTACAAACTAACAATTTTACTTTACTTACTACCAATACTTTACAACGCTTTTACTCTATTCTCCAGGCTAGGGGATGAAGCTCAGAGGCAAAGCATCACGAGAAAAAAGGGACCAAAAGACAAACCGCCTGCCCTTCAGCACCAGATTCATTCCCAGATTAACCCCAAGAGTCATCCCCAGACTTATCTCAGATTCATCTCTCAGATTCATTCCCAGATTAACCCCAAGATTTATCCCCAGACTTATCTCAGATTCATCTCTCAGATTCATTCCCAGATTAACCCCAAGATTCATCCCCAGACTTATCTCAGATTCATCTCTCAGAATCATTCCCAGATTAACCCCAAGATTCATCCCCAGACTTATCTCAGATTCATCTCTCAGATTCATTCCCAGATTAACCCCAAGATTCATCCCCAGAGTTATCTCAGATTCATCTCTCAGATTCATTCCCAGACTCATTCCCAGATTAGTTCAAATCTCCGGAATAACAAAGTGGACATTGATTGTCCAATCTGAAACTAGAAGTACAGAAGTACATAAACTCTATGATTTTAGAGCATAGAATAGACATAGGGAAAAAATGAATCAATTTTCTAAATATTTTGCTAAGTAAGAATGAAGGCGAGTAGAGTTTTTAAAGGTTAAAGAGTTAAATTTTCCTTTGTAGAAGGCTAGATAACATAATCAAAGGCAACAAAAGACTACAGGAAAAATTATTAAGTTTACTGCATAATTGTTTTCTTTATTAATTCAATTTTCTTTATTAATCCTGTTGTTTCTGCTAATAGCCTTACGACCAACAAAAGGCTCATCTCAAAGTTGCGAATATAGCAGTAAGAGTATTCTACTTGCTTTTCAGCTACTTCGAAATTGTCTTTCTTTGCAGGATATAGGCAAAATAACAGCCTTACTACCGATGCTTGGTATGTCTTCGTTGTTTCTAGCTAAATTCTTTCCACCATACATTTTATGACTTCAATTGATTTTGGCGCTCAAGAACAACAATTGTACCCTACAGCTATGAACAAGAACAAGGGTACATTGTCTTCATTAGAATGTGCTAAACAATGTGAAACTCTTTCAGCAACTCCAATTTCAACTCAGAACATAAATTGTAGACAGAAGAGGTTCCAATGCATGTCTTTTTCGGTAAGAAGCAGTCACGCAAATAACAAAGGAGGCTGGGTGAAAACACATATACACACGTGCCCAGTATCCTAGTTACGTTATCAAACGCATGCAATTGATTTTATTAGTAAGCCTTGGCATGGCATGGAGAATTTTTATCCTATAAATGTATCCAAGTGCCATAAACGTAATAAGCAACGACGAAAGTTGCAGTCCCGCGATTGTGATGCAGTTACACTCACATCTTGTTAGAATGAGTTTGTCGTATTTGAGACCTCAAGTTTTGTAAACCATGCATTCATCAACAAATTTGTTGTTTTCCACTGAAGTTGATAAACTCATCCTATCTGCTTTACTTAACACCTTCCCTGAATTCTGAAAGGACAAAAGTTTATTCATAGCTTTACTTCAACTTAATTGAATTTGTACTTATTTGAAATATAGCACATTGTAGATTTGATCTGAAAATCTATACCTTGTCTTTTAATTCTACCTAAAGCATAGTCTTCTAAAAGAAAGGTGATAATTCTATAAAACAGGAAAACTAGGATAAGTCATTTAAGTAACTGCAATTGTTTGTTGGCCTTCAAGTGGATTGTATTGTGCATATACCCCCTTTATAGGAATGTCAAGATCAACATAAAAATCAACAAAAAATACAAAAAAAAACAAAAAAAGGTATGTTACGATGAAAAAGCCATCCATTATCTTACCTTGTATCTGGCATTTGTTTAAAATAGTTCTCCAAACTTTTACTGTTGCATCCTATTCGAAAAAATTCAATTTTTTATGATTATCATATTTGTGGGGAAACTTGCCAAGTTGAACACTTCAGCTGGATCACCAGAATTGTTGGAAAATTGTGGATGACAGTCGCTTCCCAGACGGAACACTTTTTGCTGTGTTCACAACAGAAGGTTTTACTGTAGCTTGGGTCGTCATAGTGTGAGTTACTGTAACTTGGGTGGTCATGAGTTGCAACCATACAAGGTTTGTCAGCTTGGCTGGGTCACGTGAGTCAACCACCGCTATGTTAAACATAGTGTTTCGATAAATAGATCAAGCCATGCCTTTGCAGTTCGAGCAGCATCGAAGATCCAAGCACACAAATTGGAGATCATTAATCATTTCTTCGCTTGGGATACTTTCCAAGTAATTTATGATTAGTGTTGCATAAAATTCTGATGCATCTATTTGAGGTACTGAGCTAGGAGTGGTTGGTGGTTCAGAATACTGCCCAGAATTATGACTGGTCTCTTTTCTAGTAGATGGTTTATGCCATACTTCCTCTTGTTCCATTTCAGCTTTGCTGCTCGTTTCAATCAAAACGTTTCCATCCTTTGGGTAACAGGGCGTTGACCTTTCTAGGCACTTTGAAATTCCAGCATTTTTAGAGCTGTTCACTAGTGATGAATCTACAAACTGCTACCTGAGACCACAAACATTTTTAAAGTGTCTATAAATAAATCATCAATCACGAAAAGCTTTGCTTTATAGAAGCAAAATTGTTTTCGGCATATGCATTGATATCTCAACGTCAAACATCCTTTTTCCAACAAGGTTTATCCACATGAGAGAGCCTCTTTCTAAAGAAAAAATGATTCTGGTCCACAATGGAAAGCATGAGCCTCGTTATCAATATATGTCTGCTTTTTCACAATATTCTTTGGCATTCATTTGAATTCATTTACTTTTCTTGATAAATTGTCAAGAGCATCTAGTACACTTGGGGTAGTGAATTCTGACATAAATGCAATGTTAACCAATTCTATAATGTCGGTAGCATCTTCCAGTGTTTCAGTGTTGTCAACAGATGAATAATCCTCATCAATAAATGCTTCACTGATAGCAAATCGTCTGAAGTTATTCTTTTGCCTGCATATCTCTCCACAAACTTCGCATTTGATTTTGAAATGTGGGCTGCGCATATTGAAACGAGTGTTAGATTTCCATTGGGGCATTCTCATTGCAACATTTTCCTTGCAACATATCAGAGCGTTGGTTTACGTAACTCTGAACTGTCATACCATAGTTGAACTTTAAGAAGCAGGAGGCTGTGATTGCACTACTAAAGTCTGTTCTTATGGAAAACAGTTGAATGTTATTTCAATACAAAGATTTTTCGTTTGCCCAAATCAATGCAAATAACCGCTGAATTGAGCTTTCTTGCAGTAATGGGAAGCGGAAATCATTTCGGTCACATTTTAGGCCTAATCAAACAACTTTCGGGTCCAAGAGTCTCAAGTCCATTGGGCCACAGATTTGGAATGGCCTACCGAATGAACTAAAATCGGCAGAAAATCTGAAAAGTTTTAAGGTCTTAATAAAACAATTGGACGGTCCCAACTGCAAATGTAGTGCTTGTGCTTGCCTACCAACTTAATTGTATTATTTAGAAAATATTAATTTTGTTTATTTGTTCTGTATATTTGATTTTGATTAGTTAACTTGTATATATTTAAATGATGTATATATTGTTAGCTATATGTAAAAATTATCGAATTAAAATAAGATTACACACACCACACACACACCCTAGTGTACTTTTGATGCTCACCTTCTTTACTTCCTTCAGTGTTGCCCTGAAAGCAGATCTTTTCTAGATGCTTAGCCAAGTGATCAGCAAAGGTGTCAAACAAGACTTCTGTGGTTTTTCGCGTATCCATTGACATTCTGAATAACTTTTCACAAGACCAAAACGAAAATACAACCAACACTTCTCAATCATGCAACAACAACAGCGATGCAATTGATCAATCAATAATTATTCAAAATGGACTCAGTATATTGTTGTTGTTGTTGATGTTTCTAATATGCAGAAAGATGGTTGAAGCAACTGCCAAATTGTTTATGATTTGAAAGATATGAAAAGACCCAACATTTCTTTCTCCGACAGTCTTTTATTCGACTTTTCGATCATACTTAATGGACTCCAGACTCAAAGAGAATGAAACGCATGATCGTTTCGGGAAAAAGTGAAAGAGAGAAATGGATTGCCGTTTATGCGTTTTCCTTGTTTGGTTTGTTTTGACGAATGTAAGTTCTTCTTTCGAGAAATCGGCTTCACGGAACACTGTTTTGGCACAATTTGTTCTTTAAAGGGTCACAGAGCATTGATTCGATGCATGATTTAAGAGCAACATTTATAAACTCAAGGCAACAATTTGTTGTTGCAAGATTGCTGCTGGAACCTTGCTGTGCAGTGCCGTGCCACCCGGCCTGAAGAATAGCCTTTCTCAATGAGTTTTCCAGTGTGCTTAACCGGAACTTGAAATTTTTATGCCCTTAATCTTTGCATTCAATGCCCCTGTTATAAACATTATTTAAACAAATGTAGAGAGAATAAACACGAAATTTTTGTATCCCTAAATAAAATGTTTCACATTTTATTTTAGGAAGTCAGCTGTTTGCTACCAGGGAAAATGATCCATTTGTTTAGAAGCCAAACTAGTACAAAGCGAAGAAATTGTTCAATTCATCGATCAGCCATAGTCAGAGAAATATTGACCAAGGTTGGTTTGCATTGTGTGGAGTTTTTAAAGGCTGATTTTCATATTGCAATACAGGATTTATGATCAATAAAGCAATAAAGACCATTCCGTCATTTGAAAACCACTAAATCATACAAAAACAGGATATGACAATTGATTCCATCATATTTGGTTCCAATGAATCAAAAAATGTATTTCTTGTGATGTTCTGGTCTTGTTTTGATATGTTCTGGAGAAAATGTTTGCTTTCAAATGATGCAAAACATCAGGCTGACAACAAACGCTGACTTCATTGACATCATCCAAGAGTACCTTACAATTTAATTGTTTTGGCTACATTCGTAGTTCTTGAATGGCTAGCTTAAAATGGCCCCAAACTATCCCATTTCTGCAAAATCTTTCATACTCACTCTCTCTTAACTTTCATTTATTTTGCTGTAGTATAGCCAGCAAAATATTTTTGCAGTAGCACTTATTTACTGTAGGTGCAGAATTTATCTATATATTAGCTGTATTCTCTACTTTTGATATTCATGTCAAAAGTACACACAATTTTTGTTTTTAAGGGTGGATGGTTTGTGATGACTTTCAATAAATGAAAACTGATAGGCAGTAAATTAGGTTTTATGAAATTGTAAAATTGTTTGTTTGTGATATGTATATACACTTTCACTTTCTGAAGTATAACATATTGTTCATTGAAATCATTTTATAATTTAAATTCTGAATTGGTGTTTCTTTATGAATTATCATGATTATAACTTTTTTGGTTGTCAAAAAGGGGTAATGGTGAAGCTGTTGAATTGTTACTGAATTGTATCCCAACAAATTTTAATGAAATTACATTATATAATTCTACATAAGGCTGGTATTTGTAACAGTTTTATATAATTTCTAGGACTTTTTTCCAATATTTGACAAGTATGGAGTTGAGGTACCAAAGAAATGCAAGCTGAATAAAGACAGAGATATTTTCAAATGGATAGAACAAAATAAGACATATGTTGATGGCCTCTCTCTTCAATGTGAACTGTGTGGAAAACAATTTTACCAACAATTTAGTCTATATGAGCACGCAAAAAGGAAACATTCAGATGTGTTCTTCAATGTGAGATTTTTTTCTTTTTATACTGACAAATTTTTTATTCTAGGATCATATCCATAGGTCTTTAGGTATTTTGTGAGTGATGTTCAATTTAGAACTTTGACATTTTTTTGAAACCAAGTTTGATGTCCGGTGTCAACAATCCAACAATCAACAATCAGGACTGCCCTTTTAGCTGTTAAGTGTCAAAATTTCGAAAATACAACCAGGTTTCAATCCCCCCTCAATGCCACAAACATAATGTAACATATACTGTCACAGTAGGCCTCTCATGAAAATTCTAAATCATAAAATAATATATTTGATGCCGTTTGTGAGGACTGTGTCTGTTTTTAGTAAAATCTGGCTCAAAGTATTAAATTTTTATTGTAGGCACCAAACGCTGTATGTCTTGCTGATTTTTGTGACATATTCAAATGTGATCTGCATGAAAAATATCCACATAACATTCCAGATGCATTGGATTGTAATAAAAAACATGTTGATAATCTCAGAAGACAGTGTGAGGTATGCTCTTTCTTTTTCCATAATAATTCCATGATCATAATAATCATTTGAACAGATTGTTGAATATAAACTATTGTACAACATTGTTCCCATTTCACTTTACCATTCCTGTCAACCTTACAACATCTTACAGGGAAAACATTGTTATGTTTTAGGCCATCATGCGATCCTGTCTACCAGAAAAACTGTTCTTTTATGTTTATGGCAAGTGAAGTTATCTTCAGTTTCTATTGCTAAAGTATTGTTTTTTAGCTCGCTTATACCTCATTGAGAGCAATGATTTGGAAGTTTTCATTATGGTGTTGCTCATGATATTGATTTTATGACAACATAAAGACAACAATTTTATAAGGGATTTGACTTTTGTAACTTTTCTATGTATTTCTTCATAAAATCTAAATTACATGTACAAACAATCTGAAATATTGTATCCGGTCTAAAATTATGGTGATAAAACCAAATCTGAGCTTAAAAAAAGTTGTAAAAAATTAGATTTGGAGAAATTTCTGTAATGAAGCCGTAAGTCAAATTGGTGTATTAGTACGTAGGAAATGAAACATTCCATTGTGTTTTGATTGTAGGTTAACCACCATAGATAGATTTATTGCTATGAAATTATGTACCTATTTCTTCAGATGATATGTTTGATTTTGCCTGCAAGCCTCTTGTGCTGGTTAATAAAAGGCCAGTGGCAAGTAATGAAATAAGATTTAAAGCAAGCCAGTGTGCAGACTTAACATTCCACTGCATAGGAGAGCCAATTCAAAATTGGTCTGCAAATTAGTGTCCATCAATTACTTCTGAACAACCTTCTCACAAATTCCAATTTTTTCTATGACATGATGGTGCCCTTTCCTACATTTGTGTGAAAATTCTCCGAAAATCCCTCAGCTGTTCTCTTACAAACTTGGCAGCATTTTGCAAGTCACCAGATCTAGCAGTGCTAGAGGCAATTCGTAAACCTACTACTTTAACATTTTTTTCTTTATACAGATAAACTTTATATGGCAATATGCTCAACTTTAACATGTGAAAAGTTTTTGCATCCATTCAAAGATTCTGTGAGTAATATGTTTTATCTATCTTCTATAATATCTGCTTAACATATTGAAAACTCTGACATGATTCTTCTTGCCAAACCAACATCATTTGATTTTTATGCACAATGATTTTAAGCATCTGCTTGTTTACATTAATTTCTTTCTTCATTCTTTCTAGGTGTCTGTATTCACAGTTGTCACTTTGTCAATAACAGTTCCGATATCCGTCTTCATATTAGCCCATATTTGCCTGTACCTCATTGACAACATGTAAGCATTGACATATTTTGTGTTAAGGGCAATGTATAACAATAACAAGCACAAGTACAAAAGCCTGTGTATGCTGTTTTCTTTATACAACAATAAGAGTTGTTTATGTTGTCGTTCAATATTATTTAATCATTGGAAGAACCTTGATGAGGGTTAATTTTGCAATGCTGCAGTTATTTCATGCATCAATAATTCAAGCTTATTTAATGTTGTTTAACATCCAAATAATGAAGCCAGGGAACTTGTATACACAACCAGTCTTACACATCAGTGTGTAGCTACAGCTCTGCCTATAAAATGTAGCAATTTTCATTTGCATTCATTTCATACTTATCTTTAAATGTAGGATTATATCTATTAAAGTTTTTTAGGAATATTCCATCGTGCTTTAAATTAAAGAGGTATTTTGTAAATATATGTTATAAGAATATACATAAATCTAAATGTTTGACTCAAAAAGGCATTGGAACACAACATTGCTACTGGAGGAGGCTGTAAGTTATTGAACTGATTGCTTGCATCAAAACTCTTGTTATTTTAGGGAAAGTGTTGATGAAGATAAAAAGTTTATGCAAACACAAAGAGCTAGATATGAGGCAAGAAATGCTGAATTAAATGCAAGATTTTATTCAAGAAGAACCAATGGAATGGAACCAAGGCATCGCAAAACAAACAGATACATGCGATTAAATCGTTAAGCTAGACTGTAAATAGATTTAATAAGTAAGCTAAATCGAAAGCATCACAACAATCTGTGTTTGATTGCTAGTGTGGTGCTCAAGCAGCAAGGTTTGTTTATGGCCAGGTTGTTTTGAAGTAATATTTAGGCTGTTATAGCACTGTACCGTTACTATATAAGCATGCCTTCAAAGACAGTGGTAAGAAAGTGGCTAAATATTCGCATGATGCTTAATTCCATAGCAAATTATGCCATCCCCCTGTTGTCAAATCCAGGTCCAAAAGACAGAATGCTGTTGAAAGTTGTTATATAAGCTTATTAAGAGGTTTAACAAATAAACTCATGGCAGTTCAGTTCTGGTTTATTTGCTGCATATTTGCTGCCACTTGCTGCATTCCAGTGCCACCCCATCTCAGGTAAGCTCTTTAAAGACGGAGGTTGAATAGTTCAATACAAATTCAATACAACCCCAGTGTGCTCTGACTTGAGCATTGAATTGCCTTTGACATACCTCTTTAAAGGTACAAGGCCCCACTAATTTTGGGTTATGTTTCAAGATTCAATGTTTTTTCTCAAGTAATCTTTACAGTTTTTAATTACTTAGTATTTATCTTCAGTTAGCAATGGAGTTTTTGAATATTATTTTGTAACTTAAAATACATTTTAGTCTTACACATTTTAGCTAATATGTGATTATGTTATTAATGTTAATTTTCCATTTCATTCATACTTATTATCAGCAAAATTTACCTCTTTAGCAAATGTATAATGACGTAATTATGACATTTTTGCACAAATAATTGAAACATTATGCATTATAACATTTCTGTTTGAATTTTCGCTTCAATTATTCAAACTATTTGAAAGTTCTCTTTAATCATTAGTATGAACAAAACTCAGGGGTCTTGCGGCTTGGCACCCCCCTGCATGGTGAGATGACAACCCTTAGAACTGACAACTTGCAAGGAACTTGTAGGAAAAAGTTTTCATGATAGTCTATTTCTTTCACATAAAAATCTCTTAACTAGCTAGAGAGCAAAGGTAAGGCCGAAAGTAAGGTTAGGGATTTTTTTAGAAAAATTCTATCAAAAGAGTACTAAGAAAGTTTTACATCTTAACATGGACAACAAAAGGGGTTTTATACTGTAAATCTGGATCTTCGATTGGCCTAAAATAGCGATCCAGGGCTGCAATGAAATTGGCAGAAAGTAGAATAAAACTGATACATAGTTGGAAGCTTTTCAAATGAAGGTTGGGAAAATAACCAGGAAATCGGTCTATAGGTCACTGTATTGCACCACTCAACCTGAAACTATGCCAAATTTCAAGTTCTACTAGACTAAATTGTTCTCAACTATTCATGCAAGATATATTTGCAAGTACAGGCTGTGAGGCTATGGAATTCTTCCATATAGGGACAGCAGACCTGGCCTTCATTTACTTGCAGTATGCAGGAGTTCGTTTTTCCCATGAAAGCTCATTGCAGGGCAGTCTTCTCTCCCCCCCCCCAAACATGAATTTATGCGGGCAAACTACAAATTCAGGTTTCGAAAACAGAAAAATGGCACTGACTTTTGAGACATCAGTTATCAAAATAAAATCGCAGTTGCTCGCAATTTCGCTACATCTATCAATTATTTTTCTTTCATACAGTGCTGGTACACCCTTTAAATCAACAAAAAAAACAAAAAAACAACTTCACTTAAATATTTAGGCCATTGTAGCATGGCGACATCATAAATAAAACAGGCTGACTAAAATAGAGATATTAAGCCTGTTTTTCATACGCTCTTGTTTTACTCGTAAATACGTCACGCTATTTCGTACCTGATTTTAACATGAAAACTGACAGATGTACATTAGTCCATACACAGTAGGCCAATACACTGTATATTACAAATGGCAAGCTAACTTCTAATTATGCTTCCTTGTTAACATTCTGGCGAGCTAACTTCTTATTATGCTACATGTTTCATTGAATTACAAACAACGACCAATTTTGTAACACCTTCAGTTGTTGATTGAACGAATCACATCTTTTCGACTGCCTTTTTAAAGGCCTATTAAATAAATATCTTTCTAGAAATATTGCTGGAGAAAAACAACTTCGTTTTAGGTATATTATTGTCATCGTCCAAAAGCCTTTGAAAACTCTATATTGCTTATATCATTGCAAATGATAGAAAATATTGCAGCGTTTTAGTATCAAATTTTGGATGCAACCTGGACACAGGTGTGACAAATACACAAGTGAATTTGGAAGGAGGATAGCAGAGCCAAACTGACTCAAGCGGGGTATATGGTGTCCTTCGCTTCTCTTTCACTGGGATTGCATTTAATTTACAAAGGGCCAGTTTAAAAAAAAAGGGTTTTGTTTGGCAATATACAGTACGTCGGATGATAGGTTCATGATATTATTTCACCTTCGAAATTAATTCAGTATATACTCAAGCTTGTCATTTAACTAAAAAATAAATAGGTATTTTGACATAACTTGTGACGACAAAAGCTGTTTGGTCGACCAGACTAAAAATTCAGTTAATTTGTCTAATTATTTTGCTATACATACTTTGACACATTTTCATATTATTTCCAGACATAAACTAACATCTTATTCTTATTGCTAACACAATTCACTCAAAACCATTTATTCTGCTTCAAATATTATTCATTATTGCCTTCAATTCAAATAAAGTTAGCTGCTTCTTATAATTAATTAACATTACTTGCTATACATTTGAATCGTAACATTAATATTTTTTAATTTTATGACAATTTTGAATAGCTAGGCGGCGCGAACTTCCTTCGAAGAAATTTAAGAATGTACAGAGGTAAACAACTGACCAGCGTGATAACAGTCACTTTCCAATAAAACGCACCAGATGTGAAGAATATTTCATCTAAAGAAAACAAAATTTAATTCTTTATTTCTATAGCAACGCAATAATCAAACTGAAATTAATGGTTTGTTACAGGTACTGAAACTAGGTGATAGCCTGGTGTTTATTTCAATTGCTTTCAACTTTTATAAGCGTTTTTCTGCTTGAACATGCTAAATTTCCAGCTGAATTAAAAAACACCGAAAACAATAGCATCTCCAAAGCCTAACATAGCTGACATTTACTTCGAGGGGAATGGGGTCGGCATGTGACAGGTTATAACCATGCCTACTTCCATAATTTGTTCTGCTTTGCTTATATCGTACCGTTCGATTGAAGCAAAATATAAAAGAAAACAAATTAATTTTATAAGGGTGTATTTTGGGATGCTGAAGTGTTAGACTTTGGGTAAGGAATTGTGCAAGGGTGTGATTTGTCCCCGCATCCCATTTTGCCACATCTACTGCATAATTATGAACTGGAAATACATCTTGAATCTCTTCAGTATAACCACAATGGCCTATTGCCTTTGAATCCTAGAAATTTAATACTTTGTTCTGTAATAAATAAAAGCAGGCTTAACATATGCAGACAAGATGTTCCTTTATCACGCCGAAATTTTCAACACTATGACAGTGACATCCCCTCGCTGAAAATAAAACATAACTTCCAAAATTCTTTTGAACAAAAGACGCGTAAGAATTGACGAAAGTTTGACTACTTACCGAAATATTTTCGTAAAACGACCACTGATGCAATGTAGACTGCGAGGGAGCATACTTCAGCAACAGCCATAAGCCAATGCCAGGTTCGTATCGTCAAGGCAACCATTAAGAGCTCAGTTAAAATAAGAGACGTGAAGGAAATTGATACGATGTGAATGAAGTCATCTTCAAACAACAGAAGTGCGCCAAAAATTATAATGCCACCTGCAACAGAAACCCCTTGTCAGCTTATCAGTGTCACAGGTACAAGCTAAATACTTTGGTCCGGGAGCACTTGTATTAGGTTTGCACAGGGGTGTGTGCAGATCCACCCATAGGCCAAGAGATTCCCAGACCAGACTTGCATAGTCACAGCGCATAATAAATCAAAATATGTTTATAGCATAATAAACAGCTAACCATTCCCCCAAACAAGTTTTTAAAGGTAAAAATTTAGCCATTCACAGATTTTGACTGAGAAATTTGGACCCATTCTTATAACTTATTCCCCTCAAAAACCCATCCAAATTGGCATATGAGAGAGTTGGCCCTGGAATTTTTGGCACTGATTCATTGATATGCCACATTGTAACCTAGAACGTAACATAAATGACAGTATATTTCCTTCACTCGCAAACTATTATAAGGCGACAAAAAATTGATGCAATCAATCACGCGATGTATTTGCTACAGATATCATTTTTTAAAAAAATTAGAAAGCATAAAAGTAAACATTTTTCAATTTTGGAGATAAATATTTGAGATAAAGCTTATTTTTTTATCTAGAATACATGCAAAGACAGAATTTTGATGCTGATAGTACAGACAAATCCAATGACTGTACATACTTGACAATGATGACTTATAAAATTGTTTAAGGATAAGAAGTAAAGCTGCTCGCAATACCTTGATATATACTGATTAGCAACCATAAGAAGAATGTCTTGTACGATAAAATCCGACCCTGAAATAAAAAAATTCTTTCTTAAGGCACACACAGTTTTTCTGAGTTAAATAAATATGAAGTTGAATTAAAAACCTAAAATTCATTTGGCAAAGAATTTGACAACCAGTGAAAGCAAAACTGAATATTTCAGAGAGACTTGATAATCATGAAAAACAAAAAAAATAATCAAATTTTCATAGAGGATAATCTTTCAGCTCAGACAGGACCGTGCTAGCTAGAACCCTGATTGTAAATTAGGGGAAAAATCAAAATGTTAATTTAAAAATAAACGTTCCATAAAAAAGGACGATTTGGAATAGGTTTTGGAAATGACATGTAGAAATCGTAGATTTGTGAGGCTGTTCTTGAGTGAACAATTAGTTTCAAGTGAATGAGTTAGTGAAAAATGATTCTGATACAGAAGAATAAGGTTATAAGCGTGATGTTACCTTGACAAGATCTTTATACAGCTCTGGGTATCGCATTGCTATTTCGTCACTGACGTCTTCATCGAGAACAAGCGAAAATACAGGCCCCATTGTGTACACTGTTGCGTAGCTAAAATAAGAAAATTCAATATTAGAGGAGATATCTGACTTGTATTTTAAAGACAGAACCCCTTGAGCAAGCCTGGCTTTACTTGAATCTTAAGCCACACCAAAGGCAAACATTATTCATAAAATATATTGAAAGATGATTGTTTGCCAGGGAAATTTCAAAAGCAGCTCCTATTATAATCATGGTGATTCTGAAAACTCGCGATTCCTTAAGCAAAATTTAACACTCTTAACCCAGACCAGCATTTTAATGAAAGCAAATCAAAGGAGAAAAGGCAACAATCTCAAACCTATTACAGTTATCAGGCCTATGAAGTCAGATTAAAAATACCAAAAAAGAAGGCTAAAGATTCAAGACACGATGCTGGCAAAAATAATCCGTTGATTTGTTCTTTATGTTTGTTTAGAAGCTTGGGAAAAGGTTTATTGTACTTAAACTTACCCAACCATAAGAAATCCTTGATAAAGTGAAACAGAGATGAAGAAAAATGTCAAAGAGAACACGGCCTGAAATGCAAAGGGTAAACAATGTAAACACGAAGGTAAACAATTATTCCATATTATTGAATAAATTCCATTACCATAAAGAAAGTATCAATTTAAGTAGAAAGTGACAAGATAGAAAAATTTTTTACATTATAAGCTTATATTTGCAATCGTGAATATAACAGAAAATACAAACATATTTTTCAAAACATTTAAGAGCTCTTTCGACGTTTTGAACTGATTATAAGCCGCGCGACTTTTTAAATACAATTTAAAGATTAAAAAATGCTTAAGAAGCATAAAGAAATTAGCAAGTGTTGCGTTGGGTAGACTTAAATGAGAATCAATGCTTCGAATCAAATGATGCTTCGAATCAAACAAGAAGATAGATTTACCTGCATAACTGAAATGATCAGCCCTCTATGGATGACAAATTGGCTGAGAGATGCAGATCGTTTGTAGCTGAGTACAAAAAGAGAGAAAACGATGTCAAGATTATTGACTAATTAGTTGTCGAGAGATGCATATAAGGTACAAACAACACTTGCAGAAATGGGCCATTATTTTGGAAACATCCTTGCTAAAGTCAAACTAAGAGCAATTGTCTCTGTATCTAAATGCCAATGGCATTTTAACTACACTAGTCTGCTATCTACATTGACCTAAGATTATTTGCAAAAAAGGTCCTTGGGGTCAAGTTACTATAATCAGACTCAGAGATGCTCATTTTAGTGGAAAAATGAGATATTGCGGCAAACTGCGGCATAAAAATGATCTTTATCAAATCAGGATGACAAAAACAAACGTATTCAAACTGCAAGTTAAAATTACTTTACAAATTACAATTTAACATTGCTAAGTAAATTGCTACAATTCAAACATCATCAACGGTTGAATATATAAGTAAAGGTTAGATGGCATCTTCACAGTGAAATGCTGATATCTTACCTATTTCTACCATGCCAAATCAGGAGTCTGCCCACGTGACTAAACTGCGTCACAGAAAAATCTGCTGCAAGGGAGGCTTGTTTCCCTTCCTAGAAAAAATGCCAGTGATATTACGGGGATAGCGAGCTTGAATTTCACAAAAAATAGCACATGAAATTGGCATCACATTTTCTAATCCATATACAAGCACTGCTTGTGCAACATGAGCCATAATCTATTCTGTGGTCATAATCAAACATGATAGTGCACCATCCTTGGTGGTTTGATAAAATTACAATACATTACAACCAAGGTTCTAAAATCTAGGCGAACTGTATTAGGCAAAATGGTATCAGGCTCTTCAGAAAATAAATGATGTCTTGGAGAGTCTATAATGCTGTACAGTATGGCGAAATCCCAGTATCACAGCTATAATTAAACAACAGAAACGTAAAACGTAAAAAAACGGGGGGGGGGGCAAAAGTAGTCCCTGACATCCCCTAAAAAACATACTTGGAAAGAATATGAAAGGAAAAGCATTAATACAGATCCAAAAAATTTCACTTATAAGCTTTAGCAGAAAGCAAAACGGTTCTATGAATAAATGAATAATTTTTTAAAAGGGGATCTTACTTTGCCAACAATACCAATGCCAGCATCAGCCATTTGTATCATACTGACGTCATTTCCGCCATCCCCTATTGCGCATGTGCGCTTCCCAGTATGAGTCTTCAGGAGCCTGACAATCTCGGCCTTTTGGGTTGGCGTGCAACGACATACAACCACGGCGGGACACAGAACTGCTAGCTCCATGAATTCATGTTCATAGTGTCTGAGAACAACCTGAACGAAAAACGATGTCTTGTTGAATAAGTGGTATCAACAAATAATACGAGACAGGGGGTCGTCTAAATGGGGTACGGGGGCGCTGTACCCCCTAAAACTTTGTTCGCTGGTATAAAAAAAAATTTCACCGAGCAAAAGAAGATTTTTTTCTCATCCTGTAACCTTTTTGCAATAATTGTAACGTTTTGACATTTCTGTAGGAGTGAACTTTCAAAGTATGCCACTAAAGTATGAATTTTTAAATAGAAACGCATAAAAGCAACTATGATTTATCTTATGACCACACCATTAAAGAGAGAGACACGCCCTTTTTGTCGGCAAAAAGGCATTAATGTACCTCTCTGAAAATCTTTTTTGACTTCGCCCCTGAGAGAGACCATATAATCTTTTTTACATAAGAAAAATTGTTTCCATAATACCGAGACTCGACTTGCCAAAAAATACGAACAACACAAGAACTTGCCCAGCATAAGGCAAACAATACACCAATTTGACTTACGACCTCGTTTTAGAAATTTCTCCAAACTTAATTTATACGACATTTTTAAGCTCAGATATGGTTTGATCGCCATAATTTTAGGCCGCATACAATTTTTCATATTGTTTGAGCTTATGTTTTAGATTTTACGGAAAAATTAAGTTTGAAAACTTGTAAGGGATTTGACCGCAAAAATCGTTTCGGGGGGAAACTTTACCCCCCCCTAGTCGCCAATCACGGTCAAATCTCTTGTAAAATTTCTATCTTTATGTCGTTATAAAATCAATATCGTGAGCAATACCATAATGAAAACTTCGAAGTAGATTAAAATCATTGCTCTCAATCCGAATCTGAGGTCAAAAATTTTGTACAAAAGAATTTGAAGAATTTTTCAAAATGAGGCCGTAAGTCGAATTGGTGTATTATAAAACACACGGTGCTTTGGAAAAGTAATATCCTATTAAGATAACATAGTTGAATTTATCAGTTGATCGGCCGTGCTACTACAGATTTGATGCAAAACTGTTATTTAGTGGTCTTGGGGAAAATCGATAGTAGGCAATTATAGAAAAATCAACATGAAATAAGAACAACATCAAGAACGCCTGAGATCCATACTCCACAAAATTAGAACATCAAGCCTTGGTCAAAGTTATCTTGTCCGATAAAAACGAGGGTAGTCTGTAAAGCAGATGCCTATTGCATATTAACCGGGAAGACATCCATAAGGAAATTGATGGGGTGGAAATTGATTGATGGGCCGAGCGCTCTTGTTATTGGCATTGCAGAAAGTGATCAATTGTACTTCCTACTACACCTCTTTTTTAAATACGTGAATGGAATGCACACATTTTCTAAAAAAGTTTCTACCTTAAAATCTGGGTGTTTTACTTTCGAGGTATTTTTGTGATATCATTATCTTCAAAGAACTAAATATTATACCCTGCCGGCAAAGCAATATTAGAAACTTACTTCAAGTGAATCTCCTTTGATAACTAGCGCATGGTCGCCTTTTCTTCGGAATGAGTTTAGTTCCAGATGAGCTTCTGACCTGTTCGTTACCTGCAAAAGTTACCATACCGTAAATCCTCGAATAAGCCCCCACGTTAGAATAAGCCCCCCTTCGAATAAGCCCCACCTAATGAGTCATTTTTGCAAATAAGCCCCCCTCGAATAAGCCCCCATTTGAGGGAAGCCAGAGTGGAATCCATGTGAAACTCACGCCGGACATACGCCAATAAACAATAGAAAGACAATGGGAAATCGTTAGTCTACGCCAGATATCTCCGGCGTAAGCTACATGGATTCCACACTGGGAGGGAAGCATAATATCTTATTTCAAGAAAGCCCCCACAGGACAATAGCTATTGGATTACTTCCTTTGACTGGAGACCAAAAAGCAAAAAAGCGACTTAACTTTGAAACAAGCCCCCCTCCCCCTCGAAAAAGCCCCACCAAAAAATTATTTTTGCAAATAAGCCCCCCGGAGCTTATTCGAGGGTTTACGGTAATTCATTAACATAAAATAATCTTGCCGGTCACTACAACGGCCGGTTAGCTCAGTCGGTAGAGCGTGGTGCTAATAACGCTAAGGTCGTGGGTTCGAGACCCACACTGGCCAGTTCTTTTCCTTCCAAAAAACATTCTTTCTTCATGGACCTTTCCCTAAAGTTTTATTTTTTTTTCTTTTCTCTAAAACATCCGAATTGGCTTCACCATCCGCCTTTAACGATACCCCAAGTGGGCATCAAAAAAAGGGTCTACTTTTGTCTTACGACTACATGGATATTTGTAATCTCACCAAAAAAATAAATTCATTTATTTCAATGCTTGAGTAATTTTGAAAAATTCGCTCCCTATTCTGTAGTTGTTCCTGTTTCTACCTCAGTTCAGTTGTATAACAAATAAGCTAGAATTCTAGAATCGGGACACTTATCTCGATAGCTTAGCTCACATATGGAGTTTTCTTTAGGTGTTTTGAAATAAAAAGTGACCGTATTTTTCAAGTCACATTAAATACAAGTAGATGAATCCAATTTGAGAGCAATTTGAGAGCATGCACATTATAATAACTCTCTTTCTTAAACTAAATCTTTGGTTGAACCAAACAAGGAAGTTCTTCTCGCAACTTTTGAAAGAAAGCTGAATTGAACTCAGCGATGATCTACACTCCTTCTTTTATAAGAACAATTTCATAGAACACGAGCCTCAAAATTGGTCAAAAGTTAAGAACAAATTAAGAACAAGCTGAGGCTGAGCTTCTGCAAAATGCAATTTCGAACAACGTTTTTTCTCAAAATCGAGGATTTTTAGCAATGTGTGGGTGCTTTTTCGTCAAATATTCAGACTTTTCCGCAAATGAAGGTTGTCTCACTCACTTTGTTGGCAAATGAGGTCTGAACACCTCCCTAGAGCGAAAAAGCTAGCACTCGCATTGCTTACACCCTATTAGATTGAGAACAAATTAAGAACAATCCTGCCTCAGATTTTCGAAAAAATTAAGAACAGTCAGCCTGAACTTAAATTTACTGGTTCTTATAAAAAAAGAGTGTATTTGAAGATGGCTTCAGACGCCTAAATTCTATCCTACAAGCGACCATTAAAATTGTTTGCTCAGACCGCCGCATACGATGAACAAACTGCCACGAGTGACAAAAAATATCAAACTGGTTTGATATCTAAAAATTCGGCTCGTAAGGCAAAATTCACACAAAAAACTGCCGCACACGTGAGGCAAATGGCTGAGCTAAATGTTACTCGTGGCATTTAGCTCAGCTAAAATCTATCGTGTGTGCCTAGGATAAATCTTTAGTTTCTCTTCCCACTGGCAGGCATTAGATGCCTGTGTTAATCATATCATGCACACAAATGCAATAGAAACAATGGTATGATACAACTTGCACGCAATACTCACTGCTTTGAAGGGGTATATGCTCTGTGTTTTGGAAACCAGTCTAGAGCTTTGGGCAATACATGTAGCGGTTTCCATCTTGTCGCCAGTCAGCATCCAAATCTGCGGAGAGTAAGATTCATCGCAAATTCAATCCAAAATGTATCAAAGAAATAAGGCGAGTGGTTTTCAATGGAGGGGCGTGAAATTCGGAAAATCATCCGCTGAAACGATCTTGGTCGATGGCAGCCAATGATTCAAGACTAGGGGAATATGTCGTTTCAATATTTTTAGGTTAATGACTGTTGACTCGAAAAAGATCGTCTACAATAAGACATTAATTGAGGATTTTCGCTCCTACGCTTCATATCATTGTCCCTTGTAAGCAAAAGACGTCGTGCCAATTAAGTTAATTCACAACTTTAGCTTTGTCAATGAAACTTTATAACTCTACACTATTCAATTCAAATGTAAAAAAAACATTTGATTTTTCAGAAATGAATCGATTTTTGCGAAGTTCAAATAACAGAGGATTGTTTAAACAAATGCAGAGGACAGTTTCCAGGAGAATCAACCTTCTGTAAATTGGTTTAATCAATGACCCAACATAATAATTAGGAACACCAGATTACTTCTAATTAAAAGACAAGTTATATAATGAAATCTCCACCAGAAAGATGACAAACAATCCTACCTTAATGGCTGCATTTCTCAAAAGCTCCAGGGTCGGCCTAACATCAACCTGCAGCTTGTCTTCGACACCAGTAAGACACAGAAGTTCCATGTCATATTCAAGGCTTTCCTGAACTGCAAGTACCTAAAATCATAAAAAAATAAGTTATCGCCATGTGTTTATTCTTGTTTATTTTCAAGTACAGTCAGACAACCGAAAGGTAACACAAATACTCTCATATTAAACTATATCGAATACTAAGATACTCTTTTACTGTGTTGTCTCATGCGTTTGAGCTCCAACTTGTTGTCACTAACCAAAAAAACAAATTTTTACCGCATTTTGAAGGCACTTACTTTGTCCGAACATATAAGGTAATTCAGCATCTGATGAAGAGTGCCAAAAGAAATGGTATATCTTTTAAACGAGTAAATTTTATCAAAAACAACAAATATGGAAAATGTAGCATCATTAATGACCGAAGAAAAACACAAAAACTTAAATAAACAACCTAATGAACAGAAGGATAAAAAGTAAACCAGCAATACTTCTACCTTTGCATTTCTGTCTTCCATGGCCAGTTTAGCTTGCGTATAACGATACTAGAAAAAGAAAAAAGTTTCAATTTCACTAACATCATCAATAGATGAAAAATCTTATTAATTTCGATTTGTAAATAGGGAAAGGGAGGAAGAAAAAACAACTGACCTCAAAATCATCATACTGGTCTTGAGTGAGAACTTTCTTAGAGACGACTAAAGTTCTGAGTCCTTCTCTTGCCATATTGCCACACTGGAACAGAAGTGAATCACTCACAAACAAATTCATTAATTAGTAAGATCAAATTGCTCAATCAGGGCACTTTTCCAAATGACACAGTTGTCATCCAAGGGTTACCAGTGATTGCTTTCTATGTTACCATGGTACAGCTGTTATCATAGTACCCTCAATAGCAACACGATAAGACTATGACTTTGCCCCCCTCCCCAGCCATATTGCCCCCTTCCCAGCCCTAGTGACTTTCCATTAGGTCTTCTTAAACAACAGGCTGTTGTCCTTCGCTTTATAAAAAGACTTGCTTCCTAGCGAATTTCCTTTCGAAAAGCCTATACTTTCCCAGTAAGTTAGATTGCCTGTACCAAACTTTAAAGCAGCTAAAAAGAAACTTATCGTGAGACATTAAAAGCTTTAATTGTTAGATTCGAAGCAGCAAACACTATGAACCACTAAAGAAAACTGGTCTCACATGACAACCGAGTGAGCAAGAAAGAAAGCAGAAAAGCTCGTTGTTGTACCTCCTCTTCCAGCCAGTCGTTGTATTGAACGCGGCTGTTCATCACCGTATCAGCGCCTTTCATGTAGAAAATTATCTCTCCAGTTTTTTCCTCCTAAAATTGTAAATGAAGGGTCTCCAAGAGAGAACAACGAAACTGATATCTCACAGTTATTTTTAAGAAATTCCATTAATAATATGTATATATGTTTCTTCACTTATTAAATTTACATGTGTTTATATAAACATATTCTCTAAAAACTGAAGCTGAATTTTTCCATAAATCTAAATTTTTACTCCACATCCCGTTACCTTGCCTCTACTGATACTATGTAAACTACCGTATTCTAAAAAATCTTTTAAAATTCTAAAATAAGCTTCCTAAGTTTAGATTCTAATTTCAATAATTGAAATAATTATTTCGCAGCAATGCAATCTTATAAGAAAAAATCTGCCACTGCCTTAATGTAGAATGCATTTTTGTGCGATGCAATGTTTTTCCCCAATATTTTTTGCGAAGCACTATCTGAAAATAATCACTTTTTTCAATGTTACAAGCAAATGGTGTCCTTACCCTTAAAATGATGCCCATTCTTTTCGTTTCTGATGTGAAAGGAAATGTCTGAAGAATTATGAAATTGTGGACTTGTCCTGAAGGAACTTTGATTTTCATTGAAGTCAAATCGCGGCTGATTAATGTCACACTGACGCTTTCACTCCATAGCACGAGGGCAACCTGAATAAAGATAGAAAATCTTAGTTTCGAATGAGAAAATTCTATTAAGACGAAATATATCAGCATAGGTTATGACAATCATTATAATAATGATTTGTATTTGCAATGAATAAGATGATAAAACAACACTCGTTATTTGCTATTTAAAATATGTCGTGGCTATTCTATAAATTTGTGAGAAGGAAGAAGCGCAGGATAGGCTGTCCGCCGGATTCTGTGAATCCTGCAATGAGTATAATAGAAATACGAAGATAAAATTCAAAAACAAAGCAGAACGGCGATGAGAATTCAATGTAATAAGATAAATTTTCAAGATATATCAAATTAAGTGAATACTAATATTTCGCCTCGGCATACAGGCCGTCATCAGAGTAAATGAAACGAACGAGTCTATTCTATAGATGTTGTATCATGACTTGTCAAGGAACCAATAGAACGCGTCATTCTTCCCCTTACGTCTCTACCGACATGCACCTGGTCTTCAATGTCTGTTTTCCTTCAGCTAAAATTATTATTGGTAAATTATGCAATGAAATATTGTTAGTTATGCGAACCTCGTCTGGACTGGCTGCTTGGTAACTAACTGTTCCAGCATCGCCTTTGGTCGCCATTTCAATGTCATCACCATTGGCAACCGCTGCATTTTCCTCCATCTCATCAACAACAGGCGTTACGTTGTGACACAAAGAAAGCGCCTTCACAGCCTCCTGTACTCTAGTCACGACATTTCTGCGAATCTAAAATTTTTAGTTCGAAATCATCAGAGGTTTTGCGATCCCTTGGGAATAAAGTTGTCAAATATCAATTACTCATGGGAATAAGATAATTTGCATTGGTTCCTGCGACATAGAGCTCATGGGATTTTCGGAGACTGCTGAGAATTCCCTCGGTGCTATTAAATCTTTCGGTACTATTCTTTAAACAATAATTTTTTCTTATTGTTTAATTGTTGACACGTTTCGAAAGAATTTGAAATTTTCCCATGTCAGAATGAAAATAAAATTTTCTGAAACCGGTAAAGTTTTTTCATAAATATTATTAAAAAATAGAACAACGAACTTAACAATGCAAAGTTCTTTAAATTCAATAGAAACTTAATGATGAAGGTTTGTAAAATTAAAGGATTGGTGAAAGATATGGAAATAAGAAGAGCTTTGTAAAATGTTGCATTCTTAATACATAGCTATCAGGCTCAAAATTCAGAAATTCTTTACCTTGGTGCCCGACTTTTTCGCTGATGGAGTTTCACTGGATTGGTCGTACATTGACCGCAAATAAGATCGAACTTCGTCCATTGAATCTGATCCGAACGACACTGTTCCTAAGTGAAGTCGCTTGAAGACCTACACAAGATAAAATGGAAAATGAGAGAAGAAACAAAAAATAGGTAACATTTGTTTTAGGAAAAGGAAGCATGTCTGAATGCAGTGACGAAGAATTTGGTAATTTCATACGTAGGTATCCACTGTATTTAAAAACGAATTGAGCAAAATAAAATTCATATTCTCAAAATGAACAGATTTGAACAGGGCTAATTAAGAAAACATTATAAATATAAAAATCACAATATATAAACAGTATTAAAAAGCACAGTTGCAAAATATTGGTTAGAAAATCTTTCTTTAGATCGGTGGTAAACACATACAACAGTTGAGTGACATATATCAACTTACCATTTCGTTCTGGGTTAATGTGCCTGTTTTGTCCGAAAGCAAGTAATTGATCCTGCCAAGTTCCTCGGGTATGGTACTGCTTCGCACAACTGTTCCTGGGATTTTGTCATCCCGGCCTATCATCCAGGAGTATACCAGCTTGGCCATGTCCAAATTCACACGCAAACTGCAAGGAAGAGAAAGATTGTCAAAATATGGGATGATGCAACAGAAAATTGCCTCCTTGCTGATGGATCATGAAAAAACATTCCAATTTGGAAAACAACTCTACAGTCCTACTATCTTTAGGATTATTTTCAGAGAATGGTATTTTGAACATTTTGCAAATGTTAAGGTATTAAGATATCATAGACATTTTACTCGATGCGGTTGGTAGGGTGGAGGGGAGCTAAAAAATTTGAGAGCTTCACGTGCTGAAAATCATGAGCAAGATAGTTCATTGTAAGTTTTTAAGGACATTTTTGGAATTATTGGGAATAATTAAACCCTTGATTTCCCCTCCCCCGTTTTTTCAGTCCCTGTATGTTGAATCCATATGCTTTGCAAAAACAACTTAATAACATAACACATGTGGACAGTTTAAAATGTACCGAATTTCAAAAATTTTTCCCAAATTTTCAAAATGAAAGATAGAAGCTACAGCACCATATAGTACTGGCAAAATGTGACAAGAGAGACGCTCATTAGTACTTCAACAAACGTTAATATTCATAGATGTTACGTAAAAATGAAAACAAATAAAAAATTCGAATGTTACCAACCTGATGGGAATGATGTAAGAGAACAGAAGAACGAATCTGAAGAAGTATCTCCACCACGGACCAGTGAAACCCTGAACGAGAAAGGTAATGACATGTAGCATGAGACGAACAAACTCTACGATAGCCCCCCTCTCCTATATTTCCTTCATTTGAAAATAAGCTAAAAAAATGTTTTCACAAGAAAATTTTTACTGAAATATAATTTTAAAATGATTTGGAAAGCGGAAACAGAGCATACTTAAGTAGACTTTGTCCGACAGTCTTTCAGAGCATAAACATTGGAAAAAATAAAAATCAAAACACTTTGTCGATACTTCTTATCCGATGTTTCATACTCTGAGGAGTTTCAGTAAGCTTTATTTGCTCTTTGTCATGAACTCATAAAAAGGTTGTTACTTTTATCATTGGTACGATAATCTATGCAAATGGTCATCAAAACACATGGGTTGGAGGTGATTTCAGCTCGAAGAACTATTCACCTTGTACGTGAGAAGCCGGGCACCACAATAACAGCTCGCTAATTTCAGCCAACAACTGAGCTAAATGTCTTGTTGAAGCTAGCAATGTTATGTTGAATCGTGCTTCGCAGTAAATCAACAAAGAATAGTTAACTAGAAAATAGGTCATCTGAGATCATATTTAAAAATATTAGGTGTGGGAATACAAACCTTTAGGCCCATGATTGCGAGAGAAAGTGCAATTGTTAGAATAAAGAGCAGCTTTGTGAAATTGTTGATTTCAATATCGGTAAGACCAAACTGAAAGGGACAACAAAAGACAATGCTACCATATGCAAAGAGACACAGGAAAAATCTGCAAAATTCTACCCATATGCGGTAATGTCATCAATAGAAATTAAAAGGGTAGTCGACAGAAATTCAACTTTCCAAAAGGTATGGCAATTCTCTAATGCGAAGTATTAGGAATGAGTCACATAATTAATTTGATTGGCACCAAATACAAAAACGCCAACATCCGTCATTTTTCATATAAATGTCTTGCCAAAGCACCATGTGCTATTTCAGAAACATCAAACAATTTGATAGGATAATGCCAGGCGACTCAACAAGTGGCCTTTCATGGCATTTGTTAACAATTTAATTGATTGGTCAGAACTTTGGGGTGTGCCTTACGCATCAACCAATCAAAGTTTTGAAGCTCCTGCTAGGCAACACTTTTTAGTCCCTTATCACATAAATGATTATATGCCTAAAAGACCTAAAAGAGCTAAGACACATAACCAAAAGAGCTTTAAGTGGACTGTCTTATGGTCAAAATTTGGTTGAAAATTGAAGAAAAATAGAAAAAAAGATTACTTTAGATTCTGGGGTAGATGTATTCATGACACTTCTAGTCTCGCGTCCAGTGTAGATGACAACACCAAGGGCAGTGCCTATGACAAAAAATAAACTGATTTAAATGCAGTTTGATACATAGCTAGGGGGGGGGCACAATAATGGAATGTCGACTCAAATGGACCCAATCTCGATAAAAAGACTGACTTTGCGAAGCACCATTAGCAAGGAGGGAAAATTCTAGCATTAGCAGGACATTTGAGTGATTTGGGTGACCTAATAATAGAGATGCAAGAACAAATCAACGTAGAGTAAAAGTTTTTAGATCGGGCTCTAGAGATTATGAGGAAATGGTTATTTAGAATATAACACACACCAACAATTGCTTTGTGTAAGAAAAATTCTGATTTGAGATGAATCTTAACATCGCTTAAATTCTGGGAGAGAGATGATTTGAAATCAAGATTCATCTTGATTAAATTTTGTAAGTGGAAGAGAACATGCGTATCTCTAATAGATAGACAAACCTGAAGCCACGACTGTATTGCTCCAAAGTGTATTTTCGACACTTAAAGAAACTTCAGATCTGTCTCCATCTCTCTATGAACAAATTATACGAAAAATACATTAAAAAGAAGCAAAATTTAATGGAATTAGCGACAAGAGCATCAGAGAAGAACGTGCTTGATTATATCTCGTTAATTATTCACGATTGGATCCCCAAAAGACAATAATTGACAGAAGTACAATCCCTGATGAATAGGAGATTAATACAGTTATTTTATAGCAGTACTGAATTCAAAAAACGGCTTTCCAAAAAGCAAACATTTTGAAACATACTAAAGCTTTCCGTCTGACAATACACCAGAATAATGATCCAAAATTCTTGGCTAGGAAATGTGCTCGCATTTCTGAGCGACCAAAATTCTGTATAACCCATTAGCCAATCAGAATTCAAGAATATGACAACAAACGTGCCTCGTAGCTAAATTTAGGCCTATTTCGATCCACAACTGGGAATATATATTCCTTAGTCTAGATTTTTCGATTTATGTATGGTCAATTTTAATAAAATTGTTCCTAAGCCATTCGAGATCAACTGGAAAAGTCAATGACGGGTAGCTTCCTTCGAATAAATAACAAAGCTTTTCTGTCAGTTGAGATGAGGATTCAAAGAGCAAAATATACTTTAGTTATAACTTACAAATAATTTTTAGGAGATGAGGAAAGGAAAACAATGAAGAGAGAGGATGCAAGGAAGAACAAAATTTTGACATTTCTTCTGATCATTACAATTATAGAAACAGGCTGAAGATTGTTTTTTTTAATTTTGTTTTGCAGGAAGATTCAAGAGTTCATGCTCCATGGGATGCTTGAAAACAAAAAAGTTTTTTCAGACGGACAGAATTAGTTGATTACCCTCGAATATGTTCCAATGAAATTGTGAATATCCTTGTCAGGTTTGCCAGCATAAATATAAGAGCTTATTCGAAGCAAATCCTGAAAGTAAAATCAATATATATGAGTGCAAAAGAACTTATGTTAAAACTAATGAAGTGAGACCAAATTAAATGTGCCATTTTATTAGCTGAGAAGTGCCATTTCAACTGCAAAATCTGTTGACGCAATTATCACAATAAAATGTAAAACGCGGTTTCTTTGAATTCATTGCTAGCTTTGAAGTTGTTTCTCAACGGCAATTTAATATTACTGAACTGGAATAAATCATTATTCAAAAACTACCCTGATTTCCTAAAGCAAACAATCGCTTCAGATTTCCATAAAATTGAAAAGAATTGTTTGATTTAAAGCGGTCTGTAAACTCAACCATTGGCCATTATGGACAATGCAGCTTGAAGGACCTAACGTCGTTTCTGATTGGCTAGTTATTCATCAATCTTAACGAAAGCGCAAATATTACTCCAAAAAAACAGAATTGAGCACAAAAGCTGTTTACAGAAGAAGGGCATAAAAACCTCAAAATAGACAAAAAAGCAAGGCAATTTATTTGAGATTCGATAAAAAAGACAAATTGACTACTACAGCAACTGTAAAGGTGGTATTTTCTGTCATGTGGCTAAAGGCAAATAAAATTGAAAATTACACAATTTTAATTCAATACAGACGTACATTGTCTTCCTGAAGTGTCTGGCATGCACCGACCGCTATGCGCAGTTTCCAGTCTGTTTCCCCATCAAGCTGATCGGTTCTAATGAAACACGTGCCTGAGATAAAAAAACAAAACCCTAATAAAATGAGTTATCCAAGTGTCAAGGCTAGCATGAATGGAAAAGGCATTGACCTAAAAGTCTGTAGCAAAGATAATGTACACTTCTCAAAACAGAGTATTAAATACTGATATCATTAAAAATCTATTTTTAGAAGTTTTGAATATTGACCAGACCATGAAACATCTCTAAAGAAGAAAGTTGCAAATTGATGACGCAAGTAAAACAATCGAGTTTCCCTAACTATTTGTGTTGTCCTTAGTTGATTCATATGTTTTAAAACGAAGACCAAATTACAGTTATTTGATGGAGAAAAAGCCTAAGCTCATTTGGCCATACTTCAGCCAATTTGCAAAACATGTAACTAATTTTGTGCATTTACAGTTATTTCATTAGCTAAAAATTGAAAATTCTAAAAATGTTTTTTAAGGTGTTACAACCATAATATTGGTTTCTCTTATATCGTCAGAAAATTCAGTCATGTGCAAAGGTTTAAGACCAGATTAAGAAGAAACGCAATTTCTTCCATAAAACACCGTATATATCGATAAATTGATACTGCATTAAATATTATCATCATATGTATATACTTTGAAGATATCTTTGATACACATCGTAAAAAAAACATTACTTTACTTTAAAATTCCCGTGAAGTGTATTAGAATGGTTTTTTAAACAAGATATGTTATTTTGATGTTAACCTAGAAAAACGGGAAAACATGGCACGTGGTCTTAAACTTTTGCACACCACTGTATTTTCAAGTCTTGTTAAACAAGGTTCGTTTCTATTGGGCCTTTCATTAGTTAGTTTTACGAATTGATGAAATACAATCTATGTGTTGTCAGAAGTGCTTGTTAGGATGATCAGAAACTTCAGAAGCATTGGTGTGAATCCTTCTTCTTGCACAACTAACTTTCAGTGAGAAAAATTACATCACCCCGTAATTTAGATAATACAAATCACAGTTGTGCTCTAATTTTGTGAAAGGGCACTCCCTGATAAGCATAGATTTATAAAGTTCTATTACGTACTTTCATATATTGGATGGAAACAAATGAGTAATAAAATATGAATGCAAAAAAATTGTTTGAACAAAAAGCAAAAAATATTTTAAATTACCTGACTTGTCTGTAGTTCTAAGAAACACCATGTCTGCAGGGACCCGCTGGTCCTGAAGAAAAGTGGCTTGATTAATTTAATTGAAGAAACAAGATTCTTTTACATTCATCTATTCACAAATAAGCTTGAAAATGCCTCCCAACAAACTGGTCATTGTCTGAATTAAATGATATGAACAAGAGTTTAGAATAACTAAACGTTCCATGTGTGAATAAGTTCACGCAGCATTATCAATTGACTCTTCAAATATTGATGGCTGCCTGGTTACTTACCATAAAATGGTATTTTGAGCTATCATAATAAAAAGATTGGTTCTAGATGATTTCATTCTGCATTTATTTAAAATAGAATGGTCTAACTAAATACTGACCATCTGGGGAATGTTGCAAACCAAAACCTATTTTGACTGAGGGTTGAAATTCGCAGAAACCTTAGAAAATATTTTAAACTTATGTAAACAGGATGAGTACAAACCTTTTCAACATAGATTAAGTCACCAATTCCAATATCAGAACTAGGAACACTAGCAGTCCCTGAAACAGAAAATATGTAAGATGCACAAAGATTGAGATAATCCTAGATAGCAGTGCAAGAAGCAAGTAACAAGAAACATTATATTTTAGTGCAGAACATGTTTACTTTGTATGAACATGTAAATTGGTAACAAATGAAATTAATGTATTTTGCAAAATAACTCAAAATATTACAAACCTAAATAAACGGGGGCCTCAAAAAATTATATATAATTGGTATAGTTGTTCAAAATTGTATAGAAGTTGGCTTTTCCCTTATCAACTGCAACATAGCAACATCTTAGAATATTGATATTTTAACCATACATTTTTTCATGATGCTTCTTAATGAGCCCTTCCAAAGTTTCTCAAATACATTCAAATTTTTAGCAACTGTCTTTAAAATCTACAAACAAATATAAACGAACCCTTTGAAGTGAGCTTGTGATATTTCTGTGAGTTTGCTTCCCTGTCTCTCAGAAACCTCTTAAAATCATCAAATCCCTCTCGAGCCATTGTAACTGCTATCACAAAACCCTGAAATAAATTATTAAATATTTCACTTGACAATATGTCAAAGAAAACAGCAATCTAAGAAAGGAAAGCCGCAATCTGCTGATGCATTGCCACTGGGTCCAAATGAAGTCTTGAAATTTTTGACAATGTCTGACATACTATGGGATGTTGAGCTCATTTTGGTGACTCTTTCATTGTGTATCATTTGGAATGTGTGTTTCTCATCATTCAAAAATCAAAGATTAACCCTTAGGTCAAAGTAAATGAATGAAAAACCATAAACCATGCTGTCTGTTGTCCCTTTAAAGAAAGAGCTCTTTAGTATTGTGTCCTAATTAATTTCAATTAATTCACTGTTGAAACAAAGTATGTTCTATGATAATTTGCTTCAACTAAAATTCAACACACAGAGTAACAAGCAATTGTGTCTGTTTTATAAGCTCATATTGTATATTATATTATATATAATCTACAAGCTTCGTCTACAAACCATTGACCACAGGAAGAAATTGCTTGGACAAATTAAATGCAACAAGATATCTTGATATCAACATGTGTCTGATTCTAGAGGAGTTGCTGTCTGTAAGATTGTCTAGCCAGCTTAGCAGCAGTCTCACAGTAATAGATATTGTTTCTTAGGCTTTGAAACAAAGCCAAAAAAACTCTTGGATTCTTAGAAGGATCATCAAAGCTATATAGAATATATAGGAGAATTATCTATTAAAATTTAATGAGAATTTTAAAAAACTGTGGTTTGTCTTACTAGTGGACCCCAATAGGTATATAAGTATCCAATCTTTAATGCAGGGATGAACTGGGACAGAGCAACAACCAAGAAATACATATTCAAAAATACTTTGAACTGGTTTATAAGCACCTGAAAAATACAAAATACACAATTTTAGCAAATTGTTTTTAAAAGATCATTAACAAAAAATAAAACGAGTAGGAGAAATTCTTCCTCAAAAACTCTTAATCTGAAATTTAATTAACATCTAAAATCTCTAGATAAACAGAAAAATATATGAAATCTTTATTAGAATAAGCAAACTCACCAATGGGATGAATGAAAATATACTGTATTTTTGATTTCTCACAACATTTTTTGGAAATTTTTTAGCATTCTAAAAAAAGAAAGCTATAAATTATCCAAAATCAAAATTATTGGTCATTAAAAATGCAGTTATATAAAAACATTCAAAATATATAAAGAAGCTTTAAATTAAGCCTTTTTGCATCATTGAAATATAAGAAATTGGCAGAAAAAGAATGCTACATGAATGCCATTTTGGGAAGTATCCAGTGGTGCTAAGAAACGAATTAGATTTTTGCAAATTACACTGATCCACTCTAGAAGGTGTTTCTTCACTTACAAATGTCTCAATTGAACATAACCTTTGGCTGGTAGAGCTTGTCACCGACATAGCTAGAAGAGGTTTGTGAATGTGAACCCCTACATCAGCAACCCCCCACCAGTTAAAGGCATTTGACATGCATAAGTACAGCAAATCCAAAAATAACTTAAGCCAATTTGATCAGAGCATGTGCACAAGAAAGGTGTTGAGAATGGCTCACATGAAACCACTGATCAATCAGGAGAGCCCTAGCCCATTTTGGGTCAAATGCATATTGCCTAAAAACTCTGCTCTCTTTAAATCTCACGTACCTGCCTCCCAACAAAGACTTTTCGGGGCTGGTAATCTGGTATTCTCCCAAACGTTTTAGCAGCAGATTCACAAAATCTACAAATTAAAATATTGGGTTATAAAAAAATCATATAATGCTTCATAAAGAGCCAACATTCTAGAGGTTACCCAAACAAAAATGTTTCCAGATCATACTTAGTTTGATAATGTGCACATGTTGCTTTTTAACTCTCTCTCCCATGACTGTGTTGGTTTGTACATGTTTGTGCACTACTTGTTTTGTCTGTGCACTATGGTATTTTTGATCAGAGGCGGATCCAGCGGAAAATCTGAGGGGTGCTTAAGGGCGTTGCTTCAATACCCATAATAATGCCACACCCCACTTTTACTTACGGTTAAATGAAGGCAACATCCATCTTGATAAATTAATCTTTTTTAAATTCAGGTATTAAAGCATAACTATATAGAAAATTATCTCTTATGTTAAAAGCCTATATGCTAGCAATGCTAGTTAAAAATAACACTGCTACCTTCGCAGTTTGTACATCACATTAATCAATGAATGACATTTTAGGCCGTTAGTCAATATTTGATTGCTCTGCAATATTCAGACGCTGGTTCATTTTTGTAAAAAGGCAGCTAAAATGTTTCAAACAAAAAAAAGCAAAATGAATCCATCACTATACGAAAATTGAGTTAAATATCATTGAGTCACGACAAAATGGATTGGGTATACCCTAAGTGCCAAAATCCGCTGAGTCATGGTTTTCATGACTGCGAATTGCGATGCTTTTGGTTGACCTTGAACTGGTCACATGAACTCACCTCGTACTGATTGACAAAACAATTTCCATCAATAGCAAGTTGTCAACAACGGATGCAAGTATCACATGAAACAGCAGCGATCACGCCGAATCCAAATGACCCCCTATAGAGAAGGCCTATTTACCATGACTTGATGTCTTTAAATCAATACTTGTAAGAATTTGTTGATAAAAATTGATTGTTTTACTAAGTACCTTGTGTTGAAGTAGTACGTTTTTGGGGTCATCTGCATTTGGCAAGAAATGGGTATCGAATTCATTCTGGTAGTAATTACCATACCACCCCAACAACCAAAAATCTTTGGCACCACTTTTTTGGGGGTGCGCATTTTTCTCTGTAAAATTCGATATTTTTGTCGAATTAATCCAAGAAATATTCTGTTAAAACGTTTTGCATTTAAAGCCTGGTAACAGAAACTACCAACCAGAAAGGCCGAAGGTCAGAACTTCCACGGGACAGTACTTGAACCTTTGGCATTTACAGTTCAGCGAACTCATCGATCTGTGTATTCCCACAAGTCACGACACCACCATCCACCACGCTCTTATCAAAAACTTCTCTCGCGATTGACTGAATACTCAAAAGCTCGTTTTCCGTTTCAATTTCTTCAGTCGACTGGCAACCAATTACCGAGAACACCTGCAACAGCAATGACTTTATGTCCGCCATTGCTGCTACACGAACAGGTTTAGTCGTTTCAGTGACGGTATGCACCAGTGTATATTAAATGATTGATAGGGGTGCTCAGATGAGCCGAAATTTGGCAAACGGATTGGTTGAAGCCTTGTTTTGATTGATAGGGGTGCTCGACATTGCGGAAAAACATATCAGAGCGTGATGTGATTGGCTCAGTTGCAACTTTAACCTTAGAGGTTGATTGATAGGGGTGCTCAAGCACCCGTAGAATTGAAGTAGCTCATTGGCAGAGAGTGTGGTTTGATGGACAAGTAAAAAAATTGGTTCCAGGGCAGCTCAACATGAAATTTCTAGCTATTTATAGTTTACAGCAGATACAGGTTATGCTAACTAACGCATGACCGTATGTCATCAGTTTACTGGAAAATGCATTTACATCATCTAAAAGGATTCAAGACGTTTTTCAGAGATTAGAGAAAATGCATTGAATGTTATATCTCCGAAAATTCCGACCGGTGCTCAAGCACCCATAGCACCCCCCTAGATCCGCCTCTGTTTTTGATATAGTCTTTTCAATATGTCTTTGAAAAAAGCCCCCCTCCCCCTCCCTCCTCTACAACCCCTCATGATTTCTCCATAGTAATGGAGTAGCAGGTTTCAGCCTTCACTGCTTGGTCAACTACTAGAAAAAGCCAATGGATATAGAATACGCTGACACTGTTTTCAGACGTGTCTCCCAAAATCATAACAAGCTTGTCAAATTCCAACGTAACTAGCACATTATCATAATGGTAGGGTTGCACATTACATCTAACTCTTCCATAGCAGAATCAAGCAGAATATTTTCAAAGATATTTTATGTTTGTGAATATTTTTAATGGGCTATATACTTGCCTATAACAACAATCTTTCCAGCCACAACAAAGATACCACCAACATTGGCTGCAAAACCCATTTCCTTTTCTCCTGTTCTTGTCATTTCCGTTGGATCCATAGCTTTGCCTGTTTCCTTCAGAAAGATAATCTTCATCGTCGAAATTCCCGTTTGGGGGTATTAAAGGTGCATCAGCATCACTCATTTCTATATAATTAGCGCTCTCACGATCTGTTCCTGGGCTGTGAGGTACGTTCTCAGATGTCGGCGTCCTAACACTAAAACGAAACTTTGAAGTATTTTCACTCGCTGCACTCCCTGGAAATTGCGGCAACTTGATATAGCCTTTGCTCATCCCCAGCAGTTGCAGTTCTATCTAATTCTATCCGGCTACTGCTACTGCTTCTGCAGCGAAACTTTCGTTACAAATATTTTTGCCACGATTTCTTCGAATTTTGATTCCCGTATGAAAGGCGCTGGCCGATTCGGTAAATTTAGCACCTAGCAAAACATCATTTTCATCCAGAGCTTTATGGAAACTAACAGATCTGAACAATCAAATCATTCTTATTCGGAAAATGACCAATCCTGAGCTTCAAATATGACAATTATATTTTCTTGTCGCAGAGGTCTGAACAAACTACTGTCGCCATCTTGAATTTGTAGACTCCCCTGTTGCAGATGTCATTCGAGTCTCCTCCGCAGAGTTTTATCAAATTTGACAAAGGAAATCAAACACTCCTTTGCCAAGTCAAGAAATATTGTGTATCAGTTGTTATTTTTCAGCATTCTTTTACTTCAAGGCTTTTGGCTAAGTTCCCAGAAGACAAGAAGATATTCCAAGGAAAGGATTATTAGGAGCGAATACAGAATTCATCCTAAGGGTACAATCTTCATCGAAAGTTGCGCTATTGAAAACAGGGGCGAAACTACCGGGGGGGTGTGGGGGGGTGTGACACCCCCCCAATCCAAAAAATAGTCGATTTCGCAGGGCAATCGAAGATTTCGCAGGGCGCCAAGAAGAGCTTTGTTGCCACGCAGAAATGCCACCTCTGAAGTTCGTAAAGGGCCGTTTACGAATTTTGAAATGGAAATATTATATTTGTTATAAACCTCCCTTCCTGACATTGCATTTTTAGAGAGCGGAAAAGGTATGTCAGGAAGAGCTCCGTTATTAGCAAAGCGAAAGCATTCCTTACCGAAAATCATAGCCAATGGATGCAATGATTGATGCATATGTTTATGAGGGCAAGATTGAGTCCATATAAATTAATTTAAGTTGTAAATTATTTTCATGACAAGCACGGCGTCACTGGGGAGGAATAAGGGGCTGAAGTCCCTCACTTTGGTCAAGATAGGAATTTTTTTATCATTTTTTCTATTACTTTTTAACAGTGCATGAACTAAAAAACATAATAAATCGTTAAGATACCGATTTTGTTTCATCTAATTGCTAACTTTTTCACGTAAATTTTTATTATTTTTCTTTTATTTGCATTAATTCAGTAAATCATTTTCTGTATCATTGCAATGGTTTAATTTTGGATGTGTAAACATGGCCTTCTTGACACAAGAAACTGCACATTTCTGTTCAGGAAAAAAATTCCCCAATCAAAACAACATCTTCCTCTGTCATTCACAACTACGTGCAATTTGAAACGAAAGGTTGCCGTTTCTTTCCTTCCCCAACGTCTAACACTAGAGTTTTAGCATGACATCCCCCTTCCTATTTTTCCAAATAAACAAAAATATTTTCAATAAACAATCAGTTCTTTTAGCACAATAGTATTTTGCTAAATTTTTGTCTGAAAGATGCTTTTTAGCCCTTTTACAAGGTATAATTTCAAAAAATTTCTTCACGTCGGACCCAACCATGGTGGGTCCTACTACCTCACTAAACTCGACTTTTAGCCCCACTGGGCTAAATTTCGTTGCGCTGTCTACATCATGTACGCCCCCCCCCAATTAGCTGTTTATTAGCTTAATTTTGCAAACCAACATTAAATGAAGTGAATATAAAAAAACAATTTACGCTCTCGTAGAAAAATAGAAATGTCATAGGCAATGAAGTTCAAAGTTTGTTTCTATTGCTTAGAAGTTTGTCCTTGGTAAAGACCAGTGTACACTGGTAAAGCTTTCACTAGTAACCTATAGACAAACCGTTGCTACTAGGTCTGCAGGGCACCACTCAGTTTTGCAGGGCAGAAACCCTTTTCACCCCCCCAAAACTATTGGCCAAGTTACGCCCCTGATTGAAAACTATTAACAGATAATGTAAAGTCCCTCGATATGCAAAGCTTTTGGCATCCATGCTCCCAAATTTCTATCTTTTGTTTTGGGCAGAGATAAAGGCGCCATAAATAAATATATGCAAGAAATGAAAATGTGTTACGAAAATTTGTTCTGTGAGACCGCCAATTTGTAATAAATTGAACTGATATTGCACATTTTGAGATATTCACAATGTTCTTTCAAGTTATCTTGTCAAAAACGAGAAGTGCTAAAACTAGATTTTGGTAATCACCTAGGAACTCTATTCTCCACATGTGCAGTGTGAACAATACATGTGACTGCTTTGTATTGGAAAGATGTGTGGCCAAACTTGAAATTCAGAGGTTAAATTTATAGTTGTAAACTAGATAAGCTGTATCGTGAGTTTCAAGCTAGAGTTGTAGCAAGTTATTGATTCGCATGCATGTTTATTGATTCATTCTTTTATCAAGGTTGTACAGGATTCATTAAAACACAAAATTGGTATTAATCAGTTCCTCTTTCTGTACCCAGGGTACCAGAGCCTCTTCCTCCCCATGCATACCAACACTCCCGCATACTGCGGGGGTCTCCCGATACTTTCCCGATATGACGAAGGACTCCGTAACTGGAACCAGGCAGTTTCCAAACCTATCAAAATGTTCTAGGTTTTTACTACTTATTCCTGACAGTAATTTCTTTTATGAAGGGGTTTTCAGTACTGTAAGGAAGATTTTTACTGATTCAAGATACAATTTAGGAAAAGATGTCAAGAGAAGTCATGCTCATTTATGTCATTGTCTGTGAAAACAAGATAGGCATCAGAAACAACCTTTGCTTGTTTGTCCTTGACATCAGGTTTGCTTGTTACCAAAATAAACATTTTTAGACAAGATAAAATAGCTTGCTATCAATTAGAACCATCAAAAGAACTCATAAAAAACTCAAAGACTGTTACTTGCCAGGACCTTGCTTTTCGTAACAAATAAGCTATCAGTTGGTTACTGAGTTTTGTATTTCTATATTTCAAACATTTTTTGTTTCCTTGCTGACAATGGTGTGGTTTACGATTGATTTATATACAGTATATATACTATAACTCCTCAAATATGCCCCCTCCTTCCTCCCCCTCAAATAGGCTGCCACTGTATCAGGAGAGTTTTAAAAATTGCCTGGCTTAAAAAAGTGCTCACTCTTAACTAAGCGCCCACTGTCTCCACCTTAAGAAACATGCCCTAACTCAAAATATTTGCCAAAACAAGTTTCTTCTTTGAATATGCTCGCGACAGACCCCCTACCCAAAATTTTGCCAAGAACTTTCCCTCCCCCTTTCATGCAAAGAAGACCCCCTTAAAGCTTTATGAGGCCCTAAGTAATAAGGACGCGATTCCCCAAAACGAGGCAAAAAGCTGCTGATAGTCTTCAGAGTCTATCCACGCCCATAACAACCTGAATTTTGACCACGCCCTAAATGAAAAGGTTTTAAATGAAAATGGATCAATTCCAATGAAACATTTCCTACTATTCACTACCAAAAACGTTTTATCCAAGTTAACAAGTGAAGTATAGAAAAATAGAGTCCCTGGTAACCAATTGGCAAACCTATGCTGCAAACCCTAAATAATTGGCATTTTTGAAGATATATTTCCCCTTTTTGAATGAATGTAGGCCAAAGTTAATGAATAAAAAATTCAACATTTGTTTTGAAAATTAAATCATTGGTTGACATGATACTGGCAATGAGAAAACCAATAATCCTGTTTTTACGATGCCTTGTTCAAACTCTAGCCTTTGTTCAGCTCAATAGCGCAATGAATGAATGAATGAATGAATGAATGAATGAATGAATGAATGAATGAATGAATGAATGAATGAATGGATGAATGAATGAATGAATGAATGAATGAATGATTGAATGAATGAATGAATGAATGAATGAATGAATGAATGAATGAATGAATGAATGAATGAATGAATGAATGAATGAATGAATGAATGAATGAATGAATGAATGAATGAATGAATGAATGAATGAGTGAATGAAATTATTTCTAGGTATCGTAACCACCGACTTCTTCAACATCTACAGCCATTGAGATATGACACTGTGAATTGGAAACAGCAAGGTTCTTATCAAATTTTATTTTGTAATTATCTTGTCAACAATTAGATAAAAACAAACCCCTTTACATTCCTGACCCATGATAGGGTATTGAATTGCCTACTATCAACATTAATCGTTACATGTAGTTCTACTACAGTCGTGCAGATTCTTCCTCTGTATGCGGTTGGCGCTTCCTCCGCTTACGGTTTCGCCTCTCTCTTTATCCGATTACCCGATTCGCTTGCGGTTGCGATTTTTTGCGGTTGCGATTTTTTCCGAATAGGTTGTGTCTGGAATTTGTGCGTCCCCGTCTTATAAGTTTGGTAATCTGCATTGTTTGCTATAGCAGTTTATAATAAAAGCTGTAACCAAGCACAAAACACACGTAGCTCAGCGGAAACACAAAGCGGCTAATGTAATCGAGGGGATGGGCCTTCTTCGAATCCTCCGGAGACAGGTCATATTTTTCCTGGAATTGCTTCATGGCTAAAATTGTGGAATTCTTCCGGTTTCTTGCTTGAGTTCCATTGCCATTTCTGGCATTATTTGCAAATGTATGGTCTGTTAAGCTTGTAAAGCTTCTTTCCTTGGACAATCCATTAACACTGGATGATTTCCGAGAAATTCCGGCAAAGCTGTTTGTTCTGGAGCGTTCTTTTGCATTTGCCATACCACCATTTTCGCCCTTTTCAAGCTCGCAGAGTTCGTTGATTTGACCCAAGGACGAATCTCGATCTTGGCTCTTTTTCTAGAAGTACAATAACTGTATGTAGAAGAGCGCAACCAAGTAAAGCCTTACTGGATCAATAATCAGTTTAGCAAAATACCGTTCTATCTTGTGCTTTTATTTATTTATATTTTGTGGAAAGGGCCTGCTCATTATACAACTACATCGACGATCTTTTTAAAAAGACATTTCAATAAATATGTAATTTTCGTTGAAAAGAAAACATGACAGAGAGCAAAATTACAATTGATAACTATTTGATTCATATTAACTTATGATTAACATCAATAGTTTTTATTCAAATTTGAAAAAATTAGATTTTGTTTTGCAAAAGGGGGTGAAAAGCTTTTTAAAGGCCTTCCTGTACATTGGGAAAGGCAAAAATGACAATATAATCTGAAGATAGGTTATAGATTAAACAATTTTCCCCGAAAGAGTTAATTTTTTCTTACCTAACGCAAGCTGAATGTTTGTGCAGAAAGTTTTCATGAGTTTATTTAAGCTGAAAGAATTTGTAGTTTTAGGCTTGTTCAGTGACGTACCCAAGTGGGGGGGGAGGGAATGGGGGGGTCCGGACCCCCCTACTTTTCTAAAATATGGTCCTCGAGATTTGTCCAAAAACGATGTAAAACTCAATTGGGGGGGGGGTAGTATACTGTATGCTTGTGTCAATAGCAATTGTAAAATGCTTTGCTATTTACCGTAGCTAACATGAATAAAAAAATGGGGGGAAATTTTGCAAAAAGGGCGTTTCCCCACATTTGCAAGTGTTTGAAGGGCGTGGTCCCAAAAAATTCTGGAGGCTACGCCCAAGACACCCCCCCCCCCCACTGATACAGACCTGGGTACGCCACTGGGCTTGTCCGAACGCGTAAGATCTGTATGCGATCGATCACCTGGAATTGTCAAATTTAGTACAGTTCACTTAAGTATTCTTAAGGATAATAAAGGCGTAAATGTTATTTAAAGCCTTACTGCGTAGACTAAAAGAAGACCAACCTTTGTTTTGAATTTCTTACAGCAGCTGAGGTTGATGTCAAACCAAGAATGAAGAACCAGGCAATACTGCAGCAAATTTAATAACACAAATACGACGTTGCCCAGCAAAAACTGGTCCAAGGCCTTGACGTATGAAACACGCCCAAGATTACTGCTTGCTGCAGACATGACGAAAAGCGTCGATAAGAAGCTGGTAACACAAACAGTGACGCGAGCAGGATAGGCCCACGGAGGAATCCAAAAATTGACCCAAGTCATTACAACGAGGATTGCCCCTGGGAGGAATGTGTTCCAGAAGTAGAACCCATTGCGGCGTACCAGATGGAAATTCACTTTCAGGCTTGAAAATGCACCTGTGAAGGAGAAGAATAGTTTGTCTATGTTATCAGACTAAAGGCTTGTTTATAAAAGTTACGAAAAATTCTATGAATTTAGTATAATATTGCGGCTCGAAATCCTGCTACTGACGTTCTTAGCTTGCATGTTGGGGGCAAATTATGTACAGTATATTCATTTTGATTTCAAAAGTAAGAAATTAGTCTTCAAGTAACTTGGGCAGTCTAGTACAACAAAGTATTACGTAAATATATTGAAACTGTCAAGAAGGAATTCTTCCCAACAATTCTTCCCAGGTTTAGAAACTTCCAACTCACAGTCACTTCTTAATCACGGACACACTCAACTAACGGAGACCTTAAGATGACGGTCATCTTTAAGTCAAGACGCCTTAGATTATGGACCCCTTGAAATCACAACACCTTGAAATTAGGAAAATAATTCACGGACACTTTCCAATAACACATGTAAATAGCGGTCACCTCCAAATAACGGACACTTGAAAATCATGGACACACCAATATTACGGACATCTTTAAAAAGCTATCCTAAAGTTGTGGTTCTTTTCACCTTTTAACCAAAGTCGTGCGACTTATAGATAACGGACACCTTGTTTCAATAGGCCTACACTGCCATAGCAACAAGGGTCAATCGAAGACAAAACTGCTCAAGGGCAGACAGGGGGTCCTTGAAACACATATCATCGTTTTAGAATTTCTTCAGGTTGATACAGGTAGGGTTTTGTTAAAGTATGGTTAAGAAAAACAGAGAGAAATAAAAAAATACAAAAAGGCTGTAGTGGATACGTAGCCGAAACACATTTTTACCTTTGCTGTTATTACTGATTTCTTTTTGCACTGATGAAACGTCGACAAGTGTAAAGACGTTCCCTTCAGAGGCAATCCATTCAACGCCTTTTGTCTTGCGTAACTTTCCGACTGACTCGTACCAAGAATAAAAAACATCTTCAGTTGTGTAGGAATCTGCAATTAAAATAAAAATGATAAATTCATTCATTAGGAAACGTACAGTTTCAAAATGCATATCTTTGGCCTTCGAGATTTTTTTAGGTTTTAAACTAGAAACAGTAAATTTAAATTTCCAAGTGAAACCAAACTCTTTGATATTTATGGGAACGCATGATGAAATAGTGTATTTTAAAGAAAAAGAAATTTATTTAAGAAGATACTTTGAAAATGGAAGAAAATTAAAGATTATATTGCATTCTTCTATCGAACAACTACAACTTCTTCCCCATAAATTTGCTCTCAACCATCCAATCCTTTTTAAAATTTTTCAAACTCTTTTGCTTACTGAAAAATTATGAAGTGATACCTTTGAGTACAAGAACTCACAATATTATCATTCTCGTGTTAATTTATAAGTTTTTTCGTAGTAAATTCTGCAAAATTTGTAAAAGTCAGTAATTTGTAAATATAGATTGATGACGTCACAAGCACTCACAACTTTCCACGACCAGAGGACAGGTCTGTTTATCAAATGGATATAAAGAAAAGTCCATTGGACACGTGGCCACAAGCATTATCCTGAAACAACAATTCCCTCGATTACTAAAATTAATTTTTATATCAAATGTTTATTCAATCTATTCAGAGATAAAAGTGTTTTTCTCAAAGGAAGGGGCAAAAACTTGGCTCAGTTGCATGAAAACGTCATCTATTAACAGTAAATTTCAGTTGTGCGAGAAGAAAGTTTTGTCAACCGTTACCAATTTATATTTTGAGAAGATTTATTTGGTGTTTACCGAAGGAAGAAACATTCTCATATAAAGAAAAGAAAGAAAGAGAGATTGCAATTTTTTTCTAAGACACTGTGAGCATCCAAAGACATTTTCGTAGAAGAGAAATCTCAGGTAAATCTGAAAGCTTATCAATCCTTGAAAAATGATTTTATTTAAAATGCTCCAGAATTCTATCAAGCATTGTACTCGCTAGATTCACGCCACGCAATATGGTAAGGATTGCCTTTAAAGATATTTTGGCTAAAGTACCTTGAGCTGTAGTATATGTCTCCATTTGGCTTTACAAGAACCCTCATGGCCTCTTTCGTCACATATTGGAACTTTGGCTCCTTTGCATTCACGAAGTAGGTATCTGGGATCCAAAACAAGGACGCTGGGTTTAGAGCCATTGTCACGGTTCGGTTTACAGCCCCAGCCAAGGAAGGATCGTTCCACCATTGACGAAAGAATATATCGAGAGTGTATTCCTAGAAAAAGAACCAGATACCGGAATAAGTTAATTTCTCTTTGTTTGAAAACAAAGTATTGATGAATGGTAAGAAAACATTTAGAAATCCAGGTTTTTATAAAAGTCATTCTTTTCTCGTACCACATGGCTTTTATCGATGAATATTTGCGCCTCTCATTTTCTGCGAAAAATGCATTTTCTAACTAAAGAAGCAGCAATGATCCATTGATTCAAAGCCAATGAAAAAAGAATTCGTTCACTACAATGGAAGGAAGAAATTGATTGCATGTACCAAGGTAAACGGATACTGAACATGGCAATCAACGCACCAACAAACTTGCTTCTATTTACTAATTAATCTAGTGTAACTAGCTATACGGTAGTCTTTGTGTCGGAATTCAGGTGGCAAATTTTGTTATAAAAATTTTCCATCATATATACTTCATTGAACTGCGAGAAAATTTTGCAAAGTTTCTTACTTTGTATTGCTCATTCTTCCCTTAGAAACAGGTTGTACACTTTACCCTTCCAACTTTCCCCAGCCCTTCGTTCCCGAAGCCACGCTGAACCATGTTATTCCTACCCACTCAATACCTCAATACAATCTACCAGCCCTGCCAATTTCCTTCCACTTTTCTACACAAAGCCATTTCCAGATCAGGCACCCTTCTTCTTCCCTTTCCCAGCCCATTTGGCCCTTCCTTCCCAAAGCCACACCCAACAGCGCGCACTCTAACTTTATTCCCTTAGTACAGGTTATACACCTTACCCTTCCAACTTTTCCAAGCCCTTCGTTCCTAGAGCCAAGCCCAACCTTGTTTATCCCTACCCACTCAATTGAGGTCCCACAGTACAAAAGGCACACACAACCACCCCCCATCTGGGTTTGAAGCTGTAACCAGGTGGTAGTGACTACTCCTTACCTCCTTTTTTTCATTTTTTCAGTTTGCATGTTACACTTTACTTCACACATTGTTATTTTTAGTTTTTACTTTCTATGCCTATAAAAACAAACAACAACAACTTCCCCGAGAGAAGTCGTAGTCAGGGCGTCGAATAGGAAGCAAACCAAAGAGATCATAAGTATTGCCATCCCCTTTGAAATACCTCCCGTCCCTAACTGATACTGCAGTATGTAACTTTGCTGATGATACTACGATTTTTGCAGCTGACTGTCAATTAGATAAAGTTTTAGAACGGCTAGAAACTGATGCTCTTATTTTATCAAAATGGTTTCCAGAAAACTTTATGAAATTGAATGCAGGGAAATGTCATCTTCTTACTTTTGGAACAAATCAAGATGACTTTAAGATCAAAATTGGTGAGGCCATTGTTCAAGAAAGCTCTGAAGAAAAATTGCTAGGGGTGATAATAGATAAAAATCTTAATTTCAAAAGTCACGTCTCAAATTTATGCAAAAGAGCCAGCCAAAAACTGCATGCTCTTGCTAGAGTTTCGCCATTTATGGGTTCTGATAAACTGCGTCTCCTAATGAACAGCATCATAAAAGCTCAGTTCAGTTACTGCCCCCTAATTTGGATGTTCCATGAAAGATGTCTGAATGCTAAAGTAAATAAAATCCACGAAAGAGCACTCAGAGTTGTTTATAAAGACAGTCATGCTGACTACGAAGCATTGCTGACTTTGGATAATGCAGTATCAATTCACCAACGCAATCTACAGTACTTGATGATAGAAATATACAAAACCAAACATAACCTGAACCCTAGTTTCATGAGTGAGATTTTTGAAACAAGAAATGTACATTATGATTTGCGAACTAAAAATGATCTTTGCATTCCAAAAGCCAGGACAACTTATGGTATAGAAACTGTGAGATATTTAGGTCAAAAACTGTGGCAAACACTACCTCACAGTATAAGAGAGTCCCAATCATTGGCAACATTTAAAAAAGAATTAAGAGCACACCCTATAGAATGCGACTGTAGATTGTGTAAAAAAATTTATTGCTGGGTTAGGTTTTATTTAGAACATTATACCTTAAACCTTTTTAATATTGTATCATATATTTTTATTTCATACTAACTCTTTATAGATAGTTGGCCTTAATTAGCTTCTTTATAGCTATCAGTCGTTCATTTAGTACGCCAACTTTAAACAAATTATTTATTATTATTATTATTATATATATTGGGGCAGACTTTCATAATGCAGGCTGGGGCATTATAATGGCCTTTAAATCAGTAAGGAATTCGAAACTTAAATCATCAGTAAAGGAATCTAATTTATAAGATTTAACAAATCCAATGTTGACTTTACCTGCTTCGATTCGTCAATCGGACCAAATGTGACAATCTTCATCTCAACTTGAACTTTTGTTGGAGGACCTAAGATTTAATTTGCAATTATGTGAAATGAATATTAAATCAGATCAGGTCTGGTGTAATTTGCACCAACAAAGAGTCAATCACAACTTTTCGACCTTAAAAAGAACTGAATACAAGATTTAAGATATTTAAGATTTATACTTCATAAGTAACATAAGGACTACCAAACTTTACTTAAAATGTGTTTGGACTCGTCGGTTTGAAATATTTGGGTACCAATTATTAAAACATTTAACTATTTTGAAATTTGTTCAGAGACATTTTGTGGTTTTTAACAAAGTTGATTAATTTCATGTTGTCCATGAAGCTCTATAAGTAGATTTTCATGATGGCATACTTAAAACTATAGATCAAAAGGGTTGGAAAAACAAACTATTTCAGACCAATAAGGAAGCAAGGAATAATTATGTACTCACCAAAAGTATTTGGTCGAATTTTTCGATCGTAATTTTTGATTATGTTATTCAATGTAGCTATCGAGAACGAGGATTCTACAAAACAATACTATAATTTCACATGCCAATCATGATGATATTATTTCACGAAACAACTGAGTTCTTGAAATTCCATTGCTTCTTAACTTTTCTGCATCGATTACTGGAGTTTCTTAATTCTTACAGATTGCCAAGTACTCATTCTAAAAGCAAGTTTTTTTATAAAAAGATGAATATAAGATGCTAGCTTTTAATTTTCCCAACGGTGGCTCAAAACATGAAAAGAAAATATTATGATAAAAAAGTCATGTCATTTTCAAAATGTTAAAAATTCCAATTTTAGTATAACTGTACCAAAAAAGTTCAAAGCATCATATTTGAAGTGTAGTTTCTTAAAAGGGGTAAATCAGTGTTAATTGCTATTCCATAAAAATATTTCTGCATTAAAAAGCAAACCAGGGTTGGCAGAACCCCTTCTGAGTTCAGGAGGCGGGTCGAGTCCCAAGTCTGCGAATGGTTTGCGCCTATTCTGTTTGTCTATACAGACCATTGAGGGTTTTGGTGGAATTTAATTCAACAAAATTTGAAACAGCAATATTATTTGGAATTCAAGTTTTTGATTATGACAATAAAAGGTTTTTAATAGTTCAAAAATGTAATTATTATTTCGACAGAATTGCACCTGTTAGTGGTTTTGCTCGGTTTTATTCCTTTTACATTAGCAATTGTTAATTATCTGCATTTAGAAAATTCTGAGTTTAGCTGCAAAAAAAACACTAAAGAGCCCTGTAGCTTTTATGTTTACATTAGCAACCTATCAACCAAATGTCAGAAATTCTGAAACACATAAAATATTTACGGATGTTTAAGCTATAAATCTGGCCCAGTTATCCTTATACAAGTATGGGGTTATATAGCAGCTTCGTAAGGTTTTTTAAACATATTCTATTGTCTTGTTATTGCAGGATATTCTGCTGTTTTATCAACACTGACCCCATGCTCAAAAGGTAACAATGAAAAAGGACATTAGAAACTAAATGCCACGTTTCCTACCTGAGGCATTCTCAAAAGCTGAACAATCCACACGAGCTTCTCTACAAGATAAAAAAGGTTTTTTGAGCTGCTACATGTTTTTGTGTAACCAGTATGACCCTTGCAGTTTAAGGAACAGTTATCTTAAACGCTTGTATCGAGTGTGAAACTCGGAGTTTTAACTTAAAGTGACCTGTTGTCTTCAACAAAGCAGGCACAGCTCTGCCTCTACAGCATCATGTACTATACGAGCAGTGATTTGTTTAAATCAGTCTTATGATCAGTCTTATGTAAATAACTCCATATGTGGCCTAAAGGCCTCTTTTCTTGCGTTGACAAATCATATTTAACAATTGGAGTAAAAAGTTGGGGAATTAGTTCATGGGGACTCCAAATTAAAAAGTTATGTTTTTTCTATAACTTATATCAAGCAATTATATAAAAACGTTCCTTTTTGTTTGTCAGAATTTTTTGATAAAAATCAGTTGCCAGGAAACGGTTGCCTTCTTTCTTAATCCAACATTTATATGTGTAAGAATTAAATGCAGATGCGGTTTTGTTTCTTTAAGTTTCGAAGAAGACTGGGATTCTCTAGAGTTCCAAACAGTCGTTTGATCCTTGTTGATATCAAGCATTCAATGGTTAATGCTGCTGCTAACTTTTCAGGTCTTAAGATGCATCAAACAATTCTTTAGAAGATAATTTGAGGATCTCTCGCATGAATAACAGGATACGGCTTTGGATTCAATAAAACTATTGCAAAAACCGTGAGTAAAAAAGCACGTTAAAGCTAATCCAGGATAGACGAAGCACAAGAAAAGTCAAATGAGCAAAAACAACAGTATCAACTGAAACAGGCCCTGGATAAAAAGCTTTGTAAACATTCCTTGTATTACAGGTGCTTTATCAAATATGGGTTCGAATTTAAAATAAAATCATATGCCAAGACATTAGGCCAGAGATTGCAATGAATTTGCTCAATGAAAGGACAAACAAATAGGGCCAACCTTTTAGGTGGACAGATTAAGCTACAATTTTTCTGCTTTTGTTAACGGGGAAAAATTTCATTGAAATGTCTTAATTGAAGATAAGAGAAATGCTATTTGGATAAATTGGTTTATTTTTGGTCTATAACCAATTTTAAAACATAGTTGCTCGTTTTTTCAAAAATCCATTACAATAATGGGGATGTGGCACAAAAAACGACGCTCGTCAGAGGCACTGGTAGATCCCAAGGAGGGCCTTCGTTATAGAGACATACGGAGAAGGGGGGAGGGGGGGGATAGGTTTGTCAGATGTTTTTGGGTCAAGCTTTTATCCAAAGTGAGGTCTTCTAGTGAAGCATTTGTACTGTTCCAAACTCTGTTCTCATGTGACTATGTCCCTGTGCGACTTGTTTGTTTTGATTTTAGGCTCTCCACATTCCAGCCAATGTTTTCACAAGATCACCAGGTACAGTAAAACCTGCATTTATGAACCTGTTTTATAGAAACCTGTAAGGTTAAAGACCACTTTAATAAGCACCTTGTTGGCCTTTAATGCTATAAAATGTTTCTCAAGCGTGGATATCAGTCATGCAGCACCAGTACAATAGTTATGAAAATGAGAAAACAAGGTTTCGATATCATATAAATCGATATACAATTCAAAATCATTAGTTTCTTTTATGCGGATTTCTTATGTATAGAAGTTTCTACACAAGACCTGCGTTACACCTCTGCCTATACGTAATCGCTCACTTTATAACAGCTTATTAGCAGTAATTTCCAGTTTCTCGTTTTGTCCAATCTTGCAATAACAGTGGATCTCTCGGTAACTGTTTTGAAATCCCACTGTTCTAACATGTATTTCTTTCCAAAGAATTCGTATTTTCTTCAACAAATTAACAATAGAGAAAGCTACTAACTCATAGTGAAATTCAGAGTCCAGGGCCAAGAAATAGTGGTCTCACGAATGCTGACCAACGATGAAGTTGTCAAGACATTGCTCCATTATTTTATGAAGAACGCTTTAATTGGCCTGGGTAGAATGGACTTCTCGACATTTCCTTCAGGATAATATGCGAGGATTGAACAGTATCTTAAGTCTTGATGCTCCCATAACTGATTTTGGGGCACAAAATAAAATGCCAATGACAATGGGGCACAAATTATTATGCCAACTACAATCTCCTTTCAATACAATGAGTGATAATTTGCAATTTACCTTAAGAGTAGCAGTAGAAGAGTAGTCTCTGCTATCAAGACAGCTCTCTTCAAATCTAAAAAATCAAGAAATACTCGCTTTGTATTTTTTGAAAATTTTCGAAATTCATTTCAATTAGAAGTAATTATTAAATCTCCAATATTTAGAAATGTATGATAAAATCAACATGACAAAATCAATAAAATAGGATTAGAAATAATTAAGCAAAAATTTTGTTTTCGTAAATAATGGCTAAATGAGGTTTACCACCTGTTAATAATATCCTAGCTCACAACGCAGGCAGCTAACGGCTATTGCAAATGAGCATATCAGCGAAAAAACTTGATTGATTGCTTTTGCCATTTGGTTTCTTATGTAGCCTCAGGCAATAAAGTAAAATATTCTGCAAAAATCTAGCAAAACGCTTCGTATCCAGAATTCTGAAGAGAATGCATTGCCCTGTTAACAGCAAATCAATAACTTCCTAGATCACACTTTCAAATTGATGCAGAAAGAGATTTTGGCAAAGCATAAGTTTTTACGATTATGTATGCGTTTCAAATCTAACCTCTTACATACTTTCAAATTTTGTAACTTAAGTTTATTTGTAACGTCATTTCACCGTAAAACTCTTGCAACGAATTCTGTATTTAAAAACCTGTTTATATACAATTGTTTAAGAATTCGGCAGCATTTTCAAAAGTCCAATTTTCAGAACACCAACCATGTTTCTTGATAAGGCACCAGGATTGTAGACCTATTTGGGCTACTGTATTACAAGCAAACCTTTTTTAAAGAAAATCGTTTATTGTTTTTATGGTAAAAGTTGACTCTAAGTTTGGTAGTTATTGTAAACACACGATGGTAATTGTCAGAAGATTGGGTAATCATCATAAAGAAAATGAAGCTTTGTAAAGATGAGGCAACATCGAATTTATAGAAGCTAAAGAAATGAATATAAAACACTTTTAATGTTGGTGCGCAATGAAAGTTGGGCCAATTATTTTTTTTAAGATGCGCAAAATAATTTTTTTTTACAAAATCAAGCAAATACTACCCATGTCGTTTATAAAGCATATGTTTTAAGGAAAAATGAATACATCATCATTTTTACAGCAATTCAAACAAATAAGCAAGCAAAAAATCCCCAACTAAGAATGTTAACAACCAAAAGCGTAATCAATTTGAACTTACCCATTTTATTTTCCTTCTCTATTTCCAAACGCTCCGAAATCCTTGCGAGAAACAAAAATTATAGTCTACAACAGATCAGCTTTCTGAAGACATTTTTAAACATTTTGCAACCAAAAATCAAGTTATTAGCAGCTACATTGCTACCATGAATGCAGCTAAGAGGTGACCAGTTTACAAAGATAAGCAATGATTTCCTCGTTTTCTGAATGCAAAGGCGACTGGCAAGTTGCTTACCAAACGGCAAACAGGTGGAACAGCTCTTTGAACGCTGCGCAGCCAGACTCCTTGTTGACAACGCTAAAGAAAGGTTGCCTATGTAAACAAAAGTTGTGAGGCGAATCCTTGATTTTAAAAGAACATTTTTGAATGACAGGTTATGTCATTATTCATTCATTTTCATTTCATAATTCCCTTCGACTTTAACAGATCGAAGAACACACAACTCGATGAATACACAACCCTTTAACATTTGTAAACACATTCACTACAACTAGAGTTGGGCCAGTTTCCTACGTCATTCTGGTTTGAGCTCTCGTGGCGTTGCCAACACAACTGGTTTCATTGACCACAAACACTGCAGCCCCATAACGCTACTCCACATGACAAGAAATACAACTCTATTTGTGTTTAAAGTGCCCTGCTGTACAATTTGATCTAACGATACAATCTCCAAAAACATCCTTTTAACTATTTTTATCTTTGTGTGGTTAGGAGATTACCTGCCGTTTTAGTCTGTTAGCTAAATGTCTCTCCTCTGCGATTCCTTTTTATATTCAACTGAGACGGCATTGCTGAGCCTAAAATTGTCTAAAAGTGTCCACCAAAGAACTTACAAGAAAATCAACAAATCAAGACATTAAATCTTCTTTAATATCTAATTATTTAACACGGTTTATTAATCTTCTAATTATCTTCAAACATGCATTTAGTGACCAATCCTTCTTTCTCGAGCTTTGGAACATAAGGTCACAATTCTTTTATCTCGTGGGCTTGCAATTTCCAATATTAGCCTATCATGCTCAAGGTTATTGCAATTTTATAAAAAGTAATAATCTCATAATGTCATAATATGGAGTAACAGAGTAGGCTTTACCAGAACAAGTTCTTTCTGGGAGAAACTTTCTAATAAGATTAAAATAGAAATTCAATAACTTCCTAGGGTAAGTTCAAATTGTTCGCTAATTTGAAAGAAAGAACACCTGTTGCAAGAGAAGCTTTGAAAACAGAATATTTCTCAAATCATTATTAAAATTCAATTGAAATATAATCGCTATCTTGACTACTTAGTAATGACATACTACTAATTGAATTATAATTCTTTTTCAATGGCAAAATTGTCGTTTTTAAATAGGCTCAGATCTGCAAACGAGGGATCATCTAAACATTGCACCCATCTAAATTGCGTCTAACGAGAAAACTAATTTGTCGGCTACCGTATTAGTATGATAGAATGACATTACAAGACTAGCAATCTTTGTTTGCTTATGAATTTATTTTTGAATGAGGTAACATGTTGAGTTGATTTGTGGCAAGGATAAAAAAAAGGTAGAGTTCAAATAAATATTTGAACAAAGATTATTTACATTGTTTAGACAAGATGCTGTTTACAAGAAGATTGAATTCAAACAAACTATTGAATTTATTTATACCATTCCGAACATTCCACTAGCGAAACATCTTAATGAAAAGCAATTTTAAGCTATATTTTAGAATCACATACTATTTCATGATGGATTTCATGGTTATTCCTAAGAGCATTATTCAAATATCAGCAAGCCTACCATTTTTTATAAAATACTCGTTCATGAAAATTTTGGAATAGTACGTTGGGGTTCCGATGATTCGCTATAAAACCGGTTCGATTTTTTCAAGATGTATTTAATTCGTATGAAGGCAAAGACGCTCTAAATTAAAACCATTTACTATCAGAGTATGCTAAATATTGCACAACTTCTAACAGAAAGGTTTTGGATAAGCAGCAAAATGCCATTTTTATGTAATTTAGAGTCAACGCCATTCAAAAGTGCATATTGCGAGGATTATTGAAAAATAAAAGTTGCATCTTTAAGAAGATTCATGGTATTTAATTCCAATCAAAACAAATGTGTTGGGAATCAAACTTTTGTTGTCAAAAGTAAAATACTACAAGTCTGATTTTCACGCAAATTTTTCTACGTACATCTCATGTTACCAAGTGAAATTTGACATGTTTTTGATAACTGTGTTTAGGCAATTTAGGCAGAAGATATGTTCGTTTTTGCCTTGTTGGCTCTCAATAGTTGATAAACGCGAATAACACGCAATAGAATGGACAAGCAACAAAAGCAAAAGACACCACCTTGTTTAGTTTTTACAAGAACAGGCTCTAAAATTGAAAATGAAATCAAATTTCAATGTTGGATATCATTACAAAACATCGTAAAAATAGCAGAACTGCAGATTCTGTTGCAAATTGCGTGTGACTTCAATGTCTGGTAAGATCAATTTTTATGTTGATGACAGGGCCGTAAATCTGTCATGTGAACAGGGGGGGTCAGCAGAGCAAATCAATTTAAAGTGTGCCGTGGTTCATGGCACCACCAAGCAATTTATGGTATGGGTTATGAAAACAGTTGAGGGGCGAATGACTTGAAAAACAAAAGTCAAGATTTTGGGATTTCTTAAGACTTAGTACATCTGACTGTGTGTGTATAGTTTGATAGATAAAAATTTTCAGAGACGGCCCACGAAATTGAACCTTGGGGGCTAGAATCATGTTTAGTGACGTAGGAGGACCCACCATGGTTGGGTCGACGCAAAAGAAAAATTTTGAAATTATACCTTCTAGAAAGGCTAAAAAAGCATTTCCCAGACTAAATTTAATAAAATACTAGATAACTCAGGATAGAAAATTCAACGTTTCTCAGTAGAACACAGATTATTGTTTATTGAGCAAAATTGTGTAGGGGAAGAGCTTTGCTTAAACTTTAGTGACAGACGTTGGGGAAAGTAGGGATGATGTTGCATTGATTGGTAGAATTTTACTTCCTGAACAGAAATGTGCGTCTTCCTTATTTTTGAGTGTTTTAAGTAGGCCATGTATACACGTCAAAAATGAATACATTCTAATGATACAGAAAGTGATTTACTAAATAAAAGCAAATAACAAACAAATAATAGAAATATGCGTAAATAAGTTGGTAGTAGGTCAAATAAAATATCAGTTTGCTTTCTTTTTATTTCATATTCTGTTTTCAAAAATAAAACGGTAAAAAACAGATAAAAACCCCTATGCTTACAAAAATAACGGCTATCAGCATAAGTCAACTTGCACTTGACACCATGACTTAGTAGCTGAGTTTTGCTGCAATAACAAAGAAAAACGTAGTTTGGCTCAAACTGCGTTAACCAGAGATTTGTTTCTTTCAGAGAAAATGTTGATAATTTATCAAAAAAATCATTTTGCTCCAGATTTTTGGGGGGGTCCAGTCCCCCCCGTCCCCCCCGGGATTTACGGCCCTGGTTGATGATACTACTGAGCTCTCTGCACGAAGACTATGTCTATGATATCCCGCAAGGCGGGTGTCTTAGTCCCCCATTATTCAATGTAAAGCAACTTCGGAAAACAGACAATAAATGGACAATAAAAGCCGGAAATGACTAAAGAAAACGTTCTTTACTTTTTGAATGATCATTTTTTCAGTGTAGCTTGTTAAGTTGCATAAAAATTTCATTTTCATAAAGCTTTTTTACGATTTTTTCTAGATTTTGGTGGAAAGAGGTTCTAGGAAGGGAGTCGTTATGTGAAGATAATATTCCATGTTTTGAATATTCCAACGCGCCAAAATAATGAATACATCATCAAGCATTCATCTTTCACTTGTTGAGTTCATTTAGACTAAAACCTCATATTCATCATCTCATTCCTGAATTTCCATTTCTAAAAGGCTTTTCTATAAGTGTAGCCATGGATGCCAAGTAGGACGGGGGTCCTTAAAAAAGGATATTGTATGGGATTTAGCCGTGTCAAAACATTAGAGAGAGGGGGGGGGGGGAGATAAAGGCTGAACACCGTTTAAATCGAGAACTTTGTTCTGGAGATAGCGAAAATTTTTGTATTAAATTTTTAATTTAAGTTTCAGATTAAAACCAGAATTTAAGTTTATACTTAAGTTTTCATGCGGCTAGCATTCTTGAGATTGATTTAATGGTTCCATAGAATTAAAGGGATTCAAATATGATTGAGGATTGAAGGTGAACATTTCACATAGAACGCCTTTTGCAGTCAAATATTTTATACGGGGTGGGAGCAGATGATCCATATATCGGAAAAATAAGGAAAAAAGACAGCACTTCGCAAAGCTGAAAATAATCTAGCACGCCATATCTAGCTTGGGCCTGAAACAGTAAAATAAGCAATCTTATGCTGGAAAGTCTAAAAAATTATACTTAAGAAAAAGGAACTTTCATTGCATTTCGCTGTGTTGATGTCGCCCCCAGCAATAAGACATGTTTCGCGTTTGCATTTTGTGATATAATAAGTCCTGATGTTTTCTAATGTTTTGAAAAGTTGCTTTTCGATCTTATGCGACCGCTTTTTTGTATATATTTCAAGATAAATTAGAATTCCAAGGGTGTATGATCTTGATGGAGCTTGCCCCAAAGGCATCCCCATTGCACAGTCTAGAATACCGTAGAATGACGAGCAAAGATGAATAGTTTTGAATACAATTAGGGTTAAGTTATCGTTAATTACACTTAATCTCACAATTCCATTAAAAAGTAGCCATCGTTATTAGTTCTGGTTATTCTTGAATTCAGGTGGTCTTTTTGCCACCAGTTAAAATTAAACTCATGGCTACCGAATTGATAATGTAGTCTCTTTCCCTTTACATGCTGGTATCGTACGATCTGCTGTAGAATCAGAGGCGTATCAAAGGCATTGACGGCATTCGGCCACAGAAAAGACAAAGCATAGAATCGGTTCAATCCTTCAAACAGATGAACGCCGATTGCCACAAGCAAACACCCACAAATCAATGCAAATGTCGCTAAAGCAAAGATTTATCGTAATTATTCAAATAAGCCCGGGGATGGGGGTAGGAAAAATTTGGCGCTTCAGAAGGGGGAGGGGGGGATCTTTCATAAATTGGTCTTCCTGAGAGGACTTTTTCAACACAGAATGTATTTTCAAATTTGATAAGAATTGTGTCCCAAAACCACCGGATGAAAATAAAACAGGATAAAGAAGCCAATAGATTAAATATTTGAAACTGCATGCATGCAGAAAAATTATAAAATGGCTTTGAAAAAGAAAGGTTTTGAGACATAGTAATAAAGCTTTTCTTCTGACACTCTCTAGAATCTAAAAAGCGAGAACATACTAAGTGAGCAAAGTATTGCGTTGAAAACTCTGTTTTAGGACCCCATTAGAAACATTTTCAATAAGCAAGCGGCACTTAGCTATTGGGCAACTTCACCAGTCATGTGCTCGCGTTTATGATTGGCCTATTTCGATCCACAACTGGGTTACATATTTCCTGGCGTAGAGTTTTCGATCTTTGTTCTGACATCTTATACTCTGATGAAGAGTGTCAGACGAAAAGCTTTAGTACTTTTTTAAAAGCCATTTTTAATTTATGTACCACAAGCGACACAAAAAGATTGTTCAAAAAATTGTAAAGAAGTTGTAATCAATAGACAGTTTTCATCTGACAGCACAATAGTCGAGCACAATGTACGAGAGGGGGTTTAATTGGGATAAGGGGTGGGTTAGAGAGACAGGCTTATCCGAGCGCGGGTTATGTGAAACTGTTACGGTATTAATTTAAGAGGTACCGAGATAAAGGAGTGCAGATAAAGTTTTGTGATGTCTGCATTCGGTCCTTGTCCATTCTCATTATCTCATCTCATTTGTTAAATTTCAAACCCCTTTACTTATAGAATGAAAATGGGTTGAAACAATTCCCCTTATGTATTTATGAAGTTTGTTGTGACGTCGGCATACGGTCCTTGGACACTTAAATCAAGGGCACATTTTGCTGAATTTTGCAACAAACATTTTTATTGTCCATAGCTATTCGCATCAGCTAGAAATCAAATCCTTTTACTTTAAAAGGGAATGGGGGTGAAACAAAGCATTTTATGAGCATTTGCATGGCAAGTGTTGTAGCGTACAGCGTAGCTGTAATAGTGTCCAGGATTGCACAGCTGCTCCGGGGCTCAGGCGAGACTCAAATAGCCATGCATGAAACTTTGAGAATGGTAACTCAAACGCAAAACATGTTTCTTATTCTAAAATATCTTATTCATATTCGAAATAATTGATTTGATAGCAAGATTTGCAAGGTAATTTATCAAGAAAGTGTCACCTGTGTGAGTCGACTTGGCCTTGGCGCTTTGCAGACGGATCAACTTGCGAACGAGCTTCAAACAACTCATGGACGTTCTAGAACGAAGATGACAATCTTGATGTATAAATCATGAAATACTGAAGGTCGGAGTGGTTGACTGAAACCTAGCCGTATTGAAATTGTAAACCGCATTTCGATCAATATGAATTGCTTCACTTCGAAAAGTGGCCGGGCAAACAGGTTGAATTTATAAAGTGATATAATCTGTTGCATGGTGGAAAATACAGAAATTTAGGAGTAACAAACAAACCTTTTAGATATGATTAAAAGCGAAACTCAAATATTTATGTGATAACGCCCCAGCAGTAACTGTGAAGTACAATTGGTTAAGACATAAAGTTGTTTCAGGAATATTTTTCCAACTCATCATCTTTGTTTGTCAATATCTATTCGATGAATTTTGAAAATTGTTTCTGTTGCACTTGAGAAATTGGTTGCAATGCTTCAGCTTTTCCTTTACAAAGCAAATCAATTCGTTCTCTTAGTCCAGATGACTTGTGTTTTATAGACAATTAGATTTGTTTTGAGGGGTGGGGTGGTATGGTTAAGGATGTAACTGCTAGGAAAATCAGTAAAATCGATTGCCTTGGAAGCCAAACTAAAGCACCTGCACTATAAAAGAAAACTGGCAACTCTGCCCTCTTTGCCCAAAGAAGAATTGACGAATTTGAAGCCGCTATTACAGCGTTGCTTTACCAAAACAACTCTTCTGTATTGATATAAATTTGATGACAGACTGAAAAATGCCATCAGTTCCACTAGTCATAGCTTCCTACAAATTTTGAAAATTAAGTATCAACACAAATTAAGAAGCAGGATTTCTGATATAGCGATTTTTATTATTCGAGGTAGCTATTGTCTAATGAAACAAAGCTCCTTCTTTTAAACAAATGTCTTGAATAAAGGCTTGAAGGTTGTAGAAACAAAAATGTGATGAGATGGGAAATGGCTATGGTATCAAACATTGAGTGAAGTTCACTCTGAAGCTCTATAAATTGCTATCATGATGTCCATTCTTTGTTGTACAATGTTTTGATAGAGAATAAAGCTTCTATTGGAAAAATGTTGCAAGATAACAGTTGAAAGAAGAGAAAAGTCAGCAAGAGGAAGTTCCTCTCAGAAGGAAAATGCCTTTTGTATATGTAACGATTGAATTTTTGAAAGGATTGGAATCAAGGAGCATTTCATTTACAAAATCGAAAGAAAAAACATTTGTAAGCAAGACCAAATCGAAATCAAAGCGACATCTTTCGGTCAATGAAATGGAAGTAAGGATACTTGGTTAAAAAGTCTTGCTGATATGAAAAAATTCCGTGTTCAATTCAGGTTGCAGGTATTGGAAATGAGGGACTGGTTATGTTCTAGATTCGATGGTTTGTAGAAGCTGAAGATCTGTAATTTACGTTCACTGTAGTCAGAGATCTTCGCGCCAGGAAGATACGGGACAGAACAAGTTTCATTAATATCTAATGACATTGTTTACTGCATCAGGATAGGCAAGTAAATAAAGTAAATTAAAGAAAGCGACGAAAAAACGTTCCTCTGTCATCTAAGACATTTATGATAAAGCAAGTCAATGAATAAAAACTGAACATAAACTTGACTTTTACCTGCGAAAAACAGCAGAAAGAAATGTCTGCAACGATATACGTTATCCCAATTGAACTGAACAATCACTCTAAAGGAATTTATAAAAAGCATGCTTCACCCGAGTCGGCATAGAAAGTTATCGATACACACTGCTAAATGCAGAGACTAAGAACTGAAATATTCGTAAACAAGACTCCAAAACATGGAAAACAGTCTGTGAAAATCTCCAAACAAAAGAATTAACGACAGAGGGCTGAAAGAAATTCTCGAAGTATGTTTATATGTTGTCACAACAAAGAAACGCTCAAGGCAAGGCAACAAAAATGAGTAATGAATTCGTGTTGCAGAACTTCAAAACAGATTTGGCCTAAGTGTTAGCTCTGTTGACATTACGTTTTCTGTTCCTTACATCTGGTTTGATAGCAAACTCAGCACGGTTTTTCTCTTGCAGTCAAATATTTTATACGGGGTGGGAGCAGATGATCCATATATTGGAAAAATAAGGAAAAAAGAATTCTGGCAGTATTCTGCGGCTATCTTTTTCTCACTAAGAATACCAGAAAAATTTAAGAAAATAAAGTTATTTAAGATAATAGTGGAAAACCCTCGTTTGGCATTTCCAGGAATTTTTAAACAGATTAAAGAAGTGAGGCTATGTCTGCTTTTAGTTAAACCATCATTAAAGCGAGACAATCGAGTCGACTCACACGTTTCCTGGATTACACACAAACATCATTAAACAAGAAAAATTTGACTGCAACTCTCAATTAAGTGCGAACATTGCTAATAAGATATATAGAATAATCTTTGGAATGCCAAATAGATTTTGAAAATCCAGATTTGTTTTCTATATTGCTGAGTAATCTTGTTGGCAAAAGTCGGTCATGGAAGCTAATTTGGAATTATCGTTATCCCTTTATTTCTTCAAGAGCTTTCTGTGAAGAATTTAAGATATTTAACCTTCAGATTATCATGAGCCGCTGACAGGTGCATTGAAGAAAAAATGCCAGGCCAAGGACAGAGCGTTGTGGAACTTCGCAATCTCCAACAAGTGGAAAATCTCCATTTATTTTATGACTAACATTCCATGATATTCTATGACCAGGCTTTCAACGAAGTATCGGGACAAAATGCACATCTTTAAATTCTTTTGAGGTACTTTAAACATTGTTCAACCCTTTTCGCAATCGGCTATGCATAAGAGAATTTTCGGAAAGAAAATGAAAAATCGTCTACTGTTCTCGGCGATTCTTAATTTCTTTTAGGCCAAGGGACTGTTATTCACTCACGATACTTTCATCAGAAAACCAAAATGTCTAAAAATGTTCTTCCACATTGCCAATGGTGCAAAAATGTGTTTCAAAAATTTCATTGGCTAACTACAAGTAAGTTTTAATGCAGCACATTTTACATATTTACCTTTGTCTGATGTTTGGTAAAAACGTGCAAAATAAGTTCAAATCTAGCTGCAAGGCAAAGTTTGTTGGCAAAATCTTGAAGGATAATTGGCCAATAAGGTATAGAGTATTTAAATCTTCTAGGCAATCAAAAGTAAGGCTACATTTCAAATATACTTTCTCTATCAACTTGACTCCGACTACCAGATACTGCGGAGCATCTGACGGTTTGTGGGATGGAGAACTTTTCAATGTGCTTAAACCAAGAGAAGATGGTTTTGTGCATGGTTTTAAGCACATTTGGGGAAATATTTGGATCTGAAGGCCCCATACAACTTCCCCGTTCACGGTTCCCATCGACTACTCCAAACCAATAATAAAAATGTAGTTTTGAAAGCTGATGCAGAGAAACATATCACAGCTTATTGTCGTGTCTTTAAACATTTATTATTATAGAACAATTAAGCAAACCTGAAAATTTTATATTCCCTAGGATAAGATTTCCAATTGATTCAGATGGACTAAACTGATTTTGATTTCAGATCTATAGATAAAAATTGTTATTTTTAATTCGAGTCTTTTGCTCAAAAACTTTTGGTGTCCTACTCGGCAACATGTGACAAAGCAAGGTCTCAAGATTGATTTCTGTCCTTGCTTGCAAATAATTTGACTCTGATTTAGAAAGCATAAGGAGCAACATGATATTGTCGGCCAGAAAGGTGGATTGTTATACAAAGCTAAAGGTTCCAAGCATCGTTTCCGCCACAGAGGACTAAAATGAATGACAAAACTCTTCATAAAAATTTACTCTTAAACGAGATAAACATCTACAGCAGTTGGTAGATTTTACAACTTCTAATTTTTCTTTAATTGAAAAAAAAATCAATTCTTCAATAAAGAAAAATAAACGAGAAACAATCCCGACGAGGATTTAGATGCATCCGTATTAGGATTGAAATGCAATCCGGATTAGGATTGAAACGCAATCCAGGTTAGCATTGAAATGCAATCCGGATTAAAATTCATGAATAAATAGTGACGACTTCGTGGCCTCCCCCTCGCACCATGATCACTCTTGGCAAACCTTCAGTCAATACGTCGATGAATTCCATATCTGTTCAGCCTCAGTTAAGAGAAAATGTCTGAATTTTTACCAGAAAATCTATGCATGCCAAAATAAAATGTAAATCCAAAAAAAAGGAAATCTAGGATCATTGTTTAGGCTTTAAAACTTAAAGTATTGTTATATGGATTACTTGTGACGTCCTTGATCAATTTTTGAAATAACCATTCGGTTTTTAAACATAAGGAAGAAGGTTCTAAGGAAGAATATAAGATACTTCAATCTAAATTCCGATTGAGAAGATACAATGATCTTGATTGCAGAGACTTCTGGGTGGCGTTGGAAGGTTGATCATGGTTAATCTTGAGTTGCAGGATTTCTCTTTGATAACCGAGTTAAGCCGGACTGCTGTGTGCATGCGTCGTACGTTGATGCCATCACTGTAAAGGCATTAAAAGGCATTTTAACAAACAAACGGTGTGGTAAAACAGCACTCTTTTTATAGAAGAAGGATAGTGGATGCACAAAATCGCAAGGCTGCTATACTTTTAATTAAGCAAGATCATTGAAAATTTACATTTCATTTAAGTACAAAAATCAAAGCAACTCAACATTCGATCTAATACTGGATTTGGATTAGGGAAATATACTTTAATTCTTTGTACCTCAAGTCATACACCAACCAGCCAATCATACTGACGAATTTTCACGAAATTTCGGAACACTGGATATTTTCAAAATCCTATCGTTACTTAACCTTTTTCCTTCGAGTACTTCAGTTTCTTAACTTTTTCTTATTATTTGATACCCGTTTCTTGCAAAAATAAGAGTAGCTCAGTATCACAAATGTAATCCTCAGCTTCCATGTGACCAAAATGCGGTTTTATGAACATTTAGCCAATCAAAATCAAGGCCTTTGTTCCTATTACCCATTGTGAATTGCTTCTGGGGCGACAATTGTCTATCATGCGAAGTTGCATAATCGGTCGAATTATAGATGTTACTTGCTATTGGTTTTGAGATTCTTCCACGTTTACGGACAAAACATGGCTGCACTAAGTGAATCTGGAAAAGTCTTACGGTGAAAAAACTTTTCTACTTGCTGCATGGCAATAAAAATACTAAAGTTCGAAATTTTCATAAAACTTTCAGTTTTTTGTTGAATTTCTAAGCTATTTCTGATTATGGCTGTGTATTGATGTTGTCAGCTAAGCCTGTTCATCTTTGAGATCAATATGTAAACAGTAAACAACATGAACCAGCTTACGGTTTTTGAGTGTTTTCCGACTTCAGTGTATTTTCACTCTCTTTGTGTGAAGGGGTCGAATCCCTCCGGACACTGTCCGGGCTTTTATTACCGCTTTCATCTTCTTCCGGTATTGGCTTCTCAATTGCTAAAATTGTCTCCGACCGGGGCTTGTGCGCAGCCTCTACAATTGTCTGGACCTGTGAAAAAACCACTTCATTTTGTGAAGCTTGCTGTTTTTGTAATATTTCTGCGACTTTACATACACATCGTACTTCATCAGCATTCAACAAGTCTTTCAGGATTCAATGTGAGTATAAAACGCTTTTAAATCCCAAAACGTGATCGAACATGCGAAATTCCGGACTGGAGTAAAAAACATAGGTCCACCGTCTATTGACAGACCTGTTCACATGAGCACATCGCAGATGAGACAAAAGTTTCAAAATTTGATATGCTTTTTGATTCTCAATTAGAAGTGGTGCAAAAAAACAGACAATCGAAGAAATATCTGTTATAAAAATAGCTTGACAAACCTCGACACGACTTTCTTTTCGCGATAATTTCATTTTCTCTAGAATGACTTTTCTTTGTTCCATCATTAAAGTTCTCTCATATGTATAGGCACAAATGTCTTGATCAAGCTACGAAAAAGAGTTCTTCTCTTTCTAATGAAATAATGAGACAAGGAAGAGTTCTTTAAAAAACAGTGTTAATTTAAAAATTGATTTGATCTTATAAAGTTGAAAATCAAACCATTAAATAAACCGTAATGCATAGAAGTTGTTAAACTTGAAATAACCTTTCCAAATTTGATGAAGCTGGAAATTTCTGAGGTCATTCTAACTTTTTTAAACGATTCTAATGTATGTATTTACATCCTAGTTAAGAGCACCAAAATTCTGTGCAAAAGGTTTTTCATTCTTGTAAGTTATGTGTTTCTTACACACGAAAAAATCACCTTATTCGGAATTTTGCCCGATGTGCCGAGTATATTATGCGAGTTGCATTGGAAAAAGACAAGTTTAGAAATTTCAGACTAAAATCTTTCTTCTTTACCATTTCAACAACCTCTATATCAGCTTCGATTCTGAGGTTGTAAAGAAATTTTGAAAGGTCTTTCCTCATTTGTATACTGTTATCCTCCATTTCTGTGCAAGCAGTAAAGGAAATATTTTTCAAATTATCAGGTTAAGTTCACCATAAGCTTTTATCAATTTTATAAAAACAATTTACGGCTGGCAAGACTGCAAAAAGGTGCAGGCCATTATGACTTTCAAATCTTTTCCCTACAGATTTCTGGCTTTGAATTCGCTTCCTTTCTGATCTGTCTCTTGAGAATTTCTGCGGCAATTTCCGAGAACTGAAAATATTTCTCTTTTATAATCAATAACGCCCAAGGAAAATGTTAGGATTTTAAGTTTGCACTGCAAGGATTAAAATCAACAAAGGATATACACCTTCAAAGTTTATGCCACAAATATTAACAAATGAAAGTAACTCTGGCTTGATCAAAACTAAGAGAATAGTTTAGTTTGTAAAATAGTTACAGTCTTTAGTTATTCATTTATTCCTTTTAGTTCTCAACTTCGAGTTTTCTTGATCTCTAAAGAGGATTTAAATCTCACTGAAACCTAAATCCTTCAAAGCCATTAGCTTATAAACTAGATCTAAAGCCGCTAACCGTGGGAAAACAACACGGTTGCTAGACTTCAACCACGTCCACCAAATCGAGCAATAAAACTTCTACTGTGAGGCAAGCTTGTCATAGTTGTCATATGTCTTAAATATTAGTGGGAATATTTTTCTATAATTTCGAAAACCATTCCGCTTGTTTTGGGTTCTTGTTCCCTAAAAAAATTTTTGTAGCATCAAATTCTACCTACGTAGATCTTTGATAAAACAACAGGAAGACGCAATTGACGATATACTGAATAAAAATTTTTATCAATCTTTCTTTCCCCTTTCTTTGTTTGGTTGGAGTAACAGCAATCCCGGCCAAAATAGAAAAGTTTGATGCTTCAAATTTTTCAAGGGAGGCTGATGCTTTCCTTTTCCTTTTAAAATAACTCCCTCTCTGCCCTTATTCAATGTTGAATGCTTGTTTTTGAATCAAAAATGATAGAACTACAAATCCAACATTGCTTCAGGGGAAAAGGGGGGATTCGAATTTACAGTGGAATCGTAAAGTAGAATTTTGCAAAATTTGCGGTTGTCCGGGCTCGTCGACCAAAGCAACACAAAATGGCGACCTAAAATGGACGACACAGGGCAGCCTACAACGTGATGAAAAAAGATAAAAATTGAATCCTTGCAATTGCGAGTTCAGATACGAAAACGGAAATTCAGATGTCAAAATGAACATCCATCAAAGGATACGAGCAACAGTAAATATCCTGAGCTTGCATTTCCTCCAGGTTTTGTGTCTTTTCAATAGAAACATCATCAAAATCATCATCCCCCCGTCATGCACAATCCACCATATGTCGATGTTGCCCTCCTCACGGTCTTGGCGTTCAGGGAAACTTTCAGCGTCTTTTACAACCAACATGGCCTCGTGCCTCTCAGCCGTGACGCAAACCGTATCTGCGAAAGCGAAAAAGATATCTCAAACTACATTCGCTTCATTTCATAAAAAATAAAATAAAACTTTTAGAGGCGTTTCTGTAAATTAAGAAACTCTTTTGGAAAAGATCAGCAGTCAGCTAGAATTAATTTATCCCGTGTTTCATTTTCTGAAACAATTTCCAAATAACTTGCTATCATAAAAAACTGTTCTATATTTAAAAGAAAGGCTGCAACTTCTCCGGGGCAAAGTTTCTCTGCAGAAACCTTTTTAGCAAAAACTTTTTACTGCATAATTCGTTTTTCTAGCCTGATAACCAACGCTGGCTACCAAGCTATCGTTTTTCATGCTTCAAATGAAGGTGATCTCGTAGAAATGTTAAGAAATGTGTTAATATTTGAGTTACTGAGAAGAATTCAAGCAGATTCGTGGCCTTAATCTCGGGCAATAGATGTCCCCTCTCCTCTTCAAAACAATGCTAGTCTACTATGGTATATGGTATATGAGACAATGAACAATGCTTTTGAAAGTTTTCAATAATACTAACAGAAACAATTAGACGGTTCTGGGGGAAAGGGAAGCGGTATTCGGAAAACGAAATGAAAAATTTAAAAACACGGAAAGCTGTTCGGTATTGTAGGTAATTTGGGTAGAGATAACACCTTCTTTGAATCATCACTTTTATAAACAATACTATAACTTATATGTGTATATAATCGTCATTTTGATTGATACACTGTCATTTTGCATACCAGCCAGGGACTGTTTTTAGTCAAGGTACCGAGGGATAAGATTAGAGGCAGCAACCCTATCTATAAATCATAGATAGTGCAACATTATTGAATTCTAGAGAAACTTGAAATGGAGGATTTGGTAGCAATAATTTGATCTATTTTGTCAGTAAACTTACTGATTAAGGTTGTGGCCGAGAGACTTTCCTTCCAGTCGTTAGGCCACGCCACAATCACTGTGTTCGGCGTCAGTCCCCCTAAGCCACCATTTTGAATCCTGAGCAAGGAAATACACAACAAAATACACAACATAGCAACCAAAAAGGCAATATGTTAAAGTCCCTGTAACATGTTAGCCTATGGTTTGGAGTGAATATTATACACTTTGGAATGAATTTAACAATTATAAAAAAATTTATAATGACAGGAATTGTCTTGAGCTCTAGAGAAACATTTTTGTGTGTGACTAAGTTTTAGAGTTGTAAAAAGCACCAAATCATCTCAAAATTAAAACAGGATAAACAAGCTTTGTCACATCATAAACACATTGAAAATAATTGCTTTCCATTCAAATTAGGAAATAAAGTTTTTTGATCATACAAAGGCTCCTACCTTCCAATAAACGCCCTCAAGAAGCAATAACTACCAATAAACGCCCTTTACTCAAACATTTATCCGCAGATTTCTAGCAAAGCGTAAATTGAGAGAAAACTTTTAATTGAAGAGCTCACAGGAATGAGTATCCTTCTGATAGATCTTTGGCAGCAACAACCTTGCAAAATCCTCTAACTTTCTCTGTTTTCATTGTTTCCATTAGATTCTGCAACGATGAGCAAGAGAGAGACATCAAAGTCAAGCTAACGAGAATACCGAATTTGAATTGTAAAGTCTCTGCATATACTGATGTTCGCTAGAGCTCAGATAGTTCACGCAATTCCCATCAAGCACACACACTATTTCATGAATTAAGGTGAAGCAAGCCAACTGCTGTAGTAGCAACATGATAACGAAATTCATATACATCTACTGGTGACCCGTCTATTGTAGATCGTTTGAAGTCGTTTAGAAAGACCTCTGTGCTTTTCTACCCTGGACGGTAGAAAGTCGCTACTCCGAGGTGCCTGACATTCCAGTTAAGTTTCTTACATACACAATTCTATAACGACGATACGTTTCAGGTAATTGGCAGAGCCCCGTTGTCTTTTGATCAAGCAGTTTTTGAATCGATCTCCATAAAAACGAAAAAGCTGTTCTTTGTTTTTTTGGACCCTTATTCTGACGTTTTATACCCTAAGGAATGTCAGACGGAAAGCCACTTTCAACATACGTTCTACAGTGACAAGGAAATGAAAACTTTTAAAAAGAATTGCTATTAAAGATTTTCATTCCCAATGTAGAAAATTAACAAACCTCTTTTGCTTCATCAACGTCGATAGTAGAGGTCAAGTAACTACCATGCATAACCGATCCAACGATTGTTAATCCACGGCCTAAAACAAAATGGCTTACAAGATGAATCACACAAATAAAAGTTTAAAAATGGCGAGAGAGTCTCACTATAATAAGAAAGCAAAAAATCCAAACAAAAAGGTTAAAACAACCGTTTATATTCGTCTAAGAAAACAATAATTAGCTATCAAGTATCCTAAACTACAAACCATGCCAAAAGTCCTTGGAACACCCTGCGTTCGATGAAAGATTTTGATTAAATAAAAGTTTCCTGTCGGTAAGATACAGAAATGTCCCCCTCCCCCAAAACAATGATGGTTCAAAAGCCTATTACTTACCCTAGCTGATAGAGTTACATGGGATGAATTTCAAGCTCTGAACCTGTTGTTGCTCAACACTGTTCAATTGGAGAGAGAAAGAGAGAGAGAGAGAGAGAGAGAGAGAGAGAGGGGGGGGGGTGCTACTGAAGTTATGCAAACTTCTAGCGTAGTGAACCAGGACTTTTGGCAAGCATTGCACCTTAACACTTCTCAGAGACACACTTCCTAAAAAAACCCGATGTTTAATAAAGAATAAAAGAACAGGAGAGCCAAGAGACATGGGATGATTGATATCTTCCTCAGCACATCCGAAAAAGACCAAATTCATACTTTCTGGCAACTTGCAAGTCTCACCGTTTATGCACACTTCTAGCATGAATAAAGATTCCTGCTAGTAAATAATAATAACAAAGGGAAATAGATTAATTAGGCATTCAAGAGTAAAAATAAGAGCCGTTAATTTGGGCAAGAAAAACTTATAACCGTATATCATTCTTAATTTTTTAGTTCTTTTGAAAATAAACACTTGCACAAACACTCCGAGGCATTGGTATGCTTGCATCAACTTGCCTTTAACCAACACTCTTATGACAAACGGCATTAAATGTTTTTGCAACACCGATGATTCCTAAAAGCATTGATTTATGTTACCTATAAAATACACTTTACAATCAACACGCCATCATCGTTAGCAAGTTACCTTCTTTGAGTTGACTGATTAAAGTAATCAATTTTGAAGATTTGTCATCAACCTCAGGGCCATCCATCGTCGTGCAGAGAACGAGAACCTGTGGTCTAGAAAAGGATGACATATAATTAGAGGAGGAAAATTCTTCAAGATTTTAAGGTTGCAAGTGTTTTTCAAGTAACTGGTTTCTTGGGGGTCAGCGAAGCTACTTCGAGATATAAACAGAAAGTTTTCTTTTTAGAAAGAAAAATCTGAACGCAATTTTTTGTTTTTTTAGGCAGCTAACTAAAATCACTTCTGTTCTTCTGAGGCAAAGACATTTTCAAAAATCAGTTTCTTCTTGGGCCTTTTTATGAAAAATCATGTAGGATTTGCAGGTGCAAAGGTTCTGACATAAGGTCTCAATTGAAAAGGGATATTTTAATGAATTTGGTTGGCTATACCTGGCAATATTTGTCTTTCGTGACGACAGAAGATTTACTGTACCATCAAATATACAGGGATTTACTGTACCACGTGGCTTAAGGTTGCATTCTTTCGAAGTAAAAACTCTTTGGAACAAGCTGATTAGCAAAATATTTTAGTATGTAGTAACTTTGTGCTTTTTAGTTACTTAATTCACTAAAGACAAATTTTTGGGCTACCTTGGCACTGTATTGCTTTTTTCAACGTCAGCAACAAGTACTTTAGCTTCATCGATCGGATATCAAAGCCAAAAATAATCTTAGTATCATTACCTCCAGTTCTTTGTGTGCATTGATCCTTCTTCTAACCTGAGCAAGCTGTACCTGGCAGCACTGAGGGACAACCCTCGCAGGCCATCCCCCCATTCCTTTTCAGCACTGAAAGAAAAAGGCTTGAGGATTTAATTGCAGATTACTTTATTTATACAATATCTCACTGTGAATTGGCTTTTAGTTCTTACAGGCAAACTGTGAAATTCATTAAAAAATCATAGAAAAAAACTGTTGACGCTAAAATCCAAGCTCGGGGAGTAAACTATGCCTAATCTTGAACGGAGACGTGCCATTTTGGTTAAAAATTTGGAACTCTTAATAATTCCGCAAATGTCTAAAAAAATATGACCCAAACATGATGAAAACTATACCCATATTTCTGCAAAGCAAACAAAATTTTTAAAGCACATAAAAAATCATCCACCAAATTTTGCAAGTCCTATGTCCCAAAATCTCTCTCAGGACTAACAATTTTGCAATATTTCCCCAAAATGGTACCCATAACTCTGCATGTTTCTTCAAATGGTACCCATAGTGTTGTAACCTGTCTGTACCTAGAGTTTAGACTAGAAAATCACGCCATTTATGAGAAGAACAGAACACAACTGAATAACAATTATATGTGATAACAACAACAACAGCAGTAGCTTAGAAGGGGGTCTTATCTGTGACTAACGTAAATACTACACATAGTTCCGCACATATTTCAAAAACTGATACCGATAATTCCCCACTTTTCAGAAAAAAGGTACCCCTAAATAATGGCACGTCCCCGTACCTTCAAACAGGTTAAGGTCCCCCCCCCTATCCAAGTAAACAAGAAGCTGAGTTTGTTGATAGTATGGTTTCAAATGAGCCCAAACCAGCAACTTCATTTTGGTTTTAAGAGCTCTTAGCAGTTATGTAAAAGCTAGGCCCGTACTTTTTCAATGCTCCGAGATTAACAGAACTCCATTATCAAGCTTTGATGGGCCTCGAGTTTTTGTTTCAGTTCTTAGAACATTGAAATATGTAACACGATTAGAGATCAAGTCTCTAAAAACAGCATTTTATGAAAAGAAACAGCTAGAAACAGATGATTTGCCTTTTAAGGTTCAATCAATAACTTACAAACACAGTAATTGCATTTCACTCCATTTCCCCCATTCACAAAGAAATACTATTTCGACTCCATACGGTGGAATTAAAATGAAAATTCCCTGTTATCCCAACTATCGAATGATAGAACTTTTTTTCAATCAGCAAAATTCGTTGTTAGCTGTCTGAAAATCCTAGACAGGAATCGCAAACTTCCTTAAGCCAGAGGTTGATTTTAAAGAGCGGAAACTTAATTTACAAAACCAAGAAGGACAGCTCGTTATTGAAGAAAATTTTTACGAATTTGAATAAAACTAGATATTACATAAGGGTTGATATAATATACAGTTGAAATTGAAAAAAACTTAAGCTGCTACGCCAAAAGAATATTTGCGGGGTAAAGAGAACAACATGCTTACCCTCTGAATTCGATGTATTTATAGATGACTAAGGCAAGGAGCATGGCAACGAGGGCATAATACCAGCTTGATATGAACATCAAAGAGAGGCAGAATGCTACGCCTAGAGCAGAGGTCGTCCTGTCAACAGAAAGCAGATCAATTCAATTCAATCTGGAAAATTCAACTCATTAACTAGGGCCGACTGAATGTCAATGAAATTTCAATTCCAATAAAAACGAAAATTTCAAAATATTAATTGTTGAGTAAAATTTTCGATCTGAATTTCACATCGTCATTCATAAAAACGAACTAAGCATGGAGTATTTTCTTGAAGCTTAATTGGCACCTTAATTGAAATTGGAAAATGATAGATTTGATGAAAATTGAAAAATATCCACAGACTGGAGCAGTCCCTGCTTTGTGATTGAGAAGATCCAAACTGGTAAAAAGTCTCAAAGCGTCTTTGGTCTGTTGCCATAAGGAGAAATAAAACATTCAGAAATAAAAATAAAAAACATTTCAATGGGACATAGAGCTTAAAGGAAAGGCTCTCGATCAGGGTATGGGCCGAAATTAAAACAAAATGAGCGGAAATTGGTTGTCAACACACTTTGTGCTAACGAGAGATTCAAAGACAAAAAACTTGAAAAATCTAAGACTATCTAGGCAGGAAACAAAGAGCGAACTTTCAAGCCATAAATGCAGGAGAAAAGCTATTCGAAATGGTAGAACACACTTGTGGTTGTAAAGTATGGTTACTTCGGCATAAAAGCGAAAGAATTCATTGTAAATACCAGTGATAAAATTTGAATCTTGGCCGCCAGTTAGGAGCCTTGAGAAGTGATTGCAAAACACACGCGAAGTTGACAAAACCATAACACATCAAAAAGAACCTGAAATAACAAAAGAAAAAAAACTATTGCAAGTCCTCGAATCAACCCCCATCCTCGATTAAGCCCCCATGGGATTAGGTATTCCCTCGATAGCAATAGGTTTATCCCAATATATCTGCCTTTTTTAGCATACAGACCAGTCTTAAATAGTAGAAGAAAATTTACCCTGGTAACATTTTTGGCTGCTGCTAAATAAGTGCCTACCCTCGAATAAGACCCCTCTCGAATATATCCCCACCCTCGATTAAGCCCCCATTGGATTAGGTTTTCCCTCGATAGCAATAGGTTTATCCCAATATATCTGCCTTTTTTAGCATACAGACCAGTCTTAAATAGTAGAAGAAAATTTACCCTGGTAACATTTTTGGCTGCTGCTAAATAAGTGCCTACCCTCGAATAAGACCCCTCTCGAATATATCCCCACCCTCGATTAAGCCCCCATTGGATTAGGTTTTCCCTCGATAGCAATAGGTTTATCCCAATATATCTGCCTTTTTTAGCATACAGACCAGTCTTAAATAGTAGAAGAAAATTTACCCTGGTAACATTTTTGGCTGCTGCTAAATAAGTGCCTACCCTCGAATAAGACCCCTCTCGAATATATCCCCACCCTCGATTAAGCCCCCATTGGATTAGGTTTTCCCTCGATAGCAATAGGTTTATCCCAATATATCTGCCTTTTTTAGCATACAGACCAGTCTTAAATAGTAGAAGAAAATTTACCCTGGTAACATTTTTGGCTGCTGCTAAATAAGTGCCTACCCTCGAATAAGACCCCTCTCGAATATATCCCCACCCTCGATTAAGCCCCCATTGGATTAGGTTTTCCCTCGATAGCAATAGGTTTATCCCAATATATCTGCCTTTTTTAGCATACAGACCAGTCTTAAATAGTAGAAGAAAATTTACCCTGGTAACATTTTTGGCTGCTGCTAAATAAGTGCCTACCCTCGAATAAGACCCCTCTCGAATATATCCCCACCCTCGATTAAGCCCCCATTGGATTAGGTTTTCCCTCGATAGCAATAGGTTTATCCCAATATATCTGCCTTTTTTAGCATACAGACCAGTCTTAAATAGTAGAAGAAAATTTACCCTGGTAACATTTTTGGCAGCTGTTAAATAAGTTCCTACTTTCGAATAAGACCCCTCTCGAATCAACCTGGTTGTTTTCAGCTTTGCGCTTTGGCTGCCATAAAGCAAGATGGAAAGGGCATTGGGATAGGACCAGTTTTGGTCTTGAGGTGCCAAAAAAGGGCAACCGTCTCTAACAAAAATCTAGACAACAGACTGATATTCATAAAAACCCACTGAGTAAATGTCAAGATCTATAATCTGTTGTTGTTAATCATTACCATAAATCCTCAAATGGCCACCCCCCCTCGAAAATGCCCTCCCCTCGAATAACGCCTTCACTCTAAAACTACAAACTGTCAATAAGCCCCCCTTGAATAAGCCCCCCTTGAATAAGCCCCCACTGCTACCGTTAATTCTCGAATTGGACCCCCCAATTTAACGGTTTTTGCCATCTGAGATTGCCTATGGCGTTTTATTGAATTACCACGACAAATTCGTACTTTTGGTAGTAATTAATTAAACGCTCATAAAGAAATGCTCATAAGCCCCCCTCTCGAATAAGCCCTCGTCCAAAAATAATTGGGCTAATTCGAGGATTTACGGTACTGATGTCTGTCAAAAAAGTCTCCACAAAGATGAAGGCAGCCCTTGTTAGATATTTGCGTTAAGAACAAGCAACTCACATTGTAATGATGGGAGCTACTGCATCCAAACTGGCGATAATCACGCCAATCTCAGAGATGGCGATCGTCAAAAGAAGCGCACGGTGCGGCTCCCCTCCTCTCGACGAAGTTGCAAATATATTCAAAAATGGTATGATACCGTCTTTCGCAATGGCTTGAAGCAGACGCGGTGCTCTGCGAACAAAACGTTATTAATCATGTCATACATTTACAATTCATGATAAACTTTGGTATTCAAAGCTTCGTGTCACCCGAGGTGCGGCAGCATAGTGTTCATTTTCAACTCACAATGTCTGTCATACTTGAAGGGAAAAAGCTTGCGGGAAGAAATTTTCACGAATTGAGAAAACTTTTGGTATTTACTTTCGCATTTTGGTAAAAATCATGAATTTCGACTGAAAAAACATTTCTACTGAACCATATGATTCAGCTGAGCTTTTTTCCTATCTTTATTCCACTCAATACCAAGGAAGCAATATCAAAAATTCATTTAAAACAATAATTTGTCAACAAAGTTTCCAAGAGGGCTATGAAGCTAATCCTTGGATATTTCGCAATCCAAACTTTCACGTATTCATGCTAACAAGGCGAAAACGCGAAAGTTTCTTCACGCGAAAGTTTTTCCCTTAAAATAGGGTAACGTGGATTTATTTTTTGATGACTTAGTTACAAACTAGCGAAGAAATTAGTGCTGGTGTATTTCATACGAAATTTCTCGTAACATGATAGCGTATTTAAATATGCATCGGGTGAGTTACCGAGTAACCCCTGGGTCCTCTTCCCACCCAGCAAGGCCAATATTCACCAAAATGTTATCCCTGTTTAAGAGCTCTAATAATGACACATTAAGAAGAAATTAGCAGAAAGAATACACCTACCCAGTTAAACTTTGCAGCCCGGCTCCAACAGTGGACAGAAACGACCCAAACAAGACGACATATTTGCTAGGCCAAGCAATATTCGCCACGACAAGAGCTCCACCAATACTCTCACCTTGCCTGTTAAAAAATGGCATCCCCCGTTAACATGATACCGTATTCAAATAAAAAGGATACGATATAGCACGGTATTGGCCTTCTGCTTACAGGGATACACAGGTGAATATGCTAAGTCTGAATACACCGAGCCATACTGTCTGAAATGAAACGGTATGGTGTAAAGTGAACCAGACAATCAAACGACACCAAACCATCACACACGACACGAAAAAATAGTGGCTGAGGTTTTATCGTGAAGAAAACGATTTCACGTTCGCCAGTATCGACATCCAACGGTACAAAAATGTAAAATGCAAGGATACCAAATAGGCCACAAATATTGTCTCTATTTTTAACAATCCACTAGCCTGTTAATTAGCTATTGGCAACTTAGTCTTGATCTCACTGGTTAGGTTTAATACATTACAATGGTAAAACCAATTAGAACTTGCTTGTCACGTAGAAGGTCTCCAACTGTAGTTGCTCCAAATAGTAGAACAGATGTGAGATCTAGCGTCAATCAAGGAACTGAACATGTCAGCTACAAAATGAGCTGAAAAGGGCAACTTCAAAATCAGAAAGACGTATCAAAGCTCCAGCGATATTTCGCAAGTTAACAAAAAATCCAGTTGAAAATGCCAATATTTTCAGTATGTTATTTTAGAATGTTTCTCTGCATCAAATTGTGAATGGAAAAAATTCTTTTAAATGAATAGTTAATGCTTCAGATCAGCCCGCTTATCAGATGAGGCGCTAAAATACTGTTCGTAATCCTTGAAAACATCAACGAACACGAAAGAGATAAAAACTAAAACATGTAGAAGAAAATTAACTAAGAAGAAAAAAGGAAGTGATTGTGTGCTGGTTGTTTTTTCGAATCAAGGAACACACAACATAGGTGCTATGAAACCGATAATTTTATTAGAAATGGCTCAAAATGAAGAGGCACTGACGAAGCATTTGCGCATCAGAAGGATACAGACAAAGGACGTTGTTGCAATGGCAGCGATTGTTCCCATGGGTATTGATTTTTGTGCATCTTTCAGATTCCCAGAACGATTTGATCCAGCCATGATACCTTCAAAAAGGAAGACGTTTTGACTTTTCTTAATATAATTAAGTTTATAAAACATTACAGCTAAGTTTATTAGAAAACTTTGCAAAATATGATTGGGATATTCCTTATAAATGTTACTTTTAAAAACAAATGATTCCAAATATAAGAAAATAGATTGAGAGGAACCTTTTTATTTAAATTCGGCTCAGAATATGTCACGATTTTGGCAGCTATTGGTACAAAATTCAAGTTAGAAGTATGTATGTATGTATGTTTAACAGCATTTTGGGAAAGTTCCATAACTTAAGGTTTTGTAACAAACTGAAATAATGCATAAATTTACATCCAAACAACATCATAAGTTGCACCACAGGTTGCTACAACCTTAACTAAACATTAAACGATCGCTATGAAATTTGAGTTACCCTTAAAATTATCTTGATCAATCCTGCGTAAGAAGGCTTCCTAACCGAATTAATTGACTCAGAAAATAAATTCGGTGAAAAAGTTCAAATAAAGAAACTTTTGAACATGACTAAAAAGGTTTCCTCCAAGTAAACAGCTCCCTTCCTTATTTTTCTGTACCCTAAAACAAAACTAAAAAAATGATAATGGAGATAAAGATTTAAACGTTCTTTATTCTTTTTCGAGAGAAGCAGTTTTCGAATTAAAGTTTAACTGAAAACGTGCAATGAAGGTAGTCAAGCAGAGAATTTTTAATAGTGGACGATTTTCCCGAAATTTTTCTTTCCTCGATCAGTATTTTTCTCTTGTCCCTAAACACATGACCAACACTGTAGATAATGTTATTTTGAATCATGAATAATGTTATGTTACTTCTACTTCATCAGCCATGGCTAGATACAATATAAAAGTTTTGATGGCTAAACGATATGCTTACCCGTTACAGAGGGAAAGAAGATGGCAAGCAAAATAGTGAAGCTTGATGTTATATCAGCAACTATAGGGGACAGGGCGTGGTCCTTCCCATGGATGCTTTTTCCTTTCTTCATGTAGTGACTTCCACCGTTATCTAAAAAAACATCACTATACTCAATATGTTTGAGATAGCTTAGGCAATTTATAAATAAGAAGACACTGTAACTTTCTAAAACTATGCAGTTTTTGACAAAATTTATGAAAAGGCCGAGAGATGAGTACAGCGCGAGGACAAGAAGGAAACATTAAAGATCATAAGGCATTTAGTCGATTTACAATAAGGTTCACTCAAAGTTAAGGAAAGCAATGCTTCCCATGTTGGCGTCTACAAAAGCAAGCTTTACCGCTTTGTGAAAATGATTTATGTAGCAAAGAGAGAATAATAGATTTTCCTAACAGCAAGAACAAGATGTTCAAATATCTCACTTGCCACTGAAGATCGCACACTTGTTCAAAAAAGTCACATAGCAATGCACCACGATGAGCTTTTTGACCCTCTTTTTCACTATGGCCTCATTTTAACGCTATTGCCTCGCTTTACCGACGATACAACAAAGGCAATAGCCAAACAGAGACTCATTAAGTAAGTCTAGATAAACTGGACAAGAAATCTGGCAGGAATTGGGATTCCTGAGGCTTGCAAGGCTCTTTGTAGATTGTGTGATAACACGCGCTCAAACGATCAAAATGTGCCTAATTTTTGCATTGAAGGGTTTTTGTTGTTAGAATCCTGTGCGCTGATTGGCCAATATCATTGAAGGAAAAAATAGTCATTGTTATCTCTCAGCCAATCAAAATTTGACCACAATGCTCACCCACCACCATCCACTAATGACCACTCACCAACTACCAACACATTTCTTCAATAAGCATTTGCAACTCGCCTGAACGACGAGTACACATACCTGTGAATATTCCACTTGTGATCCCTGGTATGCCATTGGCCGTGGAAACACTCGATGTGTTCCAGTATGCAGGCGATATTTGTTGTTGAACATACTTTGCAAGCTGAACATCATCTTTAGAGCAATTACCATATAAACTTTTTGCGATTAGCGTATCGTCGACGTAACAAAGGCTGGAAGAATGAAAAAAGAGCACAATGTTTATAGGCACGAGAAATGAAACAAAAACCTTTTCCCAAAATGCCAAGAAACTAAATCTTTGTGATCTCATCACAAACACATCACAACGGGAAGTAAACGATTCGAATTTTCAAGAATAAGCACTAACTGTTTGGTTAATTAGTCTGAAAGTGCAGAGAATTTTAATTTGATCAAACATTAAGATACTCATGTTTCAATGAAATGAAAATCATAATTAAAGGTAAATTTATTACTAGATCAGAGATATCCAGGTATTCGACAAGGAATCAGCTTGATATTGATATCCCAAGGCAAAATTTGGAATTCTCAAAGGGAAGTTTCCTTCACTCTGGGGCCAAAACATGGAATGAGATTCCAAGAAACATCAGAATGAGCCCCACAATTTCCATGTTTAAAAGAAACTTGAAAGGATTCCTGCAAAGTTAATAAATTCCCTAAACAAAACACGATCCCTAGGTAGAACAGCAACACCTTTATTTTATATATATATTAAAGAAGTAATTGTAATAGAAGTAGTTTATCTTATTTGTATTATAGCTGATAGGGAATTCGTGTATAAAGATTTTTGAAATGAAAAAAAATTAAAATATGGCTTACTTGGTTGAGGATCTGGCGTGTACGGAGAAAAATCCGACATAGATCGCCAATATTGAAAATAAGACACATAGCAGGAAGATTGACGCAAATTTGTTGACATATTTAACACCAATGAAAACCATAGCGGACAGGATTAAGAGCAATATTGTGCCATAAACTCTCATGTTGTTCAGCATCGCCGGCGAGACAGTGCCGCCGCCACTTATATCGCCAAAAAGGGACATGCTAGGAGCGATGTATGTCTGGGGAAAAAAAGTAATTTTATTAACAGAGGAAATAAACAATATTACACTCTTTTTTTATAAGAACACGAGCCTCAAAACTGGTCAAAAGTTAAGAACAAATTAAGAACAAGCAAGCGTTTTTTCTCAAAATCGAGGATTTTTAGCGTTGTGTGGGTGCTTTTTCGGTAAATATTCAAATTTGTCAGCTAATTAAGACTGTCTTCCTCACTTTGTTGGCAAATGAGGCCTGAACACCTCCTTAGAGCGAAAAAGCTAGCAATAGCACTGCTTATACCCTCTTAATTTAAAAAAAAAATTAAGAACAATCCAGCCTCAGATTTTCGAAAAAATTAAGAACAGTCAGCCTGAACTTAAATTTACTGGTTCTTATAAAAAAGAGTGAAATTCAAAGTAGATCAGATCAGAAAACATAGGACCAGGTAGTGTAGAAAACCTCAACAGCGATGAGCATTTGTTTATGGTTTAAGATTTGTTTATGGTTACTTTCAGGTTTCGACCAGGCTATTGTTAAGGACAGTAGCTTTTGATAAAACCTTACATCACCCACAGCCAAGGAAATATACTTGCAAATTAGTGTTATGCACTCAATTATTTAAACAACGTGCAAAATTACTTATTTCATTTTCTTATCATCAAATCTACAAAGAACAGAAGCATTGTTCGTTGTTATGCTACAACGCATTCGGATAATGAAATCAAAATTACAAGAAAAAATACAAAAGGAGAAGGATAAAGAAATTCCGAAAGTTAATTGGGAATTCTTTTAAATGAGCTATTTTTGTCGAACGACTTACATATAATACTTAAAAGTTTCAAAGTTCTCACTTTTTCGTAAACCAACAATACATTTTTTTAAAAAAAATGAATCGGAGTTTCAAAAAGAGTAAAATCAATCCGAACTCTTTTTTTCTTGCATTAGATTATGGAGAAAAAAATTTGATTTAAGAAAAATTTTATAAGATTTTTTGGAACGATAATTTTTCTAAATCAAAATTTTATCAAGCAACGATTGAGTATGTGAATAAAGGAATTGTCACAATAGCAAAATGCTCGACGGACCCCGACCAATGGAAATCTTGCGGCGAAAAGTCGATAGAAATATAGCAAATAAGGCCGAAAACAAACAACAATAAACACACGTCAATTAACTGTGACTAAAATTTCGCCCCGGCATACCGGGCTTCAGACAGCTGCCCGATGAACGCATTAAGCATAAACTTTGAGTTGCAATTTATAACTGTCCGGTTCTACAAAGCGTTAGAACATTGCTATACATTCACAACAGAAAAAACCTTTAACATCTTTGGTTGATTGGAGGGCAGGATTTACGATTAACGGTAGAAGAATCTTCACAAATTTTGAAGGCAGTTAACTGCAAAATTAAATTATCAGTAGTTTTCACAATCAAAGTGAAAGTGGCGACCATGAGGAAGAAAACAATGTTTTTCTGTAGAAATCGATGACGAAAATGTATAATTTGATAATTACATGGCTATATTGTATAATTTGACTTTCTATTAAACATAAGCAAATTGACTTTGGCTGCGTGTGTTAAGTTTTAATAAAATCTTTTATTTTGCATTGGAAAATTTTTACGGATAATTAAAAGATCTGCCACAAAATGTTTTTGGCAGTAACATTTCGGAATATCTGTCTAACAAAACAATGTCCAAAGATTTTGCAATTGATATAAAACTGCGAAATTTCTCCATGAAAATAACTGAGAAACAAGTTGGATTTGGAGAACCAGACTTGAGTTGCAAAAAGTTTTGAATTAGTGTACGAGAAGGAGAAAAGTTTTCTTATTGAATCTGTTATCAATTATATCTGTTGATGAATGAAACTGGTCTAAAAAATAAAATAATATCTTTTTATCCTAAAGCAAACTTAGTTTCTTTTCATGTCATTTTCTTCTTCTTTTATTATTGTTAGAGCATTCTGTCATACATTTCTTCATCACAAACTCCATTGTTTTCCAGATTAAAGATAGAGAAACAAATTATATCATCCTCGTTGCCTGAATAATTGAACACCTTCAGTCAATGGGTTTCACATATGCTCATTGGCCAGCCCGCTGGTTCAGGACTGTGAGCTCGTATCTAACTCCTCGGTTTACGGTGAAATCGTATCTAAACCTCGGTTTCACGGTGGACTCGTATCTAAACCTCTGTTTCAGGGTGGACTCGTATCTAAACCTCTGTTTCACGGTGGAATCGTATCTAAATCTCTGTTTCGCGGTTTCACGTAAGCCCATTGGCCAGCCCGCTGGCTCAAGACTGTGAACTCGTATCTAAACCTCGCAGAGGATGTTGGGAATACCTAAGAAAACAGCCCTAATAGTATAGTCCAAACCGTTTGCTATGCTAACCATGGAAATAACTCTCCCAAATTTGTGGGGCAATGTCGATGATAGCTCAAAAGAAAGTGTCGTAATCAAGAATTGTTGGAATGATAAATAATTTATAAGAGACTGCAGATTTCCGTTAAATTTCCGAAAAGTTAAGCTGACATAGAGCCGAGGATTTGCTTATCTTCCTATATTTTGTATTTCGCGTGGAAAACTAGCCTCATGAAATCCATAATTTGGCACCACTGTCAATTAAGATATGACTAATTTCGTTGAAAATCATAATCTTGGTTGTGAATGTACGAAGAAACGATTAGATCAGCTGCTCTCAAATGCCCAGACCTTAAGTCGGGTTAGCTCTCAACAGAAAAGACCGAATTTTTAAAATTTATGATAGCAAGGAAAATTCCTAGCTGTAGAAGTAATAAGAATGGACTCTCCTTTATCATAATTTCAATTTGGACTCCAGCTGTTTTTCTAACTTTAAGAAGGAACATTCCCCATAAACAAAACTATAGTTTGTACTTCTGAAAGATTATTCAAAAACAAACAACTCACCAAGAGGATTTCAATAGCACCTAGGATGTACATTGATGACGCAAATGTGGTCCCAAGGTAAAAGAGAATTCCAACAGCGCCACCAAATTCAGGACCAAGGCTTCTTGAGATCATGAAATACGAGCCACCACCTAGAAAAAGTTTGGTTATGAAAACTTGATGCGAATTTCTAAATGGGCAAGTGGAAACTCCTGAGCGCAGGTGAGAATATAAACTCTGGCTTTAAATGGATCTCTACAGCAAATCTGTTTTTCTGCTGTTTAGAAAGGGTTAAATACCCAGTTTCAAGTCGGAAAAAATTTAAATGTGCGGTATGGAAATATCTGTTGCAAAATCAGAACGATTTCAAAGCATGATATACCTTTATAAAAAGTCGATTAGGAAAATCTCCAAAAAACAGACTTTTCTAAACAATACTTGTTTCCAAGTTTATTTTCACTTTGTAGATGTAACAGAGTCCAGCATTGGTCCAGGTGGACAAAGTTTATTGTACATGCAAACAATGACGTACTGGGACAATGTTGATATTCAGGGAATTTGAGTTACCTGGTACCATTCCATTTGTTGCAATAGCACTCATTGAAATGGCAGTCAACATAGTCTGTGAAACAAGAGAAAAATTCATCCAGATAAAAAATTTTTTGCATTTTTGCGCTTTTGAAAAACTCTACAGCGTTTTTGCGCCATTTTTACGGAAACAGAAAGACAAAACAATTCACTTCATCTTCCAGCTGAAACCGATTAAATTAAAGGACTCTTCATTTTCAATGTTTTGACAAGGCCTTCGGCTGTGACTATACTCAAACCTCGAGAAAATAATATTATTTTAAAGCTTTCCAGGCAATCACTGTCACAACAAGCGTTTATTTTGCGGCTAGATTAGGAAAGCATTTCTTTGACGAACCATTCCAAAAATGTTCGAGAGGTATCATCAAGAAGTTGCGAATGAAATGTAGGGGACATGAGTGGTTGTTATGTGTATATGAAAGCATGTCACCAAAAATGTAAGTAGGAAACCTTCTTTAGACAATTCCTATCACGATATCTTTGAGATCTATAGCCTCTCCAAAAGAAAAACCAGTGTTTCATTTTCTTAGCCATAGATTTACAGGCCAAAATGCCCCTTTATCCAACACAACACAACACAACACAACACAACACAACACAACACAACACAACACAACACAACACAACACAACAAACACAACACAATAAACACAATATAACATAACATAACATAACATAACTGAACACAACACAACACAACACAACACAACACAACACAACACAACACAACACAACACAACACAACACAACACAACACAATAAACACAATATAACACAACACAACACAACACAACACAACGAACACTAGAGAGAACTGATCAAAAATTGAAAATGTAATATCAGTCCTGAATTTTGAAGCAAAATGGTGGTGTTCTTACAAGAATAAGTAATACTTACACAACAGCAACAGAGAAAGACGATGAAGAAGCTTTGGAGTACACCCGCGGTACCAACGATCCATGAAAGACGAATGAAGAGGATAACGCCAAAAATGTTCTGTAAGCATGGTAGATAGACACCAAAAAGGGTCCCCATTTTGACAACCTGCAAAAAGGGTCTTGTTAGTTGCATGATCGATAACAAGTGTAATACATTTCATCGCAGACCATAAATTTTTAAAAGTGCAAAAGGCTTGATGTCCCTTTTTAGTATTTTCACGCATAAAGAAGCAAGAGCTTGATCACAGCCGTATATCAGAATAGAATGGCTTTGTTAAACATGAAGGTTGTTTCGAGTTGAGCAAAAAATTTTTGCTTGTCAGAAATTTCACATTTTTATCATGGTATACAGTTGCTCTATTGGCTTTTCCTTATTGAATGACCACCTGGGACAAGGCATCACGGGCTTCTTGAATATTGACGTCAGACAAAGATTAGTAGATCGAGTTTCATCTCGCTACAAATCATTGAGCAAGTCTAGGAACGATGTTCAGCCTTACTTCATTTGTTTAAGCCCACATTTATTCGGCATGGAGATTTTTATCATAAAAGAGAGCTCCCTAGAATGGAACGAATCTTATACCTTGAATTTTAGGAAAGAATATATAGGTACTGAGAGCATTTAAATGATTGTGGAGAGCTTAAATTGTGTGAGCGTATAGCTCATTCTAATACTGTAAAGACTTTCATGCTATCATTATTATCGAAAATTGACGCTATTAAACACATTTAAATAAAATTGATAACATCACATGCAAATGGAAAATTAGATTAAATTCTCAACACAAACTGCCGTTAAAAAGCCCTGAAAATAGGGCAGTCATGCGCTCGAACAACGTGAGGAGGGCCAGTAGAACCATAGTCCAAGGAAATTGTCAGGTGAGAAGATTTATACTTACTGGATTCAGCATCGATAACACGTTAAATTAAAGGTTAATAGTTCTGGACACATTAGAAAAATCACTTTCGAGCCAAAAGTCGGTTACATCGCAAAAGATAAATCGGTAAACAGATAAAATTATCACTAACCAAACAAACAATGATTAGTAGTATAATGATGAAAGAAAGAAATGTATTATCGTTGTAAAGGAACCGTGAAGAAATTCAAACCACAGTTGAGTGGATTATCGATACTTTGCTATCAACCAGAGCACATGGTGCAGTTATTATGAAAAACAGCGACACTAAATCTAGGGCATCACTGTGCCGTACGCAAATCTTGGAAATAAATCTAATATTGATAACCCTTGTAGGTCAAAAGAATCGTCGCAAAGTAGCCACAAACAAAACCAAAACCCTGATTATTGTAAAAGAATGGAAGGGATAAGGCAGAGTCGATTCTTTTCCAGGTCAAATAGATTTTTCCAAATCCCCTTGAAAGGAGAAATTCAAACAGGCATCTTAAGAGATCTTGTTGTTTCTAACATGAAGAACAAGCTGGTTCGATGTGATAAGGATGGATGTCACAGACTATTAAAACATTTAGAATGGATATTGGCAACAAGAGATAAACAATAAAAATACATCCAGGTTCCTTCAAAGTAAAAACATTTATAGATAACTAGTCTTGAAAATAAGTATGAAGCTTTGAAATTTGTCTTCTAAAGCTAAACTTGCTTGTTAATTCATTACTGTATCTAAATGACTGCAAAGCCTATGCAGTTTGAAGTTTATAATCATCTTGTAAGCTAGAAAAGTGTGTAAAGGATCTTCTTATATTTTAGCAAAAGGCAATAATTTCAGTGAAAATAACAAAACATAAATCTTATTGGCAAGGAGAGAGCATTGGGTATTGGTTAACTGAATTTCAAACCTGGTAACAAACCTAACAATTTCAAATTTCCAAGAAAACCAATTTCAAACCTAACAAAAGTGTGTAAAGGATCTTCTTATATTTCAGTGAAAGGCAACAATTTCAGTAAAAATAACAAGACATAAATCTTATTGGCAAGGAGAGAGCATCGGGTATTGGTTAACTGAATTTCAAACCATGCAATTCTTATTTGATAGTGTGTGAAAAGTAATTGCTACATAATTATATGTGGGCCAATTTGAGCTCCAAATTACAGAAGTTCCTTTTTTGTCTCTGGCTTAACAGTGCCATGAAAAAAGTATCTGGGTAGTATCACTGTCAAATTGGCTAAATAAATTGACAAACATCTAGAGGAAAAGATGTTTTTGATTAAGATAATATAAGAGCCTTAAACCTTCTTCAATAAAATATTATACCTAAAACACTGACAGAGATTAAGTAATCTTCAATATACCTAAATAACTCTAATATTTGACAATTTGTACAACTGCAGATATTGCCTATGATGTCAGTGACCATGCAGCCATTGAGCTAGCAGGGGCTAAGCCCCCTCCACTTTTGTGCAATAATGGGTTAGAAAATTTTTGGTAAGTTTACTCTAACATAATTTTGGAACCAGTGGCGGACACTTGGGGGGGCAAGGGGGGGGGGGCGACGGCCCCCCCAATAATTTAGAGGACAATGGTATTATGTTCGAAAACAATGGGAAATGTGACGTCATCTTATTAAAACAATAGGCTTGCCCCCCCCAATATTTGACCAAGTGTCCACCCCTGTTTGGAACGGATTCTAAGTGGTAGCAGTTCCTCTTGACTGGGGAACCCGTTTTACTCATTTTCTTGGTGTTTTATCTTGTTCAATTATAAGCTTTAATTTCTAACTTGGTTAGCTTTGGGTTTAATCATTCTCAAGCTAAATACATCTATTTTTATAGTAATTTTCATCCTCTCTTTATCAGACTGTTTATAAATAGTCACTTGAAATAAGCAAGTATTTTCTAAAAGGGGCATTTTCTGGCATTCTAAAGGGCATAGCCTTAAAAGATTTTTTGTCACACCCTTTTAAGCCCACCCACCACTTTTAGACTGGTGCATGGTGCCTGCATGATGTGCCATATTTTAACTATCTGAAGATGGCTCAATGGTTAAGGACAAACTACAGATCCAATAGTCTGAGGCCAGAGTCCCTGTCAGGACAAAACTTTCACTTGCAAGTTAGGAAAGCCACCAGCTCTCTACAGTTCCAATCACATGGAAAAATTCAAAAGGAAGGACCAGCATCTATTAGATTTCTAGTGTCCAAAAAACTACCTCTGATTACTAGGTTGCAGTGGCAGACACCTAGGGGGCGAGGTGGGGCAGTTGCCCCCCAACATTTTGAAGGACACTTGTCTCTTGTTCTAAAACAATGGGGAAATGTGACATCATCTTATCAAAACACTAGGCTTGCCCCCCTAATTTTTGACCAAGTGTATGCCCCAGCTAGGTGGTAATGTGATACAATTCATGCATGGGGAATGGAGCTCTGCTGTCTTTTTATAGATTGAGATTTCGGAAATTGCAGCTTGTTAATAAACTTGATAAGAAGTATCACGATCAATAACAAAGACATTGTTTGAAACAGTCGACAACTGTTATAAGTAGACAAATCAGGTATTTATGATGATGATGTTGACACTTCCATTTAATAGACAAGTCCATGAAATAGACGTAATAGACAAGTCCATGATAAACGTTTCAACTCTTTCTAGAGTCATATTCAGTATCAGTATGTAATACCAGTGAAACTTATTGTCCATGGTCGTGAAACTTATTGTCCGCTGTCTTTGTAATGCAAAATTTTTGCAAATCAAACTTTTTCTAGCAAAATTCTTTAGAAAACTGCCAAACCCATTCCACCCCATTGCTTCATAGAGCTATGCCTCTCACTACAAAATATTTACAATTAAGAACAAAGTCTTTCTAAAAATATTCTCATATTTCTATACAGCAAGCATTATTACCTCAGTCTTGGCCTCGATTTCTGGCTTAACACCTTTAGTTGGAGGTATCGTGACATCATAATTTGATAAAGTAGCCAACAGTGTGGCTAGCTTTGGTCTTTTCTTGATATCTTCCTTAAAAAATAAAATTTATTCTCATTAACCATTTTAGGATGCTCCAAACAGTATGGAAACAAATAAAATTATTTTCAAGTATAGATGTGGTGGAACATGTTTTATCAATATTAACAAACAAGCAAAACATTGTCAGCTGTGTGAACAAGATGGGGATTTAATTTATTTATGATTTCGGATTTTGTGTTGAATAAAACATCACAGAAAAAAACTGTAAATTATACAAAAAGGAAATGAATTTGTGACAACATATCTGGGAAGGAAATGCAATAAGGTCAATAATGTATGAATCTTCATGAAATCCTACAAGTAAATTAAAACCCATGCTAGCTATAACAGACTTCCAAAAGACATTGCACGTCTGCACGTTGCATAAGACTGGGCCTGGCACAACTTATAAACTCAAGTCTGTATCGAGGTTTGAAGCGGATTTTGCACCTTTGAAAAATTCTCCTACTTTCGACGCAAAATAAAAGCATAAAAAAGTGCAAAAATTGACTGCTCACTATGAAAAAACATTAAATTACTCATGGCTTTTGGCCAGTTGGAACGGATTTGTTTGAGCAGTCACATACCATCCATAGTATCTGCTCGCCGAAATATTCCTTACCGTTGTAGAATACAAAATTTTTAATATAGCTGCCTCCTGAATAACATAGCTGCCTGCTGAATAACAACTTACAAGAATTTATTTGGCAAGCAGTATTTTTATAACCACCCTGAAGATGGAACAAATTTCAATAAAAGGGCAAGAAGAACTTCTTACGGAATCGGAGAGAATGGCCTACACTAATGTTTATTCGCCTAATGGCCTACACTAATGTTTATTTGCAAACGTGGCTATTGAACAATTTTTGCTTGGAAAGATAAAAAATTATTCCTTACTTCGTATAAAGCAAGGTTTCCTGTGCTATTCCGGTTCTGTCCATTCTGCTTTTCGAGTAAAGGGATTTCAATTGCGTCCTCTTTGACTGTGCCATGTAGTCCTAAAACAATAACAAATTGAACTTGGCGCCAATGCTCAACTTCACGCTCAATTGAATTCACAAATGTGCTCAAATTGTTATTTCTACTGGTTCATTGACCGTTTTCTCGCTGTTTTACTTTACCATAAGTGTCATGAAATATGAATAAGTTTACAGAAGAAGCCTTAATAGCTATATAAAATAGAATTTGCTTTTTCTAAGCTCACTTGCCGCTCATTTAAAATTAGCAAAGAGATCAGCAGGTTGATGCTTTAAAAAAAATCTCATTTAAAATCAAACACACAACCAAATTTGAATAAAAAACTCTCTGAAATTGTTGAACGGGCGAAGAAAATATCATATGTGTGTTCTTTGCTTTTTCCATAAGACTTGATAAAACTCTAAATCAAGTTCGTGCATAAAACTTGACATAACTTGAAATAAAACTTGAATAAATCAACTTTCTAACAAATGCAATAGGAGAATGTAAGCCATCACTTTACATTAAAAAAGGAAAGAGACCTTCCTTAATAATTATTCATTTTACCTTCGCTTGTTTCGCTTCCTTTTGCATTTCCAGGTGCAGTATCGTTTTCTTCATTTTCTGTTTTACAAACTGTAAATCTTGCTCGATCAGCGGTGGGAGTCAAAATATCTTGACTTTCCATCATTACAGCAGATGCACTTGCTGGTGTACAAGACGACTGACTTTCTTAGAATTCCTGGCAAATTGAAATATCAAACATTCTATGAAATTAGGAAACAGGCTTTTAAACAGTGAAACACGTTCTTCTCTAGACTGCAATACAACAGGTCACATCTTTCTTGGCAAGGCCGGCCTGCTAGTCAGTCAGGGGGTTTCGTGATTCTTCTGGAGTAAGCCGTCATTGCCAAGTCAACTCAAAATAATTAACATAAATTGCAGAAAATTGAATAATTAAAATGAGGTAATGCCATATAAAGATAAATTACTGTAATCAATTAAAGCTGCGAATGATGTTTAGGGTTTTGGGTAGGCCAATGGAACTTTGCAAAATTTCAAGGCCGGAATTTCATCCAAAACAAGGTATTATTGCGAGAGTCATATACCTCAAATTGATTATCCTTTTTAGTGGAGAGAAGTGAATATCTTCATCCTGTGCCATATTCCCGAAAGGGTTAAAAACAGTTTTTATCAATGCATATGCAACCCCCCTTATTTGCTACCAGCTTTTCAGTTCGAAATCCGAAGTAATCTAGAGTGCATTTAAATGCTATCAAATATTGTCTTTTCTCTAACTTTCTTTTGTTCGGCTTCTTACAAGATGTAAACAAAAGGTTTTCAAGAGAATCTGATATCGTTCATACGTTTTTGACTTTATTTAATCTTAAACCCGTTATCATGGATTGGACAGATATGTCAATTGGACTTAGTGAAAGCTTAATCTCATTGATTTTTCACATGACGAGGGAGCTGCTGTGGTCTTGGGGTGCTTTACTTCAATTTGTGATGTCAACATTGCTTAGAAAGTGCAGTTTAACTTTGTTCTTAAAAAGGCATCACTTTATTCATTCATGTATGGAAGTTAGATTATAAAACTGATTTGCATATCGCCTAGTTAAAGAAATTAAACTGATATAGGAACCAGGATAAGTAACAAATGTATGATTAACAAGCAATTGAAAAACTAAATCTTAATTTAATATAACTAGTTTTTATTAATGGAAGAACCAGATCCAACAAACTATTACGGAGTTTCTAAGTGCATTGCAATCTTTAAAATTGATTAAATTACGAAGCAACAAACAGCCCCAGATTTAGCAAAAGCAATCACTTCATCGCTTAACAATCATGTAATCAAGAGCATTACTTGGTACCACCTATCTTTGCGTACTTCTGAAGCCAAGTGGGGCACGAGGGGCTTTTTTTCATGGCATTAGCCCTGGGTTCTTCTGATTGAGATTATTAGCAACGATAAAAAATAGGCGTCATTCGGGGGCTCAACCTGATGTCATGAAAACTCGGCTATTATTGGTTACATGACTTAACCTTTTGTGACAACATTTGAGCAGTGAATGACATTTTACTACATTTAAGGAAACTTGTAGCCATTCATAAGACGTTCAAACTGTGCGTTTACAAATGCCCACAGCAGCGCTTTATTCAAGAGTGTTATCAGAAGAGAGTTACATAGTGGCACAGTACCAAGACTAGAACCTTATAGAGCCCCGCTTACTTAAGGCAAAGGACCGGTCTTCTATATGAGCAAAAGAGAGCTAAGGCCCAAACCAAGACTCTGGTGGGGTTCCGCTTCTCTCAAGGCTAAGGAAAGCTTTTTACATCAATAGATAGAGCTAAGGCTTGAGAGAAGAGCCTTGTGGAAATATTCTATTCTCAAGGCAAAGGAAATGTCTTTTAAATGTAAAGAAAATGGCCCGAGGCAAAACTCCTGTGTAACTAAACTTTTTTCATGGCAAAGGAAGATCCTTAATGCTAGTATAAAAAGGGCGAAGGCCTGACAGAAGTTGTTTATTTAAACCAGGGAAAGGAACTTCGTGCTGCCAATTTCTGTTGGCCCTTGTTTCTGGCAGAAATGAAAATTAAAAGAATGTCTTAATAGAAAAAAACTAGCTGAAAATGTTTCCAATCTACATGAAGTATTTGCATATCTAACTATCGAAGCATCGAAGTTCGTGCCCAAGAGAACATCAAAACATCAAAAATAGAGGCACCACTGCATGATTTTTAGTAGCTTTTAACCTGACTTTAGCAAGCATGCTAGCGAGACGCTAGATCTGACGGTAGACTAATATTAAACCTTTTAGATACAACTTTTTAGGATACTGTTAGTTATAAACAGGATATTTAGAATGCTTAAATGTAGTATGGTAGATAAGTCATAGGAAATCAGTCACAACAATTGCTCAACCAGTAGCACAGGACAGATTAAAATTGCAGCACAGCCAGCTAGGGAAATATATGTTCTCTTGACATTCTATTTCAAAATACGGGAGACTTGGAGCTAACATTTAATCCAGGGAAGATTACCTGTTAAAACAAAACGGTTGCAGTTCTATATTACTTTGTGGCGATAGTTTTCAACTGAAATCTGTCTTAAATTTTGCTCAACCTTTTCTTGAACAACCCACCCTTCCTTGGAACAAAACTTCACGAGTTTGGCCCCAGAGTAAAAAAAGGTTGCCAGTTTCTGATTTGAACAATAAAGTCTTGATTCATTATGTATAAAATTATGTAAGTATTTATTGCAAAATTCATACTTTTAGGACAAAACTCCAAAATCTTGGTTTTATCACTGCACAAAATTCTTGTTTATCTGGCATAATTATGATTTATCATACATTTGTTGTTACTGAACATTAAACAAATCTCTTTATGTATTTTGAATGCATGCATGTAATTAAATTAACCCTAAAACATAATGGAAATGTGTTTCCGGCCACTGGCTTATTAGGCCAAGGATTTTATGTGATCCCGTGTGTTGTATGACAAATTATATCTCGGTAACTTGTTAACTTTAATGTGTTTATAAACCATGATTAAAAACACACATATACACACACTAAGAACAATTTCTGATCATGTATATGTGTTTTTAATTATTGTTTATAAACACATTAAAGTTACCAAGTTGCCGAAATATAATAATGGGAATTAATCAATCATTTTCTTCAGATTAGTGTACAAAAATCTAGAATGTTGAATTAGAAAAAAGACTAAAATATATAAGTATGTTGTAATTTTTTCACTTTTTCCTGGAGGATATGCTTGTTATGCAGAAGGCCATTTTAAAATCTAAAAATAGCTTAGCTGTGTTTAACCACGTGTTGGTGCCAGTCGTCTGTATTTTAAATAAGCCAGTATTCAACAACCTAATGCAAACCCTTGAAATCCCAGCTTGAATATGCGCTCGTTCTTATCGAACAAGTAGTATAGATTTAGATAGTAGTATAGATAGAACACCTAGACATAAGCAGCGGAGTATAGATTTAACAAATTCTCGTCTCATTTAAGTAGTAATTATTTAAATAGCCTATAATTTACTAGTAGGAAGAAGTAGGTTTTTATCCGTAGCTTAGACAAATTAGCAGTTTGACTTTACATGGGGGATTTTCGCCAAATACGTGTCCATCCATTGCTGGGGCTTATTAAACCAAAAATGAGCCTTTCAAAAATTACGTTTTTTCTGATTGGCCTATTTGGATCTACAACTGGGTATATATTTTTCATCGTGTTCTTTAGGACCCTTATTCTGACGTTTTATGTTCTGAGGAGTGTCAGACGAAAAAGCTTTTAGTATGTTGTAAAATGTTTGCTTTTTTCAAAGCCATTTTTAAACCAAAAATGTGATTTTTCCCTCAACCAAAACGTCGACTTAAAAACTACAACTTAAACGGGTATTTGAGATGATAGTTCTTTTTAGTTCTATCAAGAATCCCAAGCAACTAATATACGGTATAGAATTAATCGTTGTATCCATGAAAATTTGGTTTGTAGCAGTTTGTTGTTGAATTTGAATTGTGGTCTAAAATAGCCTAAAATATCATTGCTGAAAGTAATAAAAAGGGATGTTTACCTGCCTGTCATAATGTGCTTTTTGCCACTATAGGGAAAGCTGTACACGCTTTAAGCGGTTACTAGGAATCTGTATACAATGTGTTTCTTAGCTATATAAAAGAAAATGCTTACTTGTTGTTTGCAGTCAGGATCTGTAAAGTTAATAAACAGCATTCCGCAAATATTTCTGGATCAGATAATTTCGCAAATCTTAAAAAAACAAACTTCTCTTCTCGCTCGTCCTCACAGTTCAGCGATCGCTATTAATTTATTCTGTAGACGGTGGTCCCAGCATCAGGAAATAAAGACAAAGCCAAAAAGCAGTCAAATTTATCACAAAGATTTGAACTATAGCAAAACTTCAAAGTGATGCAGTTAGAAGGGAAAGAAATTGAGGTCAGTTGGTATGACTTTAATTCAGCTTGAATAACGTCAAAAGTAAACAGGAATCAGCAAAAAAATTTCATTAGTGACGCCCTTATTAGTTAGGGGAGTAAGGGGAGCAACTTGGTGTGAGGATGGCTCAGTTGTTAGAGGCGCTCGAGTTCCTGACATGACCAAACTTTAACTCAGAGTTGGGACAGTCGCCAGCTCTCTGTAATTCCAGGCATAGGAATCACGATGTGTGGTCACATCGAGAGGAAGGACCAGGACACTGTTCGATAAGCATAGCTTCTCAGTGTCCTGAAAACTACATTCGGATGCTAGATAGCAACAAATACAAATACAAAATACAAATACAAATACAAAACTTTTAAAACTGTACCCAAGAACACATGTAGTTTTGCCTACGATTGCCCAGCCACCCCTGTTGGAAGGTCAAGCCTCCCGTCGGAGAATTTCTAGCACCACCTCCCTTCCCCCGAGGGGCCACCATTGGGCATACTCAATCTCTGCATTTATGTGGCTCTGATGCCAAGAGTACTGCAAAAATATGCATGGTGTCTTTAGCATGGGGAATGTGAGTACTTTTCAATTTTGGCCTATGTTGTACGTTTGCTTCTTTATAATGGAAATCAAAATGAAATATCAAGTGTTTAAATACTAGAAACGCTCTTTGGTTTTCATGAGAGAAAAAAATTAAAAATATGTTCTAATTGAAAAACAAAACCGTATACATATTTACAGTTTATCACTGATTTCAAATAAGCTGCAATATATAGGGTTTCATATCTCCCAAAAAACGACAATACAATGAGCAGTTGATTGCTAAAAATACGATATTTCGAACATGTACTTGTTACCAAGGGATATTTTTAAAGATAACATCAGCTACTTCAGCTTTATCCATTCATACCATCACCAGTACATTTTAAGAAAAATCAAATCTTTCTAAGACTAATGTTCCTTAATTATTACTAGTTTACTTTATGATATTGTATTTTTATCTCTTGCTAACAAATTCGATTATGTATTCCATTATTTATGATAATGTCCATCTTAACAAACAAACAAACAAACAAACAAGCAAACAAACAGTTGATGACAAAATTGGTTACTCTCTGGTCCCTCACTCTAACACTTAACAAGTGATCCTTGCTAGGAAGCCATCTTTTTATGTTATAGAAACCACATTATTCGGTGAATATAGAAAAAAATTGTTAAATTCTAATAGGTAGATCACCTCCTCGATATACGGTCTCGTTTTGGAAATTACATCAAAATTCATTGTACAGCTGTACGGCGTCACCACACCCCCCCCCCCCCAATGTCTGCAGACTTCAAGAAAGTTGGTCATGCAGCAGGAACCTTAACATTAAATAGGAAGTTTTACCAAATTCATTTATTTATATAATTTATAATTTATATAATTTATATATAATTTATATAATTCATTCATTTTATTGGTCATGGTTGGTCATAGTCAACTTTCTGTTTTGTAATACACTCTTTTTTATAGGAACAATTTTATAAGAACACGAGCCTCAAATTGGTCAAAAGTTAAAAACAAGTTAAGAACAAGCTGAGGCTGAGCTACTGTAAATTGCAATTTTGAACAAAGTTCTATCTAAAAAACGAGGACTTTTGGCCATTTGTGGGTTCTTTTTCGGTGAATATTCAAACCTGTTGGCAAATGAAGGCTGTCTCACTCATTCTGTTGGCAAATAAGGCCTGAACACCTCACTTGAGCGAACACGCTAGCAATCGCACTGCTTACAACCTATCAATTTAAAAACAAATAAAGAACAATCCACCCTCATATTTTTGAAAAACAGTCAGCCTGAACTCGAATTCACTGGTTCGTACAAAAAAAGAGTGTATTGCAAATAACTTGCTATAAGTAGCAAGCAAACAACTATAAGAAATGACTGCAAGAAATAACTGCAAACAGTTTTCTGAGATGCATTTTAAGCTAATCTGAAGTGTGTGGTCGCAAAAATTTTCTGCTCCCTCCGCTCGCAAAGGCATCGTCTTTCCATTCTGCCCCAAAGCCTCTGAAAACCTCTCGGCGGCCTTCCAGCCATATTTGCCCTTATTAAATTTTATAGATTAGAGGACATTTGATAAGCTGAAATTATTGTTATGAGGAGCTTAAAAGTAGCGGCAGTTCATTTTTGCAGATTCCTTAAAATTGGCTTTTCGCAAAAAAATGCTCATGGATTCACCCAGAAACGTGAACTCCAAGAATATTAGTTTCCGTGAAATTAATTTCCTTAGACTTTCATGCCATCATTTGCTCTTACTTGTTTTCATTGAGTGTGTATATGATCATCTATTTCAATGCTAATGAATTTTCTTTGCAGAAATAATCGCTCAAAAAAGTAAAGTTGGTCACTTTTTTTCTGAACCTCCCCCTATAATAAAAACACCCTTGCATACCATATGAAGTAGATGTTATCATTTTAATGTTTATCATATCTTTCTTTAATTTCTATACACCTTCACTTGAAGCATGTACTTTTTGTAGCTTAATGATTGTATTTGTTAACAAACTCTTCACTTTATCTTGATAATTTCAAGTAGGATTTTCCGAAAAATTCAAGCAGTAGCTAAACCTTATGCTCAAAGGGGTGAAACACAATCCTGTAAAAGTAAACAGTTATTTTGCCAGAAAATTTCTGACCTTGTCAGAATTATATGTTTATTTCTTATCTGAATGCTACATTTTGGGAAGAAAGACTTTAGGGCTCAATATAGCAATTTCTTCCGTCGTTCTGAATCAGATTGACAGTCTCTTTCAATTAGGTGTGGTACTTAAAAATTCATTTTTTAGAGGTAAAGATCAAAAGTTCTATGATTAGTATGATTTACGACACTCAAGTTTAGATAAATGATATGACATCGTCTCCTGTTTTATTTCAGTTCTAATGTCTTTATGTAATGTATGTAATGTAATATAGAAAAGAATAAAAATGCTCATTAGAATTTAAAATGGCTTTGAAAAAAGGAAATATTTAGTAATCTAAAGCTTTTTGTCTGACACTCTGAGGTGAGGCCTCAACAGTTATAACTCATCTTCGATTTCAAAGTCATCTTTCATTTCAATCTCATCCTCTTCTTCCTCATCATCCAAATAACCCTCCAAGTTCTGGTTTAGGCCCATGTCTTCTACACCTTCTACACCTACAGTCATGTGCTCGTTTTTCTGATTGGCCTATTTTAATCCACAACTGGGTATTATTTCCTAACGTAGAGTTTTCGGTCTATGTTCTGACGTTTTAAACTCTGAAGAGTGTCAGACGAAAAGCTTTAGTTTACTAAATGTTTGCTTTTTTCAAAGCCATTTTCAAGTTTTGTACCACCAAAAGATTGTTTTCATTAGACTTTGTAGGAAAATCTAAAATTTTGAACCCTCCTATGAATTTCCTAGCTATACCGTTTACTAGTTGTACGCTACCTAAAAGTGTTAATCAAGATAAAAGGTTTTTATAACAGAGGGTTCATTTTTCCTTGCAACTGCTAGATCTCTTGTCACAATCAAAATATCTCTACAAAAAAGAGAAAACATTTTTCCCAATAATAGCTTGTAAGAAGGGTTAATCTGACTCTACGTAACTTTTTTAGAAAACATTTTGAATTCTATCAATGACTTCCTTAAATTTGGTCCATCATTCTTGTTAATGTTTCTGTTTTAATACATTGAAAAACAGTTACCTAAATCTTTTTCACAGGCTTTTCCCAACAAAATTTTCGCAAGTAAAGTTTTAACAGTACGGTATTAATCAACTGAATTGGCTAAAACGGCAAATTAAGTATTAACTAGATCTTTCAAAAACCTTCAATAGTTACCATTTCAGCTTTTACAGTAGTAATTCTTAAACTATTAGCTTCCTACTTTAGTACAATAAGCTGATTCAAAAGAAAATAGAAAGTTCTTAACTCCAAGACCAATTGTTGTCCAAATATATAAGAATAAGAATGGTATGTCCTTATAAATAGTTTCTATAAATAAAGAATTATGTGATTACAACCAGATACATATGACGTCGTTCCGAATGCAAGTATATAGGCTTGCCAAGCAAGAGACCTAAGCTTGATAATAAGATATCAAAATTACGAAAAGAGCCATGAACAAATATATTGTATCTTTTGTTTCTTTAAGTAATTGCTATGAGCAAGCATCCGAAAAGATGATAAAGCTAACTCGATAATTTGCATGTTTGTTTTGGCCTACAATTTTTCTATAGACTATGGAATCTCCTGATAATTACTACATTGACAAATGTTTACAGATTCATCAAATACAATCAGATTCCTAATTATATATCCCTTGTTCGCGCACAGATGCTCGATGATATTGGCATTTCGAGACATTTCATCAAGCAACTAACCAACATCCATTCCAACTTAATTATGTAAAAATCTCAAATTTGTTTATCAATCCATGACAGAGTGGAAAAACAAAAAGTAATCTATTACCTAAAAAGAGCTTAAGCCATGACACTTATTTCTCTCAGTCTTTTGGTGAACACATGATCACCTTCGAAGACAATAACAAGCAGCCTTCAGGTCAAGCTTTCAATTCAGTTAACTTTTTTATCTGAATACCCTACATACCAAAAAATAAGCTTTTATCCAGATGGCGAATTCATAAAATGTGTACTAGCAATTTGAAGCGAGACTTCAGTTAAAAATCCATTCAAGATTTATTGAAACAAGACAATTATAGAAATAAGAGTGTTTCATGTCTGAAGATTCTTCATTTTACGCCTCTTCTTCCTCTTCTTCTTCAAACTCCGGCTCCTCCTCAGCAGATGCTTCCTGGTACTGCTGATACTCAGACACCAAGTCATTCATGTTGGATTCTGCTTCTGTGAATTCCATTTCATCCATACCTTCTCCAGTGTACCAATGCAAGAAAGCCTTTCTTCTGAACATAGCAGTGAATTGTTCGCTGATTCTCTTGAATAGTTCTTGGATTGCTGTGCTGTTGCCAATGAATGTGGCTGACATCTTCAGACCACGTGGAGGAATGTCACAAACTGCAGTCTTCACGTTGTTTGGGATCCATTCAACAAAGTATGAGCTGTTCTTGTTTTGGACATTCAACATTTGCTCATCAACTTCCTTCATTGACATTCTGCCTCTGAACATGGCAGCAACAGTCAGGTATCGTCCATGACGTGGGTCACAGGCTGCCATCATGTTCTTGGAATCAAACATTTGTTGAGTCAGTTCAGGCACAGTCAAGGCTCTGTACTGCTGTGAGCCTCTGCTTGTGAGTGGAGCGAAGCCAGGCATGAAGAAGTGCAATCGTGGGAATGGCACCATGTTGACTGCCAGTTTCCTCAGATCAGCATTCAGCTAAAAATTGACAAATTGGATGAGAAATTTTTTATTTGTATTGACTTGAAATAGGGTAAAAGTCAAGATGAAAATATTTCAAACAAATCAAGGATAATGATTGAAGTTTCAAAGCAAGTTTGTTGTGTCTCCAATAGCAATATTGTCATCATCAACATTGAAGTTGAAATGTTACTATTACAGTAATCAGTTTTAAGTACATTAAAGCAATTATGTACCTGTCCTGGGAACCTGAGACAGGTGGTGACACCACTCATGGTAGCTGAGACAAGATGGTTCAGATCTCCATATGTTGGTGTGGTCAGTTTAAGTGTTCTGAAGCAGATGTCATACAAAGCTTCGTTGTCGATGCAGAATGTTTCATCAGTGTTTTCTACAAGTTGATGTACGGAAAGGGTCGCATTGTATGGTTCAACAACAGTGTCTGATACTTTTGGGGACGGTACAACACTGAAAGTGTTCATAATTCTGTCTGGGTATTCTTCACGGATCTTTGAGATGAGCAGAGTGCCCATACCAGATCCAGTACCGCCACCAAGTGAATGTGTCAGTTGGAATCCTTGAAGACAGTCACAGCTCTCCGATTCTTTTCTGACAACGTCGAGTACAGAATCGACAAGCTCTGCACCTTCCGTATAGTGTCCTTTTGCCCAATTATTGCCGGCGCCACTTTGACCTATAAAAAGTTTGCAATATAGAATAGAGGCTTTGGGTAACAGAAACGTGTATTTTATGTGATAATTCTATTTGAAACTTTAGCTTTAGCAGTCAATAATTGAGTAACGGAAATTTGTTCTAACTAGAAGTGTTCTTTCACAGCTTTTCAGGGACTTAAGTGCACTATTTTTTCTTGTGGTGAACAATAAAAAATAACTGAAATAATTCTTTTACTGGCAAATCGAGTTTTTCAAACTTGGAGTGAAGATCCTTATTTAAGTAAACTTAAACTTTGCCAAATGTATATTAAGTAATTTGCGATATCCTGAATCTGATCGGCAAAACTTTGTTTTTTCAAATAATATCTTCACTACAACAAACTGCTAGTTTATCGTTATGCTAATTTATAAACTGCTAGTTTATCACTGTTTTACTTCTGTTTGGTTTTCTAGTCATAGCTTAGAGATATATTTCCAGGCATTAAAAGATGACGTAATTATTCGTTGGTTTGATGACTGTATGCGTTGACATTGTTAAAGAAGAAAAGTGCGATTAATTCACTCTAAGCTGGCATAATTCGTGAATCTATTCAATTACAAATAAAGACGCTTTTGGGAAAACAGCAGGAGTTGATATTTCTCATTACTTATTTATGAAATGAGACATGATTTCTTTTACAGATCAAATCTCTAAAGATCAACGATAAACTAAATTAAATCCTCACCAAAGACAAAATTGTCTGGCCTAAAAACCTGGCCAAATGGCCCAGAGCGTACAGAATCCATTGTGCCTGGTTCCAAGTCAACCAAAATGGCTCGTGGGACATACTTGCCACCTGAAAATTCAAGAAATGATAGTTTGTACAAACTATTAATTAAACAAATAAGAATGAAGAAAAATGACAACAAAACATCTATTGACAATTGCTTTTTCAAGCTAGAATGAGTTGGAATCTATAGGAAGATCAGAAGACTAGGCAAGATATCCTGAGAGAATTAACAGCCATAGAATGGTTTCTTTCTAGGAAAGGGCGTCGCCCTGCGCATGAAAAAGGCTTCCTTTACCTGTTGCTTCGTTGTAGTAGACATTGATCCTTTCAAGTTGAAGATCGGAGTCACCATGATAGGTTCCTGTGGGATCTATACCATGTTCGTCTGAGATAACCTCCCAAAACTACGGAGCAAAATATGGAATTGAATTCAAATAGAAAACAGTTTTCATGTAAATTAGATGTGATAACAAGAATGATTATTTGAAGGCATAAACTCGCACCTTAGCTCCAATTTGATTTCCACACTGACCAGCTTGAAGATGGACTATTTCGCGCATTTTGAAGTTGAGTTGACGAATATTTTACCGACACAGCTCCGTGCTAGAATCTCAAGCAAATATTCAGCTGCCTTCCTTCACGCCGTATTAATAACCAAGTTATTATAAATTTTAATGTGATACCGCAACCGGGGGACCACTGTCTATATTTAGATTATAAACCAAATGTACTTTCACCTAGATGCTTCCCCGTCCTGCATAATCACTCGACTGGGTTTCACTTTTGGGCGTTGATGCTGCAAACCAAACAAGTAGTCTGCTGTATGCCAAGGAGACATCTATATTTTTATGCCAAGGAACATTTATCTAATTCTATCCTTTTATAACCACCAATTAATTTCTAGATCTCCAGTCTCGTTCTTTTTAAGCAGAGATGTTGAAATGGTCGGTAAAATATAAAATGCTAAAAAAAGACAGACACCGCAACACATCTAACCGAAAAAAAGTTGGTTTTTTTATTTAACTATGTAGCGCATTTATCTGACAGAAACAGAAATGTAGTGTTTTGAAAAAGCCTCATCTTTCCTACGGATTAAGTTTGTTTTATGAGCCTTCATCAGAATCTACTATTTATCTTTTAAAGGAAAGTTCAAGGTAAGTTCAAGTACAACTGTAAATTTCTCTCACTTTTTATGTTTTTGTCAAAGGTATGTACTGGCCTTCCTCAAAACTACTGCATCGTGAAATGACCTTCCTCCGGCTCACAGCCGTTTAACCGTCAGCCGTCATGTTTTCTGAACCCTGCAGGGACGCCGGAGCATATTTTAGAGTGTGGGGGGGGGGGAGGGGCTTTAGACAGATTTGCAATATATCATGGTCAGGGATGTAGTGGTGGGGGGGACTCAGGGGGGCACAGCCCATCTTGTTAAGTTGGGAAGCTTAGGTCCCTCATTTTTTGTGCTTGGATACAGCCAAGAATCATATAATGCAGAGAAAGCTGTGAATCAATGAAGAATTGTTACTCTACCATGGTCAGCCATTGACAACTAAAACAGAAAAGGAAAAGAGAAACAACTGAAAGATGTAAAGGCATTGCAAGCTCTATATGCATGAAAATGTACACAAAGTTTGACATATACAGATAGAAAATTCTTGAATGATTTCTTACTGAGTACGTTTAGTTGCAGTTTTCTATAGACAGTTGGTTTTTAAGAAATGCCTGAATCAAAACCGGTGCTATTATTTGACTCTGTCTTGTCTGGTTTTAATATTTCATGCACTACAACCTTCTCAATAAGAGAACTGGATGCTCTTATTTTTTGGATAATTTAAGGCTCGGGTGTTCTCAAAGTTGTCTTTATTTCAAAATTTATTTTCTATATCAGCAAACTATGAATACTTTCCAGGTTCACTGAATAACAGTTCTGCATGACATTTTTAGTAGCACAGTTCAATAGCTGATAAATCACCTCTGTTTTGTTAACACGGAAGGAAATGTCTAAATTCAAAATCCAACCAATGGGTCATTGTTATTAAGAATAATATTCTTCCTTATCGATGCCATAAATATTTTGCATTATGCATTTCTTGCCATTCTTGGAATGCCATATCTTAAAATTTTTCACTGAATCCCTGAGCAATATAAACATTTTCCTCCTCATTTGCAATTAAGTCCCCTCCCCCTGCACTTTTTCCCATACATTTGATGCTCTCATCTCAGGTGATGCTCTACACACAGTCAATGCACCTGGCTGCTCAAGCAATGTTCGGAAAAGCATTAACCCTCACTATGTTCAAATTTCATGATTCAAGACAAGAACAATTTAGAAATTTCATAAAGCCCACATCCCTGATTATGGGAACCTGATTATAGAAGCAACTTTCATTTCAAAAAAATTTTGGGGGAGCATTCCCCATACCCCCTAGAAACATCTGCCTTAGGCATGCTTTACTATTTATCTTTCATCCTGACCAGGGGGCCCATAAATCCTCTCCGCAACAAATGTACGCAACAAACTGACCTTGCCTATGCACTAACACTCCGAAATACGTCACAAATTCCTAATATCAATCTTTGGCCACGTTTTTTAATTCGAACCAGTCTCTAACCTGGGTACCAGAGCCGCAAAACTTTGACGGCAGCAAAATTATAATGAGAGCTGCGGAGGCGGAAGAGAGAGAAAAGGGAAAAAGAAAAGCTGGCATTTTTTATAATACTACTTTCTATCGGGTGAATAACAGCATTGTCAAATAAGAACGATGACTGATGTTTGAATTTTGCAAATTTTGTTTATGCTGATCCAAATCTGGATGCCTGCTTTTCTTTTTCCATTTTCTCTCTCCTTTGCCTCTGCACCTCTCAAAATTTTTTCTCTCTCCTACGCCTCTGTAGCTCTCAAAATTTTTTCTGCCGATTTTGATTGATTTCGACACTTAGAAAAGCAGCTATCTCTTTTTAAATTTTTTTAAATTTGGGGACGTTTTAAAAACGAAAATCAAAATCGATCTGATCAACCTTTCTTCTCCAATATTTTTTATCAGATTTCGAGAAATTAGAAAATCGACCTTGGGGAAAGCTGAAGTGGACATGTTCACCCCAATGATAAAAAGATTTAGTAGGACAATGATTCAGTAAAATCATCCCACTTTGAAAAATGAATTTCGAAAATGCCCACTATCGCCTTTCAGCAAGAGATATGTGCAGTTGAACTTATAGTTCTAGGGTAGATAGTTCTGGGTTAGCAAACTTACTTTTGGTTAATGATTTTATTTGCGACACTTTTTACGTACTTTTCAAGGTAAGCTAACCACTCAGAGCAAGATTATGACAGCAAAATGACAAAAAATGCAGCCATGAATATGAAAAAGAACTTAAAACAAGCGAGATTGCAAGCATATATCAGTTTGAAAAATAATTGATACACTAATAGCTCATCTACATCTTCTTGCATCGCGTGCAGCCCTTGTTGCTACACTTTCTGAAAGGTGGACAAGAAGGCTCCTTGTCAGAGCTCGTGCACTTGACGATCTGTGGTTTCCAGGTGAGCCACCTCCCTGTGCTTACTTTTTTAGTATCAACTTGCAGCTGCCACATACACCCTCCCTTGAACTGGGCGCCACTGTCGTGGAACTCGCAAGCAAAATCGATGCGACTGGCCTCGGAATGGCTCTTTGTCCAAGCAGTTGACAGGGAAGATGAAACTGAGGTGGAAACTGAAGCAGAACCAAACTTCAGGCCTGCTTCAATGGAGGAGGCTACTTCAATTTTCACAGTCTTTGTCACTCTGGATCCATATGCGACAGAATTGGTAATTGAATGTGAAACCTTTCCGTTTTTATTGCAGCCAACCATAAACCATTTTGCAGTTGGTGGTGTCCACTTTCCGGCTTCCCATTTGAATCGCTGATCAGACAAACCTTCGCAATCATAAGTTTTAACACCGCCTTTGCCATCCTTTCCTGAAACATCCAAACATTTGTTGGATCTTTTGTTCAAAAATGAGCAGTGATTGCCATTGCAAAGCTTTTTGGGTTGAGACCACATTTGATCTCGTTTGTCTTCACAGTAATATGTCTGAATATTGCCCGTGCCATCACTCCCTGAAACGTCTACACATCGTTTCGACTTCTCGTTGACAATTTCTCCATTTTGGTAGAACCGGAACCATTGGTCTTGCTTGTCTTCACATTTGTATATTTTGATGTTTCCTTTACCATCACTACCGCTTACATCAAGGCATCTTCCGGACTTTTCGTTTATGAGTCTACCAAAGGCGATTTGCTTACCTCGAGAACGGAAGTAGAAGTACTGATCATTCTTGTTTTCGCATTTATACACCTGGATCTTCCCAGTTCCATCTGTTCCTTGGACATCAAGGCATTTGCCTGATTCCATATTGATGATCTTTCTTGCTTCCTGTCTGATCCCACCATTGTCATAAAATCTTATCTTTCTTCCCAACCTCCACCTCTGATTCCTGGGGATCTGTGGATAAAAGTTGCATCTTTCTGACTTGACCTTGGCATTACCCTTTCCATTTGGTGTGAAGCAGAAATTCAGCTTCTCATTGCGGATCGTGCCGTCACCACAGAGAATGATCTGCTGGTCTTCAAGCCCATCGCACTTGTAGGTCTGCACAGACCCTTCTCCATTGTTTCCCTTAATATCAACACACCTTTTTGACTTCAAATTCCACAGCTCTCCAATTATCAGGGGGTTTGTGCACAGGACCTGGGCGGATCCCAGCAAGAACAGGTTTGATAACGTAAGAGCTGCGAGAAGTATAATCATCCGAGACATCCCTGTCTATCGATACCCTAAAATATAAAGGTTTAGCATTAAACCATCACCATTATTGAGAATAGTTTTGGTTAAACATGATTCTGGCTGCACGTTGGCTTTTTCGCCTAAGGCAATCGACAAGTGATAAAGGGGCTTAAGCCATCTTTCAATCAAAAATTAACCAATCAGTGAGTGTGATTCCACACTCACGCTCATTTATTTGCTACGTAAGAACCGATATCATTACAGAAACTGTTGGCCAGCAGAGGAAATCTTTGTTGAGTCTGGAAAGAATCTGTCAGAAGAGACGTGGGCCTATAGCCACTTGAGACCGAGGACAAGAGCCCATAACGAGGCTGCCTCTGTCCATACAGGTTTTAAGCATTCATTCAGTAGAAAATTCATCATTCTTTACCAGGGCTATTAGCCTTAAAATCCTTAGACCACTACCTATATTCAAGTATGTGTTGGAGACACACGCAAGGAGCTGGACACTTCACGTGATGTCAACGTGATCAGTGTGTGGGGAATTTACTTGACATTTCGTGACCTTTTCAGAGACAGCTCTGTTTTTCTCAAACTTTTGGGAGTTTTGTTCATGTTGCTGAACTGATTGTTTCCTTTTTGTCGTCCTCTGTCGTTGAGTTTAGAGGCCGTAAATTTATTTTTTGATTTATCTTCATTCATCATTTACAGTTAAACCCTGTAGCAAAAGTGTGGTTTAACATGTGGGATCAGTGGGGTCGCTTGACCTTTTAGAGATAAGGAGGGGTGGAGGGTCATCACTAGAAAAATAGATAGAGAAGAATTAAGGCGCTATTTCACCTGCTGATAGATGATTTTGCAGACAAACTAAGGATTTTGTAGACAAAGTGA